CCCCCCCCCCCCCCCCCCCCCCCCCCCCCCCCCCCCCCCCCCCCCCCCCCCCCCCCCCCCCCCCCCCCCCCCCCCCCCCCCCCCCCCCCCCCCCCCCCCCCCCCCCCCCTTGTTTTTTTAATTTAGCATGCCCGTCCACCGGAAAGAAGGTACAGCAACAGTAACAGTGAGGCAAAGTAGTGTAGGTACGGATACCTTGCCTGACCACGGCCACGAGTTGTATCCGTAGTGTGAAGTACGTATCTTGAAGAAGAAGAAGGGGGTGTGTGTTGTGTTGGTGCTGTGCTATGCTTCTTCTTTGGTTGGAGCTGTGACTTTTGCAAGAAAAAGCTGTCTCTTAGTGACGAAATGCGAGGTGCAGTTGCAGGTAAACCGCGCTTGAGAACTGCGAGGGAGGGGTGGGAAAGTAGAGAAATAAAATAAAAATAAAAGGAAAAAGAGAGAGGCGGAGGGCAGGTCGAGTATCCGAATGTACAAAGTAGTGTACTCTAGAGTACGAATACTGCGCACACTAGCAGCAGCCCAACTGCAGGCACAGCTGCTGAAGAGAAAAAAGAGAATGGCGGCCGGATGGCAAGGTACTTCTGACGAGCAGCTAATCCTCGTTGCTAATGCAGGTATCGTCAGTCTCGGTCATGTACCTCGCTCCCCCACCACAGGTTCGTTTGGACGGGTTGTATCCGTACCTTGCAGCAGCCCAGCGGCCTCGGCGTCGGCCCTGGTCTGTCTTGCTGTGTCTTTTCTGTCTCTCTGTTCTCTTGTTGGTCTTTGGCCTCCCGTCACTTGCGTCCTCAGGTCCACGACGGCCCAGGACCAGGGGAAATCCGTTTGGACGGTAAAGGTCGGGTGCCACTGTCCACAAATTGCCCACTGTTCAACTCCAACAAGCTTGCTGCTGGAGTCTGGCAATCCGAGATCCCAGCCGCAGCTCCCTTTCCCCGGCCTGCAATTGGCCCGTGTTGAGGGATGTTTGTCAGTCTCGCTCAAGTCGTGTCTTTGCTCCGACAAGGTCATCCACGTCCGTCGTCGTCGTCGACAGATCGTGGTACTGATACGGATACCGGACAATGACAGCCAGATGTCGTAGGTGTGGTGTACCAGAGGACAAGAGAGTAGGGGACGGCGCACTAGCCCGTTTGGCCGACACTCGTCCAGGTCGTAATGACGGCAGTTTGCTTTTGTTGTTGTTTGTTTGGGTGTGTTTGGTCGTCCACTGACCACTCCGCGCCGCCGCCTTGATTGTTTGTTCTCCGCTGGCGCTGCGTCTTGCGTCGTCGCCGTGTCGTCAAAGCTTCCCAGAATCCAAAGGGCAACGCCGACGGACGGACTCCAGTTTAGTTCCTGGTGACAGGGCCACTAACACCGGCAGCGCTGCGACGAGATCGGGGTTCCTAACCCGCAAGTCGTTGCGCCGGTTGCCAATCCTGCACGATGGCGTCGATGGTCGGCTTGGAACGTGTGTCTCCGTCTGGCCGCCTCTTGTCGTTTTCTTGCTTATGACTTGTCAGATACCTCGTCCTCTTCAACCCACCATCAAAAGCCAAAGTCGCGATGGTGGCTGCGAGACACCAAAGAAACGACCCCGAGAAACGCCTCGCTCAGCCCCCGATCCAGCTCGTCGGGACGCCCGGTGCCGTCGACTGCGGTCCTCGACAAAAATCCACCCAAATCGTTCTTCTTTCCCCCTCTTGGCCCTTTGTCCGCGGGGCCTTCTAGCCTGACTCCTGTCCCTGTCCTTCTTTTGTCCAGATGTCTCTGTCTCAAACTGCCGGCTCTGTGCCGTGTCGTAGCGTCCAACGTAGCTCGATGACGGATAAACCAAAATCCAACAGGATTTGTTGCTGACAACAGACAATGCAAACTCCGCAGTCCGTTCTCCCTGCTCACTGTCACAGTCCCAGCAGGCAGGCGGGCGGCAATCCTGCCAGGAATCGGAAGGAATCGACGCGGCCTGCAAGCGGAAAATTCTGCTCAGCAGACAACCGGTGAGCGTGAAGCCCGCGTACCAGGCCCCTGGTAAAATGAGGCACAGAAGCAACCCAATCGCTCAATTTACCGTACGGGGTCGCTGAGCGAGTCGCTGAGCTAGACGATGCTGCTTTGCTTTCAAGTCCAACAGCGCTCACCGAAGGCGGAGTCAATGACAAGTGACACCAATGACACCCTAGCCGCTCATTCGACAACCAAGCTGTTTTGTGTTGATCCCTCTTTTTTTTCTTTCGCTTGCTTTTTGCGCGCCCCGAGTGGATCGGGCCGTTGATTTGCAACAAACTGGTAACTCGGGCTGCCGACGAATGGTTTTCTCTTTTGTCTCGCTTTGGCTTGACCTTAGTCAGTCGTCCACCACCACGTGAGGCCGTGTATCCGCAGTGGTTTGCGTCACCTAGCCGCGAAGAGCGTTTTGATGGTGGTGGAATCGGTGGTGTTCGTACTGGTACTTTGCAGAAATGATGGACGGAAAGAGTCAAGACGCGGGTCGGAGCTGGCCCCGTCCTTCTAGAACCTGGTCCCAGGGCTTTTCTGAAATCTTGAGACGGCGGGATACCGGGCGGTTGTTCCCCGGTGGAGACGGAGCCGGGGGTGATGGAATGACGGGTAACTGACGGGTCCTGGTTGGTGCACTCCTTTGCCCGTGCAAAATACGGATACAGAGTGGGAAGCCGGGCGGGCGAGCTGAACTTCTGAGTATGAAGACTGGAGAATCGTGTTTGCCTGCTTGCTGATGAGACGTTTGCCTTCTGGTCGTTACGTCGTTCCGACCGGGTGTACGGAAGGCGAGCGGAACGAGACAGAAGATGAGAGGCTGGCCAAGATCGAGGCCTGCGAGACAGAGAGAGTCCAACAATCGGGAGGCAGCCTTTTGCAAGTTGCCGTCGTGATTTGCCGCTGAGTCGAGGTACTGTAGGTATGCCGTGTTAATTCGCCAATTCTGCTCGGCCTCACTTCTTGGACAGGCCCTGCCCTTGCGGTGTCGTTGTGGTTGCGATGCCCTGTGCCTGTCCCCTTGGCTAGTCTTTCCGTCGCTTCGCCTCGTCTCGCCTCGCCTCGGTTCCCGCAGACAAATGGTACCGAGGGGACGGGTGAATCAAATTTCGCCCACGGGCTCGGCCGCGGCGTCTCGTCGGCGGTCCTGGGGGTACGAAGCAGGTACGCAGGCCGTTGCGTTTACGTACGAAGAGAGTGATGGAATCCTGCTTGATGGGAAAACAAGGTCGTGTCGCCGCCTTTTTCATGTGCCCGGCTGCTGTCGCGTGCCGCCCGCAGCCCAGGTCTGGTAGGAAAAGTAGGGCCGGTCGATCGTGTTCTCTCTCCCTCTCCCCGGGCTTGTCAGATTACTCAGGTCCGTCTCCGGCGGCAGGATCCCGTGCTCTTGCGAGATAATCACGTTCCGTTGAGATATCTCGCAGCGTGGGGACCTTCCCTTCGCGGTTTGGCAGGTCGTGCTGTGTATCTTTTCCCGCCGATAGCGTAGCGAAAGTAGCGCGCCTTGACGGCGGGTTCCGCTCCTGCTGCGACGTGCAGGACTCGAGAGACGTTGCAGCACGAGAGATCGACGGTGGAGGTGTTCCCGCCGAAGCCTAAGAAGCGGGAAAAGGACGCAATGTCAAGCAAAGGCGACGATGGTTTGTTTTGGCTAGGCCTGGAATATCAGGATGCCGACAGATACCCAACCGGGATCGATAGGTCGTAACGGCAATTGACGTCGTGAGCGCTGTTACCTGTATCTCGCCTGTTGCCGAATTGTCGTCTGGTGTTATTGGGATCGCTGTCGTAGGTCGGTGACCCTTCATTCGAACGTCCAAGCAAGTACGGATACGTACAAGCCTAGGCGAAGAGAGAGGCCCAAGAGAACAAGGGTGACACCGTAAAGGCGAAATAGCTTCCCGCTTGTCGTCTCAGATATCACACGAAGGTGCCAAAATGGCGATTGTTTGCGACGAGAGAAGCCGAGCGAAATTAAGAGTGATGCGGCGCCGATTCTTCAAGTTTGAGCCACCCGATGGCCCCAAGACCCCGGCGTGGTGCGTCTTCTGCGTCGTTTTTCTTCAGCGATCTCGGCTTCCGAGACATGACGCCGCCCCCCGGCCGCGGTGCTCGGGATTCGACTCCGTCGATGCGGTCTGCTGCGGCGAGGGCCGATGATGGAGATATCGGCCGAAGATCGAGATACGGAGCACGAGTCGTGGACTGCTATAGCGTCTGTCAAGCTTGACTCTGTTTCCGTCCGATGTGGTGGTGGCAGTGGCGGAGATGTCAATGTCAAAGTTGATGTCAATGTTTCGGTGTCAGGAAAGAAAAGTGTGCTCTTTGGCGTTTTGGTGGTGGCTGCTGCCCGGCGGGTGGCTTTTTCTTTTTTTCGCGGCAGGTGGCTATGTCTGTCGGTCGCTCCTTCTTTTTTTGTTTCGTCAGACGAGACGCTTCTTTTTTTCACTCTTTATTTCATTATTTTCTATCTCGATAAACGAGCTTATGGCGTATACCTTATGAGTATGCTTATTGCTTATGCTTGAGTCCGAACCGAATGTGACGACGGGCGACGAGGTCCGGAAATAACTCCTCGGCCCAAAGGCGAGCTCTGTTCTCTCTGCCGTTAGTGAGAACAGACGCTGTCGGTGATCGGTCCAAGGCCTGCAGAGTCGTTTATGCAAGGGAGAGACTTGAAGATGGTGGAATTAGGTATATCCAAAATGATACCGAAAGGCGATCCGAGTTTCTAATCTGATCGGAGGTCGGCGGCTGGCTATCTCTGTATACCAACCACTCACTCACTCATCACGTCTCACCGACTCTCTTGCGATAGGATAATACCACGATTCCACCACGAGGCAACCCACCAGGCGTCCCGAGAAAAGGAAGCCCTCGTCCCGGCTTGAGTTGGATGGCCTGCCGCGTCTTGCTATTGCAGGCTCAGCTCCAGTGCCGACGTGGTCTCGTGGGTTGGCCGGCGCATACAACGATGCATGCAGGGTTTCCGGCGCGCGTACTCATGCACTACAGAGTCCCATAAGACCCGATTCGGGCCTTGGCCGTTCGGTACTGCGAGGCGTTGCTTTTGCGCCATATCCTTCTTACTTTTTTGGCCTGGGCCCTCCAGCACGCTTTCTCGTCCCGTTCCCCGCCGCCGTTGGCAGTCGTAATTCGATGGCGCATGATATTGCGTGCCGCTCGGGGAAGAGGAAGAAGATGTGAGGAGTAGTGGGCGGGGGAGCTCTCAGCCCCGGAGACGATGCCCGGAGAAGGGCAAGCATGCTTTACGGCGCATGAACGGGTTGAGGTTCGTCTCTTGCTGGCCATGTGGTCCAACGACGCATCTGTGCGGTTGTGACTGGTCGAATAGAATCGGGGGCCAGACGAGGTGAAGGAGGGCAGCGGGATGGGATGAGATGGGACGGATTCAGAGGATCGGATGGAGGTCTCCCCGCATCTCATGTCCGGGCGGTTTGTCGCCGTGTGAGTGGTTGAGGCCAGCGCGAAACCCGGTAACGGTCTGGCCGTCTTTTCCAGCGGCCGGTGTGAGGGGGAAAGCAGCCGGGATCCCGGATTCGGTGAGGAATGCTGTGTGTTGGATCTGGTGTGTGTGTTGGGCCGCATCTTTGTCACAAAAGTCACCAATGCTGGAGACAAACCCCAGGATCCAACTCATTTCATTCACATCGAGTCCAAGCCAGATCGTAAGACAAAGTCCTCTCCCAACGGATCAGCCGCAGACAAACCCGGCTCCCCGGCGCGACTCCGGTCGAGATGCCCCGCCATCCCGGCCGCCTCTCTCCCGCTCATTGGCCGCGCCCCGGATTTCACGCCACGCGCATGACACTTGACGGCCCGGGGAACCCAGAGGGCGGGAAGAAGGAGGGAGTTTTCTTTGGTCGATATTGGATGCCAGTGTTGGTTGCGACGCTGACCCTTCTGCTGTGCCGCGCGGGTTGTCCGCTGAGGGTGTGAGCTTGCTGGTGAAAACTTGGGTCGGCTAATAAGGGCGGCGCGGGATGATTGTCAGATCATATTGGGGTATAATATGCTGTTGGTTCAAGATTCTGTCTGTTTGACGGGCTGTGTCTTTTCAGGATTTGCGTCGTGTTTATCCGGGTATTCCTTCAGGATGAGCGGTCTGTTGGCGAGGCATTGGTGAAGCTCATGCCTATTTTCATGAATTTCCGTGTGAATATTCTTGTGAGCTAAAGTGCTCTCAATATGTTTCTTGAATATTCACCGCGAAAGATGAATGGTGTCATCGTATCTCACGGAGTAGTCCGGCGGCCACGGCGGACCTCGGTCTTACCTTTAACCGCACCAAAAACCACGCACCGCAGGTATCCCAAGTAATGATATTGAGTCACCTTACGGAGACCATATTCCGAAGATTGAAGATATCTCCTCACAGATTAGAATTTATCGTGACTTGATCGCAACACCTTGGCATCGTCCCGATCTGCTTCGAACCCCAAACGGCGGAGTCATCAACATGCAACATCCTCATACACCATCATCAAATCCACCGGCAAACACCATGCCACAAAGCCCACCAACTTCATTCACAACATCACCTCACATCTCAAACTTCCTCATATCCCCCGCAGAATTCCTCGCAAAGAGACCAGACATCCACAACATCATCAGCGGCGCCGTCGTCTTCCGCTCCACCCCAGACAACCACCACCAAATCCTCCTCCTCAAACGAGCCCCCTCGGACTCCTTCCCCCTGAAATGGGAAACACCCGGCGGCACCGCGGACCCGGTCGTCGACCGGAGCATAGCCGGCGTCGCGGTCCGCGAGCTGTGGGAGGAGACGCAGCTGCGGGCGCGGGGAGTGTCCGGGGCGGTGGGGCTGGGTCTCCCGGACGGGGTGGCTAATCTCGTTTCCCTGGGCGAGGTCACTGATGCGAGGATGGATCAGGAGTACGATCTGTGCTTGCTGCGTCTGGGGGACTTGACGTGGGGTATTGGGACTTTCGTCGTTGATGTCGAGGACGCGGCGGCGGAGGTTGTGTTGAGGGATGATGAGCATGTGGATTGGGCTTGGGTCTGTGAGGAGGAGGTGGAGGGGAGGGAGTTCTGTGATGGGAGGAAGTTGGAGTTTGTTAGTGAGGCTATGAGGATGATTGTGTTGGAGGCGTTCAAGGTGAAGCGGAAAGGCCTTTCGTGAGATAAATTAGAAATTAGAAACTTATACGCCGTCATTTCAAGTCTCAATTCTGAAGAACAATCAAGACAAATCTCAACATCAACCCGCCAACCCTGCAATCGAATAACTCACTGGAACTAACTCGTGTTCATCTCATATTGTGCTTACACTCAATACTCATTCCCGCCGAAGAATTTGTAATGAGTCTCCTCGATGAAGTTATCGCAACAGCGCTGCCCCAACCACAGCCTGCCTGACTACTGCTAAAAGAAGCCGGTCTGCGTTCATGTTGATTTCGGACGTTAACGCAATATCTACACTCATACTACGTCTTAGGTATCCCGTATATGCTATACATCTACAGTGCGTGTGATCTACTCATCAAGCAGGCCTTCCGTGGTACTCGACATCTGCCCAGTCCTTCTCGAAGGCAACCAACTATCAACCGGAAACACCCACCACGAAACAACCGCAAACACCGTAACCACAACCATAATGACCGGCGCATAATTGAACGTCTGCAGCCCCACCGGGAACTCATAGGGTGAATACAGCACCGCGACGACCCACGCGTTCCAGAACACCGAGACCACCTGGGACGGCCTGCTCCAGCGTCCCAGACTCCAGGCGGGCTCGGGGAAGTCCTTGGGCGTGAGGAACAGACGGCCCAGGCAGATCAGCCCGTACGCGGCGGCCGAGGGCACGCTGGCCGCGGAGACGAGCGAGGTGAAGGCCACCGCGGAGGGGAGGATGCTGCATGTGACCACGGAGGCGACGATCCAGACCACGATGACGGCGTTGCGCGGTTGGCCGTTGACGACGGTGGAGACCCAGGCGGAGTAGGGGAGGACGCCGTCGCGGGCTACGGCGAAGATGAGGCGTGAGGCGGCGAGGATCGCGATTGCTGTGTTCTGCGCTGGCGTGTGAGCTTGTGTGTGATGAAGGGTGGTGTAATTGGGGCTTCGTACAAACCAGAGAGCTACTACACAGATGATGTTCATTACTATGTGCGCCCTTTGACCGAGAATCGCTGCGTATAGCGGCACGAAGGTTTGCGTCCCGCCGAAGGAGAAGAGTGTTTCCGGGCCGGGCTTTTGGATATCAGTACATCTGTCGACGAACACGTACCATCGGAGATTGTGAGTGCATACCACGCAGAACAGAAACAAGATGATGACAGTCATCCCACCGACGCCGCTAGCAACCGTACTCCAGAAGATGCCCCTCGCCGCCGCCACGCTAGCATTCTTCGTTTCCTCCGCGACGTGCCCGGAGGCGTCGAAGCCGATGATACTCCCCGCGGTGGCGAGGTACGACAGACACCAGTTCCAGACAGGCGGCGCGCCGGTGCCGTTATACGTGGTCAGGAAGGCCTCGCGCGGGGACCGGAACCCGTATGTTTGTTTGGTGGCTATCGGGAGCCAGACCATGTTCAGGACGAAGTCGAGGAGAACCAGGGTGGTGGACAGGTAGAAAATCCACTTGAAGTATCGGGCTGTGATGGCCGTTAGATATGGGACAGCCTCAAAGAGGGTTGAAGGTGACTTACGGGGTAGGAAGTTGAAGAGGACCGCGGCGGCGAGCATGACTTCGGTCGCTGCCCATTGGACGGCGCGGAACTTGAGGCTGGATGTGTCGGAGGGGAAGTCGATGTTGAAGACGACGATTTCGGAGAGGATGTAGTTGACGGTCGACTGCGTGTTGCCTGCGATGAATGCCAGTCATAAATCATTCACCTAATCTTCATGCTAGGATACTCACTCGCGCAGAACGTCGTCCAGGCTGTGGTACTCCACCACGCAACGATGAAACCGAAGAGCCTTCCATACCGTGGACCGCCGGCTTCGGCTGCCCACAGATAGATGGACCCAGCGAGAGGGAGGGATGAGCAGATTTCGGCGATGACCGCCGCGGTTATGAAGGTGAAGATGCAGGTTACTAGGTACCTTGTCCAGTAGGCGAGGTTTCCTCCTGACGCGATGCCGATGGAGAAGGTGACTCGGACGGAGCCGATGAAGTAGAGCGCGGCTTTGAGAAGTCAGTCGCAAGTTTCCGCAGTTGTCGTTTCTGTTTAGGTAGATCTACCAAAGGTTGTCGCGAAGTTATGGAAAACATTGAAGGTCCTGTGTAGTACCTGTTGCCAAGGTCAGCTCTCACAAGACCTGGGACGCAGGGGAGCTCGGTCCTGATTCTCACGGGCTTGTACCCCAAATTTTCCTGTCGAACATGATGAGTAGCTACCCAATTTCAAGGACATCAGGAACACTTACCAGAATTTGGGAGTCCTTGGAGGCGTCCATTTCCGATGCCAGCGGAAACTGGCCCGGATTCTTTCCCGCTGTTTGGGCTGTAGCTGTTCTACCCATTTCTTCGGGGACCTGGTTGTCTGACATTTTGAGCTTTCGGCATATGGCGCTGATTCACATCATGAAGAAATTCAGACCGACGAGAGCACTGAGATTTGAAAATTTTGCTTAATAGTATTTAACGAGACCCATCAATTCCTGCGATATCGCTACTCGGAGAATAAAAACCGATTTTTCGGAGCTGTCAAGGCGGTCAAGTTGGACAAGTCCGGAACTCCACTTGGTAAAAGTGATAATCATCCTAACTCGATGAGCAAGATGAACATCTCGCGAGTCCTTTCAAGTGAGGCAGTAAGTCTCGAGAACTCTATGAACGTAGCTGAGCAGCAAGGCCCAGTGATATAGTCCCCCATGACTTATGAGGGCAGATAAGATATCCAAAACAAGCGTTTCTATCACCAATGGATTTCATGCCTAGCTCATGAGTGAGCGCTTTAGGTCTTTTAGCTCATCCAGTGAGGGAACGCCAATGCTCATACTGCTCGTTGATGATACCACAAGTCTACTGTTCTTTTACTCATGAAACTGAGACACAGCATGCCTCTTATAAAAGATTTGAAGACTGAAAAGGTTGGATACTAAGTTTTTTATAACAACCTCTAAGCCTCTCAGACTGTCAAGTCTCATAAGTACTAAATCTCATTCATATAAGACAGTAATTAAGTAAGGTATGTGGCATATCCATCGTTAGTAACCTTGAAGGGCTAGGAAAGTGAATGAAATAGCTTCACATTTTTTAAGTCTCGTCACTCGACACCCCTTCGGATGCTTCACCAGATGTTGTCACCCACTCGTTGTCGTCAGCCCACAGTCCACATCTGAAGCCGTCAGGACCGGATGAAAACAAGTAATTCAGTGAATCACGCAACAACCCACACAACGTAGAAAGCCCAGAATTCAACTCAGTAATTTTCAAGTTTCCAACCTACCACATTTTCACTTTCACACTCTCATCTAAGCTCATCTCCCGTCACTTCATCATCCAGTACCACCAGCCACAGCGGACTGTGGCGCACCAGGTCACGAGGCTGATCACGTTAGCATTGTGGGCCCAATTATACGGCCCGTGCACGCCTCCAGGACACGTGACGGCGGGAGCTGGCAACCTCGCGCAGGCGTTGTGTCCTGTGCCGGGTCGCTCTATCGTCAAGATCGAGTCAATCCAAATCCAGCCCACCACAGCTAGTCTTTGGATCATCTGCATCAACGCCCGCATTCTTCAGTCTCAGTATTCATTGGCTGCTTCAGAGATATCAAAATCAACAAAAACAAACCGTACTGCGACCATTCGTTCTGGTATGTCATCGTCCAATCCCTCTTCTTCCCCGCCCCAGCAATTCCAAGGTCCCAATATCCATGGAGGCCACCAGGGGGGGTGGGCTGCTTTCGAGAGCCGAGCCTTTGTCTCGTCGCATCTGGCTTAAGTCTCACGGCAAACACCCAGCCCCTGGAAACAAACCTCCTGTTCTTGTCTTGCCCAATCTGTCTTCTTCCAAGCTGCCATAGCTGACGAAATCTCTTCCTCGTCTTCCAGACTATCCCGCCGCATCACCAGCGCGTCGACCAACGACGAACCACCAAGTATTGGTCTTCCACCCCCCAACGTACGCTGTCCCATTGGGGATACCCGATTCAGCCTGGTCTCAGAACCCCCTCCTAACCCGGTTACATCACCAGAGCGAAGAAAAAAAATAAACCATCACCAATCCACCTCGACCGACCGACCTCCGCGAGATCACCGACGTCGACTTCCAGGCTCGATTGGACACGGTTCATGGGCGCCTGAGATTTCCATTGCACGGCTCTCACGCTGCCGGCGGATTCTTTTGTCCGAACTTGACACTCGATGCAGCTGGACCCGGTCATCGACTCCCATGCGCAAACGCGAGCTACCCTGGCTGTCCCTCGTTTCGAATCTCACATAAGTTGCTGCTGCGCTCCTGGCGCCTGCTGCTTCGCATCTTGACCGAGACATCAACCACCCCCAACGCGAATGTCAGGTAGATGGCCGATGGTACTCGCTATCTGGACCACTCTGTCGGAGATCTCTACCTCAACTCTCTCATACCGAAAGAAACCACCGCCAACGACGTCGCCCTTCTGAGCCTCCTGAGCCGCTTCATCCCGACCGACCCTTCTCCAAACCACGCTTCCAACCCGACTTCACGGGCCAATCTGCTAGGGATGTTCTCCCAGAATCACCAGCAGGGCCACAACTCCCGCATCAATGGGGCCCCCGGCGGCCGGGGCATCCCCATGCTGTACAACTACCAGCAGCAACAGCAACAGCACCACCAAACTCACCTCCAGCACCACCAGGCTGCCCAGGCGGAACATGCCGCCCACAATGGCAACGGCGGCGTCATGGGCCACCATTCAGCATTCACCTCGGGGGTAATGGGGAATTCTAGTCCGTACAGCTCCAACGCCATGCAGAACGGCCAGGTCGGCGCTACGAGGGGAGGTCAAGCACAGCAGATAACCGAGCACTGGGCGGAACAACTCCGACTGTACGATGAATCCAAGCAGGCCCATCGTGCAATGACCGAGCAGAACCAACCCCACTACTACGCCAGGCTCAAGGCCTCCGAGAACCGGGGCATCGCCGGCCCCCCACCCACCTCAGGCAAAGCTGGAGACGACGAGACGGAGGATAGGAGACGGCCGTACGCCCTGGAGAACAAGAAGGAACGGCAAAACTGGCATAACATGGACCTCAGTGGCCAAGGACTTCGAAACCTCGCCCCCGCCCTCTTCCGTTACCAATTCCTCCACGACCTTTTCATCGCCTCGAACCGCTTGCAAAACCTGCCACCCGCGATCGGTCAGCTGCGCCAGCTGCGATACCTCAACGTCTCGTACAACCAAATCAAGATCCTCCCCCCCGAACTCGGCATGTGCACCTACCTCAACCAGCTGCTCCTTTTCGAGAACCAAATCTCGACACTTCCCTTCGAATTGGGGTCCCTACACCTGCTGGAGGTTCTCGGTATCGAGGGCAACCCTCTCGACCAGGACATGAAGCAGGAAATAATGGAAAAGGGCACCAAGAGCTTGATCAACCTCCTCAAGGAGCAAGCTCCAGGTAAGGAACCCGGTGGCGTATGGCCTTCACTCGCTAACTCTCGCAGTGCCACTTCCCCCCGCCCCTCGAAAGTGTATTACGGTTCAGGAAGATGTATCATCTACTTTGGAAAGAGTCAGGGTATTCTCTTGGAACATTCTGTGCGACAAGTACGCCACGCCGCAAACTTACGGGTACACGCCGACGGGCGCCCTGAACTGGGAGTACAGAAAGGCGTGCATTATGGATGAGCTGCGCGAGAAGGACGCCGACCTAGTGTGCTTGCAGGAGATAACGACCGAAGCCTTCAAGGAGGAGTTCAGCCCCGAGCTGGCACAGATGGACTACAAGGGTATCCACTGGCCCAAGACCCGAGCCAAGACCATGACGGAGAAGGATGCACAAGGAGTCGACGGATGTGCAACATTCTACAAGTCGAGCAAGTGGATTCTGTTGGACAAGCAGGTGATCGAATTCGCCGCCATCGCAATCAACCGACCGGATATGAAGAACCAGCACGACGTGTTCAACCGTGTCATGCCCAAGGACAACATCGCGATTGTGGCATTCCTCGAAAGCCGAATCACCGGTGCCCGCATTATCCTGGTCAACGGGCATTTGGCCTTCGAATCCGTTCTGGCAGACGTCAAGCTTATCCAGACGGGTATTTTAATGGAACACATTACGAAGCTAGCCGAAAAGTACGTTCGCTGGCCAGCCCTGAAGGACAAAAAGCCCATTGTATTCTCTGCTACTGCCAAGGATGGAGAGGAGCCTCCCCCGCCGGCTAAGGAGCCCGGCCCAAGTCAAGAGTACCGTAACAACACCGACATCCCTCTGCTGGTATGTGGTGATTTCAATTCAACGGGAGACAGCTCTGTGTACGAGCTCTTGTCTATGGGGAGAGTGGCTCCGGACCACAACGAGTTGTCAGGATTTCAATATGGTAGCTTCACGCGAGACGGTATCGAGCACCCCTTCAGTCTACGGGACGCCTACGCCCATCTCAAGAACACACCCGACGAACTTCCCTTCACGAACTACACGCCCGGTTTCTCAGACGTCATCGACTACCTATGGTACTCTGGCAACACGTTCGAGGTGGTGGATCTCCTCGGCCCGCCCGACTCTGAACATCTCAAGCGTGTGCCCGCGTTCCCCAACTACCACTTCCCGGCGGATCACATCCAGATCATGGCCGAGTTCGTCATCAAGGCCCGCAAGGAAAAGAAGACGCACCCGGAACCGGATTTTGGATCAGGAAGCCACGGGCACGGCCGGTAATCCCCGGCTTCTCCTCGGTAATGCGTGCGTTCAGGGAAATTCTTTTGCCGGAGTTTAGGATTGCGATGCTTGCGTTTTCGCGACTCGGAGGACTAGGCGGGGGTGGAAGGTCTTTTTGGGGGCCCGGAGGCGGAACTTCACTCAAAGACGACACTACAAAAACCTCAAAAGATCAGCGCTACGGGGAGGGGAGGACTGGTTTCTTCGTCGTCGGAAATGCATTGTCAGGCGGGGACGGGATCGGAGGTGGTTACGGCGGAGTGAGGGGGCTTTTGTAGATGATGAAACGGTTTACATATTCCAACCAGCCGCGTTCTCTTGCGTTACTTTATCTGTTCGTTCTTGATGTTGTCGAGTGTGGTGATGTTGGGTTAACTGCAGACAGGCGGCACATGTGGATTCAACGGCGAGGCATGTCCTTGGTCCCGGCGACCGTCAGATGTTCCAATGTCGGCGCCGGGTTACTTTCTCCTTGCATCTCTTCCCGCGCGTGCTCCCTTGCTGACATCGGCGCCGGCGGGGCCATGATGTAATGTCACAGACCGACCGACCGAGGCGGCACAGCTGATAAGCTTTCCACGGTCTCACTCAATTCACTCAGATACCCGATTACTAACCTTGCATCTTCGCTTCGATCGGCATCTTGTTATGCAGGGCTCGTACGTCAAAACCGTAGGGCGAGAGGGTCAGGGCAAGCGCTAAGAAACGCAAACTTACGGTTAATGGGAACGTTCACGACGCCGGTGGCCATGTCCGATTCCTGATGTGCTGATATTGACTATTTCAAGTTGCTGGGACGGGCGACGGTAACAGCCTGCGTCTCTCGCGAAACGTCTCACGAGGAATTTGTCAGTCTGGATGGGTTTACGACGTCTGCATAAGCTGGCCACAACGACTGTATTACTTCGGGTGAGAGGATACACAAGTTCCTCCGTGTCGTCTCGTCTGGAGATAACGGCGGGCTAGCGCTGACATTCCGAGTGGGTTCCCGGGACACCCGGATTCGGGATAGATGTCGTCGGAGGCGTTCCCAGACTTCAAGGGAGGGATTCCTACGCCTAGATTGACAGCTTCATACCTTTTGTCTTCCCAGCTTTCACCTGTCGACGGTCCAATCTAAGAGCTAACGCAGAGATGCGAACTGGATAAGACCTACCTAGCATTTGAGAAACGATATCTCGCGAAGCCCATCCGCAGTAACAGGTAACAATCGTCACAATTTCCCCGTATCAAACTCACAATCTGGTCGCTTGTAAGTGGGAACCCGGCCAAGTGCTTATATCAGATCCACGCTGACGCGCCGGCTTCCCGGGAACCGCGTCCTTTTGTAAACCTGGTCTTTTCGAGTGGCTTGAGAGTTAGGCTAATTAGGCGATCATCGAAGGATGTGAATAAAGCCGGGAATCTTTCCGTCTGTGTCTTGGAGGAGCTTATCCAAGGAATCCTCCCACGTCGACGCGGGTAATAAGAACAGCGCACCCATCTCATCTACCATCACCATCGCACCGTCTCCGAACTTAACAAGCAGCCAAAAAAGAAGCAAAAACAGGAAAACCATGGCGTCAGAAACGTACCTCGTAACAGGCGGCTGCGGCTTCCTCGGGAGCCACATCGTCGAGAAGCTCCTCCAAAAACACCCCTCCGCAACCATCGCCGTCGTCTCCCGCAACCCCACCACCAACACCTTCCCGGGCGTCTCCTACCACGCCGGCGACGTCTCCTCGGCCGACGACGTGACGGCCGTCGTGCAGAAGGTCCGCCCGACCGTCGTCTTCCACTGCGCCGGCATGATGACCGTCGGGAGGAAGATCATGACGGACGAGTTCGTGAGGGCCATCAACGTCGACGGGACGCGCAACGTGCTGGACGCGAGTAAACGGGCGGGCGTCAAGGCGTTCGTGACGACGAGCAGCGCGAGCGTCGTGCAGAAGGATATGTATAGGGACATCAAAGGCGGCGATGAGAGTTTGCCGCTTGCGGAGGAGGGGGATCCGACGCAGATATACCCCAAGACCAAGGTTCGAAATTTTCATTTGAAGTAGCGTGAAGAAGCAAAGCTGACAAGATGGATGATAGGCCGCCTCGGACAAGATGACGCTCGAGTACGACGACCCGAACGGCATGCGCACATGCACCCTCCGCCCGGCCGTCGTCCACGGCGAGCGCGACAACGACATCACGCCCGCGCTGATCCGCAACCTCCGCCTCGGGCGGAACAAGGTCCAGCTGGGCGACAACTCGAACCTCTTCTCGACGACCTACGCCGGCAACGCGGCGGACGCGCACCTCGCCGCCGCCGCCAAGCTGCTGTCGTCGTCCCCGGACGGCGTGGCGGGCGAGGCCTTCTTCGTGACGAACGGCGAGCCGATGCGGTTCTGGGACTTCAGCAGGGCGGTGTGGCGGGCGGCCGGGGACGCGACGAGGCCGGAGGAGGTGAGGGTCGTCGGGATGGGGGTCGCGCTGGCGTACGCGTGGGCTCTGGAGTGGGTGTACTGGTTCCGAGGGGAGGTGCCGCCTTTGAATCGGCAGATTGTGAGGTTTTCGGGGATGAGTAGGTGGTATGTGATTGATAAGGCGAGGGAGAGGTTGGGGTGGGAGCCGGAGGTTGGGACGGAGGAAGGGATTAGGAGGGCGGTTGTGTGGTTTTTGGAGAATGAGAAGAGGCAGGCTGGGAAGACTGCTGCGTGAGCTGAAAGAGACTTGAAGAAGGAATTCTGCGAGGAAAAGCGCTCTTGTTGGCTGTTTGATTGAGACATGGTCTTGTTGACTGTTTGGATGAATGTAGGTATGACTCGATGAGCAACCGGACTGCTCTTATCTACATCCACCTTCCATTGTCCCTCAGTAACCTCGTTGTAGAGTACGCGAAGAGTTTATTACTCTGACAAAGCTTTCGTGAGACTCGGTTGTATTAAGGGAAAGGTGAGTTGTCATGATGAAGTAACTTTCAAAGAGATGATGAATTGCATTATAAATTAGGTGTGAGAAAACTAGGTTTCCTCGTCTTTTGACTTTCTCTTTCCGTCTGCGGCTTAAAATTCCCTCAAGTCAGACATGTCCTCTTGCAACGAACTTCACCTAGGACTCTGAGCTTACATCATGAAGCATACTCAGCAACGATCGTATCGGCCACCTTCTCAACCAGCTGATGAATCCACATAATGGGAAAGAAACCAGGCAGCCTGTTGCAGGCGCTCAGATCCGACACTCGCAGACCGTCAACACCCCTCACCCGCAAGTCACCATCCAGCACCGCCATCGGGTCGTCGTCACCACCAATAGGCGCCGAACAAGCAGCGTGATGACCCCAATTCTCGTCGCGGATGAACTGATCCAGAGCGTCCCCCTTCACATCAGCGCCAGGCCAGACCTCCTCGAAGACACCATCCACAACCTCACCGAGCCCTGAGACAAGCGAGCCATTGGTCCCGGACAGCACCCCTCCGATCGGCAGCACATCCTCCATCACGCGGCGCGCGTACTCGTACGCCTCGCGAATCGCAGTAAGATCCTTAGCCGCGTCCTCGTCGTTATCGAACCTCCTGAAGTTGATCACCGGCGTATCCCTCGGGTCCGCGGACCGCAGCGTCACGCTCCCGGCCGCGTTGCGCTGGTGCGCCTTGAGGATGATCCACGCCCAGTGCTTCGAGTCGGCCACGGCGCCCTGCGACCAGCCCGGGTAGTAGCCCGTGAAGTTGGCGGGCCCGCCGAGGATGATGACGTCAGGCTCGCCGCGCTCGCTGGTCGTCGAGTTACGGATCATGGCGATGGCGATACCGTTGGACGCGTAGGCCCCGCGCGAGGTCGCGTCGGCGCCCTCCACGAACGTCTTCATGCACGGGTCCAGCGCCGGGTCCGGGTGCCAGGTGCACTTCTCCGTCAGGGCGAAGGAGGTCGGGGTCTTGGAGACCATCGTCTGCTCGTAGCGGTCCTGGAGGTTGGTGCCGACGCCGGGCAGGTCGAGGACGACGTCGATGCCGAAGGACTCGAGCTCGGAGCGCGGGCCGACGCCGGAGAGTTTGAGGATTTGCGGGGTGTTGTAGGCGCCGCCGGCGACGATGACTTCCTTGGTGGCCTTGATGTGGCCGGTGCTGGAGGGCTGCGCGGTCTTGGAGCGAGGGTCGGCGCGGTAGAGGGAAGCTCCTGACATGTAGTCGACGCCGTTGGCGCGGGGCTTGGAGCCGGAGGTGTCGAATGTGACCTTGGTCGCCAGCGTATCCAGCATGATGTCGAGGTGGTACTTTCGACTGCCGTCGGAGTTGGTCGCGAGAGCAGTGTCGACGATGAGGTCGTAAACGCCGCCGCGGCACGAGTCTGGCCGCATCGCGAGGGGAACCTGGTACACCTCAGGCTCCATGAGTTGGCCGGGAGCGTTGATGTCGGACACGAGTACACTGGCGAGGTAGGCGGCCGTGGCGACGACCTCGCCGATGAGAGTCTTGCCGAAGGCCGTGCAGGCCGCCGCGAGGACAGACACGATCTTGAGGTCGGTGGCCGCCGTGATCAGAGAGGTGTACTGCATCGGATACCACCCCTTTGTGCCCGAGTTGATGGAATGCGGCTGGTAGTCGACGTCGGTGACCCGGTTGAGGTATTGCCGCATGTTACTCGACTTATACGAGTCGTCGCCCGTCAGCGCGGCCATATCGTCCCAGTCCATGTCGTAGGGCTGCAGACTGAACAGGGCATTGTGACGCGAGCAGCCGCCGAGGGCTCCGGTCCGCGGGTACAAGATGCCGAGGGGTTCGGCGCCGTCCGGTACCTGGTCGGGGGTGGCGGCGGTGCCAAGGTTGCCGGTCGCGTTGTATGCGGTCCAGTGCTTGCCGTCGGTTGTGTTGTATGTCATCTTGGAATCGCGCTTGTCGAGCTCCGTGTCGCCGTACTTGTTGACGAAGAACTCCCAGGCCAGGCTCCAGTCCTCGGTCGAAGCGAGGTTCATGGCCGGCACCGACTGAATCAGCTGGAGGCCGCCGTCGCCGCCGGCTTCGATGAGCAGGACCTTGAAGCCCGCGATGGCGAGGTTGGAGCACATGTGGCCGCCGCCCGGGCCGGAGCCGATGCAGACGAAGTCATACTCGTCGGTCGCGTTGCCAGGGAAGTCGTGGTCGGACTGGCGCTTGGTGTGGATGAAGGGGTTGTGCTGGGGCAGTCCCAGGGCCAGCTGCGCGAGAAGGACGACCGCTGTGAAGCGCATCGTGGCGGGATGACCGAGGACAAGGAACGACAGAGAGGCTTGGTTCTGTAAAGTTCCTGAGAACGGGATTCAGGAAAAGGCCATGTCCCCTTTATTAAGATCTTTCTCACGAGATGTGGGCAGTCTTCGGGCCGATCTACGTGTCTACCCGCTTGCCAAATTGCTTGATTGCCCTTTCGTTGACAAGGGTGATAAGGCTACGATGGAGTTGACGCCGATCTTGCCTTCGGCTCAGCGGTGGGTAACATCAAGAGCCGATTTTCCCGGGATTAGATATGTTGACGTTGTACAAACTAACCATCTTCAGCAAGTTATTGAGGATCTTGCAGGAGTTCTATTGGAGGCTTATGCGGTCTGCCGGGAGTGTCGACAACTCGTTCACTGGCACTAGGCAGGCTCTAGCGTAGGCCCTGGGCGAGGATACGGAGGTCACTGATTCCAAGTACTCATTGTTTCCACGTCATTTGTTTTGGGGTTTGACTATCGTGAAGACTTTGAGGTTACCACTTGCGTCTAAGCACATGACCAAACTCCCAGCGTCGGTCGTCAGCCAAGCGGGGCCTTAGCCCTGTTACTCCCCTTGGTGTAGTTGGTTCATCACGTTCGACTGTAATGGTTTACCCAATGTCATCGAAAGGTCTCTAGTTCGATTCTGGAAGGGGAGAACCCATTCTTTTTTGCTGTATTGTGCCACGCGCCGAATTGCCGTTGTCAATTGTTCTTGTCAGTCGCCGTCATCATCAAAAGTAAGAAACATGTGTTATAAAGCCTCGGTATTAACTGTATGGATCAGTGGGACTTGTCCACCTACCTACTCTGAATAGGCCTTCGACCCACTTGCTGAGTTAAACGTGCTCAGAGACTCCGAGCGATGGAACACTCCTTGAGTACGTTGAGGTTAAGATAGGTGTTATTGATATTTTATGCATAATATCGCGACTAACGATCAGATAAAGTAATGACTTTAGAAGTCTACTAACTCAGAAAGCCCCATTCAAATATAGAGGACCGTAAGTGAGTTACTAAGTGTTGTACCATCTTACTATGACTCGCAAAGTCGTGTGGTGCAGTGCTCTGTTTACAACAGAAGCTTAAACTTAGATTGAGGTCGAGGAAAAGCTCACTAAGTCAACAAGTGGAAGATCTCAGAAGTTCAAAATGACTCTATCACAAATGTATATGTCTTACAACCGATAAGGTGAAGATACCAGCGGCCTCGAGCCAACAATTGATTTAAAGTCAATTTCTCATTTGTTGTTAAGATGAGGCCAACAAGATGTTCTTCTGAACCCACAGAGAGTAGGCTCTATACTAATTGTTGAACATTCTCTCTTTAAAGATTGGTCTTGATATCATGGTGGAAGCCGGCGGCTGTGCTAGAAACTCATCATGCTGCATTCGGAAATACCCTGGGCCCCTGGGGTCATGCGTGATGAGAGTCCGTGTTGACATGAAGGTCAGTGGCTCGACCTTCAAGTGCAATGTTGCTCGCCAACATCATGAATTACTGTGAAGTCAAGTTAGACGTGGCTGAAGATCCAATCGACAGCTGAAAAGCGTGGCGCTTAGGGCGCCAACTACGATATTCTGCATCGAAGTTTATCTCGACGGCTGAGTTCCAACAGCTTACCACCGTTTGCATCCTCTGGCTGCGCTAATGGCAATGCACTTATCCCTGAACGTTTCCTAGAGTCGTATTTCTACCGGGGTCCTGGAACTAGGGAGATAACATCACTTGAAAAGGGGCAAAGAACGGCTGGAGTTGATCTCTTCAAAGGATTCCAGCTGCGCGGAAAAGAGCAGCTATTACTTCTTCAGCCCCCTTTCATGATTGGACCTTTGAGGATGAACCTGGCGTCATACCACAAGTGCAGCTTCAGCCGGAAGAGAAACATCGGGCTTGGCTGATGCGAGAAGAGCCGGGCGACCGGGGTAAACGCGTCTTAGTGGCCTCCTGGCACGCTAGATTCTCACCTAAGCCCCTTTCGATGTGCTCGAATCCCGCCCCGAAGGCCACCACCGCCAACTGTTAAATGTCAGCCCTATCGCCCTGCTGTATCGGCATCACCGTTTCTTCACCGCACCACGAATGAAGCATTCCGAACTCATCGAGATGCCGTCGCAAAACCTCGCGGAATCGCCGGAATCGACGGACAGCGGCTCCGAGAAGGGCGCCGGAACGGCCGCGAAGATTGCGGGCCGGAGCTCGGGCGTCGTGACGTTCGCGGTCGACGGTCGGCCGAAGGCGAACCGGAGCAAGAACACCAAATCCCGGTCGGGCTGCGTGACGTGCAAGTGAGTGGCGGTAGCCTTGGTTCGCGTGCTCGCAGTTGAGATCAATCGTCCAAAGGAGCCATAACGATGCTAATTGGCAACGTCAACAGAAAGCGCCGTATTCGCTGTGATGAAGCAAAGCCGTCGTGCTTCAACTGCGCCAAGTCCAAGAGAGAGTGCGAGGGCTACGTCCAGAAGCCCAAAGCATCTGCCGTTCCGAAGCAAGTCCGGGAAAACCGCACCCTGCTCATCAAGCCCAATTATGAATCCCATCTCTTCACCGACCAGCTCCAGAAAGACCACTTCGACTACTGGATGTCCTTCACCAAAGACTTCACCTTGTTTCCCTCGGACTTGATGTCTCATCTCATGCCGCAGATCGCCCGAGAGGAACCAGCCGTCCGCCACGCGGCTTTCGCCATCGGCGCAGCGACGATGGGGACTCACAGTCTCGAACAACGGACATCGGGCCAGGGCCCCTTCATGGCGCAAGCCCTCAACCACTACGGAAAGGCGATCCAGATCATCAGGAACAGCGAGCAGTCGAAGAAGAGCTTGCCACGTGCTCTCCTGACATGCCTATTATTCGTGACCTTTGAGTCTCTGCAAGGAAACCACATTGCTGCGTTGCAGCACATGGACCACGGATGCAAGATTTTAGACCAAGTCACACGGCAGGGCGTGGCCGGCGAATGCCCTCCGCGGCTGGTGCAAGAAGTCCACGACGCGTTCCGTCGCTTCACCATGTTCGCGTGGAGTCTTAACGGTTATCACCCTGAAGAGACTCAGACGTACGTGCCGTGGTGCTGCCGCGGGCGGAGGAGCCGATACGCCATCGACGAGCTGCCGGCGTCGTTTGACGAGATGGTGGAAGCGCAGAAGTGGTGGGAAATTACGCAGCATCACATCATCTACACGTCCAAGATGAACTCGGGCTTCGCATTTGAGGGGCTCCAGCGAGACAACCCCGAGAGAATGAAGAGGATGACGTCCGAGGCCTCGAAAAGATACCTTGAAATGATGGAGAGGTGGCGCGAGCGGTTCAAGCCCCTGATGAAAGGTGCCATGCGACAAAGAGCGTCCAACCCGAAGATCTACTTGCAGATGGTCAGCCTCAGGCTCCAGTTCCTGTCACTCGAGATATGCTGCAAGAGTCTCTACTACAGCGATATCGACTACATGGAGAAGGCGACTCCAGCTTGGAAGGCGATCGTCTCGCTATCCAGGATATGGCTTAATGGGCAACAGCAAAGCCCAGGCCCCTCGAAGGAGGTCTTCACGATGGAGAGTAGTCCTTCATGGGCATTGATGCTCGCAGGGGTACTGTGCTTCGACGAAGAGGTTAGGAACGAGGCGCATGACCTGATGCAGACCTATCCCCGACGAGACGGACTTTGGGATTCAAGGTCGTACGAAACGATCATTAGATCAACGAATTACTTGCGGGAAGAAGCTGGCGGGGACCAGCGCTTGGTGTGTCAAGATATCCTGGCGAACAAGCAGTTGATATTTGCGAATAACGGGATTGTGAGGAGAGACTACCGGGAGAATATGGGACAGTATGAGGTCGCCACGGAGCGGAACACACCTCTAGATCAAGCCGGAGAGGTTACGGTTGTCTTGCGATAACGACTGGACATGAAAGTCTGAGGTTAATGAATTAATGACCAAGCGAGCTTGTGATATCATAACACTGGTTTGTGTTTTCTGCTCAGTGTTGCCGCTGTCACCGCCCCTGTAATCTTCTGGTATTGGACTTCTATATGAGGCATACATGCCCTTACTTGCACCCAAAGTCATTCTTCTTCGTAGGTATGCACGACAAACGAGGCCCACTGCCATCATAATTATTACTGTTTCGCCGGGGAAATGCTAAATGACCTGTATTTTGTAAACCTTTATGACCCTTCAAGGTGAAAGCGGCCGCCTCCATCATGGCGTCGGATGATATCAAAGCTTAATTCTATGTTAGAGACCCATGAATGTTACTATGTTAGAGATGTTTAGATCTGAAGGTCTGGTGTAGTACATGCCCAACTTACGCTTGAGCCTATCTTCGCCATATTTGATGGTGGCTCGATTGATGAAGATGCTACATTGGGCACATATGGTGGCAGCATGCTCGATTCTCTATGACTTTATTGACACTGCTTTGAGTGAAGTTTGACGCCTCTGAGCAGACCATTAGTGATTTGTTGCTTTCACACCACTTTATTAATGTCTACCTTGATGTCGTTGTCCACCATTCCGTACACCAACGTCCCAACCTGGCGGGTACATCTGCATATAACATTTCCCAGGCTCTAAGCCGCGCCAGAATCAGCCTTGAGCGGAGAAGAGAAACTTTCGGAAAACTTAACCGCAAGCAGTTCCAGAAGGTAATCCGACCTATGCACCCTTTGATGGTCTCAGAATGCCGGCGATATAGCGACCGAGTGTAATAGTGGGTGCAAAAGTACACGTAGAGGAACATTTGAAGCATCAGAGTGGGACAGATTGATAAGTTTCCATTACAGCTTTTCTAGATCGATGCATTGTTTCTGAAGGAGTCACATAGCGTCGGCAGTTAAATCGAGTTCAAGTGGTACATTGGATAAGTCCTTCAGATACTGGAATACTGGCCAAACCTTTGAGAAAACCTATGCATTTGGGAATCTCGGGCTTCCAACGCTGCATCACGAAGTTGTTGGGACTCTAGAGCGTTGGGCTTGACACTTACGAGCATAAGAACATCGCGATAGGTTGACAGTCTCAAACTTTTAAGCTGAAGATGTTTCAAGAAAAGGTCATTGCACAAATCAGCTTGGGAAGCGCCTTTCTTCAAGACTTCCCATCATCTGTCTTGGCAGCTGGGGGGAGAAGCCCGCCCCATGCTTTTGATACCATCAACCCTCTTCATGACGTGCTTGAATGCGCGTCGCCTCAACGACAAGGTCCCGTACTTAAGGCCAGTCTTCGCACACTTTATCTTGACTTCATTCGTGTCACCCTGCAATGGAATCTCTGTCCCGCGTGTTGCCACATAGGTTTCTACGAAATATCGTGTCGTCAATGGCATCAGTGTTGCCTGAGAAGGACTCTGCCCTCAACAACCGCAATATCATGACTACAGGGAGAGAGATTGATTGAAACTCGTCAAATATCCTAACACAGGCTTACCATCCTCGCAGGATAGCTACCACGAACGACGAACAGTAGAAAGGATGAGAAACAGCGAGATGGAGACCACAGGAGACCCCAAAATGCGGCGAGCCGGCATCGGCGCAAACACCCAATCGAATGCGCGACTAGAGAGGAACAACGGGCAGGCATCGACGTCACCCTCCTGTCAACCCAGGAAACCAGGCAAACAAGCGCTCAGAGGTCGCGTGTCACAAGCAGCCTCGGTTTCGGCGTCACTGGCCAAGAACGGTGTTGATCCCTTCTCAATGCCAAACGGATCGCCTGTAACGCTCCGAACAGACCAATGCGACGTCGAGCTGACTGAGTCGCATAACGAAAGTGATTGGAAATGGCCCTCTCGACGCCATAATCACCAGAATCCTGGCCGTGGGCAACACACTTCCTGACATGAATATTCTGCCGGAATTACCTCAGTCACGAGATGCGCTTCGCTTGCTTTCTGCTAATTTCCTGTGCGGCGGCTGGGCCTCAGCAGTCCATACTCAAGAGCCAACATCTAGGGACGCAGCTCGACCGAAGAAGATCATCGACCATCCAATACGGATATTGGTCTTCGGTTCCGAAGTGTATTGAAGACAGGACCCCGGCGAACCTCTCTCCACCCATCCACCGCCTGTGGAGTCTCAATCCCATCACAGACCTCTTTGCCGTCAGTGCCGCGAGGCGAGATGAACCGGCCGCCTTCTCGAAGACCCCTCCCCGTTGCCGCCGGATCTGACTGGCAGGCGGGCAGAGGCACCATCGCGAACGGCTGAACATCAAGCTCCCCAATCAAACTTCAATAGAAGTGCCCGACGCAGGCTGTGGCGCAAGATCAAGCGATCTCACATAACCTTCAGCCACTAGGATGGGTGGTGGCAACACCTTACGACCTTGAGCGGACGAGAATGTCTTGCCCGGCCTGCGCAAAAACGAGATGGCATGAGGAGAGAAGAGCCGGCTGGTTCGGCCGATTCGTCGAGCCACTTCACCGGCGCATCCCTGCACCGCCCCAGCAAAAGGACCGGACTGCCCTTCTCTGACCAGCCAGAGCCCTGCTTCGGTATGTCAAGAGGCCTTCTGGTTCATTAGGTTTTCTTTTAGAGTTAAATCAAGAGTAGCCAACCGTCGACGAGGCCTCGTCTCTCAGCTTTCGTCCAGTTCCAACGGCTCCGATGCTTCTTCAACCGGCTCGTCAGTGCAAAAACCAAGTCCTTGTGACGAGATCAACTGTCAACCTTGATTCGTCAACACTGACAGACACAAATGTCCCAAAATCATATGCTTTTTTGTTTTCGTTCCTTTTCTCACTCTTGCTTTTCCCATGCAGCACATTCGCCTCGGCAGGCTTGGGAACCATGCTCGCCCATGGTCAGGGGTTTCCCAAGCACGCTGTTCCGAGTCGGGAATGGCCTTGTGCGGGGGAAATTGGCGTCTTTCCACCCAGACCGATTCTCCCCCCTCCCCTTCTCTCCATCTCCTGGTCGAACAGACGCAGAAGCGGGCTTCCCTGTCCAATCAAGCCCAGATATGACAAACGGATGGCACCCACGCGGACTGTGAGTGTGATGGAGGGGGGGCCGATCGTGGGCTGGCGGCGGTCGTGTTCCTGCGTCTGCCCACCTCATTCTCTCTCGTTCTCTTATGACTTTTGTCCTATTCGTCTTTCAGCGTCTCATTCGGTCTATTCTAGCTTGTTTGCCTCTCGTAATACGAGCAGGCATGATCTCGGCAACGCCTCTGCCCTAGTACCTGAGTCCGCGTTCACTCGGGACCTGTTCTCGCGGCTTGTTGGGACCAAAAGGTCGCTCAGTCTGCGCGTCTATGCCCAGCCACCACCACAGTCTAAACTTTTACAATTGACTTCCGCCTCGAAACCTTCACACGCAGAACATCAGACCTGCGTTCGTTTGACTGAAGAAGCGGTGTTCCACGGATATCTCTCATCGACTACGAATACAGTCTGCAGCCATGAAGTTGTCAGAATCCACCCCGTCATCGAGAGCCAAGACGTCCTTCCGCTTTGCCCCCAGTCACCCCAGATTTGCGGAGGAAGGACAACAAAACCCTGGACGGGCCAGACCAACCAAGACATGGGAGTTTTGTCCCGCCCCGCGAGTCATCAATAATACCTGTTGTATCCGAATGAGCAATTGAATCAATACAATTCGTCCGCCCAAACAAACGCCAAATGAATCACGGCGTAGCACGAACGGGCATCTAGGGCCATTGAGTCATATTGACTAAATCAAGCCCGAGATTACACGCCATCCAATGCAGAAGTTCAGCTTCCCAACACCGCAAGGCGTTGTCAATCTGCATTATGCCACGCCCCCCTTTCTGGGAAATCGATCTCCTTCTTCACATGTTGAGCGAGATGAATACCGAACGAGACCCAATACGACCAACACACCAACACTGAAGCCATGCACCACCACCTTTCGGATCCTTCACGCCTTTCCCGCCCTCCCCATACGCGCCGCCGCCGTAGGTCGTTCCCCAAAATCGCCCGGCCCCTGGCCTGAGATGATCCCCGTTCCATCGGGGCATACTATCAAAAGTGGCAGTCGAGCCCGTCCGACTTCCTTGCTGCTCTGCAACCCTCGCCTCCCCTACCTGAGATCAGGCGTGAGCAATAGCCCGGGGATTCGCGGGGAACTAACCACCATCGAGCCGTTGTCACCTCGTTTTCTTTTTCATCATATCGTTGCAATGCAGCTCGTGCGTTCCGTCCGTCCAGCTGCCAGCCTGACAACGACCCTCTGCTGATGGGGACAAGGATGAGGGATCCCAGCTCATCCACCCCCGGATTTTGCCTCACCTCTCACACTCACACCTCTCAACCACCCCCAGGTCAAGCAAGGCCAAGGTAAGGTCAGGTCTAGCTCCAGCCTTCGGCCACTCTACCTCGTTGAGTCCGTCGCCTCCCGGCCCAGTTCAGGTCGGGCCAACCAGGTGCTCGCAAGCCCTCTCCGCGATTAACCTCCTCTCTTCTCTTCACACCCCCGGTTGAGGTCAGAGCAAAGTTGCGGCATACAGGCAATATTATGTACACATCCAAGCCATGTACCACCACCTTCGTGTCCGTCTACATAAAGCCCTACATCCCTCTGCCTCCTCCATGATGCTATCCTCATCCCTCTCAACCACATTCGCTTGACTCCATCACTCGACAATCGCTGTCTCAAGTTGTACTACCACCATCACCAACTTACACCCGTAATATCAACCAAAACCCCTCCAACAACCGTCAACATGAAGTACTCCGTCGCCATCGCTGCCCTCGCCGCCGTCGTCGTCGCCCAGGTCGACCCCACCATCATCCCCGAGTGCGCCCGCGACTGTCTCCTCAAGGCCACCGCCTCCGCTACCAGCTGCAAGGAGGGCGACTACACTTGCACTTGCATTCCCTCCAACAAGGCCGCCATCCAGGCCGCGGCCACCAGCTGTGTCATCGCCGCCTGCGGTGTTGAGAAGGCCGTCAGTATGTCTACCAAGCTCTCACCAACATGTCTCCTCTGTTCCACATAACTAACATCCATCCAGGCGAGGTCATCCCTGCCTCTGACAAGCTCTGCGCTGCCGCCGGCTCCGGCGGTGGTGCTGCCAGCTCTGCTGCCTCCTCTGCTGCCGCTCCCTCTTCTGCTGCCGTCTCCTCCGCCGCCTCCTCCGCTGCCTCCTCCGCCGCTCCCTCCGTGAGCATCCCGACCTCTGCCGCCGGCTCTGCCTCCCTCCCCGTCCTCACCCTCACCTCCTCCGTGCCCGCGGCCACCACCACCAAGGCCCCTAGCGGCAACGCCACCACCACTGGCGCCGGCAGCTCTACCTCCGCCCCTGTCCAGGCTGGCGCTGGTGCTCTGGCCCCTCTCGGCGGTCTCGCCATGCTCGTCCTTGGTGCCCTTGCCATCTAAGAGGAGCCATCTGCGACGCGAACTTGGAGGAACTCCCCCGGTAGGGCCTGCGTGCCGGTCTTACCGTGGAGGAATCGCTTGGGATCGGACGGCGCGCTTGTTGATGTGAAAAACGGTGTGATGAAACGAACGGTTTGATGGGTTTGATGGCTGTATGAGTAATTCACCATCAACAGACTTGGGATGTCCGGCGCGGCGCCCATGTTCTGTATGGCTTCTGGACATGCTGGGGTCAGGTGTATAGTTCAAAACAATACAAGCAGCCTCGTATATAATTATAATATTCTTTTATCTCATTGCAACTGGTTCAAACCCGATTTGAGTGATGCCATCTCGACATACCACCAGGACGCTCCGCAACCCCTTTCGAACCTTCAAGCTCCGATTGATCGACCGTTATTCGCAAGGCCGTTTCTCATAAACATGAACACCAACTCATCCCTAATGACGCGCGTGTAGGAGCGTCTGAACACGCAGTTCATCCAAACAAAACCGCCATCGCACACAGACCTCCAAGAACGGTCCATCCCATGTTTGACGAACCATCACCCAACGTCCGAGCCCCCAGGCTGTGCGGCGTGTCCATCAAGATGTCAGCCTGCTTGTCATAGTCGGGGCACTTGCCGTCCAATATGTCCTGCATGCTGCTAGACCGCTTCCGCGTCCGCGCAGCAGCAGCAGCAGCCGCCTTGCCGTCCGGCATGCACTCTCCCGTCTCGTACCCGCGACGGAACTGAAGCGCATTGGCAAACATCCGCGCCTTCTGGTCCGTGGTGAATCCCTCCCGCGGAGTCTTGCCGCGACACGAGGAGTACTGTTTGGGCGATGAGAATTCGTCAGCGGGGGTTTGGAAACGAAACGTTCAAACGCGCGAGGACTTGACCGGACTCACGCTCATGTAGTTGTTGATCTCGACGGCGCTCCCGCCCGAACACGGGACCTGCGAGCACTCGTACACCACGTCCTTCATCCCCGACGTCTGCGTGGAATTCGTCAGGCCGTCTTTGATGATACAATTCTCGCCGATCTCGCCGAACGTGTGGCCCAGCCCGAACCAGTGCCCAACATCGTGGATGAGCGTCGTGGAGTCGCCGCCCTGGACGTGCTCGGCCTCGATGACGACGCCGTCGTTTGGGTCTAACTGCTCGTTGGGAAACGTGGCGTACTATCCGCTCGCAAACGCCGCCGTCAGTTTCCTGGTCGCGCAAATTTCCATTCCGAAAGGGGTGCGGAGGGCGACACTAACGCTATTGAGATCATCGCTCTGGCTCCCGCGTAATCCGTTGACGATCCAGACGGTCAGCATGAGCTTGCCGGGTGCTTTCGTGCGTTGCTGCCACTCTTGGAGCTTGGTTTCTTTGCGGTCGACTACGGTCCAGTCCTCGTTCGCTTTGGGCTCCCACCAGTTGAGTGACATGTATCGAAAATTGATCTTGACTGCGCCCAGCGCCTCGTTGAGGGCATCGACCTGCACGGTGTCAGGCTGGCGGATGTGCGGATGATTGTCAGTCAACTCACCTGCGCTTTCACCCGCGACTCCAATTCATTGGGCCTTTCGGCCGTCGCGGTGGCTCTCATGTATTGGAAGTAAACACCGACCTCCAACGACTCAACCGCCTTGCAGTTATCAAACCCTCTCAGATCCCGCGACACAAGCGGCACGTAAGCAAGAACCTTGTCCACCAGGCTCCTCTTCCTGGTTAAGCTCCGCGCGTACTGAGTCTTACACTGAGAGATACTCGCAGGAACAACCAACTTGCCCATATCCACGGGCGCGGGGTCTTTGTTGACGAAGTACTCAAAGTAGGCCGTCTCCATGACCGCGAGTGCCTTCGCGCTCTTCTCGCTCAGTGGCTTGCTCGGGATGTTTGCCGCCAGCTCGGCCTGAAGCTGCGCGAGCGTCGCCACATCAGGTGGCGTCGGGGCTTTCGATTCGGGAATCTTTTCGACGGCGGACTGGTTGACGTTTAGGAACGCGTCGGAGGGCTGTGCGGAGAAGGAGGCCGTCGTCGCGAGGCCCGGGGACGAGGGTGATGCTGTCGCCACGCCTGCGCCGGAATCTGCCCCGGATCTACCACGGTCACATCAGCCATCGGGATTGGAGTGGATGTGGAGTATGAAACGCACATGTTTCCAGTACGAGTGTCGGTGCCATTGCTTCCAGCGGACTGGGGCGATCCGGATGCCGCCACCGTTCCTGTAGTTGTCGCGGATGTCGTTCTGGTGGTGCCGGTGGTAGTGTCTCCTTGCACCAAGCCGGGCGCCGCTCGTGTAGACTGCGGGGTGTTAGAATCGGCGGGACCTGAGATTCTTGAGCTGGGCGAATCGACGCTTCGGTCGTCTCTGTTCGACGAGGCGGGGACTTGCGATGCGGCGTTCGTCGGTCTCGCGGGGCTCGCCGCAGCAGTCGGTGCGGATTGACTTACAGCGGCGGAAGTCTCTTGAGGATTGGGTCTCGCGGAGCCAGGAGGAGTTTCAACTCTCGCGCCTGTCGTAGTCCGATGAGCTTTCTGATGCCATGTTTACTTCTCTAGATGAAACTCACTTGGAGTGTTGACAGAGGCCGGGGGTCTTGCTGCAGACGATGGAGCTTGTTCTACGGGAGTGTTCTCTGGCTGCCTCGCAGAAGAAGCCGGTGTGTCAGGAGCCGGCAAGCTGTTGCTCTGAGCCCATCCTCCCGCAGAAAGCGAGAGTAAAACGAGGAGTAGCTGTGATGGCACCATAGTGTCACGCGAGAGGGAAATCCAGCAGCGGGTTGTCTCAGAACTCCCTCGCGACGATAGAACCAACTCCAAGCCTGGCGGCACTCGACGAACAGGACCCTTGTCCTACATATATGTACGTGGCTTGGAAGCTTTACTGACCAGCAGCAGCTTGAGCCGTTTCAGGAGACGTCAAAGAAGAGGAAGTCCAGCTACCGCCACGGGTTTGTCGAAGTCGACGTTTTCAGAGACCACCACTAGATCCTCCGTGGCTTTGGTGTACTTGGGTGGCTGGTACCAAGCCTATGGTTCTGCTTGACTTCAAGCCCTGAACGTTGGCAGTGGTTCAGCCGCTGCGTAGAGACGCATTTCCGAATCTTTGCATTGTTAATAGTTTCTTGGCAGCTGTGCTGGATCTCCAAGAGCTCAAATTCAACGACTCGTGATAGGTTAGGACCGGAGTCTTTCCCAGAAAGACAAACTCCGATCTTTTGAGTTTTCAGCCCTGGACGAGCGTTAAGTAGACATCTTGAAGCCACAAGCAAGTTGCTAGGCAACACCACAACGGCGTCGCATTCATCCATATCTAGCACCTCGACGAGGCCCTCAATCGACGGGGTCCTGGGGCTTGAGGCAACAGTGTCTCTTTGAGCTCGACTAGTAATATGCCAAATCGTGACAGAAGTTGTTAGTAATCTGATGGCAGAGATGTGTCGTCAGCTCGCCATTGATCTTGAAGAGTGCCGTAAAACCATTTCCGAACATATTGACGTTTGCGGCGACTAGCCAAGCAAGCGTGGAATGAAGCAAGCCGGAATTATACCCTCAACGATCAGAAACGACTTGGATTCGGACGAGAGATCTCCTTCTGCATCAGAACTGAAGTAGGAACCATCTCTCGAATCAGTGTCCAGACTCAGTGTACTGGGTCGGTTCTCACACAACGATGAAGCGATGGAGTGAGAAGCTTGATGTGAGGAGCTTGATGTGAGATGGCAACGCAGCGCGGCAACAGATACATCTTGGAAGCACATGGAGCTCTCGTCACTTCATTAGATGAACGCATCCGGATCTCTAAGACCTCGCGTATCGTTCATTCAAGCCAAGCGTGCCGTTTTCCCCGTGTGATGCGTCCAAGCTTGCATCAGAGTGCCAGCCCTAGACGTAAGACACCACACCGCGGTCGTTCCCGTCCAAGTTCGGCCCGGGTTGTCGATCACTGAGGCCTGGATTTGAGAAAGGCTGGCTTCATGCTTTTGGGAAGAATGTGAGATGAGTAGGGCGATGTCACGATGAATATGAATGAGCAAAGAAATGTTGGGGAAGTCGGCGAAGATGTCGCTGCTTCTCAGGGGTTGCGTACTGGGTTTGGTTACTAATCAGCGGTTGTCTTCACTAATCTGCCCTGTGTAATGTCCGGTCGCACTTCTGCAGCGACGCTCTTCCTCGACGACAACCACCATCTCCTGATATTCTGTGCCTTATGCTGAGATCAGATACTCGGGGCTCTTCTTGGGTCGTCGGGTATGATGAATCATATCTGGCTTCTTCGCTGCGATGAACCTCCTTCACAGATCGATCAGCTTCGTAGAGCTGGCCTTCCGAACGGGCCCTGGGCTTTTCCATGCGGACAGCACTCTTCATCATCCTCGCCTCGATCTCGCCGCGTTCTTCGAAAATAAGAATGGGAACCCCAAGGAACTGTCAGGAAGCCTCTAAAGAGTGTTCAGCGTCAGTTTGAGATTGATCGGACTTCCAATGATGAAATGCGACCGGCATGATGAGGGCGCGACCCCGAGATACCTCAGCCGACTGACTATCAGGACCAACGCTGCCAGCAGGTCATCTTGATCTAGAGCTTGGCTTGATACCCCGACTTGCTCTTAGCAGGAGCTGAGGTTTATTTGGATTCATTCACTCTGATTCCCTGGTCGGTCAAGAGCGACGTCTGCTTCATAATCTTTCGAAGTCGAATCGAGTTCATCTGCGAACCGTTGAATTCACACGCAAGCGACCGTCACCAGTCAGTTCTGTTGCCGGTATGACCGCTGAGGAAATCGCGCAAAGCTGTTAGCGAGTGCCTCTAAGCGAGCTATTTCATGTCATCTCACAACTTCATCTTTTAATTCCGAGTGTATTGAAGCGCGGAGGTATCTCTTTTCACAGCTTTGCGAACTCGCGACCGAGATGTATGTTCTGTACAACTCATAATGCAGGCAGGGCGCTGAAAAACGGATGCTTTTCGATGCTATTTGCCTAGTGGCTACGGCCAAGCCAAGTCAGTGTACCAGACCTCAAGAGAAGTCTCAGGCTTCATTCTTATAATTGAAATCGACTGCATCGCTGTCGAGACATGATGAGGAAGAGAAATGATCTGAACCATCCAAGTAGTCATGAAGAGACCATCGCACCTCTTCTGTGGGCAGAAGAACAATATCACCCGATCACATTTCACGACTTCGAGGATGGCAACAGATCATTATCGCCACGTCAAACACCAATTCATTCAAACTAAACCAAACTCTATCATCAAAAGCACCTAAATGAAAGATGTAAACGAAGGTCAAGAAGAGAAAGAAACCCGCCCCCCTTTTGCCTGCCTGCTTTGTACTTCAGCCCTCGTGCCCGCAGCCGCCCATAAGCATATCAATTTGTCCTGGACCGGCCCGTTCAATCTACACGACTCCCACCCATCTCTCCTCTCTCTCGTCTCAAGCACAAGCTCAGCTCAGTGGCGGCGCGCAAAGCGACGACGCATGTTGCCGCCAAAGTCGTAGCCGCCGTAGATGGACGAGACCGACGAGGTGGTCGTCGCCTCCCCTGACGTGCGCGTCTGGAACGTAGTAGGCGGCGTGGTCAGCGCCTCGGAAGAAGAGGCCGAGGGCGTGACCAGCGAGGGCTTCGCGCTCTCGACGGTTGTGCCGGGGGACGCGGAGGCGGAGGGGTATTCGTAGCCTCCGGGGATGGAGCTCGAGGGAGTGACGGCGGACGGCTTGGCGCTCTCCACGGTCGTGCCGGAGGAAGAAGAAGCGGATGTGGTGTAGTCGTCGTAGCCGCCGGGGATGGACTTGGTGCTGCTCGATGCGAGGGAGGGCTTTGCGCTCTCGACTGTGGTTCCGGGGGATGATGATACGGTGGGGTAGTCATAGCCTCCGGGGATGGAGCTCGAGGGAGTGACTGCGGACGGCTTTGCGCTGTCGACGGTGGTTCCCGGGGAGGAGGAGGAAGCGGTGGATGAGGTTGTCTCCGAGTGGTTGCTTGTGCAGGGGGCCTTGCTGGATGATGTCTCGGAGTCCGAAGCGGAAGTCGACTCGGTGCTGGTACCGGAAGGCGTGGTCGTGGTACCGTATGACAGAGTGGAAGACAGCTTGATGGAGCTGGTGGCGACAGAGGAGGAGGGGAAGCCGCTGGAGATGCCGGTTCCAACGCTGGAGGTGTAGCCCGTGCCGGTGCTCGAGGGGATGCTTCGGGTCACGGTGACGATGATGGTACTTCTCTTGGTGGTGCGGGAAACGGAGGACAGGGTGCCGGTTTCCGGGAGCTGGTCTGACACGGTGGTGTTGATGACCGTGGTGTATGTGGCGGTCGTGTACGAGGGGCAGCCGTACGTGGTGCATGGGGCGGAGGTCGTCTCGGCAATAGATGAAGAAGACGAGGAAGAGAGCGAGGAGATGGGGATGGTGGGCAAGGTGGCGGTGGGCAGGGTGGGTAGGGTAGCCTCCTCGGTCGTGCTCAACGTCGTGGACGCAGTGCTGGGGAGGGTGAGGGTGGTGTTGCTCCAGAGAGAAGAGGTAGTCTGCACGCTGCTGGAACCACCGGTGCCCGTGGCGGTGATGCCTGTCGAGAGGGTGACGGTCCGGGTCTTAATGGTCTTGGTCTTGGTCTTGGTCCTGGGATGAATGTCAGTCGACTGGCTGTGGCGAGGTGTCGAAGATGACTTACAAGGTGCTGTTGACGCCCCAGGTGGACGACGAAGTCAGCGTTCCGGCACTGGGCAGTTGAGAAGACACGGTGCTGCCGCTGGAAGACGTCTCAGCCGGAGACGTAGAGGTCACGACGCTCGGCGAGCCGGTGCCCCACGGCAGAGTCGAAGACGGAACCCCCGAGGTGGAGTTGGCGTAGCTGGTTGGAGAAGAGGGCTTGGGCGGAAGGCTGATCGTAGGCACAGTCGCCGAAGTCCAAGTGGCGGGGGCAGAGCTCGAAGACACATCGCAGGTGTAGAAGCACGGCGCGGTCTCGGTCACCGTCACGGTCGAGGCGCAGAGAGAGCCGCAGACGGTGACGGTAGCTTCGCCAGGAATCTCGATGAGAGAAGTCACGGTCGCCGTGGCGGTCACCGTCTCAGTGGCCGGAGGACGGGGGCGGATGTAGTTGTCACTCGGGATGTCATTCGCGATGGCGTTGACCAGAGAGGCACTGAGAAGTTCAGTCAGCGAAAAGTTCACGTCATGATCTGGAGGAAGACTCACGAAAGGCCCAAGAGGGCGAAGCGGGCGGCAGAAGAAACCATAGCGAGCGAGGAGAAACTGAGAGGATCAAACGAGTGTGATGCTGCGATGGTTGGATGCTGGCTGGTCGAGGAAGAAGACCAGCACATCCATCCGCCTTTCGTTCGGCCTCGCTACTTTATATCATGAAATTACTGTCAGACCCTGTGCGCCGGGGCAAGAATAACACCGCAGCCAACTCACACTCACATACTAGCCGGGATCCAACACGGGTGACGGGAGGCATCGGCAGCATGCCCTTCATCGCGGAAAGCTACCCAGCCCACCCCCAATCTAGAACGGACCTTCGATGAAGGGCAAAGCCCATGCGGCCGGCCGCCGAGTGCCAGCGCCACATCACTCACGTTGAGTGTCTCGGTATTGCATGTCGACGTTGGTTTCGGTGCTTGTCTCTCTTCATTTCGAAGGTCGTTGGAACGATAGCCAATGGCAACGTTGCGTGGTGAAGCCTCGATCCATGTCAGCATCCATCTATTCGAATTGCATGCAAATGCAGCCACAGCAATCCGGCCCCCGCCCTCATAGAAAGCGTTTGGTTTCTAAGAATACATGTACGTTGGCGGGGAGGCGAGTGCCGGGAAGGACGACGCAAACCCGCTGCCGTTTGGTTTGGGGCAAATCTGTATACATCAAGCCACCAACGTGGAAACGTGCATGGCCCCGGAGCAAGCTTCCGAGTCGACAGTCGAGTCGCCAAGTTTGCTGGAGGAGCCGGGATCATCGGTAGGGCCAACGATGTGAGATGATGAACTGGCTGTGCCTCTTCTCGCTTCGTTACCATTATGCATATTGACTCTCAAAGAAAGAGGCCAAGGCCCTGTCCTGGCCGCTGCAGAAACGAGCTTGCCCTTCAAGAAGTTGAACACACGGGAGAGGAGGGCCGGAGAGGCCGCGGCTTCGGGTGCGGCTGCGGCTGCACGTCTCCGTCCAACGCAATCTTGGGCAACAGGAACCGACAGCGCACATAGTTGAGCAAGACAGAGGCACAGACTCAACAGCTGTGGAATTTTGAAGCTCGAACGAGTTCGAGTTGAAAACTAGTCTCGGATCACAAGTCGAGAAAAGCTCTGCAATCGCAATCGAGCAATCGAGTCTATGCCAGCTGTGCGTCCAATGTTTCCCAGCGCCAACCTCTGCAAAGGCTTGTGTCCACGATCGCAAGCACGACAGATGCCGTGGCCAGAATCTCGCAGTATGTGAAAGAGAAAGGCTTCTTCTACCTTTTCATCTGCCGCAGGGCAAAGTATCGTGCGACGCAAAAAAGCATCCCCTGCAGAGCGTGTGTACCTGCATGCGCTCATCTGCATCGTGCCGATTGTCTTTTTGGACGGACACAACATCAAGACTTCTCATTGGCAAACCAGACAACTCTCTCTCTCCACCGTCGCGTCGTGAAATCCATCCTGCTTTATCTACTGCTGATTAAGGGGGGAACATGGCTTGTGTTGCCTCCAGCCAACATGGGGTTGATTGCGTGATGCAGGTAGGCTGCGCTGGGAGGCGATCCCGCAAGATTGACAGTCTGTCGCGACCACGCACGCCGCAATTACGGATGCCAGATTTGACCCGGCGGCATGCGTGTGCGGCCGCCGTGGGAAGTGCCGGCGCCGTCGCCATCAACCTGACGGAGATATTCTCGTCGTTCGACGCCCGGACACACAAGAACGCCTGTTTGCCCTTCGTTTTTTTGTCTCCTCCGAGTCGGAATTGGGAGACCTCGGATGGTCCGTCTCACCACCGCTTTTTCTGTGTTTGTCTTCGCTTGACTCTCGGGATTTAGGGCGCGGCGGGCGACTCGGTTTTCCTGTTTCTGTTCCTCGAGACAGAAGGGTCTGACTGGAACTCAACTTTGATCCCCTTTCCACGCGACCGTATTCCGCCCGCCTCATGGTTTGAGAGGCAACGTGTCGTGCGGCGGTGGTCGTAGGTGGCGGCGGGTGTGAGTCGGCGGCACCAACACCCTCTCACGGGCGAGAGTCAACTCGCGGTGAATGGAAGTATGGATTGATGATGTAGGGAGCCAGCTGCTGCAAACAAGCAGCCGAGACACAGGCGAGGGATTACGGTCGAGAAAGGGGACTCTCTCGCCAAGGGTTACCGGATGTGAGTTACACGACAGCGGTTGAATGGTTGCGGGGCCACATTGCGATACCGTCTTTCTAAATTGACTTTTGATTGTTTCTCCCAGCCACCTTGATTCATGTTTGTGAGCTGGGTGGGCTGGTTGCCTGGGAAAACTAGTTTGGTTGATGAAGATCATCACCGGCAATCAGATTGTCCCGCTGGCGAACTGTTCTGGGCTCTTCCTCCCGAAGAAAGCCAAGACCCTTGCATATCACCACCAATACTCGTATCAATGAGATCTTAATCAGCTTAGAGAACAGCCTTGAGGGCCTTGAAGGCGTCATCCCGGCTGCCCGAGAACCTGGACTCCGCCGTCTTCCAGTTGATGACATTCCAGATGTTCTCCACATAGGCCGCCTTGCCATTGAGATACTACGGAACACGCCCAAGTCAGCTCATCCCGATTAACTTCGTAAAGGAGGAAGAAAGGCGGCACAAACCTGAAGGTAGTACGCGTGCTCCCACATGTCGACGCCGAAGACAGGCACGCCCTTGGTGACGGGGTCCTGGTCCTTGGTCGTGACGATGCTCAACCCCGTCGTGTCGTCCCTGACGAGCCAGCCCCAACCACTACCGGTGATGCCCAGCAGCGCGGCGTTGAAGGCCTGCTTGAACTTGTCCAGGCCGCCCCAGACGCGGGTGATCTCGGCGACCAGGTTGGGGGCGGAGTCCGGGGAGGCGTCCGGGCTGGAGGCGGGGGCGAGGTTCTCCCAGAAGAGGGAGTGGTTGATGTGGCCGCCGCCGTTGAAGTTGAGGGCGGCGAGGACGGCGATGCGGTTCTGCAGGGGGTTGGCGTTGTATGTCTCGATGGCCTTGTTCAGGTTTGTGACGTAGGTCTGGTGGTGCTTGCTGTGGTGAAGCTCCATGATCTGGGCCGAGATGTGAGGCTCCAACGCCTCGAGGGGGGTTCAGCTGGGGCTTGTGGCTTCGGGGGCAAGGATGATACGTACATCGTAAGCGTAGGGAAGCTTGGGCAGGGTGTACTGGGCGTTTGCCATTGTGAATCTGTGTGACTTGATAGTGTCTTGGTGAGGTTTTGCTGGGTGGTTTAGGACGATGACTTGAACATGAGAGAAAAGGAAGAGAGGAAGATGGAGGGGTAAACTGCTGGAACTGCGAAACCAGAGAAGACCGCTTCCCCCGTCTCAAGGAGGGGTAATTAGTGAGCACATTTCATCATCTCGGCATTCGTGGGGATGGCCTCCGTTCACCCCGAGCGCGATGATGTGCTGGACACCTTGATGGCTTGACACGACTTAGACCTGGCCTCAACCACTCAGTGATGAACAAGACCAGGGTCAAGATGATGGTGGGGACACGGGTATGTTTTCTCGAAACATGTATAGCCATTCCTATACATCATGAGATGCGATTTCGTACGTCGTTCATGCCATTTTGTTCAGGAGCTGGTCATCTGTGATCGTGTACAGCACACGCGGACACAACTCGATCAATATTGCTCTAACTTGCTCACCAAAGTTGCCTTCTCTGGACACGACGGAGATACGTGATTGGCTGGACTATTGTTAGTCGACGTGCGGAGATGAGACCCCGGGCCGGACCCGTTCGCGCTGGTTTTGGGACGACAGGGGTTCGAGATGGGATGAGCACCTTGAGGGAGTTTGAGCCGTTCACGATGTTGTTGAAATAGTAGCTGTTCGCTATCTTTTGAGGTCGGTATAATTCTCGAGGCGCAGAAAAATCTCCTGTTCTGCATCTTCAATTCCGTTGCTGAACTTGCTGATCTACACGCTTCACAGTCACGATGTGTGGTCCCGATACTTGCACCAAACCACGCGGCGGCGCGCTGGCCGTCCTCAATCAACCTCCCTGCCAAACGGATTCACCAACATCAACGTCGCTTCATACACTACAGGGGGATCTCGCATTTCACACGCCCGGGAAACCCAGTAGTCCATTTGCCACGCACGCGAGAATCACCGGCGGGGCACAGGGCTTGCCGTCATTAGCAGACATGGTTGTTGTCATTCAGTAAGTACATCTCCGGAACGATCGTAAGAGAGTTCGGATGGCTAACGACTTTCGTCAAAACAGCAAGTCCGGAGACCTCACCCGCAGACCAGAAGACTGTGGCCTCTTCCATCGTTTCGCCTTCTCCGACGCATCGGTCCTCGAAGACGGCTCGACGCTAGAGTTGGCACTGCAGAAGCCGATATCTCTGCAAGTTGGAGATGATGGGATTATCGGCCGCAGGGTCTCTGTCTTCTCCGGGACGGAGATGAACAGTGCCTTGGCGGAGGGAATCGTCGGGTTCAACTTCATGAGCTCCATCTAGTGGGACTTTTGGGTCCGATGACTTTGGGATACATCTTGCATGGAGCATGGCGTTTGAACTATCACATTGAGCATTGAGTTTGATGGGAGCTTGCTCTCTTGGGTATTTGATTTAATTTACTCCGGTGAGGACGGTAGTTGGAGCTATTACACATATATTACGAAGCAAAATCCGCCTCAACTACGCAACCTGCGACAGCGAGGTTGGAGATCTACGAACAGAACTATCTACCAAGATGAAGAGAAAGTTGTATGAAAGGCCGATGGTGATGATCTCAAGAAACCCATTCAGTCCCGATGCCCCCCTCGCGCATTCTGCCACGCGTCCTCAGACCACCGAATATTCCTCTTCGCCTTTACATCCTTCCCAGCATTCAGCTTCTTATTGATGAACCCCCTCACAGCCTCATAATACCCGGGCGACAAACTCCCATACTCGATACAATCCGTCCCGCACGGCACCGGGACCGCCGTCTGATTATCGATCCCCCCAATCGCCACCGCGAGATTCATGCACGCGGGCGGCAGCCCCGTGACGCGGATGTGGTTATCCCCAATCGGCCCGTCCACGTTAATCCCGGAGCTCGAGTTCCTCGCCTGGCGCACGCACTCGTTCCAGTCGTGCTGGAGGACGCCGGGCGGCGCGACCTCCGGTCCGTCGCCGCGTGCACGCTTTTCCAGCTCGGCTTCGATCTCGAGCGACATCTGGCGGATGTGGAGGATCGCGAGGTCGTCGCGTTTGCCCTTGCCGCCTGCTTTGAGACCCGCCGCGATGACGCCGCCTACTTTGGACCCGACCATGCCGGCCATGCCGACGAGGGCTGGCGGGGCCGGGACGCCTTGGAGGAGGAGGGTTGTGGCGAGGACCATGCCTAGGAGGGGTGAGATGTGCATTGTTTCCGAGGCTTGGGGGGGACTGCTGGGGAGGTTCTGGCTCGGTTGGCGCGGTGCTGATTGTCTCGAGAGGCGATTGGTGTCCTGAGTCCATGATGTGGGCAGACTTTGAGGGCGGTGTTGATGATGTTCTTATAGCTGGCAGAAGTCGCTTAGTTAAGAGACACGTCTCTTTGAGCAAGCTGATCCAGGCGATGATGGAAATTCCGCCAGCGTCTGTATTCATGAGAGACTTACCGGGCCTGCTCAGTTGTTCCACGCGGAGCCCGAGGACAATCGTGGTTTGCCAAGGGATTGAGACTGGATGAGGACCGGAATACCAAGTGATTGAAAACGGAATTCGATCACTAGTATATAAGCATTTGGATTGATTCAATCGGTTTCGCCTTGGCTGTGCTACCGGTGCACGTGGAACGTATTTGGGATGATTGCTTTGTCGATTCCATTATCACATCGAGGACTGACTTCTTCCCAATCTTTGTCTGGTTCAGGTAGTCTAGATCCATATGAATCAACTTCTGGTTTCCTCTCAAAATTCGGTTTCACGGGTCCAAGGGAGTCCAAAAACCTCTCCAAATGGTCGCAAGCAGAACCAAGGTTGTACAACAACGCCTCCAATATCAATAGAAAAGCCCCCATCACCACCACCTCTCCCCCCAGTATCCAACAAACCATGATGACCAACGCATCAATCATGGCCACGAACTATCTCCCACCCATCTCAGCCCTCAAACCAGCACTTCTCTTCACGGCCTCAGCAACCGTAACAACAATAGCCCTCCACTTCCCCCCAAAATCCCACCACCTCTTCCTCGCCCCGGCATGGCTCCTCGCAGCATGCTCCCTCCTCTCAGTCGACGGCGAGAACCCCTCAGCCCCTACAGGTCTGGACTCGTACACCGCCATCACAAGCTTCCTCTTCCTCTTCATCCTGCCCACCATCCTCCTCGGCCAGTCCCGACTCCAAGCTCCCTCCCCGAACAAGAAAACCAAAACCCCGGGTTTCACACGTCCCAGTAGGCAAAGCATCCTCGCCGCCTGCGCCATCTGGAACAACCCCCGCCACCTCCCCTCACCCAGAACCACCTCAACGACATGGCCCCGCCGAATCTCCTTCGCAATCCACCGAGCAGCCAAAGCCACCCGGATCCTCCTCTTCGACCGCTGGGTCATCCAACGCATCCGCGCCTCCCTACCCGCCGACATGCTCGACTTCACTCCCGACAAACACGCCCTCATCCGGCCTCTCTTCTACCACCTCCTCACCTCCTGCACGTACACAAGCTGCCCCCACCCCGTGCTTACCACACACCAACTCCAACTCCGCGCCTTCACGGTCTTCTCCTGGCTGTGGTCCAACTACGCCCTGCTGCAGAAATACCACGCCATCCTCTCCGTCACCTTCGTCCTCCTCGGCGCCGACGACCCGGACCACTGGCCCCCCTTGTTCGGCAGTCCCGCGGACGCGTGGACGGTGCAGGGTTTCTGGGGGAAATTCTGGCACCGCATAGCGTCTCCGACATTCATCGGTTTCACGCGGCGGGTGCTGGGGATGAAGAACGACCCGCGGACGATGCTGGAGAAGTTGGCCGTCGCGTTTGGCGTGTTTTGCATGTCGGGGGTGATGCACATGGCCGCGGCGTGGCGGACGGGGGAGGGTTTCACGCACTTGGACCTGTTCTTCTTTTGCGCCAACTTCTTCGCTGTCGTGGCTGAGGTTGTGGTGATGCGGGTTATTTTCGGGCTGATGAAGATGGCTGGGTCCGGTCCGCGAGTGGAGGGACGGTTGCGTCGCTTAGGGAGGGGTTTGGGGTATGTTTGGGTTTTTGCGTGGTTCTTTTGGGCGACGCCGAGGTGGTTGTATCCCAAGATCATGCGCGGTCTGATCAAGAAGGCCCTGATGGAGGACCGTTTGGGGGCGTAGAGGCTAAGGATTGTCAGTTGTCGTTACCGCCGTTGTCAAGCATTCGGGCTTCGCTGTTGGGTAGATCTGACATCCCGAACCATCCAAGAAAGAGTGTCTGGGTCTCTTACCGGTATAGCACGCCGAGTCGTCAGCATAGCAAGCAGATGATCATCAATGCTACACTGAACTCTGGTTGGAACTGAAGACTGAAGCATCGCAGTAGTGAAAACCAATAGGCCGGGTTTGTCGATCCGGGACTTAACACCGGGCCGGATCGGTGGGGCCCCACTAAGCTCCGGGCCGTACCGGCGCCAACCAATTATCCGGCCCAGGGGGGGCCTGGTTATTGCCAGCACTCATACACTGGAAGACTCCGACAATGTGTTTCCGAAGAGAATGGCGAATTGACCAGAGCTCAAAGCAGGGATTGTTGCGTTGTTTCAGCCTGCAGATAACTGACTTGTAAACTGCACTACAGGGACACATAGAGTGGGACCACGAAATGCTGTAATGTGTGAATCTGAGCTGAAGAACCAGAATGATTATTTCATGTCGCGTATTATTTTAACCGCAACTAGCTTGCGGCAGGATGGGTATCAAGCCTCACTAGGAGGCATATTATTCATTTCCTCGAAAATGTCATTCAGACGCTCTCGTGCTGGGAGGTCTCATGCAGACCCTTCTTCTCAGCGTGGATAGCGTTGTCCTCCAGTTCTTCAGTGAGACCGACATCGCGCCTGGCCTGCTGCAGCATGATGCCGTCCTCGTGGCCCGTGTTGCTGCCGAAAACGCGATCCATCTCCTCGAGGGTGGCTCCCTTGGTCTCGGGAAGGCAGAAGTGCACCCACAGGATGCCGCAGAACAGGAAGACGGCGAAGAAGAGGTAGGTGCCCCACTCCCAGGCTTCCAGCATGGAGGGGACGTAGAAGGCGACGGCGAAGTTGTTGAGCCAGTTGCTTGAGGCGCCGATGGATGCGCCCTTGGCACGAATGGAGAGGGGGAAGATCTCGCTCACCAAGGTCCATGAGACGGGACCCCAGCCGGCTCCGAAACCAGCGATCTGTTATGATTAGCATCTTGTAACTCTCTGGAGAGCATGGCGAGGAACTTACGTAGATCCAGATGAACGCGACAGCAACCCAACCCTCAACAGGGTGGCCGGGCCAGTCGTGGCTGAACTTGGCAACGATGATGGCGGGAATGACCATCGAGATCAACATCACAATGGAGCTAACAATCAGGATGGGCTTTCGGCCGACCTTGTCGATGATAGCCATAGCGGGGAGAGTTGAAACGAAGAAGACGACGCCAGTGACACCAGTAGCGAGCAGAGCGGTGGTGCCTCCAGTGAGACCCAGGCTTTGGAAGACGTTGGAAGCATAGTAGATGATGGCATCAATACCAGACCTTGCGGGAAGTTAGTATGGGCTGTTGAGTGGCATGGCTAAAGACTCACCATTGCTGCCAGAACATCACCAGCCACGCAGTAGCCACACGCTTGAAGTGAGGCCACGAGCGCACAATCTGCCAGTACTGAGCGACCTCGCGCATCCACACGCTGGTCTTCTCCTTCTCGGCGAGTTGAGGGAAGGCCTTCTGGAAAGAACGCTGCTCGAAGAGAGCCTCGGCCTTGATCTCCTTGAACTCGACCTGGACAAGTTCGCTCTCGACATCAAGCTTGCGGAGATAGGCGATAGTCTTGACAGCCTCCTCATCGCGGCCTTGCTTGACCAGCCAACGAGGAGAGAAGGGAAGCCACCAGATGCCGAGGGCGAGCAGAGCTGCAGGGACGCCCTGGATATAAGAAGGAAGCTTCCAAGCCAGGTCGGACTGGTCAATGCCAGTGCCGCCGATGTAGTTGCTGCCATATCCAATCCAGAAACTAAGCATGATTCCCAGAATGGTTGCGAATTGGTAGAAAGACACGATGAAACCACGCATTTCGGGGGCGGCAAGCTCGGCGTTGTAGAGGGGACTGTGAAAGGTCAGCATAGCTCAAGTCAGAGTTGAATTCGTGGTCTTACCCAACACCGCTGAAGGTTCCGACACCGAGACCAGTGAAGAATCGTCCAGCGTACAGAAGCTCGGGCTTGTGGTAGCTTGCGCCAGTGTACAGGTAACTGCCGAGGACGACCCAGAGACAGGCGGAGAACATGGTGTACTTTCGGGAGAAGACTTCGCCAAAGACACCAGCGCTGACGGAGCCCAGGATACCACCGAGTTGCAGGATAGAGGTCAACCAGCCGGTAGCGCTGGATGAGTCAACGACGGAAGGGAAGTTGTCCTTGAAGCGTGTCATGACAAGGGATTGTCCGAGTACACCTTGTTGGTATCCATATTCGAAACCACCGAAGCTGTGTTGCGATTAATTAGCTGGATTCACAAGAGGCGAGCGTAGTCTCCGTAACGACTATTCAAAGTCATACGGACACGAGGACTCAATACTTACGATGCGAAAAGGGCAATAACAACGATCTTGGGGTTAGAAGCAATGGTCTTCCATCTGTTCTTGTAGGCCAGCTTGGTGCGCGCCTCAGCGGCGGAGATTTCTTCGACAGTCATCGTGGCGTCGTCGCAATAACCAAGATCTACGTCGGCGATCGAGGAAGCGTATTCAGAGGCTCTCGCGTTTGCTGTGATGGGACGAGCAATCGCTAAACACGAGTCGAGCAGACACGACGGTGATCTCGACTCATGAGATGGGATGACATCGGTACTTATCGTCGCGGTCCTTGACGCTAAGGACTGCCTTCCTGGGCGGGTTGACCAGGGAGACGTCCTCTCACGACGGGGCCGTTTTTACCTGATCGGGATTGGATGTGTCAGGATTTGATGCGACTCTGTTTAGACGACTCTACAAGCTCGAACGAGATGGGTCCCATGCGCTTGGGTCGTGGGCTCTTTTTCGTATTATTGTTGCGTGGTCCTGCTAGCGTTTTCGGTCCTATTCGAGTTGGTTGAACCAGACCGCCGTCATCCTGCATGCCCCAGACTGTTCCGAGTATGTGAGCATCTCATTCATCTTTGGGGAAAAGGTATGCCGACTTCTCCAGAATCCGGGGATGGGAGATCAGCCTGGAGCGACCTGACATGCTCGGTGCTTGCCATGACTAGATTCGGCCATCGGAGTTAACGACTTCGCTGAGAAATGCTTCCGGGAGCGCTGATCGTCCAAGTTCGGTAGTCTTTGGCATTCGCCCAGCAAACACCGACAGAGGCAGCGTTGCACAAGCGACAGGCCAATAACAAGCATCTCCAACGGTCCAACCCCCCTCAAAATCCTTCGGCAGGTGTCCCCAATCGCGGATTCACGGGTTCGACAGCGCGGTGTGAGTGAATGCTAGCGCTACTCCGTGATTCCCCGTGGCAGATCCATGGATGTCTCCGCATCCCCGCTCGCCCGCAAAGCGGCACTGGGAAAGTCGACAGGCCTGGGCATCACACGATTTGCTGGTCCACCCCCGCAGCGGGTTGCAAAGAAAATTTCAGGAAATCGTGTGTCCCCTTGGCGCCTCGACAAGCTTGCGAATGTCGGAGAAAAAGCCCGGAGCTATCGACCGAATGCGGAAGTTGGCCGAGTTGTGGATCAAAAACAGAAATTGTAACCACCCCACCAAACATGAGAGACGAACCCGTTCGTGACTAATCGTGCTTTTGGCTGTGCCCATGGGGATCTGACCATGGGGAGGACTTTTGGCTTCTGGGGATCCCGTTGGGCTAGAATGCGACTGGCGAGACTCGTGAGGGGAAACATCCACTCCCGCATTCCCAAACGTGGGCAATCGGGCCGTTACACAACGACGAGAACGACCTTTATCCTCTTTGAAGGATGTCAAAACCTCGAGCCGTCATGGCCTCCACGTTGTTTTGGCACTGCGGGTGAGGAAGCACTAAACTTCCAGGATATTCGTCGACGCCTGAGAAAAGTCAAATTGAGCCTCACCCTTGGCGACCGGCCGAGAACCGCGCTATTACCCAACAACCCACTGTCCACTGCCCTCGGATTCGTGATTATGGTTATTGCCTCCGAACTGTTGAAAACTGGGAGCAATAGAATCCCTGAGAATCGTCGTTGTTTGACTAAAAGTCCCACCAGACTGGACGCAGGGCCTTGTTTCCTCGGGGAAGTCTTTCGCCGGTCCCTGTCAAGTAAGAAATCTCTGCAGCAAAATTCCTGCAAAATCCTAGCACTGCAATTGCACCAAGTCCAGAGTCGGCAGGACCCGGCCGAGGGCCCAAAAGCTTGCCGATGTCAAGCGTTCTCGACCGCCCGGGGTTCTCTCCGTTCGTTTCGTGTCTCGGCTAATCGCTTTTGCGCTAGTGCTGTCGTTCGTCGTGGCCGACTTGCGATGCGTATTGGTCTCGTGATGGTATTGCCAATTGGCCCATGAATCTGTCGATTCTCTTCAGAAACCAATGATGCTGAGACTGGCTTCGTTTCGTAACTCGGCCTCCACCTGTTGCGCCGGGACCTTGCAGACCGACTGCCCACTTGCGGATGAAGTCGGAAAACCAGGTTCAATGCCCCAAGATATCGGCTTCCCAGTCGCTGTCGCCCACACGAACATCGTCGGGATTGACACATGCGAGATATGTCGGAAGAACGAAAGGTCGTCCATCAAGTCGGCTGGTCGGGTTGGATAGAGCTTTCGTCGAGTCTAGCGCCACTGATACCCGCTGATTTTTTGTGAACTTCCTCGTCATCATGATCCAGCACAGTCAGTCGATATTGACCACTCGACTTGGCAGCACCGTCAACGGTCTTCCTCTCGTCAAACTTCCCACGCGTCTCTCAGGTGATGACTCAAAGCGTCCTCATACTGCATGAGTCTCTGAGGAACGTCGGTAGCTCCCGTGCTCATGCCGGCGAGAACCATCCAACCCCGTTCGTAGCATGATGGCTCTGGGCCGATCAAGAGATCGAAAACACGGGCCTGGCGCGGCGCATTGCTGGCTAAGCAGGTCGTCACGAGCGAAGTCCGTCCCAATGTGACGGAGTCGCCCAATGGATCGCACATGGTTCGACCAACTCCGGCACCTCGCCGTACAAGATCGACAGGAGAGTAATTGTCTTGCTATGCCGACGGGCCTCCTAGTGTGCTTGGAAACCTTTCGGACATTGTTGCTCTTGTCCGTTGGACAGACGTCCACGGACCGATCGTCAGCCTTAGGCACTTAGAATGGTCGAAGAGAAATTCGTTTTCTCAGCTCCGGAACTTTATGCTGAAGGAGAAATGAAGATGTCGTCCAAGTCTGAAGAGCCGCAGTGGATCACAGTGAACCATAGATCTGCAAGCAAAGTATGCGAGCCGCATGGAATGCATCAGAACCAGATCGCCGGGTCAACTTCCAGAAGCCGGTTATGATTCGTAGGAAATCGGTACCTCGTCAGCTTCCAGAAGGAGGCCACTGCAGGAACAACCTCTGCCATAGACCCGCCGGAAGGAACATCGGTAGGTGATAGCCCGGAGCGCTTGGCGATCCAACTGCGCGTAGTGAGAGAGTAGGTTGCGTCCACTTCGAGCGTGTCTCCCCGCAGTGTCGTGTCCCAGCCCGGGGCTTCCCCAGACGGGCCGGGGTAAAACGTGGGGTGCCAGAGAGCTGCGATGACAGCGGCTGTTGGGCGGAAGCAGCCGCTCGACGCATGACTGAATCGGACATTGCAGGGAACGTGTCGATCCGAATCCGTTCTTCTTGAACGTAGTAGCTCACAACAGAAATGACCTGTCTCTTGTACTCTGGAAGGTGTTGAACACCATGCAACCTCCAAGACCCGGGTAGTTGGATCATCGTGTTGGCCGTGTCCCTCGCTTTGTGTTGGAGTAGGCCAAGCCTAGTGACACGGCGTACGGCAAAGTTGTACTGTTTGAAATTCAGTATTATTTCCTCTAGAGCACATAGTTGACTATTAATAGCTTACGATGCAGACTTCTGACAAGCTTGGACAGCTCGCAAGTCAGGTTTCGGCCTCCTCGGCGATGCACCATGCTGGCGCTATGTCGAAGTTCCCTGCTGCCAGCGATTCTCTGCGTCGAAGTAGCCGGTCATTATGGTCGGATACAAAGCCACTAGTATGAAAGGTCTTTATTTCTTCGGGAAGACAAACATGCTTTTCTGAGTTCAAGACCGTTGAAGTTGAAAAAGAGATGGTGAAGGAAGCTTCGGCTTGGAAGGAGCAGACACGGCCATTGATGATTGGTCAATTGCGGGACCCTGAAGCGATAAGAGACTCAGGCGATAAGAACACCCATCTAGGTAATCGCATATACCTGATAAGCTCTGGTATTTTACTTGAAACGGGGTCTTACGTCACGTCCCTGATTATGCCTGTACCGGAAAGTGCCCCGCGCTCCTGCCCCACCATCCGTCAAGGGGAGCTTGTCGCAGAGAGAGCGGTGATTCTTCAGGCTGAGACACGAAGCTGCAAATTGTTCTTTTTCTTTCCCAAGTCACTGCTGTTTTTCTGCAAGATATCGCCAGATCAAGATGCCTGGTACGGCCTCCTACCGACGAGACTCCTCCGATCCCAGCTAATTCACGACCGCAGCTCCCTACTCGACCGGCGACAAGACGTCCTTTGGCTGGGTCACCGCCCGCGAGCGCTGGCCTGTGATCATCGTGAGTATTCCTCCTCTGGTTGGAGGCTATCGGCTTTGACTGACAGTTTTCATAAAGACCCAGGCCATCGATGATCTCTACCGTTCCGTTGCCGCGACCGATGACGCTGAGAAGAGGGAGGAGGGCAAGAAGATCGTCGAGCAGATCGCCCGCCTCAAGTATGAGGTCCAGCATGACCGCGCTTTGGTGTATGGCCCCGGGACCAATTCAATCACGAGGACGACGTTTCTAACCTCCCCAGACCGATCGATGACGATGGATACCCCGACGTGGCCATCTACAACGAAGAGCTGAAGAAGCTCGGCGAGCCAACATGGCTGAACGTGCCGTGGCTGTACTGCGAGTGCTACCTGTTCAGGTGAGAAATCCGCACGAAACCCATGTTCTCGATGAACAACGCTAAGAACGCAAAGATAGACGCATCAGCACGTTCTTCGCCAAGTCTTCCCACTGGAAGAGCTACGACGTCTTCGCCCGCCAGAAGATCAGCACCTTCCGCTCCTCGCGCCCGGCCGTTGTCGAGCTCGCCTCCAAGTACAAGGACCTCGTCGAGCAGATCCACAAGAACAAGGACGCCGCCAAGGACGAGGCGGCGGAGAAGCTGCTTTTCACTGAGATGGCCGAGATTTGCCTCTGGGGCAACGCCACTGACCTGTCGCTGCTCACGAGCTTGACGTACGAGGACATCCAGAAGCTGCAGGGCTCCGACGCACGCAAGGCGTCTGAGAAGAACATCCTCACCAACGACCTGCCCGCCGTCTACGAGCTCCTGAAGAAGGCCAAGGCCGAGGGCAAGGCGGAGCGCCGCGTGGACATCGTCCTCGACAACGCCGGCTTCGAGCTGTACGTCGACCTCATCCTCGCCGGATACCTCCTCTCCGCAGGCCTGGCGACGCACGTTGTGCTGCACCCGAAGTCGATCCCCTGGTTCGTCTCCGACGTTCTGCCCGGCGACTTTGGCCAGCTCCTGAGTGCGATTGCTGCTCCCAAGCCATTCTACGAGACGCCATCCGAAGACGAGAAGTTGCAGAACAAGACCCCCGAGCCCCTGTCGGGCACGGACGAGGCCAACCTGTCGTTCTTGTTCCAGGAGTGGAGCCGTTTCCACGCTGAGGGGCAGTTGATCCTGAGACCCAACCGCTACTGGACGCATCCCGGTCCCTTCTGGCAGTTGCCCGAGGAGGCCAAGGATCTGTACGAGGACCTCAAGACCAGCGAGGTCGTCATCTTCAAGGGCGATCTCAACTACCGCAAGTTGACCGGCGATGTAAGTTATCTCTTAGACCAGAGACCCGACACTGCTGACAAGATAATAGGCCGACTGGGACGCCGCCACGCCCTTCACGGAGGCCATCAAGAACCTCGGCCCCGGATCCGGCGTCAACGTTCTCGCTCTGCGCACATGCAAGGCAGACGTTGTCGTCGGCCTCCAGCCCGGCGAGGACGAGAGGTTGAAGGCGCTGCCTGACGGCGGTGGCGACTCGGGCGCCAGGAAGTGGGCGTGGAGCGGCAAGTGGGCGGTGGTGTCGTTCTCGAGCGGCCAGTAAACATTACTTTCATTCTGTTGATATCTTCTACTAGAGCCATGACCTATAGATCTTGAAATCCGAAAGCGTATAGACGATGGCTATCACGGCCAATCAACTCCTACTCCCACGCTTGCAGTAAAGCATTCTCGACAGTATCGTACAAGCCCTCTGAGCATTACATTCCACCAAGTGAATCTCTTCATGCCGTGCAATATCACGCCTCACGCGGCAACCTCACCCAGTCTCCCACCGAAGCATCGTAAAGCGGCACAGGAGGCGGCGGTAGCAGCGGCTTATTACTCAGCGCAGGCTTCGGAACTGCAAAAGCAATCAGCCACCTCTTCTCCCAAATCATTCGTGGCAGGGACCAACTCACGAGGCCGGCAATCATCGCAGATGATATGTGTGCAGCTAGGCATGGCGCACATATAACGGTCCTTATTCGGGACCTTGCACGCGCAGCACCGCCACCGCTTGCAGCGCAGTCTGTAGGGACAATCGTCGTCGCAGAAGTCGTCGATGTCGATGGTGATCCACTGGACTTTTTCGCACGGCTGCATGTGCTCGTCGACGTGTGTAGCTTTGTCACTGTCGCTCTTCATGTGAAAGACATGGCCGCACTGGGCGTAGTTTTTGATATACACTATACACATTGTCGACGATATTGACCGGTGATTTTTTTGATAATTGTCTTTGAAAGGAGATGGACAGTGGTGCTTGAGAAGATGTTATGGGGGAAAGATGAGGGTTAGGGTGGAAAATTTGTTTCTTGATACTGCGGACTTGGTCATCAAATACTTGAATAAAGTAGCCTAGTGATTAGCTTTCTCCCTTGCAAATAATGTATGTTTTTGCCAAATAAAGTTACAGGAAAATTTGGCCGAGGAAGATACTGGTAGAAAGGAGCCTCATGGGGACGACCATACGCTCCTTCCTGCCTTGGACCAATGACATCCATTCTTGAAATTTATCACCTATTGTTTTCACTCATAAGTCTTACACATCAAGCTCACCTCGTCGTCAGCGAGCAAAAGACCATAAACATCAGGGTACGAAACCACCCAAAACGCACATCAAGCTCCCCATCCGTGATAGGATCAGTGTTTTTCACGCTTGAAACAACAACACAGCCACAGCTCACGAGGAAAAGCACGAATGCTGCGGTTTATCCAGGTCACATTGAACGTCTCCGAGGACGTGATCTTGCGCTTTTTAGGACACGTCTCATGCCCCCCGGGTACTCGCTTGATAAGTTGATATCCAGCACTTAAGACTCTCGGGGTGACACATTCGACGCCAGGAAAGACGTTGAGAAAAGCTTTATGGGATAAGCTTAAAGGCTACAGCGGCATTCTTCTCGGGTCATTTGAGGCACAGAGTAGCATATCCATGTCATACTTCTAGTTCTCTCATGAGATGAGAGCATCATACGGCGCCGAAGGAACAGGCATATCGTGAGAGCATGACCGAATGTGTGACAGGATCTTTATTTACTTGAGTCCTCTATAAGCGAACAACCAGAGATTTATTCATTCTGATACTTCTACGCCTATAAGTCTGGTCACTTAACGCCTATTGCAAAACTCGAATCGCCTATCCGCTCTATTCATCAAATCTCATGAACGCCCTCAGACACATGTTCCACTACAATCCGGACCCCCATCACAAATCGTATGAAAAACACACTTCTTCCCATCCGGACACAGTCTACCAGCGATCCCACCACACATGATATCCTCAACACATATCCCGGGCATATCGCATGCCATCCCGCAGCCTGGCTTCCGCGGGTCATCCATACACACGAAGCCCGAGGCGCACGGCCGAGGTGTCGCCACGAGGCCCCCGCAGGCACTGTACGTGTGCGTCGTCACGGGCGACGGGATGGGCGTCGTTCTTGTCGCGACGGTGGTTATGGTCGACGGCGCATCGGGCCATTCGGCGAAGGGCGGCGTGGGGAGGAGTTTTGCTTTCCCGAAGTCTGGGAGCGGTGGCGCGGAGGCGGCCGCGCCGAGGAGGGGTTGGCCGAGGACGGCGAAGAACATCATGAAGAGCATTGTGTCTTGTGATGATGGTTTGAAGTTTTGTTCGTTTGGGGAGGTATGGGAATGGGAAAAGTTGAGTGGATTGACGGCACTGTTGTCTCTGGACTGATGAAAGGGTGAGTTGTTGATTTTGAGAAGAACTGCGGAAAGATGATCTCTTAAATATTTGAGTCGGTACGGCCATATACAAAGTGGCGATTTGAGGCTTGAGTTACCAACCCTCGCGAAAGTTTAGGAAAACGCAGGTACGAGCTATGAGACATTCTGATCAGCCTTGTCATGCACCCCAGAATTCGGTTGCGCCTGAGACACTCTTCTACTTCGTACCCTCAGCCATTAGAGTTAGCAAACCGTATACACAGAATAGCAGCCGTTGAATAACACCGGCTTGAATCTTGCCGTTTGAGTGGCTAGAATCGGATGGCCTTCCGGGGCTGCAAGGGGATAAAAGAGGGCGATTGGGCAGATCTTTCATTCAGCTGAACGTTTCCGGAAACTCAGACGTCAGATTTTACGAGGGAGTCTCACTGCGGCAAGGCATCTCGAAAATTTGAGACAAGAGAAACGTGATTGGACTAAAAGTGCGATGCATGGGAAGGGATCTACGTTTGATTAGGCGTACCTGAGTTCAAGGAGCTGAACCCTGATCAGCGAGTGGCTTTGCAGAGAGTTGGGTAAGGTACGAAGGAGTTTGGGTAGCGACTTGAGACGAACCTGGACTGGTCGTACCCTAATGGTGCACCGTACTGGTCCCATCTACACTGCGCCTGCGTCAGCACCGGCCGGACCGTCTGACAAGGACCCACCTCTCACGGGGCGGGGTCCGATCGGCCCCGCTCACTGGCTCCGGGCCGATGCCGAGGGCAATTCTGTAATTCAGGGGCGATAATGATTCTACCAGTCACGTACATCCTAAAGAAAGGGATCTGATTTGACCAAGCTAATTGAGGACTCAGAAGGAGGTTTTTCTTCTTTGAAGTAAGCTGAAGTCTGCTATCAGTGTCTAGTCAGTTTATTGCGTGGAGTACGGCTCTTTACCCAGAGACTTGAAGTTATTCACAGCACCTCTGATCCGTACTGGTAAACATTATAGCAGAAACTTGAGTTGTTGGGGACTTTTTCGCTTGAGTCATTTAAGGGCCGATGGTGGCGAACCCTTCAGCCGGCAAGGTTCTCAAACACCAAGGTCCTGATCAGAATTAAGTTCGTCAACCGACAGCCTGTATGTAGTTTGGTTCCATATTTCAATCAAACTCTATCAGGAACATGGCTTGCAGACTTTTTCATGAAAAAGAATGCAGATGTGCTCTTTGCTTTCACAAAACCTTTACTCACGTTGTCTCATCCACGAAGCATTACCGCATCTGAAAGTATTGTTATCATAGCAGGCTGGATCACCTCTACGAAAGTCGGGAAAATGGCAACGCAAGCCTCCTTGCCCGTCCAAAAACGGGATATCACGAGCGAAAGTTCCATAGACCCGGTGTCCATGACGCTTGACCGTCTACCCATAGAGATTCTGCTCATCATCGCCACTCTTATGACAGACAACACCATCAACACGCCGGTGCTTTCAGGGGGGATTTCCTACACTTCGTCTGAGGGCATCATCAAGCAATACTCGTCCTTCGATTCTCACGCATTCGGTAACAGTGGAGTTCTCGAAGCCACAGCGTACGATAAGGTGGTCAAAGACAGCCAACGAGACATCCTCTCCCTCGCCCTCACCAACAGACGCATATTCACGGCCTGTGAGAATGCCATGTTCCGCACGATCGTAGTATGCGCTCAGGGTTTTAATTTCCGCGGGTTGCTTGACATCTTCGTCAAGAAGCCTGAGTTGCAACGCTGCGTCGAACACCTTTCAGCCCGCAATACGTGGCCTGGGATCGTCGCACAAACAAACCACGCCGAGTTTATGCACAGAACCCTCAACACCGACCTTCTCTCGTGTTCGTTACGATCAGTCGACCTCAAAAGGCTGACCATGACGACCGACTTTAATTCGAACGTCTTGAAGCAGTGGTGCCTGCTGCTCCCGAAGCTACGCCGCCTGGAGCGGCTTTCGATGACGCGCCGCAGGTTCTTCACCGAGGAGTTCCCTTACCTGCCAAACGTTCAGGAGGCGTATTTCATTTCATGTTGTTACGGCTTCGTCACACGCGAGGTGTTCCCGAAGCTGCCGTCCCTACGAGTCTTAGCCAACCACGGCACCTTCGAAATCTGCCCAGAGAACATGCTGCAGCCGTTTGAAGACACGCTGGAGAGTCTTTCGTGGGGCTGTGGCCTTGGCGAGGACTTGACAGCATTTGCGACCGCCTTGTGTCGCCTCAAGAACCTGAAGCACTTACAAACCGAGTGCTTCGATTACATGTTCGCAGGCGAGGCTTACATCAGGTCTCTGTTCGTTCAGGATCCGTGTAGACTTCCACGAACTCTTGAAACCGTTGAGTTCTTCCCTCACTCGTGGGGAGAGATATTGCGCGACCCTACACGTCCAGTATCGGAGCGGACCAAAGCATTGGAAAGCTTGTTACGCTTAGTTGAGGGGATATGTCGTTCAATGTATCCGGGCATGCGTGTGGTTGATCTCCGATACTTGTTCGGTCAGAAAGAGCGTGGTGGGAGGCCGAAGGGCTGCGGCCCGGACCTTGTCGAATGGTGGGGGACGGAAACGAGCGTCGATCTTTCGAGAGAGGAACTGCAAAGAAGGTCAGGTATTACTTTCATCTACGAATGAGAGGATTTACCCAAATGGGAGAGTTTCAAAAGATGCAGGATGAGACAGGCTTCTAGCTATCCAGGTGCCCTGGAAGCTGTTAGGATCGAGCAATCGTGCTTAAATTGGGGTGGAGCTACAAGTTATACATCGAGGCAAAGGCGCGTGGCCATGGAACATGCCAGATGTGCAAGGACGTAGCAAGATAACTGGCTCTTCCACGGTGGATGTAATACTATCTGTTGATTATGCTGATAGCAGCATGGGCGGCAGCTGTTTACTAATTCAATAACTTCTAACCGCCACAACTCCGTTAAAAACGTGACATGGAATACTTCCAAGGCGAATGAATCAGTAATGACACTCAAACAGTGAACCTTCGTCTACTCCAAAATACTTGCGAAGCCCCTGTGGCCGACGAACGTCTCCGACGGATCCCACTTTTGTCTGATTTGAAGCCACTTCCTCAAGGCCGAGTCTGTCATGACCTGTGGAAGCACAAGTCAGCATTCGTTTCATCTTGATCAGCCTTCAATCCTTGTATACCTTGGTCATTCTGTGCTTTTCGTTGAAGTCGGCAACGTAAACACCACAGGAGACGGCGTCGGCCTTGGTGTAGGCGTCCAGAAGCGAGTTGTCGATAGCTGAGTCATATTGAGCATCTTTCCAGCAGCACATAGTCGAGACGTATGCCTTTTGGGGTAGGCTAAGTGCCTGATCCGCCTCATCGGGGTAGTAATCTGTCGGGCAGAAGGTGGCCGAGGAGAGCCGAGAGGGCAAATCAAGCATGGCCGGCGTGATGGCCTCAATGAGCTGGAAGAGCTGTGAGCGACCAATTTCGAAGCATGAGTGCGAAGAATCTCTTACCTTTTCATCAGAAGCAGCAGGATCAACCATGATGCTATCGACGTTCCACCGCTCCCCGTTTCCATGGGGCTGGAAACTCTCCTGCAAGTCCCAGAGCTGCTCCCAGGTTCTTTCCACTAACGGCACCGTAGTCACAATGTGCTTCTTGAACTCATCGGGCATGGTCTTCCAAGGGTTTGCCAGAGCCTCCGATTCCTCGATCGAATCCGCAAACATTGTTTGGTTGATCACAAAGAAGACCCGCTTGCTAGACGACTCATGACCGCCGTTGGGATCGTCCTTGTCGGAAAAGAAGGTGCAGTAGAACAACTCCACGCCGTACTTGGGCAACTTCTTGGAAACCTGGAGGACCCAGCGCATCAGCGGCTTAAAGATTTCGGTCGAGTCGATGATGGTCGTCATGTCGAAGAGCTTTCTGGTCGGAATCGTCTTGACCCAGATCCTCGTCACGACTCCGAAAAAGCCCCGCCCGCTGCCGGGAGCGGCCCAGAACAAGTCGCAATTCTCAGTCTTGTTCGCGATGACAACCTCACCATCTGGAGTGACGACTTCAAGCTGGGTCATCCAGCTGTCGGAGGAGTAACCCCATCCGCGCATGAAAGCACCTTGCCCCCCAGCCAGCAAGAAACCGCCGATAGCTACAGTTCGCGAGTGACCAGCTGGAAAGAATCGCCCGATAGGGTGGAGGTACTTAGTCAAGGTCTCGACTGTGTGGCCCGGGCTGATGCTGGCGATCTTGGTTCGGGCGTCGAAGTCAATGTCGGGGTTCAGATCGCGTGTGTCGATGAGAAGACCGTCTTCCAGTAGCGAGTTGCAGGTGAAGAGGTGGCCACCCGAGCGGACGCCGATCTTCCAGCCATGCTCGCGCGCTCTTTTGACTGCGGTCACAACCTCGGCGGTTGTCTTGGGGAGAACGATTTCTGCGGGGCGGATATTGGGGACACGGCCGTTGAAGAACCTGCGGCGAAGTTCGTCGTAGCCTGGGTTTTCTGTGGTAAGAGAGTTGAGCTGCGAGGACATTTTGTTTTGAAGATTGGAGAGGTCTTGTTTGAATCCAATGAGCCTCCTTCTAAAATCCACCCCAAATGTCTTTGCTTTATATCGTTTTTGGACGCCATGTAAAATTTCCAAGCGGATTTACAGTGGGTTTGGCATTCGGTAGGATCACGATCACCGAAGCCGTCGGTGAGAGACGAGATGCCGATCTTGCACGAACACCTCATGCGAGGCCACAGTTTCGGCCACGCCCGTTTACATCAGGCGTCATGAATTCCCGGCACGCGCACTTAATGATTCGCCGTTTATTACCTTTCCATGCTCTCAGGATTTACGGAATTACCAAACGCAAAGAGTGGAGGGCCAAAACGCGGGTGGGACGTGAGGTTCCGGGGAACATTGCACGTTTTGACGTTCTTTGGCAAGTTTACCATGTTTACTAAGCGGCGAGCAAACGCGATTGACAAACCCTCATCAATAGAGCATTCGAATGTTCTGACGAACCACCATGAGTCAGGGTGAGACAAGTAAATCACAGAATCCGACTTGAGTTGACCAGGCAGATGGGTTGTGAGCGTAGTTCCCCTCTTAGTCCAACGTCCCTTCAACCACCGAGCTGACATACGCCGCTCGTAAGCAATTACCTTCATTCCAATATATTTCAACCTCAACAGCAGAATCGCATGTTGTGAATGAGACATATTCTTGATTGGAATTGTGAATCAAAACTTGCTCTACTGACTTTAACTTCCTTTAGGGCTTGCCCTTCAAATCAACCTCTCTGGGCATGCCGCATACCTGGAAGTCCAGGTCACTCCATTTTGTAGATTTTACAAAGGTGAACGAGGAACAGAACCAAAGCCATCCAAAATAAACCAACGAGATACTGCAGACCCGCCACGTCCCGTCGATGAAGTCCATTGAACACCCGAGCCGAAGCAAACCTCCATCCTCGAGTTCCACGATGTCTAGTCAGTGCGGACTCGCCATCGAGCAGAGCCATCTTTCCGGCCATGCCAACATTGAGCTCCTCAGCCGCTACCGAGGCGAACTTGTCGTCAATCTGCGCTATGCTGCGGCTGAAGATGTCGCGCCCGCAATCTTGGTCGAACTGATCCTCTGCCAAACGAATCTCGACGTGACCTAGGATAATTAGTCATCTACGTATCCAGCTTATACGCAACTTGAAGGATACTTACCTGTGAATGGATGTCCAGCCGCAGCATAATCGAGGATGTAAGCCGATACGACGTCTGGATGACTTGCAGTCGCTCGGAGGTAGTTGCTATCCCATCCAAAGAATGGATCGCAGAACTCGATTTTCAAGAAGATCGGTTTGTCCGGCTGGGAAGGAAGAACAAGCTTGTAGAAGACCTCGCCCTTGCTGCCAGTAATACCTATCAACATACTCATCAATAAGAAGCTCGACGACAGGCCACGTCAGAATCGAAGAAGGGTTGAAAGACGCCAACTTACCACCATTGTCGTTGAGCTGCACCAGGCCTTCGGACCCAGCTTTGATGATTCTAGGAGGATTTTCTTCCGCCCAGCTGCCGTGTGTGACTGTGGAAGACTCGAGGAAAAGATCGACCTTGGTTTTGTTCAAGACATAGATGATACACTCATAGCCGCTGGCTGGAGCAGCGATTGGACCATGCGGTTGGTCCATGGCTCGACGTAGAGATACGACTGTGATGTGCTCGAATGCTCCCTGAAACTTCGTCAGTTCATGTTTCGTTGCTGATGAGGCGGGGGCTAAAGGCTCAAATAGCCAGTTCCATCCATTACTTCCCTTCAGGCAAACATTCTTGGACGGTATCCGGGGAATTCGTGACGAGAAACATGTGATTTAGCGCGAGTTACCTGGGATACGCTTGGAATGACGAACCCGAATGTTCTCTTGTTTTATTGGCACAGCTGCCTGGTGAGACATGAGCGTTTCCGACGGTTCCCAAGAACCCGTCGATTGAACCGTTGTTGGGTCTTAGGCGTGATCAGCAGACGCAAACAGACATTTTTACTGCAATGATACAAATCTCCAAAACATAAGCCTAAAAGGAATTCTTATCCCATCCAGGAGCTCATGGCAATGGAATGAGTAAAAACGCCGTTCAGATCCTAACATCGTGACATCACAGTTTGGGCATTTGTCGTCGACAAGTTCGGCTGAGATTGGTATCTAGAACTATGAAACCCTACAACCGCGGTGGTGTAGATCCCATCCGCATCATCCGCTACTAAGCTTCCAGGCTCCGCCACATCGGTCTCGTCCGTCCCTGTTCCCATTCCCTGGTTCATTGGTATCTTTGGATCGTTTCTTAGTACACGTAGAAGACGGAAGTCTCGTTGTCGCTGGCCCGCAGCTTCTTGTTGCGGCGCATCATGATAATCTTGGCCAACCATGCCAGGGCGGCGGTCGCGATACTGAATGCCGCAGAGCTAGCCATGGCGATGACGTATCGCGGCTCGTCGCTCTTGGGCCAGAGGTAGGGCGTCCAGATGAAGCTGATGTTCATGATCATGGTTACCATACTGATGGCGACGGCCTTCTTTTCCTTGGTCTGGCCGCAAACACTGCCGCACCATCCGAGGATCAAAGAGTTCACACCATAGGTTCCTGTGGCTATTAGACGAGGAAGGCTTCTGAGACGGCGTTGAAACTTACCGATGGTGAAAATGCACATCGCGACATATCTCCCGGCGACACTCATCGTAATTGGCGCAATGATGAACCCAATTACCGCAACGGTTTTCGAGGCAGTGATGTGCCAGGTTCTTTCGTTGAACTTTCCGGAAGACCAAGACACCGCGATCGTGACAGCACCGGCGACCAGGTAGGGCGGGCAGGTCAGAACAAGAGTGATGGTGGTGTCGAAGCCAAGCGTCTCAACAACGGTAGGGAACTGAGAGAATATGAGTTAGACCGCGCGAAGCTGATTGATTGTGTGATAGACGTACGAAGTTCTTGAAACCGTTGGCCGCAAGATGCATGTGAGCCATAGCACAGAAGATCCAGACCATGGGGTCCTTGGCCGCCTGCTTGAGACCGTTCCACGTGCTAGTCTCGCCCTTGTTGCCGACGGTGTCGAGCTCCATGCGGTTGTAGGCGAGGTCACGCTCTTCCTGCGTCAACCACCTCGTATTCTGGGGGAAGTCGGGCAGCAGGAAGTATCCGACCACGGCGATGACGAAGGTCACGGCACCCTGGAGGATGAAGAGCCACTTCCAACCGGCAAGCCCGCCAGCGCCGTCCATGCCGTAGAAGATACCAGCAGCAATCAGACCAGCAAATGCCGTTGCTAGAATGTTGCCCGTGTACAGAATAGCGATGCGTGTTGCGACCTCTTTACGGGTGTAGAAGAGGGAGAGCAGATAAACCGCGCCTGGATAGGACTCATATGATTAGAAACGTGCTCCAGAAAGCCACACATGTTAATAGACATACCTGGATAGTACGGAGCTTCAGTGACTCCAAGAAAACTAGATTTGGATAGTCAGCTTCGGCGTAAACTGATTTGTGTGGTATGTGGCACTCACAAACGTGTCAAAAGCAAGCCTGTGAAGTCCTTGGACACAGCAGTCAGGGCGCTGACAACGGCCCAGAGCATCATCATGATTCCCTGGCAGCATGCTTAGTATTTGCTTCAGAGATATCTCTAGCTGATTTCGTACCATGTATCGGCTGGGTCGCGTTCGAGTAAGGAACATGTTCGATGGGATTTGGCCCCTAAGATTGTCGTTAGTGTTGGTTCACGTTTGGAATGATGCGGAAAACTTACAAGATGTAACCGACAAACAGAATGGACACGCAAGTCTGGTATTCTGCGGTTGGTCGTCAGTTCCGTGGCAGAATCCACCTCAGTATTTTGAACTTACGCGTGCTGCTGAGGTTCAAGTCTTCTTCAAGATCATTCAGACGCGCCAGAGCAATGGCGTTTCGGTCCAGATACTTCGGAGCGGCATGTTAGTGGGTTACTGGCTTTGCGAGGAGGCATTACCTACGTTTAGCCAGTACATGGACCAAAGCATTGGCTTGATGTAAGTCAGCATAAGAAATCCTAGAGTTTTTGACGACTGCCTACCATGATCCATCTGTCCAGCTTCTTCACAAGTGCGATTTCCTTCGGATCGGTCTTCTCATGGGCACCTGAGTAGTCGATCCTGCCGTCGGTCTTGGGAATTGGCTTCTCGGGGTTTTCATCCTCAAAGAACTGAGGTTCGACGTCCTTTCCTTTGCTGCCATCGTCATCGATGACTGGGTTATTGGCGTTGATGGGGGCCATGGTGCTGAAGCTGATCGAGACTTCACAGAAGTCTTCGAGCGGTGGGATGATGGTGAAAGATTGACAGAGGATGCTGATCACCGTGATGTGAGTTGGACCAAAGCACCATGAAGCACAATATCCATCTCGCATTCTCAGCCGCGGGGCATAGGAGCTGTTATGTAGTCGCCCGAGGTGGGGATGCCCAGACCACGAGCTCGTGGAACATTGAACAGAACAAACCCTGACCTCCCCTTACCTCTCCCTTCCACACCGTGCTTCCATGTCGTGCCCGCGATGACATGGATTAGGTCACATTTGGGACACCCACACCGGTTCACGCCAACAATACACTTTTTTTTCTTTGTTTTGCCAAGTCATGCCCGACATGTTCCGACAATCCATGAACCTGTTGAACCCTCAGGTCCGTGGTGATCGCATCCATGGGGGGCTACAAGGCGGGCGCGCCTGGGCGTATGTACGTCGGCTAGATGCTATAATCAGCATCGGCAGGAGGTCTCACTGGTCAGAGGTTGTGCAACAGAAGACGGCTACCAAGAGAATACCAAGCTTGGGCTGTCACATTGCGTTTCTGACCCGGAAACTTGGCAAAGGTTGGTGTCGATCGAGCAAGACGTCTTGCCCCTTCTCGTCGTACGAAGTAGCAGTATAGATTGCCGGACGAGGGTTAGATAATTCCCCGGAAACTTCACGACGGATGGGGGAAGATGGTCTTGGCTCTGCGACTCTCTGACTCGAGGTCATGTTCATCCAGTGATAAAGTCGAAGTTGACGAGATAGGCAGCATGGCCGCTATCACGATTTCTCCTCGGGCGACAGCATGTTCGTGGACGCCCGCATATCTTGTTGGCGCCCGTGTTGTGGGCTGTGTGTCTTCTCCATCCGGGGTAAAGGGGTTCTGCTCGGTGGGGAGATGCCATGGTCGCCAATGGGGCCCCGCGTTTTTGCTTTTGCCTTCGGTCAGCTTGCCCCCGTCGTGTGCGTGGTTCTCCATGGGGAGAATGGAGTAGGTGGGCGTACGGATGACCAAACGACAACACGATGTTCGGTGCGGTCTAGATTTCGTAAACACCACGAGTGGCCTGCCGAGAGCGAAGTGCATGCGGGTTCCAAGAACATGGCGTAGTGCCAAGTAGCGCCAACCAGTGCCAACCTTGTCCCAAGCTCAACCAACCGTGCCGACGTGCTGGATGAGATGGTGCACTTCTCGGTCTGACCTGGGTTCCCTTGATCAGGGAGCCGCCATGGGATGGCCTGCCGTGCAAGGTATCGCACACCTGTTCATGTCAGACTTGGTCAAGCCCTCATCTCGGCACTCGCGGTTGAGTTCACCGTTGGATCGGCAGTTGGGCGACAAGAAAGCTTCCTTTGGCCGTGGCGCGCTAGAAGTCTTTGCATGCGCTAGAACGTCGTGAGGCTCGTTGAACAAGCTCTCGGAAGGACTAGAAATGTCTTGTATACGACGAAATAGAGTTATCGCCAGACACACGGACGGACGTTGAGGATCCAGGAGCAAGAGACTCGTGTCTGTTAGGTAATAACGGAAGTCCCAAGAGCATGAGCTAGAGCTGAATATGGGGTATGGGGTAGCCGTGCCACACGTACGGGTGCTGGTGCTGGTATTGACGTGAAAAGTGGTGTCTGCAGCATCTCGGAAGATACCCGTAGGTCAAAAGATGCAGGCCACCCTAGACTCCAAACGGTCACAGACCAATCGTCTGTGTCGCGATGTTTCTGGTGGTATAAATGGCACTGGCTGACGATGATGTGGGATTGCAGCTGACCATCCAGGAAGGGCAGTTTGACCTGTTCATCCCTGCGAAATCACCACTCGCATCCTGAGCCGAAGAAGTCGAAGAGGAGTCCGACCGCACAGGCTCCAGTCTCATCTCCTCTGAGGTGGGCCAGCATAGCAATACCCAGCAATAGAGACGAACTGATTGGGGAAATGGTTCCATTTGCGTTCTCCGACGGCGCGTCCCCGGATGTGTCAAGACGAGAATGACAGTTGACCCAAGCGGCGCGGCGATGATTCCCCGGATCTCGAGCCCCATACTCCAACCCCAGATCATCTCGGGTCCTACAACTAGGACGCATTCGCCTCTGCCGCACATCTGCATGTTAGCTTGGTTCCCAGATATCGTGTGGTTCAATAGTTGCCGGTGACTATGAGGCATATTCCTTTCCATCTTTCTCTGTCCCCTCACAACTCCAGCCACCCCCGCGAGGGGCGCTGGACTCCTTCGTCTGTTGCCAAGACATCTTGTCTAAATTTGCTGAGGCCCGAGTGGAAGGCCAAGAAAGCCCAGCGTCAGAAAATGAAGCTGGGCATGCATGGCCAACGCTTGTTCTCGGCGACTTGGCGAGAGGGGAAGACGGACAAGTTTTATACCTGTCCAACAGTGAGAATTTGTGTGTTCCATCAATAAATAACATCAGCAATGAGCACTTCGTGACCCTTTGATGACTCCATTTTACCCCAACTTTCCCCAAAGCCCAGCTTCTTGGAACCCCCACAGCCGCCGGATGTGGTATGGTTAGCTTCAATTGGCGTTGGAGTTCCCTGCTCATCAGCAGTCGGTGACGCCGGACTGAATACCGTAAGTGGCTGGCGGAGTGAAGGCCGGTCATGAATTACAGGGCAGAGCTTGATATCCAACATCTGTCGTCTCGTCAGCGGATGGGGAAGTTCAATAATTACGAGATCCATGATTCAGATGACCTACCTTAGATTGAGCGTCCCCATGGGGTAATCGCGTGGCGTGAGGTGGAGGAAGGAGAACGTTGGGTTCACATTTCGACTTGTGCGGATACCAATGAGGGGAAAACATTGAACGCAACATTGCCCATCCGCAGCTGCAGTAAAGATTGGGGGTTCGCGACGTTCGGACTGCAGTATCATGCATTTCACGGCCCCCATGCTCCAATGATACGAGATGAGGGTGGTCTCGCAACACCTGGCAGACCGCCATCTTGGTAGCCTCAATGTTACGTCTTCAGGCCCTCGTGCCGCTCGCCTGCACATAAATATGTACAGTCCCTGCTGGACCCTATTTGCTGTGAGCTGAAAACATTGCCATGTTCGGCATCCCCTGGTCCCGTGACGCGTGCATTCTGACCACCCAACCACATCATGCTGATCGCAAAGTCTTCCTGCACCAGGACGATTGCGCCATACCACCAACTGGTTTGTAGTATGTGGCTTCTAGTTGCTCACTTTAACATCATGCATGTTTGTTCTTTAAAGGTCAAACCTATGCATCTCGTAACGTTGTGGCTGCGGGCGGGAAAACAAGTCGCGATAGAGAGGAAAGGGTTCGATCGCCATCGTCCGGCCAGTCCGAATCAGTGATGCATCCTTGGGGGAAGAGCAAATATCCATCCCACATTTCGTGATAAATGACCCCCCAACTATGCGCCTAGAGACGCATCATACACCCTCCACGAAAGGCGGGGGATCTCACGATACCTACTAGCAAGTATCTCATGCGAGCCACTGGATCTGCAAGCAGCAATTACATGAACTGCATTAGGATCTCAATTTTACCACGTCCCACGGAAGGGAAAGGGAACTCCTCGCTATCTCATATCCCACCATTGGAGTCTGGGGACCGGGGCGCGTTGCAGTCAATTTGACGTTGCAGTGATGGTCTTTGCCCAGAAATGAGGCACCCTGTAGAAACACATATGTTTCTTAATGAACTACCTGTTGTTATTCTCGGGTACCCAAACTCTTGGAACAGCTCGGAAACTGAGACGGATTCCACCTTTGGCATCCAGGACATAACAAGTGATGTTTGAGCTAAAATTACTCGATTTCCTTGTCTTTTATGTGTCTCAGACTCTAGATTCCTACCCTTTGTAAAGTCGATGAGATTAATATAACACTCATCTCACATGATACAAGAGTAAGAGTGGTTTTTTTGCAGGATCTGTTGCTAAATACTCGTCGTCGTGAATGCCGATGTTGTTGTTAGTAGTACAGCAGTTTGTACAGGTCCGTAGATGGATTTGGTGCTTTCTCGAACACAGGTTTGATTGTAGCCGCAGTGTTGATGGCGAGAATCAGCAAGTTCATTCCGAATAAACTTTAGCGTCATGATTATTGCATATATGGGACGTGTTGATGGTAACTAGGCAGTTGAAGCTCATCTATGATCTGACGAGATTCAAGACGCCAACCGTGAACCCTTCTAAATGTAAAAGGAGAAGATTTCTCCTATCTATATTGTCGCTATTCGTCCTCTCATTTGAAATTATGGCAAGATTCATTGGCGTTCCCAAAACATTATTGAGAAAGTCGCAGATCTCCGTTTTTCGACAATGCTGTTGGGCCTGCTGGCATTCTCATTTCATGTGGCCAACGTGAAGGTTGGGGCTCTCATAATCTGATAATCTTGAGAAATCGTGCGAAACTGTGCTTCCCCGTGTTGTTGTCTTACAGTTTTATACAGGTAGCAAATACAAACACTTATCCAGGGTTTTCAGTGCATGATGAAGCTGATACGTGTACTCGTTCAAGATGAAAAGTCAAAGCTGCACTAAGTTCGACAGTTCAGAGCCCCCCTTTCAGGTAGGTACATGTTAAAACTGTTCCCACCGTCTGGAAATGAATCGATATCCTGTCTCACAGTCTCGAAGTCAGTCCCAACGACCCCCAAGCGCCGATAACAACCCCGCAAGTCGCGCGGAAGATCGCGGCACCTGGGACTCCCTCCCTCCAACATACATAGCCATCAACCAGGCCGACATAAACCAGTAAAGCCATAATTGTATCTACGGCCACGAAGTCGCCTCTCAGGTAAAATATCAGCTGCGCTGCGCCCAAGACCGAAAGCCTGGCCCCGTCCAGGAGGAAACAGGCCTGGGCTATGGGCGATGGTGCGAATATCTCCGGCAATCCAAACCCACGAATACCACCCTCTGGATCGAGGAACGAAACCACACCGCCGAAGGTATGAGCAATGGAGACGAAGAGGGGGAAGAGATGAGCGAGACGGAATGGGCGTCGCATGTCGAATTCTTGGGGCTGGGGGCGAAGTTTGGTGAGGTTATCAAGGAAGACTTCCAAAACGGAATTCGAATATGCAGAAGCAATGGGAGCTTAGGATATTGTCTGAGTGTCTCAAAGACGTTTACGTTCAAGATAGAAGTTCCAGGTGCTCAATTGAAGTGGAGGTGACTTCAAACTTCAAAGGAATCAACATCACGTGCGTCAGCACTAAAGCTCATCCGTACAGACATGTCCTTGGTGCTGTGAACTCAGAGAGGTATGGTATATAATTATAATTCTCTGTATTTTTGAAGTTTTCTTGAAAGAGATCGTATGCCGTCGATAGGACATGATATTGAAGAAAATCACCGCGCATCCATAAGCGAAAATGTATCTAGTGATGTACATTATCCTATTAGATCCAATTATTCCGCAAATCTCTTATTGCATCGCCCTAGGGCGTTGCGAGGCAGCCTGCAAAATCATCATCTGACCACTATCCGCGCGCAGGAACCGTTGATGACGTGGCCCCAAGCGATCCTCCACTTCTTGCGTGGTGATTCCAGGAGGGGTGCGACCGGGAAACCGAATCAAGATCCTGACAGTTGGTACAAGCTCTGGCAACTCCGGCTTTGTGGTTTCCTCCCAAGACAAGTGTCCGTTTGATCTTCTATCATGTTGTGCATCCATTATCTCGTAGTTTCGCAGTGTTGATACGACCCTCTTGGCACGAGGAAGACCACGATGCTCCCACCACTGAGGCAAGCAGTCGAAGCAGAAAGCGCGATCCCACTTGTACGTGGTCTCAAGCCGACGGCGAGGTGTCCAACCGAAACCGCCCATAACAGATGAAAGATTGATCACTTCGTTGAGGCGACTGCGATCTTGCAGATCCACCATTTCCACGAAATGAGTATCAGCAGTCCTATACTCGGGTTCCCGTTCATAATCCCGCTCCCACGTCTCTTTGAGCCTTTTCACAGTCCGCTGATTGACGGTAATACACTTGACCGGAGTGGAGAACGGCTTCTTCTTATCAATTGGAGCCATCTTGTCCAAGCCCATCCTCTCCCCAATGCTTACTGTGACCGTCTGAATGACAATGTGTATCTGTTTCATTGTGTGAAATTGAAAGTCAGGAGCCGGGCCACAGAACTGTGGTCGGCTGATGCTGACAGCAGCTTCAATCTGTTCCAGAGATATCGTAATTCTCTTGAAAACTGGCAGCTGAGACCTGTAACTAGGAAACCAGCACCATGCTTGAAACTCGTTGTCACCGAGGCTCAAAGAATCAGACGGCGTTATCCATGCCACACGTTTGACCGACCACTCGCCGCGTCGGAAGCGATCCAATCCTCCGTCGTCAAGCATCTCGTGCATGAGCGGCCTGATGAGACTCCATGCTTCGTGGCAAGCCAGAGCAGGTGCGGGGATTGGAAGGCGGCGGTTCCAACAGATTCGCCCGGGAGTGTTGCCGGTGATGTGGATTATTCTCTCGGGAACAGAGAACAGCCAGATCTCTTTCCTGATTTCGGCCGGTAGTTGGCGGAACTTGGGAAATGATAGCGTCGGAGCATTGCTTGCCGTCTTGCGGTTGTCCTCAGCGTTCTTCAAGATATCCGTGATGAACTCGCGGTCGGCGGCATGGTTGCCGCCGATGACGGCATTGTTGATCAACTCTTTCAGAACCTCTTGGGGATCCCGGACTGTCTCCGGCACGCCGATCTTTCTGTCATACCAACCGCGTTGTAGATGTTTGCAGACATTGGGGCGCGGTGGTGATTTCGTGGGCATGCTGACTAGGATATTTCGGTCCCCGGCGAGGTTGTATTCAAGTTCCGACGTAAAGATGAAGACCTGCCTCAGAACCTTGATCGTGTCAAAGACGTTCGCATGGTTTCAAAGACAACTTCCGAGAACTTCACACTCAAACTGCTGCCTGGGAAGATCTTTCGTTGACTCTTACTAACATGCAGATGCGCCAATCAAAGATGAGTTCAACTCGCTCGATGCACCTATCTCGGTCTAGGCTCGGATGGCACAAATACGAGTCGCGTTGTTGATTGGTTTGCTGATACTGCGCAAACACAGCACCAACAAGCGTCAATCTTCGGAGACATACGGCCCGCGAAGTGATGGCCAACTTTCTCTGCATAACAGTATCCGTCGCAAGCCGACACGTACCTTCAAAACCGATGAAATCCGTCCTTCCTTTCACACGTATGGAATGAGGGAGTTCGAGGCCTGCAGAAGAATGACCCATCACTCCAATGATTGTAAACTGCACAGAACGATGGTTTTCCAAATGCGTTCTGTATCTTCGCTGAGTCGTGTTAGAACCGGCAAAGTCGAAGCCTATCAGGAAGTGAAGACACGAGTGATTTTGTTCCTTTTCAGGAATCCGGAGATCTCGACCTGCCCTTTTCCGACAAGAACTTTGGGCAAGCCCCCCGGACTTCGGGTTGAAAGGCGGAGCCGTGGGCCGGGCGTCAGCCGTCGGAAGACCCGTCCACACCCCGGCCGAAGACCCATCGCGAGGTCAAAGCCCTCGGCGCTTTGACATATGGCTTTGACATTCTTGCCGTCTCTTGATTTGTTTCTCAGTAGACGCGGCTCGTCTATTGAGTAGACGAGCCGCGTTCCACCCGTTTTCCACGTTTTTGACAGGACAGGCCGACTTCGACGTCGATCTCTGCATCCACACGGCCGGACCGCTTCCCTTTACGACAACACGGCCCGTGATGTCATTCGATTAGAATTCAACCCTCGAGGTTGAGCCTGCTACGCAGACGAGACCTCTTGACGAGCACCAAAATGCTGTGTAACGTGTTCGACAGTCCGCCCCGCAACCCGCAGCTCGGTACCGCGTTCACGAACGGACTGCCGCGCGGGTTTGCCAAACACCGCGAGAGTACGACGCTGACGAGGAGGCTCGAGAACCAGTGACTGACTGATGGCTGAGTAAGGTCACTCGTCAAAATCATCGGTATGTGGGTACAGCATTCGGCATCAGGAGTTGCCAAGGAGTTGGAATAAAGAGCACCATTGCGATATGGGGATAAGGCGCATGCCGGTGGGAAGAGCTTGCACTTTAAATTCGGCTCGTCCGACTCATCAGCCTCAACGACTGAATCGTTGGGATCGATAGAACTCGCAGCGGTTACCACAACCGGAAGTCGGAGGATTAAATATCGCAAGAAACGGAACTTAACGCACCAAGCTTATCTCCGGCCAGCCGGTTGGTTGCGCGGAGTTGACTACTCAATGGGACACGACTTACCCACAGAAATTCTGCGAGCCGAACGGCGTCGTAACACTGTCGGTCTGGGTGCAAGATCCGATGCGAAGTGATGCGAGGTTCCTGAACTACTGCAAGGGCTGCTCCAGTTGCACACAGCCGCTACTGCATGAAGGATCCCAAGAAGCAAAGTCTCGGCCGTCTCAAGATGCCGAGAGTTCAAGTCTGCAGCCGCAAAAGTGCGACTTGAGATGACACTCAAATCACCTCAAGGCGTATCAGTGACACCAAGAAACCACGTGCTTGCGCCTTATTGCTGACGATACAATATAATGGAAGCTATTTTAATATGCAAAGGTTATGGGATGGTTGCAATATTGAGCGATTGGCGAGTCAGGCCACGAAATCGGCTACTCTTCCGGATTAGCACCGATACCCTGCTTTCCTCCACAGGACTAGGCGATAGGCTAGGACCAGGGGTTCGTTTCGAGAAGATGGAGAACTGGTCCCCAGAAGGGTTCCCGCGTCCAGAGCGAGTCATCTTCCCATGCAGTAGGATGCCATCTTGGAGCATCTTGGTATCCGCATCGGATGACAAGCAGGAAACCCGTCCGCCAACATCAAGGTCCAAGGTCGCCGGCATCCCCACCAGGGGCTGTGATACCCCCATGTGGGACGTTTCGAGATGGGCGCGGCCGGTACATCAAAAACGTGGTGTGCCCCGTCTGAGCAACCTTGGAAGGGAAGCCCTGCCCCTCTGTTCTGGTTCTTGTTGTTCGTGATGCCATTCTGGATTTCATGACGGCGCCGCGCGAGAGGCCGTCGTGATGGTGTTCCAACTCCCGTCGGCTGTCGACGCAGACGCCGCCGGGGTCATCTTCTATTCTTTCGTCTGTCTGATAGCCAACATCCTGTTGGTGTGGCTTACCTGGACTCACAATGACAGGACGAGCTGTAGGTTCACATCCTCTTCTGGAACTAAAGGCTTGAGTAAAAGACCATTTGGACTAACCGTTGTGCTTCACAGATATCGCTTGCATTGCTTATGCTACGCTCATCGTCACCATGACGAGCATTGCTCAACAATTTTACGACTACGCATACTGGAGGGACATCTTGACCGATCAGTTTTACTACGCCAGGGACAATGCCGACAACGCGGAAGTCCAATATCACAAGGGTTCTCGGGGTGTCAAACTCATCCTCAGCTACATCCGTAAGAATGGCTTTGGTGCAAAAGGAAAAGATCAGTCTCTGATGGATGGCTTGCAGGAATCTTCGGCTTCACTATTGAATCTACTTTTGTTTTCTTCTTGTAGGTGGATTCGATGTCATCGAGATGCTCGGATGCTGATCTCAAACAGCGCTTTGTCATTAGCAGCCAGTGTATATGGCTGGTTCGCGACGACACCAAGGACCACTCGTACCATCTCCATCATCGGCAGGGTCCTGCCCTTTATTCTTACCGCCCTAACCGTCGGCTTGATGCACTCGCCGGTGGCACAAGGCTCATTTCTTGTATACATGGTCATTGCTAATTCTCAATGTAAGCAGCCCGCTTTGTTTTTCATATACAGTTGTGAAAGGCGAGATGGCTAACCAGGATCACAGTCGTGCTCAGCCTGTTGGGCAGTGCTATCCTACTACTTATGATCTTGTTCAAATACGTCCATTCGCGCCGAAACCTTCAAACCTGGAACGTACTTTATGGCAACGCAGCATCCCTCACAAGCAGCAATGCCCACAGCAGCAAGTCTCGATCTGTCTGGCTCGGAAGCAGTGGCGGTGGTCGAAGTCGGGCATACAGCGGCGCTGGCGCCAACAACACCTACGACAGCTGGCTTGTGATCCGACTTTCCATCGCGTTCGCGGTTCTTTGGTAGGTCCCTCCCAGACGAGATCTTAATACGAGGAAGCAGAGTCCTAACACAAACACAGCGTATTCGAGTACACAAACGTCATCCCACGCATCGCGGCAGCAAGCCATACCGTTGACAGCGCAGACGACCTGGCGCCCGACCTAAGTGTCAAACGAGCATTATCCAGCGTTCGAGGTTATGTTTCCGGTGTCACCCCGAGTCTGGTCGCGTTCCTGGTGTTCGGAACGACGAAGACATTCCAACGAAAGATCTACGAGACATTCATTCCGAAGCGGTTCCAGAGGAAAAGAAAGCCAAGGAAGAACTTGTCGATTTCCCTCGGCAACTCCAGGCCTTCTCCGCACATGCCGGCGTCTCAGCGACCGGTCCAGCAAGTTGACGAGTTCTCACTCAACGACATGAATCCGAAGTTTACCACGACGGTCAACTACAGCCCTCAGTACCCGAACGATGGCAACGTCAGCCCCAGGGTTCCGCATGGCGCACATTCGAACTCGAGAGTAAACACACCGAGGTACACGCCTAGTTATACTCCTAGCTACGCTCCAAGTCACGCACCGAGTCACGCCCCTAGCAATGCGCCCAGCCATGCGCCCAGTCAGGCCACTACAATGTCCTACCACCAGCAACCGAGCCCCAGTCTACACCCAACTCCCCTGCGCCCACCTCGACCGATGACGGGATTAAGCACGATCAGCCCGAGCCTACACTCCAAATTTTCGAGCAACGGTCGGCCAGAAACGAGGGATAAGGCTCTCCCGAAGCCTCCGCCTAACGAGCGTGAATACCACGGGAGGTATAGGCATCAAGGGTACTAGACGTGCCTGCGAGTGGGTTTTATGGGTTTCGCGGGTGCGGCCCGTGTACTTTGCATGACATGAGCATATTTCCTTGTAATAGAGTATAGATAATAAAACACTTCAAAAGATTTAAGAATGGCGGTTCAGAGTGATGTGTCGATGATACCGTAGGCCTACGGTCTGCCTTAGACATATGTTGACTGGCTTGCCTGCGATCAATCTGCGTTCCCACGGGCATGAATGTGTTCCGCAATCTTCGACTTGTTTGTTCCAAACGCCGTCTCTACTCCAATTTGGGGCCTGCACTTAGGTATGTATGCCCAATCTGAGCGCAGCTGCTCTTTTTAAAGGATGAGCTTACTTTCAATGCCCGGGATTCCTTACCGGCAACTCCGGGCCAAATGTGGGACCACCACGGAGCTCGCTCGGCAAAGTCCACGGCACGCGCGGCATTTGTTGGAGTGTGTGACCGCCGGACCCCCGATCTTCATAATTCTCGTTCGCCCATTCCCCATAAACACGTCATTTCCCGCAAACCTTATTCGCGATCCTTGCTGGAGGTCGGTCGATGATTGCCTGGTTGGGTTAAAATAGGCGGAAGTAGGCTGAATCATGCGTACGGCCTCACGGCTGTACGTATAAAAGCATTCACATTTCGACACTGATCAGGACAGCTCAATATCTCAGCAAAACGACATCAAGAAATTCATCTTTCTCTTCAACTCGAATATTTTCGTCACAATGGTAGTCGTTGCTGTAGCTGGAGGCACGGGAAGCGTGGGCAAGACCATTGTCGAGCAGCTTCAGCTCAGCCAGAAACATGAAGTCATCGTCCTCGGTCGCAAGGTACTCATACCTCCTACCTTATAGGGAGCTCTCGACTGATTTCACTCACAGATACCAAGCAAATCGTCTGCAGATGCCCCTCACTTTGTTGAGGCTAACTATGAAGACGTTGACTCCTTGATCAAGCTTTTGGAATCTCACAATGTCGATACGATCATCAACGCCATCATCCTCCACGAGGGCACCCTTCAGGCCCAACTAAATCTAATTGAGGCTGCGGACAAATCAAAGAATACGCGAAGATTCATTCCGAGCGAGTTCGGAGTCATCACGACCCCAGAGTACGCCCTACTTCTTCCGCCCTAGCCCTTCGGCCCCTTCGAAGAACACGGAGCTGACCCGGAAATAACAGTCTAGCAGAGACCGAGCCTGATTTCGCCGCGTTGCGGATCAAGAGTGCCGATGCGCTGAAGGCTTCTGGGCTGCAGTACACGCGCTTCGTGAACGGTTTCATGATGGATTATTGGGGCATGCCGAACATCAAGACCAACATGGCCCCATACGCCTGGGCTGTGGATGCAGCAAATCGCCGAGCTGCGATTCCCGGTTCGGGCGACTACACCGTCAGCTTAACATACTCTGTCGATCTGGCCAGATTTATCGTCCGGTCTCTGGACTCTCAGGACTGGCCCGAATGGAGCGTCCTCGCGGGGTCGGATCTCACCATCAACCAACTCTTAGCGGCGACCCAGAAAGTCCGCGGTAAGTTCTTATTCTTCCCTGGTTGTATGGATGGTTGCTTACGTGAATAGGAGGGGATTTCCACGTTGTCTACGATGCCGAAGAGAAGCTACGGAACAACGAGGCGACATTACTCGTCGGTGACGGAAATGTGGCGAGGGAGTGGGTAGACATGACTGCCCAGTTCGGCAGGTTTGCTGTGGACGGTCGGTTTCATATGCCCCTTCAGAATCGCCTCAATGACAAGTACCCCGATATCCATCCTATGACTATCGAGAGGCTTCTGCGGGAGGCTTGGACGGACAAGCCATAGGATTCTCCCAGTTGTATTATTGAATAAAAGTTGCTCATAACTTCGGACCTATGATTCTTCGCCTCTTACCTCAAGCTTTGATGCCTTACCTGTAGTCTAGGTAGACCCGGAAATGCAAGAAACTAACCATCACATTGTCATTAACTTGGAGTTTACAGTAAGCTGAGTACCAGTTTAATGTGCGAATATCAAATGTATTCAGGTCACAAGCGCAACACCAGCTACCCAGAAGGACCACACTCATGCGTATGCTAGATGTCCTCACTTCTTCTGCGTATGCTAGAGTCAATAGCAAGTTTGAACCACCTCATGTATTCAAACAGCTGGCTGATTCCACGTGTGATGCAACATCACAGCCTTCCCACCCGGGTTTTGAGCCCTTGAAGAAGCGTAAACTCCGCGCTCTGGTGCGCCACTGGAATTCCATGGTATATTTTCAGTTGCTTAAACCAAAGCAAATTCAGTCTTCTTCCCGTTCTTCCGCACGCACATGCGTATGTTTCCCTTTGAAATTTCGCGCGTCCTGACTTCGGGCCTTCTTAATTTACCCAGACGGGCACACCGACTTTGATAAGGTTGAAAACAATCTCCCAGTGATTCCTACACGCCATCCTGTCTTCGGAATCATTTTCTTCTTCCACGTCGTCCAAAAGTCCGTTGGCCTTATCATCTTCCATATCTTTAAGCCGCATCTTGCCATTCATCATGAACGGGCATTCACCGTGGTCGCATGTCCACATGGTGTTGAGTAACAACTTATTGAAGTGAGGGAATAGCCCCTTCTTGAAGTCGCCGGCGAAAAGCTCGAAATCCTCCTTCAGGTGGTCAAAGTCGCCGTCCAGGGAGAACTCCTGCAGCGAGTAGGGAATGGTCCGCAAGATTGTGAGAGGCTCGCAAATCAGGCCGTTCAAGAACAAACTCTCCAGGTTCTTCAGAGAAGCCAGCGAAATGTCTCTGTTGTCTGCGTGCATATCCGCGTCAAAATATGTCGTGATGTAGAGTGACTTCATGGTGTCCGCGTGCTTTTCCAGGGCCAAGATCACCGGAAGTGGGCTCCCCGTTTCGAAGGTGACCTCCAAGTTCTCCAGCCTCTCGCATGAGTTGATGGCACGAACAAGCCACGTTGTCCCTTCCAGAAAGTCGTTGCCAATGACGAGGGTGGTCACGTGGCTCCAATCAATATCTCCTTCGTTCATCTTTGTGAGCAGGTTCGCTTGGAAAACTTCGAGACCCGGTGACAGGTTTAGAAGACGACAAATGTCGGACATTGGCGGCGGGTGGTCACTGGGTTCCACGAATGAGCCGAACTGTTGGAAGTGTTCCAGTCGATGTGATGATCGCACCGGGATGCTGCGATAGAAGCTTGCGTGGTACCCAATGGTATCCACGTACTTGACGCCGCTGGCTTTCAAGAGGATAAGCCCGGCCAGAGTGCCAGCACTCTTTTGCTCAGCAGCGTCCCAATCGCTTGGCAAGCTCAACCCAAGGCCTCTCGCCAGGTCCTCGACGAAGTCGGTATCTTCGCGAGAATAGACAAAAGCCTGATCGTAGGCACGCCAGTCGATTCGAACTTTTTCGACACGGGATCCTAAATATGGATTCTCGTCGAGGTTTCTAAGGAGGGTGATGAGGGACGGGCCACTTTGCCGCCCGAGGTCGATTGACTTGTACAGAAACGGTATGACGTCTGTGTGAAGTTGGCGACAGGTTCGGGAGATGGAGCTCAACGTTTTCGATAGTCCGTATGGCTCGTCTGGCGGGCCCATCATTCCATAGCCTTCAACTTCCGGATCCGCAAAAAGCCAATCGACTATCTCATGTAGAAGCTCACGAGGCAGCTTCAGGAGCGTCGCCATTGTTGCGCCGGGTGAAGCTGATATGGAGCGACCCGCACGCCTTTAGAGAATAGAATCAAAAAGCGAAAGGCCTCGCCAAACTGTATTTGTCGTGATCTAAGTTGCTCACACGGCTTGGTTTTGAAGTTGGGAGCGGATGATCCTTGGATATCGTCGTTGGGAATTTTTCGATGGTTCCACGTGACTAAGAGAAGATATTCTGTGGTGGCACCGATAGATACATATTGCGATACAGAATACATGCAGTATGATTCTAAGCGAGGCGGCCTACCAAAACGAATTCACAATTATGCACTTTTGTCATTTAGAACTGTAAATACAAAATCAACATAACGCGCAATACAATGCAGCAACCCTGTTTTTTTGTCTTCTTTTTCTGTTCGAAGTCTGCCATCTTACATTGCGACTGGGCTCTTTAGTAAGAACGATGCGGTTTTGCTGCGTGGGAGATCTATTACCAATTATGGGTAGTTCATGGATCCTAGCTAACATAACATGGACCGGGAATTCCTACAGCATTGTTCAGTTGCTCAATGGGCTGGGCGTGTTGATCCCGGACTGGCAATTTGACCACCCAATCATCATTTATTTGAAGTAGACGCAAGAGACGCCATTCTGGGTTCCTCAAGTGGGACTTGACGCATCAAAAACTGTAACCTTTGCATCATGCAGCGGTTTGATTGTGAACATGACTACTACGGTACCACCCCAAGCATGATGTCTGACTCTACAGAGGCAGTCGTTCAGCAAAAGGATCCATTGAAGTCTGACCCGAGAGCCGCATACCCGCGTAAGCAACTACTACCCATCACGCACACAAATGTACCTTGCGGCCACCGTCTATGGTGGAAATGCGATGATCGTGTGGACCTTGCTTGAAGGTGACACAAAGCTATCTGGCTCAGCGGATATCGGTAAATTTTGATTCGTGGGGCTCAACTTGAATAGCCTTCCTCACCTGTTCGGGTGTTCTCCTACATGCGGTAAAATCGGCACATTTGATTTCGGGCCCTCGGCCATCTACCACTAAACAGTAAGCTGACTGCAGCTTGCACCTCAACAATGTCAAGACTGGTTACACAAGGTAGCATTCATCATTTGTGAATTTTGATCCGTTACGACGTCCTGGCAAGATGATCTATGGTCGTCATGTTGACTTGGCAATTCCGCAAAGGGCGTTTGCAAGTATATTTACGCGAAGGGCCCAAGAATTGAACATTATAAAGCACGACGGCTTGCTGCTCTGTGCGCACGCATCAAGCTCACCGTTTGAGATCCCTTTTCAAGATTTAGCAATTGTCACAACTCGTCCCCTGTGGCAATGGGAGACTCATCACTTGTTCTTGGCTTTGCTGCCACTGTTCTGGCCATACTTGTGGTCCATCAGCTACTCCAGGTAAAGAAAAACATCAACCGTCAACCCCTCCCACCCGGGCCAAAAGGACTTCCTATTGTTGGTAACATCCGAGATCTTCCTCAGCCAACACAGTTCGGGGCACGCCATTGGCAAAAACACAAAGATTTATATGGTACGAGATTTGCTTTATATCATTTGAAGATTGCCTTCGATGGATCTGACATTATACAGGTCCCATCAGTTCCGTGACGGTGTTCGGAAAGACATTGGTCATCATCAACGATCCCGAAATCGCTTTCGAACTTCTTGACAAACGATCGTCCGAATTTTCCTCGAGACCATCCACCGTCTTCTCAGGTCAACTGTGAGTGCATACTCCTTTAAGCTGTCGTCCTCTGTAGAAGCGCCGGTTGATCGATGCTGACTACTTGCCCAGTGTGGGTTGGGAACACGCAACCGGAGGTTTAAAGTACGATGACACACTACGGCTTCACCGCAAGGTCTTTTCCCGCGAACTCGGTACCAAAACTGCCGCGGCCTATTACAACACCTTGCAAGAGGCAGAGGTCGGCCACTTCCTCTTGCACCTCCTCGACAGCCCAGAAAAGCTCACCGAGCATATCGCTAAGTAAGTCAAACTCATAAAATCGAAGGTGGAATTACTAACACCCCCGGTTACAGAGAAGCCGGTTCGGTCATCCTCAGCATCGCTTATGGCTACAACACGGATCAGTTCAAAACAGACCGATTGCTTCAGATGATGAATGATGCAATGGAGCACTTTGCGTATTCAGCTGCACCGGGAGCCTTTCTTGTCGATATCTTTCCCCTACGTAAGTCAAAAACCTCGGCTTCCTCTATGTGACCCGGCATGCCCGGGCATGATCGGTTAAACTAAAGTCGAGGCCAGTTCGCTATGTTCCCGAATGGTTCCCAGGCGCCGGTTGGAAGAAGCTTGCCAATAAATGGGCCGCCGAGTTAAGACAGACCGTCGAGGTTCCTTACCAATTCGTCAAAGATCAGATGGACGCGGGCAAGAGCAATCCCTCATACCTTTCACGCGCCATCGAGAGCAACCCAGAGGACTTGTACAATAACAAGTGGACCGCAGCATCACTTTTCAGTGGCGGTGCGGATACGGTCAGGCTGAAAACTCTACAACCTCTGAAGCAGAGCGAGAAGCGATAGTGCTAACGTATCTCAGAGTGTGGCAGCAATCGCTGCGTTCTTCCTTGCCATGACGAAGTTCCCGGACGTACAGAAGAAGGCACAGGAAGAAATCGATCGAGTGATTGGCAGTCAGCGCTTGCCAAATGTTCATGACCGGGAAAATCTCCCGTATATCGAGGCTGTTGTGATGGAGGTCCTGCGATGGCATCCCATTGGACCCATGGGTCTCCCGCATGCAAGCTCAGAGGATGCTGTCTATGGTGGCTACCGAATTCCGAAGGACTCATACTTGATGCCCAACATCTGGTAAGTACTGGTGACGACTCATGCTTTTGCAGCTTGGTCGTTGAGCCTTTGCCCAAGCCTGAAGTTGAACGTGCATCCGGCTTCCATCTTGCCTTCTAGATAAGCTGCTGACACCTCCAGGTGGTTTACCCACGACCCTGACGTTTATTCTGATCCCTTCGAATTCCGACCGGAAAGATTCCTGCAGAGCGAGCCAGAGACTGACCCACGCAAATTCGCATTTGGCTTCGGCCGGCGCGTTTGCTCTGGGAAGATGCTCGCGGAGACGTCTATGTATCTTAACTTTGCGCAATCTCTGGCCGTCTTCAATATCAACAAGCCTATTGACGATGACAACGTGGTAGAGCCGGGAATGATGTTCCTCCCAGGTATCATCAGCCACCCGGCACCCTTCAAAGTTTCAATCACGCCGAGGTCGCCGCATCACGAGAGGTTGATCAGATCGATCGAAGAGAAGTTTCCGTGGAAGGAATCAGACGCCAAAGACTTGCAATTTTAAATTGGAAATCGTATTGGGAATTTAGGCTGGCTTCTTCGTTGCGAAACCGACTACTTAATGGGAACCTGATGAGACAATGGGGATTTGATTAGGCTATCTGGGGCGTCACCGACAGGTCCACAGCGGCTGATGGTCGACGCATGACATGCGAGCTTCGTCGCATTCTTCTCATTGAATGATATCGGAGTATCCAGTTTCGCAGCTTCTTCTTTGCGACTTACAATCCAATCAAGTCATGCTAATCTTGCCCAAATCGAAAGTTGCAGCTTTCGCCGACAGGTCCATGTTGAAACAGTGGGATACCGGTAACACATCATGTCCAGCCGCATCCAGCTTTACACTGAGCCAAGCAAGCCCAACTCGGATCGCGGCTGCGCAATAACAGCAATTAAGCCTGGAGATCCTTGCGCTTATCAACTGCCTCCTGTTTGAAGTGATGTTCGCGGTCGCACTTCGCGGGTGGTTGTGGGGAAAACCTGAGACGTCAACATGGCCATCTCCGGGGCTGAACAGGGCGCAACCAGGGTGTTCGTCTCAACTGCCTCCTGATTCGTCTCATCGCGACCCAAAGTTGCAGTTGACCCCTAATAAGCTTCATCTGGAGGGGAAATCTTAAAAGAAACCTTCGTCCGCGGCTCTTCGAACTTTCGATCGTTCTCATCAACAACCTGCGAGCGGGATATTTCACTTCAACTGTTTATTTTCGACGACTATCCTGGCTGGCCAGACTTCCGCGACTTCCGCAACACAATCGTTCACCAACCAAACCACACGAATCCAAGCCACATCCTCACGACCACCGTCAATATGAAGTTCCAGGCCATCATTGTCGCTCTCGTCAGCGCCATCTCTGTTTCAATGGCTGCCCCGTTGCCGCAGTCCAAGTCGGTCCCCGCGAAGGAAAACAGCGGGGGTCGCGTCGTCCTGGATGGCGCTCAGTGCAGCCCAGTCCAGGGCCGTCTCGTCTGCGATGACGGATTTGGAAACACCTTGTAAGTTGCGATAAGGAGAACTCTCGTGTTTGTGGGTATTTGCTGATTGACTTGGAAGCTTCGCCGACGACCCGTTCTCATCTTAAGTTCTTGACAAGATGAACGAGACGTACTGCAGGAGGGGAGGCTGTCTGGCTGTAATGAGGAAGTAGCGCCAATTCATAGAACAAGTCGTGCCGCTCAAAGAGGCCGTTGAATAAAATCACTTTGGTTTCTTCGACACACGGACATGATTAAGCTGTCTTAGTGATGTTATGAATCTTGAGTTGTATGACTAACTGCAAAATCATGTCACTGCGGTCTGCACCCATCCCACTTCAAACGCAAACATTATGCTCACTGCCTTCTGCCCACTCGTTTTTGAGCCAACTGACACGATGATGAGAACGCCTTTGATCGAGCAGCTGTCATCTTGGGCCAACAGGGTGGACCGAGCTACAGTGGGGCGTCTTGCTAAGCAATATAGATGTTAATAGCCCGCTCGGCACGATAACAAGCCTCCCTGGCGCAATGGTTAGCGCGCTGGGCTTTTACGAGGGCGTCCGCGTCCGACGAAACCTAGAGGCTGTGGGTTCGAGTCCCACGGGTGGCGATCTTTTTGTCTGTTCCCCAGATTTCGAGCGGACCAGTCTCTTTTTTGTTCCTCGAGCTGCTGATCATCTTTCCCCGCCTCTCGCGGAGGCATAATCGCTCACCCCTCAACATGGCACATCCCTAGACACAGCCTGCTTAGCTATCACATTTAGACAACTCTGAGATCAGGCGCACTCAACGTAAAAAATTATGAGAGCGGCTGCAATTGTTCAGAAAGGAACGTCTTTCGAGACACAAGACGTCGAATTGCCAGGCCTGAAGGAGCATCAGGCATACGTCCGAGTTGAATATGCTGCCTTCAATCCCACAGATCGTGCGGCACTCTTTACTTTACATCGTCTTCAGGCAGTCTTGGGGATGCTGATGAGTTTACAGGATTGGCCTTGGACGTAAATGCCTTTGGGGACGGCGCTGTTCTTGGCTGTGATTTCGCCGGCGAAGTATTTGAGACTCATCCGAGTGCGACCAAGTTTCGGAAAGGGAGCCGTATTGCAGGTTTCGTTTGGGGCGGTAAGTTCGAGGACTCTCATGTGACTAGAAGTGTTCTGACTTTCCATAGGAGAGATTCCGGGACTAGGAGCTTATTCGTGAGTCACATATCACGATGCATGAAGTATCGCGATGGAAATTTAATGAACACGGCGACAGGACATACACGATCGCCGACGAGCGCTTGTCTTTCGAGATTCCCGACAATATCGGTAGTGCCGAAGCAAGCTCTATTCCACTCGCCGCAACCACGGCCTGGCTCGCCTTGTTCTCGCCTGATTGTCTGGGTCTTGCCAAGCACCAAGATGCAAAGAAAACCCCTCTACTCATTTGGGGCGGAAGTTGTGCGTCCCCTTGAAAATCCATCGTCTGTCGCTTTCGATGTCGCTGACGATATTCGAAGCTGTCGTCGGGCACTTCGCGATCCAGTTGGCAAAGATGTATGGTTATGAAGTCGTCACCACGTGTAGTCCCCGGAACTTCAATCAGGCTAAGTTATCCGGGGCCTCTCATGTCTTTGACTACAACGATGAACACGTTACAGAAAAGATACGGGCGTCTGTTCCGGAGTTGAAGTATGCCTTCGACACTATTGGCAATAGGACATCATCTGCTACTGCTGCGACGGCCCTTCAGGGACAGGCTGGACATCTCTGCACCGTACGCCCAGGAAAGGCGAATACTGAGAATGTGCCATCGACTGTGCACGTCTCGGATGTGTTCGTTTTCACGGCGTTTCCGACCGCTCATACATATCGTGGGAAGGCCCACTGGCCGGTGAGTCCTCTCGGTTTTAGGCAGATGCACCGATTCGAATGAGGTGCAGAACTGCAAGAAAACGTCCTCTCACTGACGATAAACGTACAGATCAACATGCCAAATCATGAGATGAGCGTCGAGTTCCACAATCAGATACCAGGCCTTTTGAGTGAAGGGAACCTTAAGCCTCCGGCCATTGATGTCTTGGGCAATCTCAGTCCAGAAGTGATAGAAGAAGCCATGAACATCAATAGAGATGGCAAGATCTCAGGTCAGAAGGTAGTTTTCACCGGCTTCGAATAAATGTTCGTGATAGACAAGGGTCATGGGCTAGCGCCCTTCAACGATCGTGAGCACATAAGAAGTAGCAAAGAGATTGTCTAACTTGAGCTCATTGGTAGCTGCTTGTATCGTAACGTGACATAATTAGAGTATCATGGCGCCCGTTAATGAAACCGCTTTAGATCTACCACGGAGGAGAGAAGAAGTCTTCATGTGAGCAAAACACATTGGTGACGATGCGTCTTGCATCTTCGGAAGATCTTTTGTATGTTCTACCGGAGCACAATGAAATGCCGCTGGCCGAATTCAATCAGAAAATAAACCCGCCCCTGATCGCTAACGTTGATCTTATCTTGTTTCGTGTCCGATTGCTCCGATTCGGCATTTCGGCTGAACTAGACTCGCCCATGGCACTTTCCGTCTGACGGGCTTCTCATCCTGCCGCCTAAAGGATCCGTCAGCACCAATGACAAGCGACTAAGAAGTTTCCGAGGGCAGAGTAAATGTCTCCGAGCCCAATTCGGACATAGGTCTCACTCTTAAGCCTTTGTCGTCTCACCAAGGGGTGTTAGCTGCTCGACAGCTACGTAGAGCTCGCTGATAAAAGAATGCGAAGCTCCCTCCGCGGGGTGCTCCTGATGGCTGAATCAGATCTCATTTGATGAATCGTAGCTCAAGACCTTTTACATGAACATTGATTTTTGAACCACAATATGGCCACAAACGAATCGCAAACACCAGTCGGCAAGCATGTTGGCATTATTGGCACCGGTGCAATCGGACTGGCTGCACTTAAGAACCTCAAGGAGCAGGGCCTACAGGTGACTGCGATTGAGCAGAACGATTTCATCGGAGGAACCTGGCATGTGACACCAAGGAAAGGGCAGACTACCGCCTTGCCCTGGACTACGTTCAACACGTCAAAGCAGTGTGTAAGTTGATACGGATGCCCATCTGAGTCGAAGGAATAACTTCTCACGATCGCCCTACGCAGTGTCATTTCACGGATTTTCCGTTTCCCAAAGGTAGAACAAAACCGGTCATGACAGAGATCACCTTGTTTTATCTGTACTGATACTGGTCTAGATGCACCGACCCATCCTCCCGCGAAAGACGTCGAAAACTACCTCGAAGCGTACGCCAAGGAGTTTGACCTCTTACGACACGTGGAATTTTCAAAGAAGGTAACCAAAGTCGAGCGCGATGAAGAATCCAATAAGTGGAAAGTGTACACCAGAAACACCAAACCCGAATCCGGCGACGCAAACACGAAGGACGAAGAGCAAACTTTTGACCGGCTAGTCTTTGCGACTGGCATTCTTAACGCCCCGGTCGATGTCAAGATCAAGGGTATCGAAAAGTTCGAGGGCGAGACGATGCACTCCAGGGATTTCAAAGAGCCACATCTCTATGAGGATAAGAACGTGCTTGTCGTCGGCATCGGTGCTACTGGGGCCGACACGCAGTCTTTCTTAAAGAAGGCCAAGGCTCGTTCTGTTTACCTGAGCCACCGCGGCCAGTACTACCTGGTAAGATCTGGAAACTGCGCGAATCGAACAGGCAGCTTACTTTACCTCGCATAGTTACCCCGAATGGCAGAAGGGAAAGCGTTCGATCACTCGATGTCACTTCGCGCCTTGACAATCATTCGAGCCCTTGGAAACTGGTGGCCCCGAGGTTGTGCGATGCTCATGCAGAAGGCTTTGATAAGTGCTCGGCAGAAGGCTTGGCCCTGGCTCAGCGAGCACCCATCATTCAAGTCTCCTCGTCAACTTGATGGCATTGAGCACCGTATCCCTCTCTTCTCTGACGATCTTGCGGACAACCTCAGGGACGGTACAACCAAGGCCGTTACCGGCGTCCGAGAGATCTCTGGGCCGAAGTCCGTGACCTTGACTGACGGCACCGTACTCGATGACATTGACGCCATCATCATCTGCTCAGGATACCACTACGACTTCTCCCTTATCAAAGGAGCCGGTAACCCTGTTGATCCGAAAAAGGCGCCAGACAACTACAAGCGCATCAACGCAGCCAAGTACAAAGACCCACACGACGGCTTTCCTCGTCTGTACCGCGGCTTTGTCTCCGAACAGTACCCCGAATCGCTGGCCTTCTTGGGCCACTTCCTCATCATGGGACCGCCCTTCGTGGTGTACGATCTCGCGACGATGGCTTTGGGTAGCTTGTGGAGTGGCGCGGCACCAACCCCTACTGGCCAGGAGATAGCGCGAGACATTAACAACCATTACAACACGGTGGTGGATACCCTCGGGCGCGGGCCGATGCCGCACATGGGAGCCCGGATGTTCGGCAGCGAGACGTACGAATGGCTGAACAAAACCGCTGGGACCGGGGTGCTTGAAAGATTAGTGTGCTTCAATCTCGAGGCATGGAAGCTGTGGTGGAGTGGTCGCAAGTTTTACAACTTGCTTGTGGACGGAGTTAATTCGCCTCCGGTGTATCGGCTCTTCGATACGGGGCGGGGCCGGAAGGCTTGGTCCGGAGCTCGGAAGGCCATTGAGGCCAATAACGAAGACGTGAAGCAATTGTGCGAGAGGTGGAAGAAGGAGAACGATGCTAAGACGAAGTAAGCTGGTGAACTAATGTAATTCGCGACCAAGAGTTTTATGCTCGCATCGGTAGTATTATGTACGATGTATGAGAACGCGGTTCTTTTCTGTTATCCGAGAAAGGAGATTGTGTTTATCCGGAGGCTCAACTTCTTTCAAGGTCATCATCTCGCACGTGAGTGGTCCTTCTCCGCATCATCTGATGGTCATCCGTTGAAGGGTGTTGGAGTAAGATCTCCCCCACCTACTCGCCGTCACGACATCACGGAGCTTGATAACGCCATCGCCGGCAAACATTGCGATCCCCGCAGTCGCTCCCTCGCACTTTCACAAGGCAGAAATAAAAAGCAGCGCCGAGAATCAAATATCAGCGGCTAACTGAGAAGGAGATAGCACAGCCAATTCAAATCGCCTCGTTTCATTATCCCGGCCGACATGGCGACCGTCACTATTACCCGCCCCGTCCAGCCGGACATTCAGTATGCCCCGGACCGCCAGAAGTGGCAGGCCCGTGTAGCGCGCCGGCTTGGAGAGTCCGATCTCCCGAAAGCCGTGCCGGCTGGGTTGCCGACAGAGTTTAAGAGCGACCTGGTGTGGGAGGGTTCTACGCTTGCCAAGGATTACGACTGGACATACGTCCTCGGCTCTGAGCAGCTGGATGAACTAGATGCTGCTCTGGCTCACTTCAAATGTAAGAATATCATCAATCGCTCAGTTCTGATGAGAACGTCGCCGACTAATGCCATTTAGCCTTGGGATTGCCGCTAGGTCACATCAGCCAGGAGACATTTCCACTGCCTAAATTGCATTCAGAACTACGAAAGTTGTCATATGAACTGCACAACGGTCACGGTTTCTTCGTGATCCGTGGCTTACGTGTTGATGAACACACGAGAGAAGAGAACATCATCATTTACGCGGGTCTTTCATCCCATATCGCTCCTCAGAGAGGCCGCCAGGACAGACAATACGACGGCAAGCCGGCCGACGTCGTTCTTACTCATATCAAGGACCTCACCCTCACCAAAGAAAAGGGCCAGATCGGAAGTCCTGCTTATACTGCGGATAAGCAAGTCTTTCACACAGATGCTGGTGACATCGTATCGTTGTTTGCGCTTTCCACTGCCGCGGAGGGCGGTACCAGCAAACTGGCCAGCATTGCGAGGGTTTACAATGAGATAGCCAAGTCTCGCCCGGATCTCATTCACACACTTACTCAAGATTGGCAATTCGAGGTGTAAGTCTTCCCGCTGTGGTGAACTGACAATTACGTATCTCTAACTGATGTGATATCTGCCCAGCTTCGGCAAGCCTGAAAAGTCGTTTACTTCTCGCCCCCTCGTTCACTACCAACCCGCCACTGCGACTACCCCGGAGCGCCTAGCTGTCCAATACGCCCGTCGATACTTCGTCGGCTACGGAGCCCTGCCTCGAAGCCACGAGATCCCGCCTATTAGCGAAGCACAGGCCGAGGCCCTGGACACGCTCCATTTCCTGGGAGAGAAGTTCGCGGTCTCGTTGGATTTTCAGAAGGGCGATATCCAGTATGCCAACAACATGGGCATTTTCCATGCTCGAGACGGCTTCACCGATACGCAAGACCAGCAGTGAGCCTGATCCCAACTCTGTTTTGACATGAGAAACGTTGCTGACGATGTTCATCTTGCGTTGACTTAGGAGACACCTGTTGAGACAATGGCTTCGTGATCCCGAGTACGCGTGGGAAACACCCGAGCCGCTGAAGGAAAGGTGGGCTCAGCTGTACGAAGGCATCACGCCAGAGGCACAGGTTTTTCCTCTTGAACCATTCATTCGAAGTGAAGGGAACAAGAGCAAAGGTCGAGATTGACGGAACTCTTGCATGGATGTGCACGCAATTACTACTAAGAGTCTGGGCATCTGCTGGTTTAGAAGCTGCCGTCCTAAATAGTCAAACCGTCAGTCTGGGTCCCAAGACCGAATGATTGGGGGTGCGTGAATGTTCTCTCGCAAAAGAGCGAGACCGCCACCCGAGAAACCCGTCTCGGTACAATCTTAAGCCACGCCAAGACACCAGAACACGAGCTGGCCAGCCAAATCCTTGGTCCAAGAGGCACAGAACGTTCAAATGTGACATTGTCTCACCCGTGATGGCGTTCGTGGTCTTATCGGTTGGTCGTGATAGCAAGGGCCGGGATAGGGTTGCACTCAAAAAGTAGCTTATTGTACTCCCCGGCACCATGTCACCCACGAACGGGCGCCCGCGTTGTTAGTGTAGCTGCAACGGTCGTCATGATCGACCAGCATTGCGTGCTTCTTGGCTCTGGCTGACATAGGAAGGTCGAAGTTCATCACCCTGCCCCAGTGGCCAGCCGTCGTGGATTTTGAAGGGAAAAAGGAAGATCATGCCATTCTTGCCCCCTCTTCGCGACAGTTAGACGTTCGGTTGGCGCTTGGCATCTAAACGCATCTCATGGGCCTGAGGTTAGCATGTTTGATAGAGTGATGATGGTCAGCTCGTCCGATGTTTAAAGACACTGCGGTGGAACGCAACGAGGTTGTTCCCCCAGTCAGTTTTCTCCATCCCCCGCAAGACGCCATTCCATCTTCTTGAAGGCGTTACCTCAATCCTGACGTGCGGGTGGCCAGTCGACATCTTGTCAGCCAGCCCACACGGTTATTCAGTGGAGCAGATCTTTAGCTGCGTCTTCAGTCGATCGCCGTGCCGAATTCCGGATTAACGAGGGGATGGTATTCTCGAAATTTACGTCCCGGTTCGGGACTCACGATACAAGCGTGCCCGAACGTGGCGTTGGCGATGTCGAGACATCTGACTCCGAGCACTCGATCATCCGCGATGGAGACCTCGCTTACACGCTCGCAAAAGGAGGCAACGGATCCAAGCCGGCGTACCAAGAAGCTGTGGGAGCGCCGGTGGAAAGACACTCGCCCTTGGGCTACCATGTTGGCTGGATTACGGTCATCTTCCTCAACGTCAACCAGATGATCGGAACCGGTATCTTCTCGACGCGTAGGGCACATGATAATCGCTACTCTGAGAACGATGATGGCTGACGGTTTCACGATAGCTGCCTCTGTGCTCAGTGGCACCGGGTCCGTTGGCCTGGCTTTCATCTACTGGACCATCGGTTTCTTGATGGCACTTGCCGGTCTGAGCGTGTACCTCGAACTCGCGAGTTACTTTCCGAACAGGAGCGGAGCGGAGGTTGTGTACCTCGAACAATCATACCCGCGACCCAAGCACTTTTTCCCGATCGCTTTTGCGGTGCAGTCGGTTCTGCTTTCCTTCAGCAGCAGTAATGCAATTGGTATGAAATCCCAAGTTTCCACGGACGAATTCAGTGACTTATCTGCTGTAGTGTTGTCGCGATATCTTTGGCGCATCGCCGGAAAGACCCCATCTGCATGGGAACTCAAAGGTGTTGCCATTGCCGCCTACACCTTCGCGGTCATTTGCGTCGTCGCTCACAACAAGTATTCCCTCTGGGCCACGAACATCATCGGTGCTATTAAGATCATTACGCTGATCTTCATCTCCATCACGGGTCTTGTCGTTCTCGGAGGCAACGTCGACCACATCCCGGACCCCAACGCCAACTTCCGAAACTCATTCGAGGGAACCACCGACAATGGAAACGACCTCGCAACTGCTCTTGTCAACATCATCTTCTCGTATACCGGCTATTCCAATGCTTTTAATGTTGTGAACGAAATCAAGAACCCTATTCCTGTGCTCAAGCGTCATGCCACGATCTCGGTCGTGGTCGTAGCAGTACTCTACATGTTCTGCAATGTTGCGTATTTCGCCGCTGGTAAGATGGAAGGCCCCAATTTGATGATGTAGGCATGTTCTGATTTGAATTTCAGTACCCAAGGCCGAGTTTAAGGGAGCCAAGGAGATTGCCGCTGCCATCTTTTTCACCAAAGTCTTCGGCACCGGACCAGCTGAGCAAGCTCTCAACTTCCTCGTCTTGCTGAGTGCGTTTGGTAATCTTCTGGGTGTACTAATCGGCTCTTCGCGTGTCATTCGTGAGATTGGCCGGTAAGCTTTCTTCGTCATAACACGTCAGACTTTTCTAACACCCATTTTATAGCCAAGGCGTTCTCCCCTGGACTGAGTTCTGGGTCAACACAAAGCCATTCGGAACCCCGATCGGACCCTACTTCCTCAAGTGGATCATGACGTTCATCATGATTGCGGCCCCTCCAGCGGGAGATGCCTTCCAGTTTGGCAAGTTTGATGAATGTCTGCTTTGAAGTTTGAATGCGTTATTAACCTTTTCATAGTCATCAGCTTAAAGACATATCCCGACGGTCTATTCCACCTCGCTATGGCCATCGGCGTCTACCTCATTCGCATTCGCCGCAAGCGTGCCGGGCTTGGACGCACTGAATTCAAGTCATGGCATGTTACAGTCATCTTCTTCATTCTCCTCCAGGTGTATATCCTTGCCATGCCGTGGTGGCCTCCCAAGGGCGGCCCCTATGCCGGTAGCGTCAGCTTCTGGTACGCCACATACTGCGTCGTTGGTATCGCCATGTAAGTTGAATTTCATGACTCCTCTTCGCCACATATACTTACACATCTCCAGTATGATCGTCTGCTTCCTCTACTATGCCGTCTGGATGTGGCTTCTGCCGAAGTGGCGAGGGTACAGGATCCGTCCTGAGATTCTTGACGTCACGGACAATGGTGCCAACACCCACCGTCTCGTGAAGGTGCCTCTATCCGACTTGGCACAGTGGGATGCTGAGCACGATGATGCTGGAAACCTACGTCGCAGGCACGTTGTGGGGTCGCAAAGCTCTTCCAAGGGCGACGCCGAGGTTGCGGTTGTTGGTGATCATGGAACAACGATCAAATACTGATACTAGAGACTCCGTAACAATTATCGGCCTATCTTACATGAAAGCTGGTTCTACACGCAAAAAGTATATTGCATCTTAATAAGACGCTCATAACTGACATTGAGCTTGCCACGCGACTAAACAGTCAGTTCCTGAGTCTCATGAATTGAACGTTTTGGCCTCAAGTATGAGTCATCCTAGGCCTAAACCAACGAGGAAGAACATTTAGGCAGCAATTGTGGGCTGAGACGTGTAATTGGCTCCTGAACCTTGTCGTACTCTTGATTTAATGTTGGTACTCATCGGCTGGTCCTCATCTTCTCGTTGAGACCCTCGAGTCACTTGCACTCAATAAGGAGCACCAAACATCTTGCCTGTAGTACGTGAAGAATTTCAACGTGCTGCTAAGTTGTCTGTCTTACCATATCGAGTCAATGACTTCTCTCATCAGCCTGCCTGTCGAGGTCCTCGACCAAATCCTCGGTTACTTAACCCCGCACCAACAGCTTCATGACATCAAAGTTATGAAGCCGAGTATCGAGAACATCGCCTATCAACAAGACAAAAAGTTCAAGCTCCCAGGTCTTCTCAACCTTTCTATTACTTGCAAGACTCTGGGCCGGATGATTCAGCCTATCATATTTCATTCCTTTGTTCAACATGACAATTTCTGGAACAACGACGATAGTCCACCAGCTTTCTTGCATCACCTTGGGAAGTTCCTCAGGACCCTCGTCGAGCGACCCGACTTAGCTCAAGTTGTCCAAATTGTCGACATCGAGATATTCGATCAGCGATGCGATTGCTGCTACAACACCCTAGATCGTATGACCGAAGAAGAGACCATCTGGATCGCGGAGTACTCCGCAAAGACCGGTCTTCCAATGGACACATCAGACACATCAACGATTGCAACACTTGCAACACAGCGCGAATCAAACACGTGGGACTCTTGGGACGTCGCCGAGGCATTGATACAGAATCTTCTTCTCATGACACCAAACCTCTCGCGGCTGAATCTCTGTCTTCCCCGAGACTGGAATTTCAAGCCGCTGATGGAATGGAGCCGACACATAGACTTGAAGACGGGAAGCCGCCCGGAATTCCTCCAAAATGTCCGGCACATGGAACTGGAAATTCAAGTCGACGACTCCAACGACCGGTACATGTGCGACGAAGATGAAATGCCGGGAGTGGGACACGAGATTCCTAGTCCTATCGAACAGCTACTAGTCGATGCTGCGCCGAATGTCGAAGTCTTGTGTTGTAGCTCCGGAGGCCTCGCAGGCCCACGGCAGTTTTCAAAGCTCGATTCTCTGCAGATACTCATGAAAGGCTCATGGATTGATATGCTGTCGCCCATGATGAACAGTCTTCCCCCTCTCAGACGTTTCAGTTATAAAGCCACGAGTAACACGTGCCCTTTCCCTCAAGAAGTTCAAGATGCTCTGGCACCGCATCGCGAGAGTCTGGAATATCTCGATATTGTCATGGAACCTTGGATTGGGACGGGTAGATCGTCAAGAGTCAGATCGTATCAAGTATCTTCTTTTCGGGACTTCACCGCCCTCAAAACCCTCAATCTGGACGGAGCTGCAATTTGGACAGATCCTGGAGAAGACGGAGAATATCCCGGCAGCGTGCAGTCAGATCCAGACTTGCTGTCCAATCTTCTACCTCCATCCTTAGTAGAGTTGCATGTTGAAGGGGACTCGAATCAGGATGAGGAATACGAAGATCACTGCTTCAAGTCTCTTGCCCGGGCTATGGCCGGCGGAAACTTTCCACATTTACGATTCGTATCTTGGCATGCCGGAGACAAGGCACTGACCATAGACACAGAGAGCGCTCATAAGGTATGGGATGATGGTAACAGGTGGAGAAGAGACGTTCCGCATCAGAGTCGAGGCTCAAGTTGGGCTCGGCATCGGGCTCAGTATGTGTATGCTTTCCCTCAGTGGATGGCTTCATACAACCAAGCTTTGTTAGAGGAATTTCCCGGCTGCCCATACCCAGAGGCGCTAGAGAAGCTAAGTAGCAGTTACGGGCTGTAATGCATGAATAACAGCATGGAAATACTATGGAAAGTTTTGCCATTCTTCGAGGGAGGCTTGAGACACCGTATCTTTGAATCTGGTATGTTGACTGGTGTTGTTAAGTTCTTGCGATTAATTCATGTTGCGCTCCAGCTGGGCAATTATATCTGAAGAACTACAAATATGTCGCTGAAACATTTTGTCACGAAGGGGTCTCTTTTTATGCCTCGATATGTACATTTGCCGGCAAGTGTTCTCGTGTCGGCATCTTTGGACCAATCGGGGCTTTAGCCGGCATCCATTACTAAATTTCGAAGACAATGTCTCCGCATTTCCCGGACACTTTCTCAACTTCCCTCCCCTCGGATCTTTTTATTGACACATACAGGAAACCCTCAATCACAACTGGTCGTTAAGACTCACCGCTCCTACATACCAAAATGCCTCGTCGAACTCTCAGCAGTAGCGCGGAGCAACGAACCATTCGTGGGTCCTGCGAGACTTGCAGTACGTTCAGCACAGCCATCGGAGACTTTGCGCACGAATCACTGACGATTTGATAGGAGTGAAGAAGATCCGATGTCCTCGCGAACAACCGGCCTGTTCAAAGTGTCTGTCGTCCGGTCGTGAGTGTCATTACTCCCTGCAAAAGCCTATGGGACGGCCAAGGTCCACACGCCAAGCGACTCGTCCGCAACGAGTCCTATCGAAACATGTTCAGACGGAGAGATCTCCATCGGCAAATATTTCCGGGATATCTGAGGCGATCACGTCAAGCGCCGGCACGGAAACTCCGCCAGACCTCGGCAATGAGTCGACTCTTAGCGCCGCCGCCAATATTCAAGTGGGCATGGAACATGATGGGTTTGAAGTACACCAGTGCCTCCTAGACCTGGGAAACCCTGCGCGGTGAGCAGTCTCCTTCATACAACCGGATGTATTCTGCGGCTTGAGAACACAGACTTACTGACGTGGGTCCAAATACAGAAATAGATCAGACATAGTCTCCGAAAGCCAGGCCGCTTTCCCCCCTCTATCGACCGCGATTCAGCCATCTTCCGGCGGTTGTGCCTGTCTCTCTGTTCTTTATCTTCTCCTCGAACACCTACGAGTGAAAGATCAGCTCACAGCGCCGAATGACTTTGCGCTTCTGCGTAATACCATCGAATCGGCATCCGATGTTCTCATCTGTCAAAAGTGCCCTCAGCGGTACTTCTCCATTGTCCAGAACACCGCCTTACTCGGCGTGCTATGCCTTTGCGTCGCAGAATCGTACCACAGAATTCTGAGAGCGATCGACGAGGAAGAGAAGAGATCAATTACTGCTGGGGAGAAGAAGCAGCTTGGTGTGTTTGACGTCGGAAGCCAGGAAACTCAGCTTTCGCAGGCGGACACTCCGCCTCTTTACTGTGTAGAGGTCTCACCAGACCAGTGGAGGAGCGTAATGCGGAAGCTGGTCAAGGCCGAAGTATTCGGAGTGGAAGGTAGAAGGGAAAAATGCCTGAAGGGCTTTATATCCCGATTGGAGCAGCGTCAGCGTCGATGGCACCAAACTCCACCTGCGCCGGACTGCCCTCCCAGCTACCGATCGCTTTGTGGTGCTTCGGAAAGAGAACCGACTTGTTTGAAGCTCATTGACAATTCGAAAAGACTCATAGCTTTGCTTGAGTTGTAGCTGGACTCGGCTAAGCTGGTATAACACTCGGGTTTGTGAAGTATCCGACAGGCGGAAACTTACCGGAGCAAGGTACGAAGTATCCGGATTCCAATATTGCCGCGGAGCACATCCCTATCCTCTACTTTGTACTGGCCCGGATGAAAGGAATCTTAGTTAGATATAGAAAAGACTACATAGCACTTGCAATATCTTTTTAACTTCTTCATATAACACCACATTCCTTAAACACCATTCGTTCAATTTGGTATCCGTGCTTCAAACACTATCCAAATCAACCTGTTTGTGACAAGATGGTTATTCAAGCTTCGGTCGAAATGGCGACAGATAGCAGTCAGCTCAAGGACTTACTTGCTCCTCAATCTTGTTCACTTCAAGACGAAAGGCGGCAAATGGACCTCGTTGAATTTGAGTCCCCCTTCGACCCCCTCCATCCGCACAACTGGTCGTTCATTCGTCGATGCTGGCCTACGTTCATGATGACTGCATTCAACGTTGTGGTCACGATCTCCAGCAGTATCTTCGGCCCCTGTCAAGAGGCTGTTGCGAAAGAGTTCGAGGTCAGCGAGCAAGTGGCTATCTTGGGGACGTCACTGTTCTTGCTCGTAAGCAGACTCTCCACTTTGAGGCTCTATCTAACATTCATCATCGTCAACAGGGCTACGTCTTCGGGCCTCTCATCATCGGGCCATTATCAGAGAAATTCGGTCGGAAATACCCCCTTATCGGCGGCGTCGCGCTATCATCCATCTTCGGCCTCATGCCAGCGCTCGGCAAAAACATCGAGACAATCCTCATCGGCCGATTTCTGTCGGGGTTCTTCGGTGTGGCACCCATTGCTGTAATAGGGGGTGTTATTTCCGACTGCTGGGACGCGGCTGGCAGGGGTGCTGCCATGGCCACCTGCGTCTGCTTCATAATGTCTGGACCAACAATCGGGCCCATCATCGGCGGTGCAATGATCGAAAACTCGATCAATTGGCGATGGACGATGTGGCTTGTCTGCATTGCCGGATTCGCCTTGTGCCTGCTTGGGTTGCTGACCATGGAGGAGTCTTACCCTCCGAGGATCTTGCAACTGAAAGCAAGATCACTGCGGAAGGAGACTGGTACCTGCAATATTCGATCAGCTCTGGACAACGAAGGCATGCAGATGAATTACATTGTCCGGGTATACTTGATCCGACCATGGCGTAAGGACCTTCCCGCCCACTTCAACTTGCGTCAACGCTGAGTCTAATCGTTATGAGCATACAGGGCTATTCTTCACTGAACCAATACTGATATTCATCATTATATATAATTCTTTCATCTACGGGCTCATGTTCCTGTTCTACCAGTCCTATCCTATTGCATTCGGGGATGTCCGAAGATGGAACATCAAGTTTTCGACACTGGCCTTGACAGGCATCGTCGTTGGCGGTATCATAGGTACCATCGTCGTCATTGTATGGAACGAAACAGTCTTTAAGAAGAGGTATGCGTCAAGAAGTGGGAAGTTCGAGCCCGAAGAAAGGCTACCGATCATGATATTCGGAGCATGCGTCCTCCCAGCCGGACTGTTTTGGAGCGCATGGACGTCGAACCCGAGCATTCCCTGGCCAAGCCAAGTCTGTGCCGGTGTACTGATTGGGTGCGGCATACACATCATCTTCATCCAGAGCTTCACCTACATTGTCGACTGCTACACGACGGTGGCAAATAGCGCAATGTCGGCCAACAGCGCTGTAAGAAGTGCTTTCGGGGCGGGATTTCCCCTCTTTGCTGGCTACATGTATCGAAGATTGGGCGTAGCCTGGGCGACAAGCCTGCTCGGATTTCTGAGTCTTGCGTTGATCCCTGTACCAACAGTCTTCTGGCTGTACGGATCTCGGATTCGTAGTTGGTCGTCAAGAACTGTCGCTAGAGATATCTGACATCCGTCACAAAAGCAAACCTGGAAGAAGGGCGCCAGTTCTCATCGGGTAATCGATTCGTCGGATACTTTGGCGAACATGGAAGTGATCCAACCGCTGGAGATTGCACGTACCAGTGTCCCGGAATACATCCAAATTTCGATCAGAGGTCCATGGAGGTTCATTTTCTATCCAGCCCTAGGTTACTGAAGGCTCGTATCGGTTGGCATTAAGGGGTTGCATTCTTGAATCTGAACGTGGTCAGCAGACACCTGACTGGCCCTTCCTTCAATCCAGCAGACAGTCTTCAAGCCCTGTGTACTGGGTTTGGAAAAAGGAAGCGTTGTCGTCGTTGGGACGCATGCAGTTGCTTACGGCCGAAGCATCCTTGTAGTTCGTTGATCTCCTGCATAATCGATTGGCTTGTTGGTCCTTTCTCATGCTAGCGGTACTCACATCTGACAGTTCTACTCCAGATTAACGTCTTTCTCAAAGAGGGAAAGTATGAATATCATGGTTGGTAAACGGGCCTTCCGATTCGCAGGTGAGTTAATGCCCAGGCTGCTGTTCTGATGGTGTTGCCATTGGGTGATCGAGAGTAATTTCATGGGAACTTGACGTCAACGACTCGAAGAAAGACGTTGGAGGAGCCCGAACCTCGAGCAATAGAGATTTATATGAGCTGTCTTTAATTGAGTTGTACTTACGAAGCCATCGTAACCGCTACGAATCCCTACCACCATGATTCAAGCAAAGCTCTCTGCACGAGGGGTGAAACAATTGAAACTGTGATGAGCTTTCATCCTCAAGTCGACTTTTAAGCAGATCTGAGGCACAGAAAGATGAATAATCGTCCAGTTCCCTGGCTCTGGAGCCATAATGCTGCTTAGGAGTACCCAAGTCCTCATGATTTCTTTTTCTAGCCTCTCTTCGATGGCTGGAACCTTCAGACTCACGCTTTTTGCTTTTCTCAAATGTGGCAGCGCATGAGCTGACTGGCAAAGCCAACGGCCTGGCTACCGTTTCTACGTTACAATGGTGTTTCCGGGGTTGCAAAAAGCTGATTGATCATATGCAGTTGGTGCCCGTCTCCTGATTTTCAACTGCGCACCCGAGCTCCATTGCACCGGCACCCCGGCTCGCTTCCGACGTCAAGCTGATGCTCCATACCCAAGATAGCGAACCGGACTGCCGGGACGAGTGATATGTTGTAAGGCTCTGTTCGTGCGTGAGAGCGAACACCTGATTTGTGTTGCACGCAGAACGATGTAATCGCTGAAATAACAAAGTCCGCGCATGTCGCTGCGCTGGCATGAGCCATGATCTTCTTACGAATTCATGCACCGCAACACTCTCTGTCGTGGACAGCATGAACGACCTTGACTTCTTTTCGCGCCAAATGGTTACAAACATGGAGTCCACTGGCATCATGCCCACACCCAAGGTTGTCCGAGATGGTTCACTGCCTCCGGACGAGACTGTTGGGCCTATTTGGCTGGGCGTCTCGACAACACTGCTCATCTTCCTGCTTCTGACCACCATCCTCCGACTCTGGGTCCGCATCGCACGCCGAAACTTCGGATGGGACGATACAACTATAGCTCTGGCGGCTGTGATGGCTACAGTGCGGTACACACTCGCGGCCATGCAGCTACCTCACGGCAACGGGAGACATCGAGTCTACCTCAGCGATTACGACTACAAGATGATCAACATGTACGGTTGGTACGGGCAACTGTTCCATTTTACGTCCATGGCGTGTCTGAAGTGCTCCATCTGCGCCTTGGTGCTTCGATTGAAAGACAAAAGGGGCATGCGCATCTTCGTCTGCACAATCATCGCGGGTGTGTTGGTCACCAATATGGGAGTGGTTGTGGTGTTACTTGCAGAGTGTCGTCCAGTCGGCTTTTGGAAAGGTTCATCGGCTGAGTGTTGGTCTAACAAAGTCAGGATCTACTGGATATATGCAGCAATTGGTAAGAACTTTTCTCATGGCCCTTTGTGTATTTTGAGCCGCGTTTCCTTTGTCTCTCACAGCCGTGCTAACAGAGACCATGGTAGCATACTCGGCGTTGACTGATCTTATTCTATCCTTCATACCATTGGCCTTGATTTGGAAGGTGAAGATTCGAATTCAAAAGAAAGTATCTATCATGTGCCTGATGAGTCTCGGGTTGATGTGAGTACGAAGCCTCTTGCTTCACGAGAAGACCATAAACGCTGACACAAGTCTTCAAGTGCAACCGCTTTTGGAATAACACGAGCCGCATTCTTGGGTGTATCAACAGAAGACCTTAGCTGGACATTCTGCATCGTTGCTATCTGGTCCAACCTCGAGCTTTTCCTCGGCATTATTGCCGCAAATCTTGCCCTCTCTCGAGCTATCTACCTTTACTTTCGACAAGGATCTAGCACGGCGTCGAAAAGCCAAACCGATCCGTCCGCTGCGGGCCACGTCAATACCAGGGGGCACATAGGGGATAGATTCGTCATGCCATCGACGACAATCAGCACTGGTCTGAGGCGCATACCGTCAGAGACTAGAAGTTCGGATAGTGACATACCGCTGGAGCCCAGGATTCAAAAGCGGACCGACTTCTGGTGGAGAGAGGATGGGAGTCCTCAACAGATAACGGATCTAGGTCCATGAGGCATGGATAGCTTGAGTAGAACTAGGATACAGCTTTCAGGCTGTGGTGAATAAATCATCTTAGTCTTCATCATTTATAGTCACATCTGAGAACTCTATATTCTAACGGACGGGGCGCTGCTGTGAATAGCTTTGTCTACCTTGCCAGAAAGGCAGGCAGGGGGCTGTACAGAAAGAGGGTACTTCAGGAGGCTGGTAGGACGAAGTTCGATGAAGGCAGGGAGCAGAAGTCGGTGAGACAGCGAGAGCCTGAAGAGGCTCAGCAGTTGGTGTAACGCATGTTCCCTCCTACTGCGTCATTTTTCCACTTCTTCCATTGCACCTTACTTCATCTGAATCAAGTTCGCTAGCTACCCAATGACATCTTCAGCAAATGAACACAACGTGAAACATGAACAACATAAGCTGTGGACACATAGATAGTAGGCGCAGTATCCTTGGCTTAAAAGAGGAGGTACAAAAGGCTTCATGTAGTAGTCATCATACCGTCTCCCTTTTCCTTCTTGAAAGCTTAAAACCCACCTGCTTCGGTCGATTGTGAACCATCAAATGCATCAAATGGATCAAAAATACGAACTTCTTTCATATCCCCATCCACATACGGAACTATGCCCCGCAGACGACACGGGTGACCAGGGTGCACCTTCCAGCTCGAGACGAGAGCCTCTGGAGAGCAGTGCTTCAATCAACGATGCCGGTTCAGACCGATTGCTAATATCAGGGGCCGACCCTTCGACCGATACAGCTGATATCACCTCACCTGAAGTGGATGTATGTCCTACGGCAGTCAACAGCAAAAACGCAGCATCGGCTAGTACGCTCTCAAACATGACAAATCAGCGTGTCCCAATCCGCTGGACCGGCTTGTCATGGCATCGATTTCTCGGCGATGCCGTGAGCATTCTTTTGTCAATCTGCTTCATAGGTTCGGTCTTTTCATTAGCACACACCCGGAATGGCTTTTGCTTGTTCTAATCAGAAGACTAATGTGCGAATCGCAGTTCTCGGTATATGCATCGTTCGTTTGAAAGACAGACAAGAATCAGAGTGGTCCAGAATGGTGGTAGAAGCGACAACATTTGCCCCCTCATTGTGGCCTGTCATATTCTCGGGTGTGATAGGCAACACTTTGAAGGCCTGTGCGAATTGGCGAGTCGAACGGGGCGCCTCGTTAAGGGTCAGTCTGGGACATACAAATCCAACTTTACGCATTTCTAACACAGAAGCAGTCTTTAGAGCAACTGCTTGGATCTTTAACTATGGCCAACACAGTACTATCCGCATACGCCCTTTCTATCTTGAACTTGTGGACCGCGTTGCTATTACTTATCTGGGCATTCAATCCGATTGGCTCACAATCTTCTTTTAGAAGTTTGCGTCTTCAGGGCCAGTCAATGGTTCAAAATGTGTTAATCGACTATGGTGACTACGCAGAACGGAGGGTCCAATTTGGTGTCCTGGGCGGCGACGCCAACTGGCAATTAGAAGGCTCTGCTGTCAAAACTGCGTATTCCAGCGTTCTCTCCAACGACGCATCCGCCACACAGTATTGCAACGGAACCTGCATCGAGTTTGACGATCTAATAGCAAGGCTCGGCGGGAGACAAGCCGCTGCTGCACAAGTGGCAATGGACCCATGGGGAAGCGCACGGATTCCCAAAATCAAGCACACACCGGGTTATGAACTATCGAATCCAGAGAGGTGGCTTACTGTACCTTGGAAGGAGAGTGTTCAAGAATACAGCAGTTTGATAGGGAAGCGTCACCACGGATTGTCTCCCAAATTTGTTGGAAACGCTACGTTTAACATAAGCACCAGCTATATCGACATCGCCAACGTGAGTTCCTCACACCAGTCACTGTCAGTCTTATGTTTTTTAGGATGGAGCTAATATTTCGAACCAAGTGCTCGCAATGGACATGTTCGCAAAGAGACACGAACCAAAAGGTTAGTCAAATTTCAATTGAAGACTTATCTGCATGTAGTTCAGTGATAAGGACGATAGCTTACTAGTTGTTAGGCTGCGAGCGACTGGCTTTTAGCAAACCACAAGTCTTTTGGAGTCAGACTTGATCTCAGTCTCAATGGGTCTTCCGACTTAGCAATATCTGACTTCTTTTCTGGGAGGTGGCATCAAGAACGAAAATGCCTACAGTTCGTACATGAAACCTTTGCCATGGATTACAGCACGACGAATTCGACATTATTCGTTGGAAAACAAGGAGCATGCGGGACGTGCTTCACCTCGTGTTCCTTCAGGACCGTCTATGTCGACACAGAAGTCTTTTGCGAATCCCACGCCATAGCCGGCAAATCTCAGTGCAGAGTTGAGATGATAAGACAAACTCCAAAACCTCTGTTATATTCCGGCCATTCACCTTTAAATCATTGGTCGGGTATATCGGAAAAAATAATGCTTCATTTCCCCAAGATGGGCAAGGAACTTGGAGATTATTCGAAGACATTCTCAGAGAAGTTTATACAGAACCCTACGACTACATTCAACCCCGACTCCACCAAAAGAGGGAGCGTTGAGTGGTGCAATAACACTATGAATGTATTCGCTGACAGATTGGGCTTGCTGCTGAATACCTTTATAGACTCCACGATCGATCCCATGGTGGTGTTAGGAGGCGAACTTGTAAACAGAAGAGATCTGTTGAACGCCACCTCTGTTATGACCATACCGCTTCCCGCTATCTATACCCTCAACACCTTTTGGATAACCGCGTACTTCCTGTCCACTACTATTATGCTTTTTGCTGCACTCGGTGGCCTTATTCTTCGGTACAATAGTATCGCGCCGCAAGTTCTAGGTTATGTTGGCAGCTTGGTAAAGGACTCGCCTTACGTTACCCATAATGAACTGAATGGGACCAGTACAGAAAGCGGAGAAGAGATTACGAAGCGTCTCGGACTTATGAAGGTTGGGGTGTTGGATGTCAACCCAGGCGGAGATATTGGAAAACTTGCTCTCGGTTCGGTAGATATGGGACGAAGGATCCGCAGAGGAAGGTTGTACCGTTAGGCACTCAAGAGACCATGGTTTGGGGAAAGAATGGTTGACCAGAGTTCGACGGGTCAACCCTTCCGTCACCCTTTATAATCACTTTGTTAAGATGCTAGTGAAAGAGTACGTCCCAGACCTAACGACAATCTTCATACTCCCATTAAGCTCCTCAACCTCCACTACCCTATTCTCCCTAGCAACAACCTCCCTCCCACCCTCCTCTACTCTAGTGATAGGCATCTTAACCTAGCCTAGGGATCTAATGGGCAGTATAATCTTATACTCTAGCCTCTCCCCCTTAGGCTTCACTGTAAATTGGAGGAGGGTACATAGGCATTCAAGATGGGCCTGCTGGTAGACGTCTGGCTGACCATATTAGTGGAGGCGGACTCACCCGGCTAGAAGGTGATGCGCTCGCTGGTCTGGGCGCCGTGGTCCTTGATGGAGAGGGCGATGGTACCCGCGACGTTGGTCGCGAGGTTGAAGATCCACTGTCCGGTGGAGGCCTGCCGCACCAATTCGGCGGCGATGGTTTCGGTTACCTTTAGTGGCAGACGCAGCGTCCCAAGAACGCGTTCAGCGAAACGCGCTCAGCGTCACGTTAGCAAACACGCAAGTCTCGATCACCATAGCCATCCCCCATCGCCGTAAATACACGTCTTGAATCATCATCCAGCATCGAAACTTACGTCCAGCACGCTCGTCATCCATTCTTGTCACTGTCCTGTAATTCATCCCGGCGTACAATATGGGCGACAATAACTATTTCAAGAACATCACCAATAAGGTCAAATACAACACTAAGTACGGCCGGTTCAGAAAGACCAGAGCTTCCAAGGATTTGTATCTACAACAACCGTTTAATAAAGAAATGAGCATTAACAGCTGGGGAAGCCTGAAGGGATCATCGTGTACTTTGTCGGGCCATCAATATCATCGACAAGACGTCTGGCTTGTGGGAAGAGGTGGCAACGGAAAATGAGGTTGAGAGAGACATTCTTGTCACTGATGACATCTAGCGGTTACTCGAAGCCAAGGGAGAGCACTTCCACCAGTTGCCACTTCCACCAGTTGCCCGAAGAGCAACTCGCTACTCGTTATGGTCTAGAATATCTGGGCGCCTCCTTAGCTGATTCCGGCCGGATTTCCACTGAAGCTAATGCACAACTATGGCCTCAATCCTCACCACGCCCAATCACTCGGAGAGCTCAACACAAGCGGGAAGGCAATGTTGGTGAACGTGGAAACCGCCCGGCAAGTTAAAAGGCTGGCTGGCGGTGCATCGCAGTCGGCTAGAGAAGACAACGATGACGGGTTTCGCAATACCTCATGTTAGCCCACGGCAAACACCCGAATTTAAGTCCTTAGGAGCGACAAATAACCCGCCGATTACCAAAGAAAGTAGGGAAGAACAATAATACACACGATACCAATGTTCCCGGGGAGCAACGACCAGACTGACGACGACAGAAACTATAGAAGAAGCACTGGCTCGTCAGATCGTCCACGCGCAATAAGCAATGCAACTACTTCACGCCACCATTCTAAGCTTCAATAACAAGCAAACACGCAAGTTAATATCACACCGAGGCCAACGCACTGGAGAGATTCAGAGGAAAGTGTCAACAGCAAACTCGCCTACGACTTTACTAGCTTATCGGAGCAGTCTTCCTTTCCCCTCTGATTGATCCCCATCAAAACTCATTTCTTGCCGCTGACCGCCGGCAACATGACCGAACCCGCCGCGATCATGATCAAGCCCGCCGTCTTCAGTTTTGTGGCTTCACGGTACCGTCAGGATTGTACTTGCGCGGCGGGTTCTCGTAGGTGCGATTTCCGTCGCACGTGTTCCTCTTCCACCCGTCTTTATCGATGTAGGTCGGGCCCTTACCTTTGGATCCCCAGGCGAAGCTGTCGTTCTTGGTGTAGCCACCGGAACGGTACTCCTCCTTCTCCTGCTTGCCGCCGCCGCTTCCGGAGGAAGACATAGTGATATCGGTTTCGGGAGTAATGAGATAGGTCTGAGGAGATGTGGTTGTTGCGAGGTTGTTGAGATGTGATGCTCCTGGAGTGCGTTGCGTTGTGTTAAGAGAGACAAATTGGACACAAGGCTTGGTGGAACATAATCTTATTTATAGTCGGTCGTGAACGAATGCATCTCTGGTGAATATCCAGTTCTCGCTGCCACAGTCATTGAGCGTAATCCCCACTTTGTCGACCTTGGTGAATATGTTGCTCTGTCACTAGGATGTCACTGGTCTTTCCATCTGATGGCGTGTCTTGTGGAATTTGCTGCGTTTACAATTTCAACAGCTAGTTCCACCATGGTCTTCTCTTATACCTATGCCTCAAGCTTCACCAAGATGGTAGTCGTCTTCCCAAAACCCTTGTACTTATCCCAAGCCGACGCCACCTCAGGCTTCTTGTATACCTCAATAGCTTGCTACTCAACAAGTCAGTCCCGTTCATATCAAAGCGACCTCACACTCAGCCCATTTACTCACATCTCTACTATCCCATCCAAGAACACCAAGTCCGGTCGTGGGACCATCATCCGCGCTGCGCCCACCGAAGGACGTGTCCCCAATCGCAGCGACGAGATCCATCCACGCCTGCTTCGCCTCATCGTGCTTGCCCTCGTCCGCCAGCTCGAGGAAGGAGAACTGCGTCAGGGCCTTGGGCTTGGCGTCGGGGAAGTCGCCGGTCTGGAACTTCCTGATCATCGGCGGGCCGGCCATCTTTGCTTGTGCCTTTTCGAAGTGTTCCTTCGCCCATGCCGAGTCGGCGAATGCCTTTTCGTCTTCGGGTGACGCGAAGGCTGGAGTTGCGAGAGTCAGAGATCTGTGAAAGTAGAAAGGGTTGAGGAGGGTGGTGTTTGCTGACCCATTGTCTGGAAGAACTTGAAGTCCGAGACGGGCGAGAAGTTCTCTCCTATGACTTCGCCGCCTGATACGCCGAGGACACCGGGCTGCTTAGCGATGTCGGCCTTGATCGAGGGCCATACTCCGAGGAACTCGTCCTTGTTGGCGGATGGGATGTTGGGGGTTACGGCGACGATGTAAGGCATCTTGGAGGCTTGTGGCTGTATTTCGATGTGCTTGGTGTTAATGCGTCTATGGATGATCGGATTTGTTGCTGGAGTCAAGTTTGTCGGACTGCTGTCTGTCGAAGTAAGACTGTTGCGGATCTCATTTCATTATATATCCTTCGGGCTCGGTCTTTGCGCGAAAGAGGAATAGGAATACCGAGCTACGCGGCCAAAACCATGCTGATCCGTCTCGGCACGGAGCTGACTAGTATGCCGAAAATGCTCACGGCATAAGAGTCGTCAAACGCTACCTTACAAGCTAGACAGCACATTCTGCATGGGGACCACACGACAGGTTCCCAACTACAAAACACATAGCACTAACCCGTGCCATATCAGCCCTACTCCTCTCGGCTGATCTCGTAGCACGCCGGCATCAAATCACGGCTCAGGGTCCTTCGTCCGAGAGGAGCGACACCTGCATGTCAGGGCAGACTAACGCGCGCGTAAAGCGTGTCGTGATGTGCCTCACCCCAGGATTTTGAAACCGAGACCGACATGGAGCCGGGGCCCGGGGAGTCGGGCTGGGTGCGTGGCCCGGGATTTCCGCGCGGCTGTCCGTGGTCAGGGTGCCGGTCCGGTTGGTTCGTGTTTAACTCCTGGGACCACTCGGTCAGTCTTCGTCCGATCCGTCGTTCATGCTCCCTCCACCATGCCGAAAGTCTAAACGGGCCAGACCAATACGCGCGGAGTGTTCTGGTGAGGGGTCCCGGGGGGTTAAGGTTGGTCGGGCTGAGAACTCGGCATGATGATGAGTCTGGTCTGCTCGACTGCGAGGTCAAGGTGCTTCGAAATTTGTTGAATAACAATGGTGTCTGGAAACTAGTGAAGGGTGGACAAGGAAGTGAATAAACTGCTACCGCTCATGTTCATCTCGTATAATCATCCGAGAAGACGTCTTGACACCGCCTGCACTTTGATTTCAGCATCATGGGGCAGCGAATGGTTCGGACATGTGGAAAAGACCTAAGATCACCTACCGCCATGGCGAAAGGATCCTATTCAACTCAAATGTAATTTCAAATACGTGCTCGGTATTCCAACAGCCTTTCAATAACCCTCGCAAGCTCTCCCGGCATGCTTAGCGACGGGAAATGGCCCGCCGGCAAGCTTTCCTCCTTGACACCAACTCCGAGCTCCTTCACCTTATCTACCAGCATCCGCTGCACAGAGAGTGGCACCGCGAGATCATTCTCGCAGTATACGTAGACGGTCTTGATATTGAGATAAGCCTTGGCTTTTGGTACGTACGCCGCGCAAGCAATAGGGAAGCTCCTGAGCAAATCCTTCAACTTCTGGTGTTCCGCCTTGGGGAGGTCGGAGTAGAAGACGGATCCGTAGTCATGGTCCTCTGCAAGAACAGCCTCCATTCCCTAGCCAAAGTCAGCTGTTTCAGAACCACTCGTGATGCCAAATGTCAAGTTTACCTACCTCAACACGTAACCACGTCAACGGGTGCGGAAGCAACACACTCCCAAGAGAATCATCCCCCGAAACCATGTACGCCGTGAGATACACGAGCCACCGGACGCCCCCTTTCTTCCCCTCCTTAGCCCGCGTCTCGACCCCGAGACCTGCGAAGGCTTCCGTGGCAACGATGCCGCCGTATGAGTGAGCCACGGCGATGATCTTCCTGCCCTGGTCCGCCACCTCGACGGCGGCCTCTCTGATGCAGCGGACGTCCGCGGCGGGGGGGTCCTCGGGCGGGGGAGTGCTGCCGGACGGTAGGCTCGGGGCGATGCATGGGTATCCCTTCCGCTCGAGGACGTCGAGGAAGGGCTTGTAGTGATCCGGGCGGTGCCAGGCGCCGTGGACGAGGATTATGGTCGGTTTCGGCATGATGGCGATGAATGAAGAAGGAGTATGTAGGTTGGGAAAGACGATGATCAGTAGTATGATAATCAGTGAGCGTTCGGCATTCGTTTATCTTGTGATTCCCCCGCCTTCATCCAATAATTCAACCAACATGCACAGGAAGCCGTTATTGACAGTAACAGGATCTGAAGATGATGAACTTTGCTCATGTTTCTGAGTGAGGCCCAAGCTTCTCACGTACGACGCCGCCATGTCATGAAAGTATGAAGGTATTAGTATTAGTTCATATGCTCCGAACTATTCACCATGAGTCTAACCCGCTATACCATCAAATCCCCATGAGTCTCAACGTATCCATCACACAAGCGCCACAGCGGCAGCAACACAAAGTGCGGCCGCAAGACCAGCCCTTGCCGTCGGCCCCGCCCCAGCCGGAGTAGCCGTAGTCGAGGCCGCCGCCCCGGTCCCACTTCCACCCGCAGTCTCGCTCGCGCTCCCGGTCGCACTCTCCGTCACCCCTGAGACACCGGAACTCGCAAGAGAGATAGTCACACTCAAACTCTCAACCACGCTCCCAGGCGCACTCGCCGTCGTCTCCACCTCCGTCGCCGCCGTCGTCGCGGTCCTCGTCACCGTCTCCACGGTACTCGTCCTCGTAGGCGTGACGGTGACGACGGTCGTGCTGGCCGCGGGCTTCGCGGCGGGGTCCGTGGGCAGGAACTTGGGGGTGACGGTCTCGGTGCCGGAGTAGATCGGGCAGCCGGGGACGTTGCGCGGCGGGGCGCGGCCGCCGCCGCAGTCGACGCCCTGGCAGATCTCGAGGGTGTCCGGGACGTACCAGATGACGGTCTCGTAGGTGTTGCCGTAGCCGATCTCGGTGCGCGCGGTCACGGTCGAGGTGAAGGAGGTGCAGCCTTCGTGGTCTGTTTTGGCGAGGGCGAGGGCGGCTAGGGCCAGGGTCGGGAGGATGGAGCGGGACATTTTTTGGGGTGAGATGAACGAGTGTGATGGTCCTTGATGATGAGAGTGAGTGACGGTGGATGATGAGGGAACGAGATTGTTGAGATGGGCAGTTGGCAGTTTTAAAGCACGCGAAAATGAGGCCAAACTCGTCAAAGTCATCCTCAGCGCAACCCAATCACGACCCTACGACGGACTCGTCAAATCTCACGAAACCCTGGCCAGACCAGCGAAGAAGCTGAAAAGGCGCCAAATTTGGATACGCCGTGCCACACAGGCGCATGTTCCTGTGTCACATCGCCTAGGTCGCGCCGCCGCAGGGCGAGAAAGAAGACGAGAGTCACCTTGCCTCCTTTCGGCTGGCCGCGTGAGATTTAAAATGAGCAAACAGCTTGGGCGGGCGGACGAACAAGCCGGGGTGTGAAGTCGGAGGGAGCTGGGGCAGTCGCAATTAGCCCCGTATTGTTACTTTTGTTGAGCCGGGCGCGATGTAATTGAAGTTGAGGAGATACGATTCCAGTGTCGTTTGTCGGCGTTGGACCAAACATTCCGACGTTCCATTGAGATGATGCGGTCAGAGTTGTATCTCGCCAGGACGATACGAGAAAGGCGCCTCCGGGACTGGCCTCCGCCTCACCCACCCGATCCACAACCAAAACCACCCCGGCGTCCACCACGGCGGCGGTTGCAAGGCCCCCGAGATGTCAAGTGGCGGAGGTAAGCGAGTCGCAACAGGCTCGGCGCACGAGAAGAGTTCGATCTCGCCCGGGAGGACCGGAAGGCTCCGGCCCATGCCGGCGATGTGGGACCAGATTGCCCTGGCCTCCGGGACCGATGTGCCGTGCTTGGTGTTAGCTCGTGATTCTGAGAGCGTTTTGAGGGCACTCACATGAACGCAGCCTGTAACAAGAAAGGGATATGCTTCGTGTCGTGTGAGGCCACCGGAGACGTCGGTGAGGGAGTGGATGTCTCCCCATCTGATGCTCTACCTACGGCACGCTGTTCATTTTGACGGTCGATGATGTGTTGATATGAGATGAGCGCCATTATTCGGTGACAGCTTTGCGACATGTGTTAGTTAGTATAACAACGGCAGCAAAGTATCTCTTGGCTGGGCTGCAACGAACGTGAGTATGAAATAATATAGTATGTCCAGAGTTGACGATCTGAAGGGAGCGATCGTCGCATTAATATGTAAGTCTAGTTAAAATTACAAGTCATCATAAAGAAGTCGTCGCCCGGCCGTAAAGAATGAGAGGCCGATTCATCTCAGCGAACAACTAGAGTCTACCCGGCTCATCTTTCTCGAATGCACTTCCGGCATAAGAAACCCATCTTCCACGCAGCACTCACTGCGCCTTCTTCGCCTTGGCCAGCTTCGCCTCGCGCCTGCGCTGGTGAGCCTCGGCACCGGCCTCCGTGTCCATGATATAATCCCACCACCTGAAGCTAGACGCATAGTTCCCGATAAACTTCTCATGGTGGACGTCATGATGCTCGGCGCCGGCCCAGAAGGGGAGGAAGTGCCGCAGCGACCACGGGAAGTCGTACCCGGAGTGCGAATCGATCGCCTGGAACAGCCGCAGCACGATCCACATGTACATGGTGAACAAATGCAGGTCCTTGGTGATGAAGACCCACAGGATCGGGGACCCCACGGTGCCGAGGCCGAGGAACATGACCTCGATCGGGGAGGCGTACTCGGCGGTCATGCCGAAGGGGGCGGAGTAGTAGTGGTGCATCTTGTGGACGGCCTTGTAGAGGGGCGGCCAGTGGGCGCCGCGGTGCATCCAGTAGTGCCAGGTGTCCTCGAGGACGAAGAAGATGGCGATCTGGTAGGCCATCTTGTACAGGGGCGGGAAGGGCACGCCGTAGTCGAGGCCGCACCAGGTGGCGATGGGGTGGAAGAGCCAGATCTGGGGGAGCTCGACGGTGAAGTGGCTGAAGAGGACGAGGGCGCCGCACTCGAACTGTTCTTTCCAGGTGGGGATTTTTTGCTGGTGGGTTTTTTCCTGTTAGTCCGTGGTCTTCAAAAGCCGGCGGGATCTGAGATGGAATTGCGATCCTCGCCGCCGGTGGGTTTTGGTGTTGGCTCACATCTTGAATTTTCCATCTGCGGAAGTAGGGGATGGCGTCGATGATGATCCAGGGGAGGCTGCGGCCGAAGTAGACGGTCTCGTGCATGACGAAGGTCATGATGCCGGTGGCGAGGATGTCGTTCTGCATCCACAGGTACCAGGCGGCCCAGAGGCGCTCGGCGATGTTGAGCTGGACATTGTACTTGTTGACGTCGTCGAGGACGCCGAGGTAGCTCTGTTGTGAGTCGGTGTGGTTGGGGAACACGACGGTCGAGTTCCTGCGGTGAGGTTCAAGTCAGCTCTTCTGTTTCGAATGCGGCGAGGGTGTGTTTCTGTGAGACGGATCGCGGTGACATACCAAGAGACTGAGGACGCCATGATATTAGACGCGCCCCGGAGCAAAAGAGAGAACGAAAGCAAAGTGACAAAATCCCAATTCTCAAAACGCGATGACTGCGACCCGGGCCTCAAGAACTATGCAAAGACGGCATAGGGGGCAACGGAGAAATATAAAGCATTCGCCTTACGGTGGAGAAGTTGATTACATTCTGTTGGCGGGCTTTGGAAGCATGCTTCTCGAAGAGACAGAAGCGGCGCGTGTGCAGGGGTTCGCAGACGCCGATGCGGATATTGGAGATGGCACGATAAAAATTCACCGGCATCCGCTCTGGCGGTGGTACGACTGCTTGCATGTTTTTGCAGAGAGGAGGGTGCCACCTAAAAACCGAATACGAAATTTGACAGCTGCTGAGGGAATCATAGTCCGCAGAGTTGTTCCAATTGGACGAGGGCCTGGTTGATCAGATTGGCGAATCTGGAGACAGGAATTGATCGTCTTCGTTTCCCTTTGGGCTGGTTGTTCCCTGAGTATCGCACCAAAGACCGAGGAGAGAACTCGAAAGAGAGGCGTTTGGGGATCCGTTTTCCAAGACCGCCTCGACCCCGGGCGACCCACTTGCCGATGGTTCGTTTGTGGTGTGATTCTGGTCGCCGCGTCCAGGGCTCCGAGATTACCGGCTCTCAGGGGCGAAGATGAGGATGTTTGTTGGATGGCTTTGGTGTTGATTGGCCGTGACCGAGAGAGTTCAGCTCCGTCTGTTGTCAACGATTCCGAGGAGTCTTTGTGGTTCATCGAATATGAAGCATCATGAGAATTGGGACTTTGGAGATGATTTCACCGGCAGCTGCGGTGTCATTGTCAGGTTCCGAAGGGTCCTGTCGAGCTGAACCTCGACGTGAGCCCCGCCCCATGGAGTGATTGTGCGTCGGCCGGGTGCAAATCATCCGGCGAACCCCTCCACTCCGGCCGGCTTTTCTGCATTTCGTCGGGACCAAGATGGGTCTCCTCCGGGGGAGACATGGTGTCGAAGGTAGTGTCACTCGACAGACACGCGGCAGTCACTCCATCTTCCGCGCTGTAGAGGCGGGTATATCCAAGACGGGCAGTAGTGGACCGAATCGGCGTCGATGGATGGTAATCCGGCGGAAGTGGGCGAAAGAAGCCGGACTTGCTGTGTGGAGATGTCTGGGCCGTCATCGTCTGTGATGTTGAGCAAGGATGCGCTCTGGGCGGTATAATTGATGACGATATGGGTCGCTTGGCCGATTGCCTGAAGGTTGACGAACATTGACGCAGATGGCAATGGGATCTTGGTGTCGCCAATGACTCCGACGAGCTTCTGAGCGGCGGTGTTGGCTTCAGCTGGAAGCAGTTTTTTTGGCATCTTGGTTGCCTGCTTTGCTTGACCGGTAAAAAATTTGCGTCTTTCTTCAGCTCGGGAGAGATTCCCAACGAAGGCACTCAAAATGAAGGAAGCTCATCGTCGTTGAGGTCCAGTGCAATCTCCGATGGGAAAAGATTAGATGCTGAAGTCGCGGAGTGCATGACGGAGTATCTCTTGGCCGTTTGAGAGCAGCTGAAGCACGCGGCATCAGTTGACTTGTCGCTGCGGCGTTGCTGCTGGCATTGCGCAGTGAGGCAGAAAATCAGAGGCGGTGATGTATTTTTTGGTGTTGTGGGCAAGTCCGGAAACGGAAGAACGTGTGGCTGGAATAGCCGAGCCCAGCCACAGCCTCATTACATAACGAGGCTGTGCGGGCTAAGCCCCATCGGGGAATCCGATGACATCGCCAGCAGGGCTCTCAGGCCGCTGAAGCAGGCTTCGGTGCCCTGTAGGATGGATCAGCCAGCGCTACGCGAGAACCGAGAGCCCCAACCACCACCAGTCAGCGGAATCAGAGGCCGTCACGTCGACCCAGTCGACCCCAAATTGCGACCAGGGCACACGACAAGTCACCAACATGCTGCAAACCACGCTTCTGGACCGACTGGGCACTCGACTGGCCCTGATTCACGCCCTTGACGTGTCGTGAGTCGGTTTGCCAAGTGCCCTTTGCATCATCGGGCGGTGTTTTGGCGTATTTCAGCTTGCCTTTGTGTCCTGGATAGACGCGTCTTCTTCTCTTGTTCCAAAACACCAACAATTCCATTGTCACGATCTTCACCGCCAGAACACAAAGCAGCCAAAGCTATTGTCGTCACACCCCTCGACGGCGTCAACAATGGGCTACGTAGCCAACACCCCCGAAGACCGCCTCGGCAGGTCTGACTCCAAGAACCCGAACACAACCTGCAAGGGCCTCACCACCTCAGGCAACTTCTGCCGCAACCCCGTCCAACCCGTCCGCGGCAAGCTCCTCTCACCCACCGTCAAGGAGGAGTCGCTGTACTGCCACCACCACAGAGACCAGGCCGCGAGCCGCTCCGCCCAGTCGAGCCCGGGGCCCAGGCTGTCCGGCCGGCCGATCCTCGGGGAGCGCAGCAGCATCGACACCCTCGCAGACCGCCTCGGCCTCGTCGACGTCGGCTCGAACCCTTCCAAGAAGCAGAAGCGCCCGCGACCGAACGGCGCCCAGCCGAACTCGAGCCCCTCCGAGAAGCCGCAGGGCGTGTCGCGACCCAGCACCAAGAAGGGCAAGGAGCTGCATTTCTGCTTCTGCTTCAGCATCCCCCTCGAGGAGGTCCACGAGGAGAGCACACCCCCGCGCCCTCAGCCTCGACCCGTACAGAACGGTGGTTCCGCCGCGATGCCCTCGCGGCCCTCCAACAACCACCTCTCCGCGCCCGGCGCCTCCGCCTCGGGCCGACCGAGCACCTCGAGCCGCCACTCGCGCAAGAGCTCCTCCAACCAGGCCTCCCCGCAGCCTCTCTCCCAGTCCCAGACGGCCCAGTACCTCTCCCTCATCCCGGGCACCACCGACCCGCAGACGGCCTCGGCGCTGATGGCGGAGCTCGCCCGGCCCTACGGCTCCTCCGAGGAAGCCGGCTACATCTACATGTTCTGGATCATGCCGACCTCGAAGAAGGACGGGGCGCCGGTGAGCGAGGCGCGCGGGCTCCTCTCACCGCCGTCGCCGCCCCGCGGGGGAGGGCGCCAGCGACGGACGAGCGACGTGGCGTCCGCCGTCGCGAACGCGAGCAAGGGCTCCGGGTCGGCGGACAACAAGATGCTGATCAAGATCGGGCGCGCGGCCAACGTGCAGCGGCGCATGCAGCAGTGGTCGCGGCAGTGCTCGTACGACGTCGAGGTGCTGCGGTACTATCCGTACATCCCGGGCGCCAGCCAGGCCTCGGGCGAGCAGCCGCGGATGGTGCCGCATGTGCACCGCGTCGAGAGGCTGATTCACATCGAGCTGTCGGGTATGGGGCTGCACGCGGGGCCGATTAATTGTGATGGGTGTACGTCGGTGCACCGGGAGTGGTTCGAGATCCAGGCGAGCAAGAAGGGAATTCAGCTGGTGGATGAGGTTATTCGCAGGTGGTGCGACTTTGACGAGACGCAGGTGCCTTGAGGAGAGACGACAGGATCCTCAGGATGAGAAGTACAGAGCATGTCGCGCGTGCTATTTAGAGTATACACACAGCATGGACGGCGGGATTTCGCAAACGGGTTGCGTTTGCAGGCAAACAGCGCCATCCCGGACGGAGCATAGAGTGGTGGAGTTGGCGGTTCCCTGCATTTCTGCATTTCTTCTGCATTGGATTTCACACGCAAAGTAGCATCCCATCAGCATTTTCAAATGTCCCGCCCGCTTGGGACCGCGTCGCATCGGGTGGTCAGTTTTACCTTTTTCCTCTCACTGATGCAATTGTGAAAACCGATGGCGCAATTTGAGCATTCGGTCATTTGTCAAGGGTCCAAACATCAAATGGCGGCCGTATCCCGACCTTGACTGAAGACTATCGTGAAATACCTCCCACGACCATCCCGATCCGTGTGTCATCTAATCTTCTTGTTGGTTGACGCCGTGCAGCAAGGCGAGAGAGTTTACCTCACTTCTTCACTAAACCCTCGGGCTTACCATCCCGAACGTATCTCTCTCAAGCTTGTTCGCCCTGCTGCCGCCTGATGTCCAATGCTTACTTCCGTGGAGGAGGGAACCGGTGCCCTCGCTCCCCGCCGAACCCTGCGTGCTGCATGCTACATCCCGGGTTGGTGTTGGTGTGACTGGGGTGTCAGGCGGAGCCACAGCTGGGGCCATCGTTGGTGGTGTCTGGCATCCCCGGTTTCAACGCGGGAAGTCTCTCCATCTCACTCTCAGTCTCACCTTTCCACAGCGGTAAACACAGTTGAATTGGCTAAATGAGAGTAAACAAGAGATAGAACTCACTAATCTCATCGCCTCTCATTTTCACCGCAAATTACGAGTCGACGTTGCTCATACTGACTAAATGCGTCTCACATGTCGTGTGGAAGGCGTAGCCAAGCTCACTCCCCCGCGCCGAGCAAAGTGCCTCATCTCTTGGCCATCTCTTGACTGTTTCTTGTTTCTGTCCCGCTGCTTGGCAATGGCACAAAAACCTCCGGTCAGGCTCCCGAAAGGGCGAGAGACCGACGTCACCAAGCTTTTTCCCCCGGTGGCGCATCCATCCCTCGATGCTTGTCTCCGCCGATCCCCTGGGCAATTCTCATCCTGCCTGCTCGCGGTCAATCCGACTCAATTGGCTCTTCAACGAGACGCGGAATCCTTGCCGACCGCACTAAGAGAAACTACGTGGACTGTGGACACGAAGGCGCAGAAACGTTCGTCTGGCGGCGCGCTAGAGCCGTTCGAACTGCCCACTCTCTGTGTTTCCCCCAGGAGAAAGAAATGCGTGGTATTTTCTGATATCGACAAAGTACTTCGAGGCCCCCCGTCCCTAGCGGCGGACCAGCCGTGAAGCTAACGAGACTGACTATCAGTCCGTCGACTTTTACGTGCTTATTACCGGGCCTCAAATGCAACGCCGTGGCTCAATGTACGACGCCTCCTCCATATCCAGCGATGACGTGCTTTGCGACCAGCCCAGGCCGTCTCTTCTGCTCTCTTTGCAGAGAAGAGACTTTCGACCGCGTACATACTATGTATCATTACATACTAGAAAAATTCTGACCGGGGCGGACTCCGTTCCACTCCCTGCTCCTCCTCCAGGCCTCATCGTTGCCTCCCGCCGTTGTCGAGCCTTCTTTTGCCCGTCTCTCACTGGCTTGTCACTGGGCATGTTCCGTCGAGTGCGGGTATGGCAATCTCTTAGCCAATCGAGCACGTATGTACCTGACTGCCGTGAACATGGAGAAAGCAGAGAATGTACATGGGATTCTGCCTGCCTCGCAACGTTTCCGGATGTACACTCTCAGTTGGACTGGAAGGCGAAACCCTTCACTCGAGTGTCGAGTGTCACTTCCGGCCAACACCAATGAATGGAAGCTACCTTAGAGAAGGACAGGGTAATAGCTAGCAACTTGCAAGGAACCCGCGTCCGTATCCAACATCTCACTGCTTCTGCTGGCTGATCATTCCTGTTTTCGCCATCTCGAATCGGTGCTGCTTGCTTCATATACCTCTCCCGCCCCGTCCCACGTGCTCCTCCTCTTCCTCCGTGCCCAAAGACAACGTCCCGTCCGTCTCCTCTGAACTTCTGGTCTGAGTGTGGCATTACTTCATCTCTTCCCCCCTCCCCCATCTTCCTCCCACACGTCCCACGTCCATATTCTATCGTCCACACTTCGTCGCATCGTCAACAGTCGCATTGCATTGATACCACTCCACGGTTCGGTCGACATCTTAAGACGATCATCGCCTCCGCGCGATCATCGCATCCCCCCTCCGCCTCAATCGGTCGACGACAGCACCCGCCACGACTCAAAAACAGCCGCCGCCATGGAGAAAGACATGCGCCAACCCGAGCCCCCCGCCTCGACAGAGGGCAAGGCCGCCTCCGAGCTCAACTACTCCCGGACGGACCCCGAGACGGGCGGTTCGAGTGGGTTCAGCGCCTGGTTCGGCGGTCGCAACACAAAGGTCGGACCGAGGATAGCGCCCGTCCAGGAGAACATCGTCGACGCCTCCGACAGCGAGGCGAGCGCCGACGCGATCCTCGGCAAGCAGCTCGCGGAGGAGGACGGCCACGCCATCAAGTACCGGACGTGCAGCTGGCAAAAGGTGGGATGCGACGAGTCCCTGTGTGGCGGTGATTGAAAATGCTGACGGTGGCAGACTGCTGGATTGCTCTTCTCCGAGTACATTTGCCTGGTGAGTTGCGATTGCATTGCGATGTTGTGTTGGACGTCACTGACAATTGTAGGCCATCATGAGTTTTCCGTGGTCGTATAGTATTCTCGGCCTCGTTCCCGGCTTGATTCTGACTGCCGTCATTGCGCTCATCGTCCTCTACACGTACGTCGCATCCACGAGTCATGGACCCGAACACCGCTGACTTTTATTGTAGCTCGCTGGTGCTCTGGCAGTTTTGCTTGAGACACCCCGAAGTTCGTGATGTGTGCGACATTGGGCAGATGCTCTTCTGGGGCAAGAAATGGGCTTGGTACGCCACGGCCTTCATGTTTATTTTGAATAATACGGTACGCATTCACGCCTCAAAATCACTCGATCTACAGCTAACGTTTTACAGTTCATCCAAGTCAGTATCTTCAAATATCATGCTGTCGCACCCACTGACACATAACCCAGGGCCTCCATGTTCTCGTCGGCGCCAAGTACCTCAACACCATGACCGAGTCCGACCCGGTCGTCTGCCGTACGGTCGTCTTCTCCATCGTTGTTACTGTCATCTGCTGGGTCTCGTCCTTGCCGCGAACATTTTCCGCCCTCTCCAAGGCTGGAACCGCCTCGGCTGCGTTCACATTCATTTCCGTGCTCCTGGCAACCATCTTCGCCGGCATTCAAGCGCATCCCGCCGGCTACGACCCTCGTCCCTCTTACGTTGACAAGAACGGCGTCACCCAGACGGGCGGCAACCCCGTCGTCACCGCCATTCCAATTTACGGCACCACGTTCGTCTCTGGTATGAATGCATTCTTGAACATCAGTTATACCTTCATTGGGCAGATCACTCTCCCCAGCTTCATCGCGGAGATGAAGGATCCTCGGTACGTCACATCTGTCCTCTCTTCAGATCTGATACTAATCCCTGTTAGGGACTTCCCCAAGGCGCTCTGGGCCGTCACGATCGGCGAGATCATCGTCTTCAGCATCGTCGGCGCCGTCATTTACGCCTACACCGGCAACCAGTACATGACCGCCCCTGCTTTCGGCTCTCTCGAGGAGGTCTACAAGAAGGTGTCTTTCTCCTTCATGATTCCCACCCTGATCTTCCTCGGCGTGCTGTATGCCAGTGTCTCGGCCCGCTTCCTCTTCTTCCGCTTGTTCAAGGGCACGAAGCATCTGCACGAGCACACCGTCATCGGATGGGGATCTTGGGCTACCATTTTGCGTATGTGAACCGCGTTCGGCGTGGAGTTCATCAACTAACAGCTTGCAGTTGCTCTCTGGCTTTTGGCTTTCTTGATTGCCGAGGTGATCCCGTTCTTCTCGTCTCGTGAGTTATAATCATTCTTCTGCCGCCACGATATATATCTAACCATTGGCAGTCCTCTCCCTCATGTCTTCGCTTTTCGATTCATTCTTCGGCTTCATCTTTTGGGGTGTCGCATACTTCCGCATGCGCGGTGCCGACAACCGGGCTGGGGTTCCGAAACCCAACAAGCTCGTCGACCTGGCATCCGTGGGACTCAACATCATCATCATTCTCACCGGTGTTTTGTTCCTGACTGCGGGTACTTACGCCAGTGTTGAGGGCATTATTCAAGAATTCGAGGCCGGTACCGTCGGCAAGGTATTCGGCTGCGCGAGCAACGGTATATGAGCGAGCTATATGGACACGGTTGGAGTATGACCGTCGGATTTAATGACTTGAATGAGCTCACGGCTCATGCGTAATTGTTACAGTCGGAGATTCTCTCCATGATACCATAGATACCTGACAGTGTTTCCAGAGCGGGTAAAAGAAACAACCCAGCTCGTAATGCAAATCGCTCCATCGTGCACGCTGAATGATGTGAGAATAAAATACATGCTTCGCGTCTTAACAAATGCGAATCTCTCTCTTCACAAAGGAAACACCCCTCGACAACGCCTCCCCCTTCATCATACCCTGCAAAAAACACTCCCCGACCAACTCCACGTCAGCCGACGCAAGATCATACCGATGACGGAAGCTGTAAGGCATTCTCGCCCCAGGGAGAACAGCGATGAGATCCCTTTCTTTGCTTTCACTCGCCACCAAGCCCATGATGCCCTTGGACGTGACGAAAAGCCTGCGCCCGTGACAGCTGATGCGCAATTTGGTGATCGCTTCATCGTCTAGGCCGTCAAACAGCGCCTTGCTGTCAATTTGCCTCTTCTCATCCAGCACCGAGACCCTACGACAGAGCATCTTCCGCGCATCGACATGTTCTTCATCCGAGTCCGTCATGACGGTCTGCACGAATGCCTCCAGAATCTTGGAGGGACACTCCTTCAAACCCCTCCCCCGCCTCGCATCCTCCGCCAAGTCCCTCCACTGCCGGAACACGACCTCCTCCCACCCTTCACACCTAATATCGCACGCGTTCCCAAGCACCGCGATCTCCCCCAGACAAACCGCCGAGAGCTCAAGCTTCCCTCCGTCCTCGGTCGGCACAATCCGGAACGACTGGTCACCCCAGTGTCCTCCGGCCGCGAACTCGGTAAGAGGTAGATGCGCGAGTATCGTCCGCCCGGAATTCACCCTCCAATCCGGCACCCAGCTCGGCAACCTGTCGCTCTTCACCCGGCCCTGAACCGTCGAGAGAAAGTCCAGCCCGGCATCGGAGAGCAGCAGCGTCGCGAACTGCGTATACACAGTCCTCACATCACTCCCGTAATCCGTCATCCTCGCCCTCGTCTTCTCGTCCTCGATGACCTCCACCGCGCTCACCGCACCACCACCACCACCACCACCACCGCCGAGCCCCCTGGCCTTCCCGCGCATCCCGCCGCCCCTGTCGTCGTCCCCGCCGAACCCCGAACTCCGGTACGTCTCGATCTGCGACCGCGTCATGAGGGCCGGGTAGAGCGGGAGGAAGGCGAAGACGCGATCGCGCGGGTCCGCGGGGGCGGCGCAGGAGCTCGCCTCGGCCACGGCCTTGAGGAACTGCGTCGTCGTCAGGCTCGGGATCGCGCCGCGCTGTTTGAGGCGCCGGATGGGCGACGTCACGGGTACGGCGAGGTCGAGGGTGCGCGCGCAGAGGGAGAAGTTGGTGAAGGGCGTCAGGGCGGCGGCGTGCAGGACGAAGGCGGCGCGGGAGCGGGCTATCTGCGGGATGGACCAGGTCTGGGAGAACCAGGGGTGCGCGAAGAGGTGCTGGAGGAGGAGGAGGGTTTGTGGAGGGGTGGAGCGGAAGCGGCCAAGGGATATGAAGGATATGGCTTCCGCGTAGTCGCCGGCGAGGGGGATTATGACGCGCCAGGCGGCGTGGAAGATTTGTGGTGTGATGAGGACTTGGGCGCTGCGTTCGGCGGTGTTGGAGGCGTTGATGCTCAGCGCGTCGAGCCAGAGGGTGCGCGGCCTGTCTGCGTGGCGGAGGGCGAGGAGGGTTGATGCGACGGCGTGCGGGATTGTAAGGTTTGTCGGGGCCGAGGGGATGAGGATGGGAGAGAGGACGCGAATGAGGGCATCGTGAGAGTCTGTCGGGGCGCAGTAGTGGGAGATTGCTTCGTAGGGGGGCGCGTCGCTGCGGTGGCAGGCGAGGATGCGGCAGGTGAGAGGGTCCGACGGGTCGGAGGACGATTCGAGGACGACGAGGCGGATCTGGTCTCTTTCTAAGGGGGAGTAGGTGTAGGATGAGGATTTGGAGGGTTGTGGTGATGATGGTTTTGGTGGTGAAGGGGCGGCGGCGGCTGCCACGTGTAAGCACTCGTTGGACCTCATTCTTGGTGTCTTTTTGTTTTCTGTTTTCCACGTGAAAATGCTGAGGGAGAGGATGGAGAGACAATGGAGAAGCCACCGGGACGGGACCTAGAAGGACGGAGGAACACGCGAAGAAGGATGCGAACAAAGGTATTTGTTTGCTTCTGTCTGTATGGGGTTCTAGTTCGAATCTCTCGAGGGGCCCGGACACACGGACGGCGACGGTCGATCCCCCGGACGTTTTCCGCACCGGCCTTTTCGTTTCTTGGAGATTTGGGGATGGAGGAGGGTTGCAAAGGCCGACACTGCCACCGCGCCTACGCTCGAACGCTTACCCGCAGGATGCATTGCATGAAAGGGCCGACACCCTGGGATCCTGTCTGTTTCCCAGTCCTCTCATGTTTCTAGGCTGCGAATCTTGCAAGAAAGAAGGGGTCCGAGTTGTTGGGTGCCGGAGAACCGTTGGAAAAGCTACTTTTACCACCCATTGTCGGTGGTGAGATTGGAACAAAGGGGGCTTAGTCGGGTGCTCCTTGACCGGGCGTTCATCCGGGAGTTCATGCGATGTGGGAGATTTGCTGGTAAGACATGGGATTTGGGCTTTTTGGGTTTGATGGGAAAAGAGAAGAAGACGAGATGACCGGACGGACGGACGGACGGTGCTAGGCCTGGTGGCTTGATGAAGCCGCTGACGCCATGAGGGAAATGACGGCGTTTGGTACGTTACAGGATTCGCAACTTTGCGAGATTGGAGTCTGACCATTTTCTTTCTTCTCCCTCTATTCCACGTGTTGGGTAAGTAATCTTTTCACCAGGAGTGACTAAAGTATCTGACAAGAAGTTCTGGAAACGTTCTCCTCAACGGGAGCCGTCATGACATGATACACGACCCCCTCTTCTCATCGGCCCGGCGGTGGTGCTTCGGGACGTGATTCTCCAAGGCGCAGCACAACGGGTGCGCGTGCGGTCCGAAACACTCCGGTCCCATGTCGATCACCCTCGCCTTCCTGTTGCCCCATCCCTCGCCGTAGTTGGCCGTGGCGTGATACACGCAGTACACCCTGCTCCGGTCCCGCGGGTTCGGCAGGAAACTCGCGTGGCCCGGGCCGAAGGGCCCGCCGCACCGCTTGTGGCTCTTCATCAGCGGCGTCGAGCGCTTCGCCCAGCTCGCCGGGTTCAGGGGATCCTGTCCCACGAGAGGGAGGAGGCCGAGCTTGTAGTGGCTCGTCCAGCTGCCGTCGGCGGAGTAGACGATGCCGCGGAAGACGCCCGGTATGTTGACCCACGTCGGGCCCTCGTTGACCCCGCGCCGGCCGTCGTCGGGCCTCTCCCACTCTAGCTCGGCGCGGGAGATGCACACCAGCGTCTCGGTGAGCGCCCGCTCCGGCCCGGCCATCTTGATGAGGAAGAGGTCCTGCTCCGTGTCGGAGTGGTCGCCGATGGGCCAGCCGGACCAGCAGCAGTAGAGGTCCCTGCCGTCGGGGCTGAAGACGGTGGCGTCGATGGACCAGTGGTCCGGCATGCCCTTGAGGGGGCCGAGGAACTCCCAGGCGGAGGCGTCCATGGGGTCCTGGGAGGCGCAGCGGAGGACCGTGGTGCGGTGGCCCGGGTTGCCGACGCCGGGGGGCGCGCCGCAGGTGTAGACGTACCAGCGGCCGGCGAGGTAGTGGAGCTCGGGGGCCCAGATGTTGACGGACCAGGGGGATCCGGGGGCCGGGTGCCAGATTGTCGATTTTTGGGGGTGGTGGAAGTCTTCGAGCGTGGGCGAGGACCAGATCTCGATGCGGTTGTCGAGGGTGAATGTGAAGTAGAACCGGCCGTTGCCTGCTATGATCCAGGGGTCGGGGGTGTCGATGTTGCAGATTGTCTTGTTGGACATTTTTTGGTGATGTTGCAGTGATGTTGTCAGGATTGATGAAATCTCGGATGTGCGTGTCGAAAGAAGCAATGAGCGTCAGGGGTAGTGGTGAAGTTACTGTTGGTTTGTCTTTGAGATTGCGTTGTGATGGTTGGAAATCGCACGTGGTTTGGAGAAAGTGAGATGTGAGACTGATGAGAGTGAGAGCGGCGCGTTTGGACCGGCGAACGGGAACGTCACTGTGTTTCAGCCATAGTCATCTGATGATTCGGTTCTTGGGAGATGAGGGGATCTACAGGGACCGGGGCGTGTTGTATTTGGGGGTTTTGCGTCATTTCTCCGCATGCTCGGCCCTGGATTGATGAGCGGAGTTGTTTGGCTAGTTCGTTGCCAACGTGAATGCCGCTGTCGCGATGTTTTTCAGGTAATGGACCATCGTGTATTGGTACGGCCCCTTCGTTCAGTTCCGAGATGTTAAATGCCGTCCCTCGTCGTTGGGAAACAACTAGATAGCAACGGATGTCTTGTTTTCACCTAACTAAGCGACCATGCTTAGTCCCCGGGCCCCCAGACCCGAGGCATTAGCAGGGTGGTGGCTCCTAATCGATGTACTTCGAAGTCTCATCTTTTCCATCGTCTAAATGAGCCTGGTGTTTTGTGCGACGTCGATTTGGTGTAACCGGTCGCCGAGCTTTGCAGGAATTGGTCGTGAAACGTTCCCGACAAGCTGGTAAATGATCGCATAGAGATGCGGGAACGGGTGTCTGCGTCTCGATGTGAACAACGGAAACGTCCATAGCAACATACAATTAGAAAGAAAAGCAGTTGATAGAAATTGGGAGACCAACCCTTAAGTTCTTGATATGGGCAGTGCACATTTCACAGTGTTGGCCGGAGTTCCGCTCGTATCCCGCTTCCTTCGTTGATGACAGCCAGTGCTGCTTCGGCTTCGAGAGAAAACACCGACGGAGAATTTCATCAACATCGGGAATATTGTTGATGAAGCCTATGGCTTAGACTCATGGTTCCGAATCCGTGTCCGCAGGGCCTGTCTTCCAATCGGAGCGAGGCCGAGAGGGGCCCGGGCGATCTCGGTCGAGTGGGTCCCGATCAAGTGGATACCGTTGCCGATTCCGTTCCCGTTCCCGTTGGTTTCTTTTCCAGCGGTGCCTGGCTTGGACTCCGTGCTGCGCCATCCTGCCACCGAATCCTTCCCATATGCTTATTTTTATACCAGACCAACGATTTTCGGTCTCTGAGGCTTTCTCAGGGTCGTTGCAGATGATGGGAATGGCGTATTCACGGCCACGACAGCAAAGCTCTTGGCGCTAAAGTTCGTCCCTTGGGATGTCGTGTTGCTTGACTGCCGTGCTGCGCCTCGGCGTGTCTTGAATCCTTTGCAACGCGTCTTCGGTATCACCAGTTTCGATGAGTCGCTCGGTGTTAGTAGTCGATGGTTTGAGCTGCGGAGACATATTGAGACTTTAGGACATAAGAATCACCTAAATCGCTCAATATTGCACGAGCAGAATGCCTCCAATCCCATCGCATCAGCATTAAACTTATATCACAACACCTCATATCTTCCAAGACTTGATTGCCAGGAAACTTATGATCTTCTGCCGTATTCTGTCTTTTACATTTCTTTCAGCCGTGTTCCAGGCGAACACTTTCCCTCGCGATGGCTACCTCCTACGACAACAGTAACAGAAGCACGCCAGCTAACATCAACCTCATCAATATTGAGAGTATCGACTCAACAGAACCCAGCATCACCTACTCGAGGGAGTCCGGACCCAGTCGAAACCACAAACTGCATCTAGGAGGGCATAGCCGAGACGGCTCCGCAAACCCCCTCATGAAGCCACCGAGCGAAACATCATCCAACCACGAGGACAGCGACGAAGACCTACCTCTCGGCCAAGCCATCCGCCGATACCCAAAGTTCGTAGCATACGCCCTCTCGCTCACCATCATCGTCCTCGGATGGGGCTACGCCCTCGTCATCGTCGGCACAATCGTCGCAGTCGAGTCCTTCCAGCACGACTACGGCGAAGTCCTCGACGGCGAGTGGATCATCCCGGCACTCTGGGTCTCCCTGTGGTCCGCAGCCATCCCTCTGGGCATGGCCTTCGGCTCCGTCTTCGCGGGATGGTACCAAGACCGCGTCGGACGCCGTGTAAGCCTGAGAACGGGGAGTGTCATCTGCGCGGTCGGCGTCGCGGGCATCTTCTTCTCGTACATCCCATCCGACATCACCGCCATGCGATCCATGTTCTTCGTCGGTAAGACTGTCCAGGGCTTCGCCATCGGCATCCTCAAAGTCACCGCCCTGACGTATATCTCCGAAACCGCACCGACGTCGCTCCGCGGCTCGGCGCTAGCTCTCGTGCCGACGGGTAACCTCGTCGGCCAGCTGATCGGATCGATCGTGCTCTTCGTCTTGAACACGTATCCGGGACGGGCCGGATATCTCGCCTCCTTCGGATCCCAGTGGACGTTGGGCGTCTTGCCCTTCGCGCTTTCTCTCATTCTTCCGGAGAGCCCGGCGTACCTGGAAGAGAAGGGTCATTCGGAGAAGGCTCTCGAGTCTGCACGCAAGCTCTATGCTCCCCGTGCTGACGCTCTCCGAGCTCTCCAGAAGATCCGGGCTAGTATCTTGGAGGAGAAAGAAAACTCCTCGGGCGCCACTTACTTGAGCTGTTTCCAAGGCACCAACCGCCGCCGAACCAACATTGTGATTCTGGCCAACCTGCTCCCCGCCATGTTCGGACTCGACCTCATCTCCAAGTCGAGCTACTTCCTCCAGACCCTCGGCATGAAATCGAGCATAAGCCTGATGATCCTCATCGGCGGCATCGTCGCCGGGACAATCGCCAATCTCGCCGGGCTGTGGATCCTGTCCCGCGTCGGCCGGAGAAAAGTATCACTCATCTCTCTAATCGCAACGACCGTTCTCTGGGTCGGTGTGAGCATTTCCGGATTCTGGACAGGTCCGGCGGTCGCGTACTTCACGGCCGGCGGATGTATAGCCATTGTCATCATCTGCGGCATGGGTGTCTGGCCCGCGGGTTATGCCATCATGGGCGAGAGCAGCTCCTTGAGGTTGCGGGCTAAGTCTCAGGGCGTAGGGAGTGTGGTGCAGCAGGCTTCTTCTGTTGTGATGAATATCGTCCTCCCGTACGCCTTCAACAAGGATGCCGGACATCTGGGAGCCAAAACCGGGTTTATCTTTGTCGGACTGTGCGCGATCGCCGTTGTGGTTTGTTTCTACTATCTACCGGAGATGAAGGGTCGGAGTGTGATCGAGATTGATCGCATGTTTGAGCTTAGGCTTCCTGCTCGCGAGTTCAAGCATTGGAGGGGAGATGAGGAAGAGTCGGCATAAAGAAGACAATGTGAGATGATGTATGAGAATGACAGTTATTGAATCTTTAGCAATAGAATCAGGGCGTTATGATTGGACAATTAGTACAATAGCTTTTATAAGTCATTTATGGACCACGGTTAATGAATCTCATTTGTTTTTGCTCCGGGACGGCTAGTATTGGCTAGATTGAGTGACATGCCGAAGCCCCGTCTTTTTGTCATAAACACCGATATGCTTAGAATTCAGTTGCAATCATTGTCGTTTGCAACTGAACAATACCTAACTAGGTGTTTCGGTCATGATCTGATAGTAGATAACAGGACGAGACGAGTTATTCGATATCAATATCGCCCAAAAGAGCTACTGGCTCACTCCATTGTTCTCACCAATCCTCAGCAAGTACTTCTTGGCAGAGTTCTTCCCGGCCTCTAGGTCCTTCAACGCCCCCTCCAGAGCATCCAATCCACCAGTGAGCACCTCGTACGGATGGCCGGCAAACCAGCCCTCCTCCAGCCCGAGGCCCATGAACGGGAAGAAGACGGCCCCGAACTCCCTATCCCCGAGCACCGCCCCTGGACCCGGTCTCGGCGAGTGAACAGTTCCGACCATGATGTTGGTCACCGTAGCGGACACCTCCTTGGATGGCACCGGCAGGACGGTGACGATCCTACCCCGGCCGGGCGCGAGAGCCTTATCGACCGCCAGAAGCGTCCGTGTCTCGGAGACGGTGTCGAAGGCTTGGAGGACCGCGTCTCCGCCCGCGATGCGTTCGATCTCGTCGATGACGTGGGATTCTCCCTTGCGGTAGTCGATGACTGCGTCGCCTCGGTCCTTGTTGAGCAGGGTCTCGACGTACGGGATGCCATTCCCAGCGACGGCGATGATGGGGTGGACGCCAGAGAGCGCGGCCAGCTTGATGGCGAAGGAGCCTACTGCGGTTGCGCCGCCATAGATGACCAGAGGGAGGGGCTGAGTGGCCGGGTTCCAGGGGAGTGGGAGATCGAGTGTCTGGTAGAGCCCGAGAGCGGCCGTCATCGCGGCCAGAGGGATCGTTGCTGCCTCTGTGACGATGTCAATCCTTTCCCCCGCAAGATTAGTTTCCTTCATTGCTCACCTTCGAAAGTAGTATGGTCCGGTAGGCGGAAAGTCGACCGAGCCCACGCGATCGAGTACTCGGCATAGCTCCCGTGAGGAGTGCCCATCTCGTGGAAGGCGGCCACGCGGTCGCCCTTCTGAAAGCCCGAGACGCCCTCGCCCACTGCTTCCACGTAACCGGCGATGTCGTCGCCGTGGTTGGCAGGCTCGGCGTTGGGGGCCCAGACCTTTGGCATCTTCCAGTCCTTAGGATTGGTCCCCGAGACCACGGTCCGGATCAGGAGCTGGCCTGGGCCAGGGGCTGGGACGGGCACATCGTGGACCGTCACGCGGAGGGCGTTGTCGATAAGTGCTTCCTTCATTGTAGGATTTTGTGAGGTTGAAGATGTTGATGGTCTGTTGAAGGATATGAGAGTTCCGATTCTTGCTGGCTAAAAGAACTACGAGTTGAACTGGGAGATGCTACTTATATTGCCGTTGATGATCGAGCGTCCGTTGTGACTTCTCGCTGCTGAGCGTGTATTTGCCGGGTGAAGACCCGAAGCAACATCCACTGCTCGTCCTAATGTCTGCCAGGTTGGCCATGATGACCAAGCCATCTTGACTCTTGAAGCCATGCCCACGATAGACCCCGAATTGCGTTGTTGAGGTTCGATGGTGGTGACAAATGGCTTTTCACGTATTCTCTAAAGGCCGTCTGCTTTTGTTCAGCAATCGGCTCAACAATCTGTCCGAACGCGCGACTTGCAAGGATCCATCGGACAAGTCCACTGTCACGCAAAGCCGCTCGGGGTGGACCCAACGCCGGGTTTGGCAACGTTCGCCTGAGTCATCTACAGGAGGAAGACAACGCCTTCACATTATTCTGGATGGAAAGTTTAAACCTTGGGGAATACCACGATTATTTCTCGTGGATTACTTACCAAATGTCGGCCAAGGCTATTCTCCAAATTGTTAACCAGATGAAGCATTTACTTCACTAGGTACTTATTGTAACCTTGACACGACTAGAATAGTCCTAGCTAATTATCTCACTAACAAGAACTTTGAGTATCTACCAAAATGCTGTAGTATCACGAAAAATGTATACTCCTTGGGTATGGCGATATATTGACCAGAATAATAAGGGTGGCTGCATTATATTGCGCGGCATATTGCATTTGCTGCAGCATCGCGAAGTTATAAAAACTAGCAAGATTGAGATAGACGACTGTCAAGCTACTAGGATGATCGCGGAGCGTTTATTTTGGATCAACGAGACCGCAGTCTTTATAAGCCGTTCAACGATCAAAGTACTTACCAGGAGTATGTAGCTTGAAAGCCATCAACTCTGACCATCGTTTGCAGCTGCTCGGTGAACTCAAATGGGGCTTCGGCCCTGCTCTGACTGTAGATAGCAAGCCGAGATGGCGCTGATGGTGCCCTGTCCGGCGGTTGAAAACGTTTTCAGTTTTGCTAATGATGAGAAGAGATGTCGCTTAATTTACTACAGATTTTGAGAATACCACGTAAGGTCTCAGTTCCGATCTGGCTCCCAGTCCGTCGGCTCCCAGTCCGTCAATTCCAGATCTGCCACCCCCTGATTATTGAATAGCGGATTGTTATATGTGAATCCCTCATTGATGAACGGCAGGTTGTTGAATATTATTCCCGGATCTGCCACCCCCTCATTCGTCAATGGCGGATTGTTGAATGTGAATCCCTCATTGGTGAACGGCAGGTTGTTGAATGTTATTCTCTCATCGATGTAAGACGTGCTGTTAACTGCAGTCTCCTCGGCGATTCCCCATTCGAGCTCTCTCCGACGGCTGTTTTCGGCATAGAGGCCTTCATTTGCGCTGGTCATGGCGTCGGTGAACAGAGCATCTCTGGGTGACTGGGACAGAGTTCTTCGTTCATCGAGAGCCGGCTCCAGGAGGTCATCTCCCCGCTCGGTGGCATGAGGTGCTTCTTCTTCTCGTAAGCAACTGACTGAATCCTCCTCATCATCCTGTTCGGTTGGTTCATCAACCACCTCGTGCTCTGACCCAGGACCTTCCGTGTCAACAAATTCGACCTCGTCTTCCGAAGACCAGGTGTCCTGATCGCTCATCTTAGATGACCAAATCCATTTCGAAATTCCTGACTTTCTTTTCCTATAACAGTAGTGACTGTCGTCATCTGCCCAATATCTCCGATCATTCCATACCTTATGATCAGAAGCTGTCCATTCCCTATGCATCTTCAACACCTTTTCTACTGCCCCGTGACCATTGCTTTGGGCCAGTTGTATGGCTCGCATATAGCTCAGCCGAAAATTTCCTTTCGTTCGCGTCCCGCAACTGAGTAAAAGCTGAACTATTTCTAGAGCCCCCTTCTCTGCGGCTGTTTGTAGAGGCGTTCGCTTCTTTTCCATAATCCCTGCCCAGCTAGGAGACGATGGCGCTTCATTGATGTCAGCCCCAAGGTCTATCAATCTGTTGACAAGACCAATCCAGCCGCGTCGAACCGCCGTGTGCAACGCTGAGTTTTCGTTAAAGCTTGCCGGAGCATTGACGTTAGCACCCGCCTCGAGAAGCAGATTTACCATGTTCATGTTACCCGAACCAATGGCTTCCCTGAGAAGATATTTTCCACGCTGGACATCCTCCTTCATGTCGATGATATCTCCGTCAAGGCTCAACAATACATGAACCACATCTTCTCTGTCAGCGCGAAGTGCATAAGCCAATGCCTCCATGTGGCAGTTTCTGTTGTTGAGACTCGGAAAACATGATAAATATCGGACGATTTCTATCGTGCTTTCATATGCTGCATGGCAAAGTATTGAAGAATCTGGATAGTACCCATGGTCTTGAAGCTTCGCAATGGATTTCTTGGACCGGAGAGCGAACAGGAAGGGGGAAATAACCTTTTTGCATCTCTCGTGTGCATACCAGAAAGGCATGCCATCTTCATCGCAGAGTTCAGCAATTTGGTCGCCAAGAAACTGGATTATATGTACCTTCCAACCTGTTGGGTCAACAGGAAATGCCGCCAATGTTGGCGCTTCGAAGGCATCTAGAAGCAAGTCGAGGACCTCTTGCTTCTCGTAGAAAGCGGCAATGCCAATAGCTAAGCCCTCCAGGTACGACGGTTCGACTTCCTTTGGGCGCCTGTTTAGAAGGACTTTGATAAGCTTGGTCGCAGTAGACGAGGTGCTCAACACTGCGGCACAGAGGCTGCCGGCATCATAAACTGCAGGAGTTCGTGCCATGACGTTCTTCAACGTTTCGTTGCAACCACTGAGGATGGCTGCTTCAAGCATCGACATGCCATCGTTTGTGAGAGGGTGGACGTGATTCCTCTCAGGATATTCCTCCACATCCTCAAGTTCCGGAGGACTGATGGTTGGTACCAAAAGGCTTTGGGCGACACCAATCCTATCACAAAAGATGATCTCTTCCGCAAGTCTCCATTCGCCCAAGAGCGTTGCTTGTACAGCCTCTCCACCCTTGAGAGATGCACCAGAACAAAGCAGCATTCTGACAACCACTAGGCAGTCATCATTTACTTGCGAATGCATACTGCCTCCGCGCATATTCAGAGCCGCCTGCAGGGGTGTGCGGCCGTCCTCCCCACACCAGTTGATGTCTGCTTTAGCCGCCAATCCGAAGGACACAAGCTGAACGTCCTGAGGATAGCATGCGCCGTAGTGGATGATCCAGTCTGGTACTTGTGCTCCGAGGTCATGTAACAAAAGCACGGTAGGTCTTTCCTCGCCTAAGATGGCAGCCCCCATAACATTGCTCAGCGAGGGCCAATGTTCATCCCCAAGTTCTCCTTTGACATTTCCTTTGAAGTTGAGGATGAACCATTGGTCTGTGCTGTAGGAATTAAACGCCTCTAACTCTTTGACCGCCACAATTGCATTAGCGTCAGCACCTGCGCGTAGCAAGACTTTGACAATAGAATTATACCCCTGTCTTGCTGAAAGATGAAGAGGTGAAGGTAATTCCAAAGGGAACCCAGCACCATCCACGTTTGCTCCATGTTTCAGCAAGAATACGCAAGTTTCGAGCTGTCCCCAGAATGCCGCCATGTGTAGCGCAGTGAATCCACAACTATCAGCGATTGTAATCTTGTAGCCATTTTTTGCTAACTCAGCAAGAATTGAGTCATGGCCCCAAGACGCCGCAGCTAGGAAGACATCTGGCGAAATGAAATGACCATCTTGCGGTGCTGACCCATGTCGGTCTGCATATTTTAGCAAAAGCTGCATGGTTTGTCTTGCTGTTTCTTCACCACTTGTTTCCATGGCACATCCGATGACACTGAGCCTTGCGCGATGGCCCAGTGTGCTCGATCCGTTATGGTACAGCAATCTTGATGAATTGGAAGCAATGCACCAGAACAAAGGGTCGGCGCCATTCTGTAGAAGTATCTCCATGAGTTTGGTTCGACGTAGTTGTACTGCTAGCATGAGAGCAGAAGGGTCCGAATAACTCGACTTTCGATTTCCATCTTCGTTCAATGAGAACCCAACTTCTAAAAGCCGCTGGAGCAGGACTGCTCCAGTATCGCCGTGAACCTCAATTACATCTAGCAAAGGATTTCGGCGGTCAGCCAAACCAGGCCAGTCCAACCCAGCGTTGAGATCCAGCATCTCAAGTGCAATGCCAGGCTTACATCCGTTGATGACTGACCGCAGCGCTGAGCGAGGCGAATTAATATCATCCCGCGTAAACGCAACGGGGCTCTGCCCCGATCGAAGGAGCCAGCTGGTGAGGCTTTCGCTTCTTGTTCGCAAATCCCCATGATCAATGATGTCTTCGAGATTGACCACTTTCAGAGCCTTAATGAAAAGGTTGTCCGAGATTGATTCAACTGTCAAATCCTTGGATTGTCGAAAGGGGAATGGTTTGCTGGTGATACCAGACCAATCAAGAAGGTCAAGTATAAGGCGCCACTCGGACATTGTTGTTGGAAAGTTGTTGGATAACCAATATAGCATTGACTTCATCTGCTCGTGGACCTTCTCCAGAGGTGTTCCTCTGAGCATGAGTTGAGCACGGCTGGTATTCTCGTTCTCGTATGCTTCAGGTATCAATAACCCAAACGCGGTAGGAAGTTGGGAGACATGGTCCATATTAAGCCCCAGACAATCTAGACTCAGCGTTGGCATCAGTGGGCGCAGCCCATGAAGCAAGCTCAATCCCGTCGGATTAGGTGAGGTATTCAATTGTAGAACTTCTTGGGGTCAGATTCTGAATGCTTTTACAGGCAGATGCGGTACTGACGTGCTGGGATATTGCTTTGGAACTGCAGCCATGGAAGATTAGAAGGCCAGCGAATTGTCATCGGTACTGGCGATGGGGTTCGCAGGGAGATGAGAACCCCTTCGGGTGTGTTCGGTCTTGGAGGTTCTAGGCCAAGTCAATGGGAAAAAACATTAAAAACGATTAGCGATCAGGAGTGAACTTACGCATCCAACGGCTTGCCAACGAAGGCGGCTGGTATCTCCTGGTTTCTCTGGAAACCTTGTCGGGGTTCTGGATTTCCCCCGAAACGATGACCTGAGTCTTTCTCCCTCGACGGCTACCGCTTTGCAAGTGGTAGCCAATGTACTTCCAAGTAGCGTCGCCAAATGTCTTTGGTACTCTCTTGCGAACGCCCCATTTCTTAAGGATGTACTCGAGCTGGTGTTTGCTACGGAATATCAGTAAGGCACCAGGAGAAAGATGAGGCGTGACCTGTTACGTTACGAAGAAGCCATCCTTGCCGAGTGTTTCTCTCATGTCGCTCATAGTCTTGCCATCCTGAAACATTCGATGGATGGCGATCTTGTGTTTCTCCCACTCCGTAGCTGGTATCCGTTGTCTGGATGAAGCCATCATGAACAGGAAGTGTCTTAGTTCGAAGTCCAGTTGTAAACAACACACTTCCCTGCGCTCTGGTTGAGAGAGGGACGACATGAAGTGCAAGAGGGACAAAACCCCATCAATAAAATGTGCAGCAAGAGCCTGATGGCGCCTGCCAAGGCCGTGGAGTGCCTGGGGCGCATGCCACTGCGCCGCCTTATTGCCGTCCGATGCACATAAGATCGGGCGACCACTCACTGGCAGCATACAATATCTGAAAGCCAGCAAGAAGACTTGATTGGATAAGACATGCAGCTACCTGCATGCCCCGTCATGTATGTGTATGCTGAGCACAATCTCATTGGTTTGCGCCAAAGTCGGACAACAGGTGATGGCGCCAGCTAGCCGCAGCAGCAGAAGTCTCCCTAACCCATTCCCATATCCCGATCTGACACCTGGCCCACGAGCTGCACCTCGCCCTCTCTAAGCTTTGGGCGTGAGAGGCCGCTCGATATGCAGGCTACCGAGAGTGTACAGAGCTTGATCAAATTCGGCTGCTTGCCCCCTGGCGCGGACGTGTCGCTGAAATGTAATCTACCTAGCTCAGAGCCTGATCCTTCAAGAAGACGCTAATTAATGCGCGATTGCATCTGATTTCCCATGCTTGAGAATCCGACTTTGGTCTGAGCCAGTCAGAATTGGCTTCTGGATCCACCTCGGCCTCCATGTCCCTTTCAGATATTGTTGCCAATCGAATGATACTGCTGAGAGTCAACACTAGTCAGTGACGATACGTCTTTTCAGATATTGGAACCCGTGCTGCGATGCCAGTCCTTCTAGGCTTCGGATCTAGGCAACTTTTGTTATTCTTCCGTAAGTTTTGAGGACATCAGGAATAAAACCTGGCCAAATACGCTCCCGATGGGGCTATGGTAGGGCCATTCTCGCCATGTCGCAGACTCATTCGGATCTGAACATTTCAACAACAAACCGAGACAATCTCCGCCACAATCAAGGCTCACTATTCTTTCCAAAATCTCGCGAAATGGAAATTTCACTTGAAGCTATTTTAGCCATGGCGGCAATCGTTGTAGCACTTCCCCCAAGCGTTATTGTCATTTGGAGGGGTTCCCGTAATAGAAATCGCCGCCCCAATGCCAGTGAGTACACGCGTAGGCTGAGAGCACATCACGTTGCTTGGTCTCGGAAATTTAATGCTAAACGTCTTCAGCATTCCGTCATGACACGAATCATGCGGCGACATCTTTCGAGACTCTTCCTTATGAGGAACAGGAAATATCCCTACGGCGGCAGGCACACCCACCTTTCCGGTACTTCGCATATGCCACTCTACAAATGAGTATGGCATTGATTCCGATAGACTCCGTCGTTTATTGGTCTTCAGAGAGGGAAGATGTGAACACGACCGCGTTCGGACAGGAGGACCTGGAGCCATGAGATAGCAGAGTGAGAGGCCGGTCACTTTACGTTAGATATGTACTTATGGTTCATATAAATTTCTTTGTTGATGTAAATTGCAAGGTATTGATAGAAAAATACTTATCCTCATATGAATACTTGGAAGATAGATTGGTTGAGAAACTGACGGAAGTATGTACTAACATGTTTGTGCCCAGGGGATGGCTCAGAAGTCACCATGGTGATTGTTTCGGGCCTTGCTCAGACTGTAGATGGCAGACCGAGACGGACCCAGCGGATGACCAGTCCGCGGACCAAGATCACTGGTAGATGGCCAATATTAAACCACTGTTCATTCTGCAACGGTGGCATACTAGCCACACAAGTTGCAGACATATCAATCGCCAAATGATAATGGATACCAGGTCCGAAATCCCGTCGACTCACGTATGCTATTTCTATCCCCAAGAACAGCTTACTGAACCTCATTCTCTTCGAGACGCTACACAAAACTACACTTGTGCCAAGAATAAGCCCTCTAGGTAGGCAATCAGAACATCCGGGCTGATGACCCGGCCGCACCTCGGCACTTGGCGGACTAGGCATAGTCTCGGTATCCCAACGGGAAAGCAGTAAACTCAGCCTTGGCCTCATGGCACTCCACAGTCCAAGACCATTCAGGCTAAATGCTATCGCTTCGTTATTGGGTGATGCCCAGCCTTGTCATTCAATGGACGTCTCTGTCTGGCTGATCTCACCTTCCGTCTCTCTGTTTCTGTCCTCGTCAGTCGCTCAGCTGCCGGCATCATTTCTCTTGGACGGCTTGGAGGTATACCTTTTGTCCACCAGGACTGCTTCCAGGCAAATTGGACTTTGATCCCTGGCATATCTCATATGACAGAACTTCGCCTTTCCAAGAAGCGCAGACGGGAGGATCGCCCGACATGCCGGTTGAATGGTCGCAGCCCGCGTCTCCCCAGATATATAACCCCAGCTCCTCCGCTGCTGGCCGTGACCGGTGGAGGTTGCAGGTAGTGCCGTTTGATAATCGGCTTTCAGAGCATAAAACAACTGCGAATATTTCAAGCCAAATATGGGTCCCTTCTCGAAGATCAAGGGCTCGAAGCCCAACCGAGAAGCTACTGCACATGCTCAAGAGGAAGCCCCCGAGTTCGAGCATGTCACTTGGTATCGCGATCCTGGGCTAAGGAAGCTGTACTGGCACGCCTTCATCCTCTGCATCGCTTCTGCTAGCACTGGCTATGATGGGTACAGGTGGAAACATCCAGAGTTTCGTGCATCAGTTGACATGATATAGGATGTTCTTCAACTCTGTCCAGAACTTCGAATCATGGAAGGAGTACTTTGACTACCCGAGCGACCACCTCCTTGGTCTACTGGCTGCGCTTTATCAGATTGGCAGTCTAGGTTCCATCCCAATCGTGTGAGAATCGCGTTCTGGTATTCTTGACTGATGACATATGGCTTATCAACGGTTAATAGCCCGTACTTCACGGATCATTGGGGCCGTCGACTGCCTATCGTCATCGGAGGTGTGATCACCATTGCCGGTGCTGCGCTCCAGGCCTTCTGCCAGAATATGGGGGGTAAGAAGAAGACGAAGAAGCCCAAGACAAGATCTCAATTGATTGGGAGTAGGTTTCATGGGTGGTCGAGTCCTGCTTGGCTTCGGGAATTCATTCTCCCAGATGGCTTCGCCGATGCTTCTCACGGAAATCGCCCACCCTCAACATCGAGCAAGGCTCACTACCGTGTATAACTGCCTTTGGAATGTTGGAGCTCTACGTAAGCCCCGCCATGAGAAGTTGTACCTCATCTTGTATTGACAAATCCAAAGTTGTCGCGTGGACATCCTTCGGTACCGACTTCATGGACAATGAGTGGTCGTGGAGAATCCCAGCTCTCTTGCAGGCCCTCGTATGTGCATCGTAGAGATGTTGTTGAACATCCACTGACTTCTCATGTAGCCATCGGTCATTCAAGTGATTGGGATCTGGTGTAAGTTGAATCCAATTCTGGGACTAGTCTCGAGCTGATCGATCAGGGGTACCTGAGTCGCCACGATATTTGATCGCCAACGACAAGCTTGACCAGGCTATGACGATTCTGGCCAAGTACCACGCCAACGGAAATGTGGAGCATCCGACTGTGAAGTTCGAGTATCGTGAGATCACTGAAACCATCAAGATGGAACAGGCTGCCAAGGAGCACAGCAGTTATCTCGATTTCTTCCGCACTCCCGGCAACCGATATCGGTTTATGATCCTTATATCGCTCGGGATTTTCAGTCAGTGGTCCGGGAACGCAATAATTTCCAATTACACGAATATCCTGTACGAAAATGCTGGTATTCCCGGCTCGACAGAAAAGCTTGGCGTAAGTCTCGTTTCCCTTGGCCGAGAAAACTTGCATGAGTCTGGCTGACCCATGTGCCCTCCAGCTTTCCGCCGGCTCATCAATGGTTTCTCTCATTGTTTCCCTCTCCTTCGCGCTTCTGGTTGATAAATTCGGCCGCCGACCCATCTTTCTTCTCTCGACAGGAGGCATGTTTGGCACGTTCATCTTCTGGACCCTTACCTGCGCTCTTTACGAAGAGTACGGTTCACCGGGCGCAAACCATGCCATGATCTTCTTTATCTGGGTATTTAACGTCGCATATGCGATCGCGTGGTCTGGCCTCCTGATCAGTTATGCCGTCGAGATTCTACCTTACACGTTGCGAGCTAAGGGATTGATGATTCTGAACGTCGCGATTCAGTCAGCGCTGACGCTCAATAACTACGCTAATCCAGTCGCTTTGGACTACTTCGAAGGCGAGACCTGGAAGCTGTACCTCATCTACACAGTGAGTCGAATGGTGATGGAAATCATCCAGTAAATGGTATACTAATGTTTTGAATAGTGCTGGATCTTCCTTGAGCTCTGCTTCGTCTTCTTCAAGTATGTTGAGACGAAGGGGCCGACTCTTGAGGAACTTGCCAAAGTTATCGACGGAGCGCACGCGCAAGTGGCACAACTTGATATCCAGCAAATTGAGAAGGAGTCACAAATTCGTAATGGTCGTGATAGTGAGAACGCGGACGGTGTGTCTCGGATTATTCAGTCTACAGACGGCAAAGACCTCCACCGGAACTGAGTCGACGTCGTTGACTAACCGACCAGGTCGATGAGACAGCGGATGGGGCTTGACTGGGATTACTGAGGTAGAACATCCTGCATCATCATTCAATGTCTGGATCATGCAACTCGCTGGCTGCTGGAACCTATGGGTAATTCAGAAAACGAACCGTCTTGTATGAGACCAGACGTTCAAGCTTCCTGTCCCATAATCTGAGGGGAGCTCTTGTGTTGGTTGTCTAGTTCTCTCAACCAATCCAATCAAGTGAGACAATATCAACTCAAGTACATGGAGTACAGCTATCCAACATCAAGTAAACCAAGTTCTTCGATGTAGCTGATTGGGTTCTCACGTATGCCTTGAGTTCTTGCCCAGACATCAGAAGATGAATCCAGAAGCCGTTGTCATGAGGTTGGATGAGAAGCCCACGCTACCCTCAAAGCATCGACTACAGCGCTCGTTGGCCAGGCATGCTGACTTTCAAGATTCGCCATGAAGTCAACAATAGCTCTCTGTTCACCTTCGTCACGGAAATACTCCCCGCACAACGACACGCCAACACCAGCCGTCACCATGGCCGGCTGATCGCGGCAGTTGGAAAGCGCGAGCCCGCAGATCTTGCGCGTCGCTTCCCGTAGCAGCTCTTCCAGCGCCAGATTCGCCGCTTGCGCACCGATTCCCAGTCTCTGGTTCTTCGCGCTGTGTACCGCCAGTATTATGCGCATCAACTCGACATGCTGCAACGCGAGCACCTGGCAGCCGTTGGCTTGCCATATCCGCGGGAAGTACTGGCCCAAATCCGGTTCCCGCTCTTTGTATGCCAGAGGCTTGTAGTGGGGAGGTAGATGGGTATCCCAGTTGTGCTCGAAGGCTTTCAGGGCGTTCCACTGTTCCGTGCGAGATTTCGGGTCTTCGGATTCAACAATATTCTCGGAGGATGTTCCGAAACAGAACTGCAGCACGTATGCACACCAGACGAGGATTCGATTAGCCCAGTCGAAGTCGTCGGCTGCTGCGTCGGGCTCGAATTGGGAACAGTCCTCTGTGCCGTAGAGAGGAAGGCGAAATGGTCTTCGGTAGAGTAAGACAGACCAGATCTCCTGGCGGAGAGCTATGAGTGTAGCCGAGTGTCGTAATGAGGGCATATTTGGAGCATATATATCGGCACTCCGCGGAGGATGGTGAACGATGCTGAACAGACCTATGCTGTCCTCTTGCTGGGCATGGAATACGGCTTGGATGGCATTGATGTATGTCTCGGAGTCGGAACCGGTGAGATGGGCTGTTGCACGCTACCTGTTAGTCAATGTAGTAAATAAACGGCAGACATGGAAGTGATGTCTTACTGTCTACTTGTTCATGGTAGCGAAGAATCGTGATAGCAGTCAGGGCATCATCATTACAGGGATTGGCCGGATCGGTGGATGTGTCCATCAAGTATGATATGCACTTGTTGTGATAATGGATAGCAGACTCCTTGTTCAACTCGGGCAGCGGGATGCCATGAAACTCGATGACCTGATTTGGTCCCCTTTTCGACCAGAGTTGGGTTAGATATCTCGCGGCAGCTGTACATATTGCGTACATCAAGAGAGGGTTGTAGACTGCTCGCTGTGGCACAACCATGACATAATGGCGATCTCGATCGGTCGTGTCAAACTGGAGAACAAAGGTTAGTCCCAAAGCGGACCAAAGGTGAGACATCGTCGACGAGGATCCAAGCAACAATGCGACATCCCGGAAGAAAAGCAGCGGAAGATTCACGTACAGCGGCAGCGAGATTCTCGATGAAGCATCGTATTAGACACCCCTCTTGGAGACCCAACTTTGGGACACCGCCGATATTCGTCGAAACAGATGGAGGTCTAATAATCGGGTCCGAGATGGCGCAATCGGGATGTTGAGAGAGAAGACTTTGCCGTCTAACTCGGCCTTCAGAAGCAGCTCGATTCCACCCTTCAGGAATAGACCTGGGTACTGAGGGACTAAGTGCTGATATTCCAGTGAAGGGTGTGCCGACAGATGATGAAGCCGCCGGAGTGGCAACAGGTTGGAAGTTCACTATTCCTTCATGCTGTGTGTATGGTGGATCGTCGGTTTCCTCACTTGCTGTAGCAACGGGTAACGTCTCGGATACTGTCGAGGAGGATTGAGCCGATCGCCATCGAGTACTTCGCGATGGCCCGGTAACTTGACTCGAGGACTCAGACTGGCTACTCTGCCCTCTTTTAGAGAACGATTGTAAAACTTCTGCAGCTGCCGTGAGTTGGTCCGGTGGCTGGGCTTCTGTTGCCCGGATTGAGGCATCGAATGCCGGTACATCGGGGTTCGGAGGCGGCGGTGGAGGTTCTTGGGGAGCTGTCTTTTTGGACTCGTCGACGATTGAGAGTGTGTCTTGGGAGTCTACATGCAGCAATACAGTTGTCAACAAGAGAGCTCTACGGTAGGGAATAGAGCAGTGGCTTTGAGTAAGGGACTTACTGCTAGTTGTAGATGTATGTAGCCAGGGCTGGTCGGCATCGAACGAGTATTTCTTCGCCGACGTCACCATGCGCTTGAATCTGAAACGGTTGCTCACTCGGACGCAGCGAGACTCCGACTTCTTGCAGCCAGAACATGGTGTTTCTCCATCACCTGCGGCTCATCGTCAGAGAATGTCTAGACCTTCCCAACAGCACGTCCTGTCATCGATCATTGAGGCGCGTACAACCCAGCAAAGACTTCTGCGAGTAACTTACATTTGAGATGTTTTTCTGCGACTTCAAGTCAGATCAACAAATATCTCTAAGTTCTGTGTGATCATCACGTTCCCGAGACAAACGTGCAAGGGTTTTGCGATGAGCCGAGTCCGCGGTACGCGTGGGATGCGTCGATGACCAGATGGCTGGAGGCGATCGAGGTCAAAGAGCAACAAGAAGAGAGATGACATGACATACCTCTGCATTTCGAACAAGGCACAATCCGTTCGCGCCGCTGTGGTGGAGCCATTCCCGTCCTTTCGAGAATCGAGGCTGCCCTCGGACCACAGCTGAAGCGAAATGAAGAGAATCCCAGGATGGAAGCGGTTCGCCGGCGGTCTCCACGAACATAGGAAGGGTGGGTGGTGGACTACGACATTTATCAAGAGAGGATGAAAAGGGACATTACTCGGCGAAGAGGAACGACTTAGCGTCTAGCGGCAGTCCTTAGTTGTAAATCCCTGCTTCTCCAAGCCCTCTTTTAACTGCGTTTTGCGGTGTTAGTGCGGATTTAGTGTCTTAGACTTGCTGATGCTGCAAGTCAAACCCCGCACAAAGCGTCGAGTCTTGGAGACGCAGAACTGTCAGTGGGGAAGAGGGACATCCATGGATAGCTTACATGTTGTCCGCGGGATCCACGGTGCGGTGCCGCGAGCCTCCGAGGATATCATGTGATGATCTCATAAGAGTCGCTGATGAGCTGGAAAAATCCAAGAGTATGAGAATGATTTGACTACCATGTTGAATAAATAAGGCTGTAGCTAGAACTTTGGACTGAGATTAAAGCTGTAACATGGCTCAAACCCTCTCTCTGAGCGAGGGCGGTATGACGACTACGACCACGAGGTACCCAAGTTTGAATACGAATAATAGATAAGAATGATCGATTCACTGTTTTAGAGAAAGTAGCGATCCAATCGCAGGGTTCGTCGGAGTCGCTACGGAACCTTAATCTAGTTACATGTTATTTCTGATGATGGTAAACATATTCTGGCTATCTAAGCCTGCGACAAGCTCGAGACCTGGTATTTTGGATCGGTCCAGATCTCTTCAACAATACGCCTACGAATCTCTTGCTCCTCGGCCACATCATTATCTCCGAACAATGCGGAAATTTGCTCCAGAGACTTATGCGCAGTCTCGGGAACCATGAAAAAGGAGAAAACACCGGCCACGACGCAGAAAGACCCAAAGAATAGGTATGTACCCCAGCCAATCTTGATCAACATCTCAGGGACGCAGACGCCGATGATGAAGTTGGCCAGCCAGATCATGGCGGTCGCCGCGCCTACACCCTTGGCACGCTTCGAGTTGGGGAAGATTTCCGCCGGCAACGTCCATGCCAGGGGTCCATATGAGCAAGCGTAGCAGAGAACGTAGATGTCTGTAATAAAGACCTAGATTAGCATTTGTGAGATGCTTGGTTTTGTTTCCCAAGAACTTACAGATAAGAGCGACGCCAAGCCAGCCCATGGCAGGGTTCTGGTCCCATTTGTTGTTGAACTTCCCGACGACACCGGCCATGATAAGATGAGGCACAGCCATGGCAAAGCCACCGCCGATGGCCAATTTCCTTCGACCCACCTGGTCGAGAAACAGGAACGTCGGGATGCCAGCAACAAGCTGGCAGATGTTCACCATACCAGACAGAATCAGAGGCATGTCACCCTTTTGGCCTAGAGCAGCGAAGAACGTCGGCGCGTAATACACGAAGGCATTGATACCACTGAATTGTTGCAGGAATGGGATGGCCAGAGCAATTGTCGTGCGCTTGAGAAACCGCGGCTTGAACAAGTCTGCCCACTGAGCAAGTTCGGCGGTGAGGGCGTTGGAGCTGGGGTGTTCGCGGGCTACCATCGCCTGCTGAAAACGAACCTCGGACAGGATGCCCTTCCACTCGGTTTGGACTCGTTCGTCGGATACTGCGACGCGGCGGAGCTTGACTAGGGACCCGAGACTGTCTTCGTCACGGCCAACCATGGCGAGCCATCTCGGCGAGAAGGGGAAGAAGTGGATTCCCAGACCGACCATCAAAGCCGGGACCATTTGTAGGGCGAAAGGAAGTCGGAAAGCCCACTCGCTAGGTATGCTTCGTGTTGCGAACTGCATGATTGGATCGTCAGCACGCGATTTCAGAATCAAGGGCATTTGGGGGTTGATCTCACCGTGATCCAGTACGCGATGATCGCACCTATCACGATACTGATGGACTCAAGCACGAGCAGAGACCCGCGAAGGTTAGGCGGCGCGATCTCCGAGATGTAGAGAGGCGCACCCATAGCCAAAGTGCCGACGCCTACTCCACCGATTGTTCGGCCGGCAACTAAAGTGCCTAGATAGTGACGATCAGCCAAAGCCAGGCGCTGCTTCTCGGAAGAAATCAACCTACCGTAGTTATGAGCGGCAGTCTGAATGACAGCCCCGACAACGAAGAAGAATGTTGCGATTGTGAGGGACCATTTTCGGGAGATCTTGTCGGCTAGATAGGGGAGAAACAGACAACCGACGAAAGCACCAAACTCGAGCATTCCGGTCATGAAGCCAGTGTTGAATCCGTATCGAGGGTGCTCGGGGGTGGTTTCGGGGAAGACACCGTGGAACTGAGGCATGACGAGAATGATTGAAATGACACCCTGATCTGATGTCCTGATTAGAGAGAGATCTATGCATCGTGTCAATCAGTCTGCAGAATTGCACGTACCGTAACCGAAAGAGAAGCCGCCGAAGGAGGCCAGGAGAGCAGCTCCCAGCACGTAGGGTGAGCGGACTATGCCTTTGATGCCATCCGCGTCATAGTTGATGGGGGCATCGGCCTGGGCCAAGATGTTGGAGTTCACATCTTCAACTTGACTTTGCGAAGCGTTTCGCGACTGCGACTTCTCCAGCAGGTCAGACATGACAGACGCTCTCCTAGGGAAAGAGGCAGTCGAAATATGGAGGGGAAGCAAAATGAACAGAAAGGTGCCTATGGACGTCTGATATCAAGCCACCTTCCGAATAGTCACAAGAGTAACTGGATATTACAGACCGACACACATGGTCTGAATAGCTTCTGAGCTATCCTCTTTATACTTTCGTCCCATCCATTCTCCATGCAGAGGCCGAGGTGTCAAGATTCATGGATGATGCCTCCAACCAATTAAATCTATCTTATTCTTTACAAAAGAAGTAATTCATATTCCTGTCCTTGGAGAAAGAGATAGCCGGGAGCTAATGCCATTTCCCCACGGGGTATGTCTGTCTCTGGTCTTCGATTAGCCAACCCCGGCAGTTCGTTGACAGGCTCTGGTGGGAGCGGAACATGGGGAAAGAGAGCTTGCAGACCTACAGATACATAACATGTGTGAATGGGGCAGAGTCCAAGTGGCACAAGATGGGACGTAGATTGACTCGCTGTGAGTTGAGACGGTCAAGAGATAGTTGGTGGGGATCAGTGTGTCTGGAAAAGGAGCGAATTCGCCGGCGATCCGGCGAAAGATTACCCTTTTAGGACTGACGACGACTCCCCAACTACCCCGCAAATTCCACCCCTCGCAAGTCACACTTACACCCCAGCCAAAAATGCGTCATGCCTCGCGTACTGACTGCAACTCTAGTGTGGGGATAGCTTCACTGGGAACGAAGACGCGGGCGAAGTTGGGGCATGCGGCGCGTTGTTAGCCTATCACACGCAAGTCAATGTCATTCCTCTCGCTCGTGACCCCTTAAGGGCAGCATGTATCTTGAGGCTTGAGCCCATTGCTAGCTTCAGAATGCTGGGGCCGTTGATTCGAACACGATTACATCTCACGCTGTCACCCTTGCCAAGCAATGGTTACGTCCTTACCGAGGAACCTCCATCTACTTCGGAGGATCGGAGGTATGTGGTAACGGAAAGAATCTCCCAGAAACATAGAGAGGAAAAGGGATAATTTCCACATCTGTACATGTAAGTAATCACCAATTCGTAACTTCAGCCAGATCTGTAGAGTCGGAAGTTTACGCCCTTTTAGAAGCCTGATCTTAGACCGGGAAATAGCTCCCTGTCATTAAATGCCTTGAGATTCTGCGATTGGAGTCCATTGATACTACCTAGATCGAATCTGAAGCATGTTGCGTTCCTCCGACGCAAGCTATGATCATTTCGTAACGCAGTTGTATTAGCAAACATGAAGATACCTCGTCTGGCATGAGCAAATGTCAATAAGCTTGCTCAAGAGCGGTGTTCCGCTCTAACTTTATGTGCTGGGTATTGGTCCGAGCCAAAAGCGAAGAGTTGCTGAACTGCAAATGTTTGCAGCAGCAGATATTGACACTGTCGGATTCATCTCGATGCAAGGCACTTCAGATTAAGAATTGGAGGCATCATTCTTATATCTGGCTAAACAGTCCTTGAGAATTAAGGAGAGAAAACTTTGTGGAAATACATTCCCATGATCCTCTTGAGTGTCTCGTATGTGGCTCCCTGAGCCTATTCAACTTCTCGTCGCCAGATCTTTACTGGTAAAGGACCACAGATGATGTTGAACGCCTCGAACCTCTGCAACTGGAAATCAGGTGAAGGCAGAGCAAACTCATATCTATGAACCAGCGACGCCAGCATCATGGTCTGCTCCAAATAGGAAATGTTTCTTCCAATGCAGCCTCTGGCTCCCGTAGAGAACGGGATGAAATACGGTTCCATCTTCTTTCTCTCCTCGGGGTTCAACCATCTCGTCGGCTTAAAGACCTCAGGATCCGGAAAGATCTTCGGATCTCTGTGCGCCCCATATATAGTCATGGAGACGCTTGTATTCCCAGGAATCCACTGGTCCAGAATTCGGGCCCCTTCCGGAGGGGTGCGGCGAGGCAACGGCGCGGATGTAGGAGGGATAAAGCGGAGGGCCTCATCGATACAGGCTCTAAGAAACGGGAGATCTTTGACTTTGTCATAAGGTGCGATCACCTCGTCAGGATCCAGGATACTGTCGACCTCCTTGCGAAGCATTTCCATGTACTGAGGGTGCTTGATGAGAAGCTCCAGAATATGCGTCAAGGCAATGGCTGTTGTGTCTGCACCAGCATTGATGATAGCACCAACTTCGGCGACGATCTCGCCCCACTCGAGGTTGTTGGGCGCACCGGTTTTATCATCCATAATGCAGGAGAAGAAGTCGTCCAGCTTTTCGCCTGCCTGATATCTTCGAAGTCGCTCCGCGGCAGCGTGGTAGTAAACGTCGTCCCAAGGCTTGCCATCTTCCCAGATCTGTTTGTATTTGTTGGGAACTGTCTTCGTGATCCATTCGATCCACGGCCAGAGGTCGTAGTCCCAGACGAAGACGGCTTGAGCAATGGCCGTCTGGTTCTGAGAGTGACGATACCGGGCTTTGTATAAGGTACCATCACGTCTCTCAGCCGTCACGTCGTCTGTACCAGTATCGAGAAGATCCATCTTGGTAGATAGGGTGATGAAGTTGATTGCCTCAATCGTCCAGAGGTTGATCCAGTGGTTGAAGTCGATTGTCAAATCCTCAGGTTCCGGGATGCTGTCTTTCAAAGGGGCGGTGCATCTCTCATCGAAGGCCTTGAACAGTCGCTCAGCAGTGTAAGCAACCTTATACTCCCACTTTTCGAGATTATTGATAGCAAAGGCGGCAGAGAGCAGCTTGCGCTTTCGTGCATGCTCGGGCTTGTCGACAACATCGAAAAGGTGTCGGTGTGTCCCACTCAAGACAACATAGTTATTGTCTTTGATGCACTTGGTACTGTGACCGTAGATGTCTTTGATGGCACGAGTGTCGCTGAACGACAAGGCGTTGGGCCCAGTTCGGAGGATTGGGTGACCGGTGCTCTGATGTGTCTCGTGGAGATTCTTCGATCGGAAGCCCTGTGCAGTGAGATAACAGTGCCTCAAGTCCGTGAAGGGAGAGAACGGTGAGTAGTTGGGGAATTTTCGAAGGCCTTTGGGGTCGTAGAAGTAGTAGATGATCGGGCGGATTATGAGGTAAGAGATGGCTGCTAGAAGAACGATTCCTGCGGCAAGAAACCCAAGCATGATGAAGACCTTCGCGATGGGGAATGTGAAAACAGGATGTAGCTGATGATAAGAGAGTTGACAAGGCTAGAAGGTAGTCGATAGCTTATATCTCATTGACATTCGCCATCGCGACAAACTGAGCACCGGTCTTATACCTACACATCAACCCGCTTTGATTTTGTGTAACCCGTCCAACGGCATGACATACTTCATCGGTCGATTTGATGGCCTCTTTCCTATCCTCAAGTTCAGCCACAAGGAGTCCAGATACGTTCACGATTCCCGCGGGATTGCAACTTTCAAACATAATCCGCGGGGAATCGACACATTGATAGATCATGTCTACCACACATAAGCTGAACCGTCTTGCTTAAAACGCTTACGTATCATACTTGGAGTTATTCGGGTAATTTGGTAGATCGGTGATCTTGATGTGGAAAGAGTTCGCCGTAGAGTCGGAGTCGTCGACCCGAAAGACTGGCAAGCGGGATAGTTCCGGCGTTTACTTGCCTATTTGAGACCAAGCGAGGATGATCTTCTCGAGGTGACACAAAACCAAGTTTGAACAGGATGTAGCTGAATCCCCCGTCATGCGGGGAAGCGATGTTCCCCGTGGGTATTATGTTCGTTCGATCATGGAGACTCTCGGTTCGTGTGAGACCGATCTTGTGTAACTGAAATCGGCGAGAAGCTTCCTGTTGTGTCGATCAACATGAAGATGCGTTGGTGAATACAATTTCTTCCAGCTGGGAGGTCAAGGGATACAGTTCGGGATTCGGAGATTGTCATGGTAGAGTGATGGCAGCAAGGGTCTCAATTGTTTTTTTGAAAGATGCGTCATCTGGATATAATCACCCTTCCAAAGACCTTCAGTGTTGAGGAGTCTAGTAAGATGGCTGCATCTTCAAGCTATGATTCTGGACTTTCAATTTGACTGAAAGCAACCACCAACATGGCGATTTCGTATCTAAACAGCACTCATACTCACCTTCTGATGGACGCTCTTGAAGTTCTCACAAAGAAGGTTAGCTACGATGACTACCTGATATTACCTCTAGTTCTCTTGTTGTCACTCTACGTTTTCAACAGAGGAAGCATCCTCCCCAAGTCCGACCCCTACCACCACAAATGGTTCTGGAAACCTCAGGATGGCATGTTACATGATGCCTCGCCCTCAAAGCGGACCCGCAACATCGCCGAGAAGATCAAAGAGTCGAGCTTTGATGTTGTTATCTTCTGGGGTTCCCAGTCGGGAACAGCAGAAGCCTTTGCCCACCGTTTGGCTCGGGATTTCTATCGACGCTTCAGGTTGAAGGCTCTAGTCGCAGACATATCCGACTACGATCCCGATACGATCACTCTTATTCCCGAGTCAACCCTTTGCATCTTCATCGTATCAACGTATGGAGAGGGAGATCCCAGCGACAATGCGCAAGACTTCATTACTTGGGCCACCTCGGCCACTGGAGTCTCACTTGAGCACCTGCAATACGCTGCGTTTGGCTGCGGAAACAGTAACTACCGGTACTACAACAAAGTCGTCGACGATGTTGTGGCGGCGCTATCAAAGTTCCGAGCAAATGCCGTTGTGTCCGCAGGGAAAGGCAACGAGGCGACTCGCACAACCGAGGAAGACTTTGTGGAGTGGAAAGATGAGCTATTCAAAACTCTTACCTCCTCATTTGGCTACAAGGAATATGATGTGGACTACGAACCGAGCGTCGATGTCGTTTACGCCGATCCGAAGAAAGACACCCCACATATTGGCCAACCTCATTATAAGGCAACGTCGAAGAAAGCAGCAACTCAGAACTCTGCAGTGGTATCTGCGCCCATCAAAGCCATGCGAGAGCTTGTACGATACGACGGTCAAGGCCGAAGTGTCATTGATCTAGAGGTAGACTTCTCTGCTTCTCCCGAGGTCAAGTACAAGACCGGTGACCACATCGCCATCTGGCCCGTCAATCCTGAAGACGAGATCAACTCACTTTTCGAACTTCTTGGGCTTAAACGCAGGAAAAAGGAAGTTATCGAAATCATCCCAAAGTCAGCTGAGGAGAAGGACACTAAAGTACCGAGTCCGACCACAATCCAGGTTCTCTTCCAACACTACCTCGAGATCTGTGCACCAGTTCCACGAGAGTCTGCCCTTTCACTGATCCAATTTGCGCCCACTGAAAAGATGAAAACAGAACTCAGAGCAATTGGGAAGACCAGAGAGACTTACGCTACCTTTCTGGAGATGAACCACATCACCTTGGCCCGACTCCTCAGACACACCGTTTCAATAGATCCATCAGCGGAATGGACAACCTTGCCGTTGTCCTTTGTTGTCGACATTCTCCCAGCAATACAGCCTCGTCTTTACTCAATATCAAGCTCTCGAATCACCTCTCCACGCCACGTCAGTCTCACAGTCTCGGTCAAGCCGTCTCAGCTGGTTGCAAATCCGGGTACTACCATCTCGGGTCTCACCAGCACATACTTATCTCGGCTTAAGCTTACTCAAAGTTCATCTCACGGGCAACTGGACACTAAAACTCCGACAGTTTACGCGCAGATCCGGGGATCGACTTTCAAACTACCAGTACTGCCCTCCGTGCCGCTGATCATGGTTGCTGCTGGCACCGGTATTGCTCCTTTCCGCGCCTTTTTGCGAGAACGCGCCCGACTGGCGTCAGTTGGGAAGGATGTTGGGAACATGACTCTGTTTTTCGGTTGCCAAAGTGAGGCAGACTATCTCTATCATGACGAGATATCCGAAATGGTTGCTGGTCCTTTGAATGGAAAGCTTGAGGTGACGACAGCCTTTTCCAGGGGTTCAGGGACAAAGATGTATGTCCAGCACCGGCTGCAGGCAAGAGGTGAAGATGTTGGACGACTTCTGCTCGAGAAGGATGCGGCATTCTATATCTGCGGGGCGGCAAACATGGCGAAGGCGGTGGGTGGCGTTGTGAGAGATATCGTGAAGCAGGCAAAGAGTTGGGATGATTCTCAAGTCGAGGATTGGAGACAGGAACGGAAAAGGTCGAAGAGGTGGTTCGAGGATGTCTGGAGTTGATCGTGGTCATGCCACAACACTGTATATTTGCCAAGTTGCGTTGCTCTGGAAGACAAAGTCTTTCTATTGAGTGAGTGTGAGTGTGGAACGCAAAGTCTTTTTCATTGTCTATCGCTGTTATTCATAACAAGGATCTACTTTCACCAGACCATATCAACGAGAGTTGCTCTTGAAATGACTGTGCCGCTGGTCGGGGCTAGCGTGATGGTCAACGCCCTCAGCCTGCTGGCCCTGCGCATAACATCCTGCCGCCCATCCATTCGTAACGAGGTCTTTCTGACTGTCGTCGTCCTCGATCGGGATGACATTCATCTCTATTGACCTTTGGACCTGTATTTCCATCTTCGTCTTGTCCGCATCGCGCTGCGAGAAGTTTCTGGAGCGCTTATCGAAGCTCTGGAGTTGGAGGTTCCCCGCCGTGCTTCGACCGTATGGGGTTTTTGAATAGTTCTTGTAGGTCCCCAGCTTTGGAATGATCTTGATGAAGAGGGCCTTGAGGGCGGGAACGGACGCGCAGATTATCGCAATGTTGATTTCCAGACCTGACCAAACCGCAATGTCTACGCCAACAACTGAAATCGGTCAGTATTTGTTTCCCTTCGGCAAATCGAAAGAATATTCTTACGTGGTTGCTGATCTATGGGCGCGGACCCATGTATGTACAAAGAATTAAGTCGAACAATCGCAACTATTGCAGCACTACGACATGTCAGTAACTAGCCAGTCAGGGTGACCTATACACTGCTCTGGGGAACTCACAATGCGCCGCAGGTAAATACCCCAATAAGAACGAGCTTCGCTCGAAAGGTCACTTGCAGATTCCGAAGCCAAGGGATTGGGATGAAGAGGATGATAAGGTCGTTCAGGATGTTGAACCCTGCGATAGCATAGTTCAAAACTGAGCGCTCTATGCAGCCTCCTTCAATACTATTATCCCAGTATTTGGCCACCGGCCAGCATGTGAAGATGCTGGTTCCCAGGCAAAAGGCTGCGTAGACCGCCAGCCATATTATCAACCCTGTGATGATCCTCTTTGCGCCGTCGGTTCGGAAGATGCGTCGGTATTGGGACAAGATCGAAAACTTGACACTGAGCTGGGTAAAGTTGTATAGAACGACGGTGGCATAGAGAGCGCGAAGGAACTCTTGGAGTTCTTGAAGTCCGATCGCATCTCCAAGGCCCCATTTGATTTCTGTTGGGACGATGTCAGCGAGCTTTTAACAAACCGCGATGTGAACATACCTACGCTGAATAATGGTGACAAGATATCCCACTGTTCCGATCTAAAATAGATCCTCTGTCAACGACATTTATCGCTTCACGTCTTGGCGACGAGTCGGGAAAATGCAAAACTTACAAAGGCGACAATCATCAAGACGTCGTCTGCCACGATATTCTTGACTAGAACCGCGCGAGTGTATGTTCTGAGTCCGACAACCAATGCCGCCAATGCTGTGAAGAAGAAAGAAGAGAACACTAGCCCATAGTTGCGCGGCACCACGGAAACTCCTCCAACATTCCACATGGCGAGGGCCTTCGTGTTAGGTCGGACTGACAAGAAGTTGCCGGGTCGTGTTCGGGAAGCCAGTTGCAGCTGAATATCAAGGTGAGCCGACTTGATGGCGTAGGCCAGAATAATCTGGCAGTGGAACATGACCATACAGTATCAAACAGATGTAGTATTTTAACCTTGGGACAAAATAAGGCAAACGTAAACGGACCGGCGTGCGGCTTGTAGAATCACAAAATTCTGACAAAACAGGCATTAACTGGCTATGATCTGTATTCCAATCACACCTGCCTTCAATACTCTTGGGCTAGCGGTTCCTTAGCAGATAGCCTGGATTAGACATCCATGCCACTTGAAGCAGACTCCAGACCCGGCTGAAATGCACGATGTGCCAAGAAACAACGGTTGCGCATTCATCACATCGTTCTGAGAGTAATCAAACAGCTCGTACGAATGGCTGGGATGCAAAATCAGACGATATGAAACCCAGTCCATACCCTCTTTGTCTTCCGTCGATTCGGGATGTTCATGTCTGAAAAGTCTGATTCTCAACGCCGCACTCCTGCACCATGTGGAAAGCCCACATCCCGCAGTCGTAGGAGGCTTTGATCGTCTTCGTACACAGTGCGCTTCAATATTAATATCTACTAAACGACATCTGTCTGGGAGAACCCGGAGCACCTTCAAGAACCTCAGGGGTCTGTTGAAGATTCCGACCTTCGGAGGTAAACTTATACGCAAGATGCCATATTGATTATTTTGTATTTGAATTATATGTGATCAACAACGCAGAAACAAGACTGGGTCACCTCGGGCGACCCTATTTGATGTTTATTCGTAAGCAAACATAATCTGGTCTCTCCAAGAAAAGCTCCTTGATTATGAAATTTCGACTGAAAATGAACCTGTCTCATTTCTTGCTGGCTAAATCTGACTGAACTGGTAAAAGGAGTTTTTATTACCTCAACCTGCCTCGACTTGGTGTGAATTGTGAGTAATACCTGGCCAGATGCTGCTGGGAGCCTCCCAAACGCCCTTGTTGCAGATATTGCAACTTCACAATCGACCAACACGACATTCTATATGCAGCATGCCCTGGTTCATCATACGATAGTGTTTCTTCTGTAGCAACATCTCCGCTGTGAAGTTGTCGTTAGCATTGACCCTGGCACCAACAGCATTAAACCCTTGCTCAGACTAAGGCGGGTCACCCGCGATTGGCTCGATCTCTCCCCATGCTACTCATATTTCAATGAGAATATCGGAAGCTCCCCGTTCGGCCAAGCTGTTCCGCGACTGCATGACAGAGGGGTCCTCGGCTAGACAACGTGCATGGTTATGTTGCAGACCGGTAGCTCTGCTGGTTCGGTGCCCACTTCTTGACCGGATTGTCTGTTGGAATGTGGGCGGCTATGACTGAACCCTCGACAGACAAGCTTGTCTTGAATTTGCAGCCAAGCTTTATGAGTTTTGTTGCATTCTCCGTGAAGCCTGTTGTAGGTGGTTGGCTCAGAGTAGAGGCTGGACTATCGCCGACGCCGTCCCGACCATCCTCTCTGAGCACAATCTCAGCAAACTTGGAATCAGTCGATGCCTACGTAAAATGGAGACACTCCAACAACGAACAGTCGCACCATGATTTTCGGCTTTAAATGTGGAGATAAAAATTAAAATCTATTTGAATTTGAAGCAACATTTGAGTTGAGAGATAGACCATTTTCTGGAACATTGCAGAAGATTTTGTTGACTTGATGATTCCAACTTTTGCGCGTTGAGATTAAAAGTCTATGTTGTTTAAGCGGTGACACTGTAGACACTAGCCTCCTCCTTTTCGAGGGGGGCGTCGATGTGGTTGTTGAACTCCTTCTTAGGATCGAATAGGAACGCAGCAGCTGTTAGGAGATCATGAGTATATCATTCATGAGGTTTCGGGGACTGAGGAGCATAAACATACCAATGACAGCGACGGCAACGAAACACGCAGCTGCAATCCAAACCTTCTGAAAGGAGGAGACATAAGTCCCGAGAAGAGCGTTGGCGGCCTTAGCGATGATCTCCGGAGTAATGCCGGGCACCATCGCAATCATCTCTTCATCGTGTGCGGTGAGACCTCCAAGCAGCATGCCCAAGTTTTGCGGGTCGAAGCCAGAAGGGATAACGGCTTTGGCGACATTCTCTGGCATATGGCTCATACTATCGTTGAAGATGACATTGTAGATGGCAATGCCAATAGTACCTCCAAGAGACCGAACACTGATGATGAGACCACTGGCAATAGCAATCAAGTCGGGAGGGATGCAAAGTTGCGCAGCGGTGATCAGAGTTGTGAGAGTCATACCCAAAGCAAAACCAAGTAGGACTGGGTAGAACCAGACGGCGTTGCTGGACCCTTGGTTCGTCGTCGCCATACAGGCGAAAAAGACAACGAAAAGAATGAAGGCGCCAACGGTCATCCATCGAACACGATGCGTCTTGGCACAGTACCACCCGCAGATGACGGAGCCGATCATGGAGGCAATGGACATGAGAGCGTACCGAGTGCCAACGAGCACCGCATCAGTCTCGTACAAAACGCTGACTTGGAAGGCGAAGTACGTGTTGGCAGCGAAGAACGCCACACCTTCGGCGAAAACACACAACATGACGATTGTGAAGTTGCGGTTCTTCGTGAATAGCCCGTGGTGAAACATGCCGTCTTTCTTGAACCAAGTCTCGTAAACAACGAGGGCCAATGCTAGTGCAACACCAACGCCGAAGGTGGCGGAGACGTGGGCATCGGACCATTCGTAAGGGTTCTTCGACCAGGAAAGACCCAAGCAGAATAGAACGAGACCTGCGGCAAGGAAAACGTATCCCACCCAGTCCAGCTTCGCCAGCTTTTCGGTCGTGGTGAGCGACTTCTGCAACGGCCGTGGGGGCGGGTTGTAGACAGCGATGCAGAGGATCGCAGAGACAGCGTACAAAGCCATAGCCATGTAGAAGTAATAGCGGAAACCATCGGAAGTCGGATCATTGGTACGGTTGAAAGCACCTCCAACGAGAAGACCTAGAATGCTGCCCAGACCGTTGGAAATCATGTCCGAAGCCTGTCCATAGGCTCTCCACTTCCGAGGTAGAACCTCTGATGATACGGTATGCAGCAGAGGCTGGGCACCAAATGCGATGCCGATGACGCAGAAACCGGCAATGCACATGTTGATGTCCGTGGCTCGGGCGACGATAATGGATCCTACGGCACCAAAGAGGGTCGGCACGATGATGAACCATTTGCGACCCCAGTAGTCGGCGCCTTGGGAAAAGATCGGACCGAGCACGACGGTCATAATGGTGATCACTGCTGAAAGCCAGCTCGTCTTGTCTGCCGCCCCGAAGTGGCCCGCGATCGTTTGACCTTGCTATAAGAGCACGAGGCATCAGCGTCAATGACCTGACATCAGTGGAAATTATTAGATAGAAGTCATTGGGTTACTCACAGCACCAGCACCGATCAGACTGAACAGCTGGGCAAAGTAGATCAAGGCTACTGCGAAGACGGCGAGAAAGGTCTTCATGTGAAGTTGAGGCTCCGGCTCGTTAGAGACATCGCTTCCGTCCGACGAACCTGGCTTTGGCTTCTCGGTGCTGTCGACTATAACGGAATCATCGTTTGGCTTCCCCGCCATAGTGAGATCTTCAGTAGGCATATCTGCCAGAGTCTTTGCGATTGTCGGCAAGTCGAAGAAAAGGACGATTTCAGGTTGTGGAATGGAAACACATCCGTCAAGGAAAATTTAGGATCTGAACGAAGGCGGGAGTGAAGAAAGAGAGCAAAAAAAGTAAGTATGCCTCCTAGAACCCATAGAAAAAGCGATGGTGACAACTGAAAGGCGGAAGGCCGAAATACTAATGATTACGGATTATTGTTGATGGAAGGACGTCAGGCAAGGGAGTTCGGAGGTCCGTAGGACTGCATACAAGACATTTTTGAGAGACGAACTCCCTGGCCGGGATCGCAACTTAGTCTCAGTAGTGCATGATCTAGATGGCGTTCCACTCGGCTGCTGAGCCTATTGTCGTTTGGTCCGCTCAGCAAACATTGATGTGTACCATCGTGCCATTCCAGGTCCTGCTTCGTGATGTGGCGGACGCCAAGTCGGGACACTCCCGTCATCGTCCCTCTCTATTCCGTAGAGGTACTCCGTGTAATGATACTGTGACCACAGTAACACTTGGGAGTTTGAGCAATCGCGTACAGGTAAGAGGCACAGCAGGGCCTCGGAGATGGTTTCTCATTCGTGATCAGGCCCGATGGCAAGGGTCATACGCTCAGAATGTATGGAGGTGCAACATCGTCCCAGTTCCAACGTCTAACCACACCAATCCAGATGAGGTCGACCTTGCGCGTGTTTCTTGCATCCTTTGGACTAATTGCTGGTCGACCGAACTCGTACAAGGATCGGCCCGCTGGTTCGGTTCTTGGCATCCCGGGACCCTCTTCCGAACAAAGGTTGCACGGCCTCAACCTTGTTCGGCGGATCTGACCCTGAAGAGGCTCGGCGCTGTATGTCTATGTTGCGTTTTCTTATGGCTAGCGTCGCCTGGTTGAAGATGATGTCCAGGTTTTCTCTTTCCAAGTTGCGGAACAGTGAGCTAAGCTAAAGCCGTATCGGCCTCCAGACAAGTCGACGAGTAGACACCAGTTATTCTCTGCCTGGTGCTGTCACAATGCCCTGGAAAGATACATCAAACGAACTCCAGTCGATGCCACCATGCCCAGTAGGAAACCCCGAACACTTCCAATACTTGCCCTTGTGGAGCTCGCTTGAGTGAATCCTGATGTATCCCTGTCCGCAGCTGGCTGGAACTTTTGAGAACTGGATGAACCAACATGAGAGCAAGGGTGGAAGTCAGGGAATTATCGAGCAAAGAAAACTTCGACATCATTTCTACCACGCCGCCTCCTTGCATCGATTGCCTTGATATCAAGTACGATAGCTGAGGAATGAAAGTGAGAACTCGGTCAACGATGGCGCGATGTCTAGCTCCGAGCGATATCTCGCCCATATTACAGAACCAACGCAAGCGACGCTACGAGGCTAGAGCAGTCGAAAATCCGTATTTCAAGAGAATCCCGGCCAATGCGTCCGAAAGGTCATTGTGAAAGGAAGAAACCCACCAGCTATTCTCAGCGAGCCCACCACATTATCTGAGATCCATATCCCCATCAAGGAGTGGGTTAAGTCGCAGATCGCCCTCAGCCCATCTGTCTACTCACCCAATTCGGCCGCATCTTCGCTCCAAAAGCGATAGTTGCCCTACAACTTTCTCGTCTTCTCTTTCTTTTGTACACGCATATGATTCGATAATAAAGCGAAGACTTGATTCTGAATCTCCTTACTCAACAAGACGAGAAGCTCGAATCGGTCACCATGCTTGACGTCGTAATCGTTGGAGCAGGCATCGCCGGCTTGGCGGCCGGAATCTCTCTTCGCCGCGCGGGCCACAAGGTACACATCTACGAAAAGTCGGCAATGAACAACGAAGTCGGTGCAGCCATTCATGTTCCACCAAACGTCTCACGATTCCTTGTTCCGTGGGGACTCGATCCCGCGGGAGCTGATTTCGTCAAGGCCGGTCCCATTGAGTTCAAGGACCCTAAGACCATGAAAACGACGATGGCCCTGTCTCATGCACACAACCACGAACTCTATGGTGCCGATCTCTGGTATGCCCATCGAGTTGATCTTCATGATGCGTTGAAGCAGAAAGCTATTGAGCCCATGGGTCCGGGTATCCCCGTTGTGATCCATCTCAAGTCGGCGGTTGTGGGATACGTAAGTTACTCTAGATATCCTCATTATGCGGTACAATTGTCGACGTGGAAATCATCATCAGGCTGACTTCTGTAGAAACCCGATTTACCTTCTGTGCTTTTCGATGATGGCAGTGAAGTCAAGGCTGACTTGGTGATTGGCGCGGACGGAGTTCACTCCATTGCCAGTGAGACTGTTCTTGGCAGGAAGAATCCTCCAAGTCCCGCCAGTCATTACAACTGCTGCTATCGCTTCTTGATTCCCAAGGATGTTCTCGAGAAAGACGAGCAAACACGCTTCTTCAATGAGAATGCTGACAATCTGATTCGACTCTACCCTGACAACGAGAAGAGCCGAAGGCTTGTGTCCTACCCTTGCCGCAAGTAAGCAGCTCGAGTGTGAGATTCTTGCAAAAACACTAATCGGTTAGAAACACAATTCACAACTTTGTTGGCCTCTTCTACGACGAAGAGATGAAGTCGGTTGCCAAGGAAGGTTTGTAAACTTCATATCGTTGATGTCCATTCATACGTCAAGCTGATCAATCTCTAGACTACCATGCTGATTTCGACAAGAGCCTTGCTATTCAAAGATTTGATGGTTTCCACCCTAGTCTCCAGGCCGTTATTGGGTGAGTCGTTTGGCTCTCATAATTGGAATGAACAAGTCTTTGATCATGGATGCAGCAAAGCAACTGAGATCAAGAGATGGCCCCTGCTATATCGCGCTCCTCTACCCACATGGACCAAAGGAAAGCTAGTCCTGGCTGGTGACTCGGCACACCCGATGCTCCCACGTAAGTCCTTCTGGAATAAAAGATCAACCTAGTACTGACGAATCCTCAGACCAGGGACAAGGTGGTGCAATGGGCATTGAAGACGGAGCAGCCCTTGGCATTATCTTCACTAATGTCACAAACCCCTCGCAAGTTCCAGAAAGGCTGGCTCTCTACGAGAAGCTTCGTCGCAACCGTGCAAGTGCGATTCAGATTCTCAGCAATGTTGGCCTCGACCAGGCACATCTTGTGAGGAATGAACTTATGGAGTTCCTCGAGGAGAAGCACATTCCCAGTGAGTTTCCCGACTTTTCAACAAAGACAGCGATGAGATTGAAAAGCTAAATCAATTGCAGAGGACCATCGTGCAATCATGTCTTTCAACATGAGTTACGATATCATAAGCGAGGCCGTAAAACTCATGGAGGATTCTGATGCCTCCTTTTTGTTGCCCACTCACTTCTTTGATGACGCTTCTGTGAAGCTGAAAATCAACAGCGACGTCTCCAGAGTGAACGGTGCCAGTTGCGATACTCAAACCTACGTTGACACTGAGGTCATCGCTGCCGCATGATTGCCGTCGCAATTCGAATGTCTTAGGCCATAGTCGATAAGTAATATCACGAAATTTGGATGCAGAATAGCATATGAACATGCATTATCTTCAACTGGCGTCCATTTTCGTGAAATAGAAACTACTCACAGATGTCGGGGAACGCCAAGTCACTCCGTTGTAATTGGATTGAACTTGGTGTTTTGCGATCAAGTGTTTTTACCCAGCACGCCGCTGATAAATACTACTATAATAACTGCCAACAGAACATCCCTCACACTAAATTCGATAGTCCAACTTGAGTTGGTGATTCGTTGTGAGGTTCAGCAACACCCGGCCGATAGCGGATCATCGGGCTTCGGAAGTCAGCACCGACGGAGGGAAGCCGAAAGTGGGGCCGATTGGGCCTTGGTCTCGTTGACTCATCGGTACTCATCCATTCGCCTTCTGATTACCTAGTCTCACAGAACAAAAATTCCAGTGAATTCGCAGCGAATCCAATTCATCTCATTGCACGAAACCCTCAGTTTAGCAAAGATCCAGTGATTCCACAAGTAGTCATGGCTACCGATCCGGCATCATCAGTAACCCCGCACCCGCGGCTTGGATGGATCGGTATGCTTGTACCTCTGCTCGCTCCAGCGTGGCTTGATGCAAAATCTTGTGGATAGAAGCCTGATACTGATGGCTGCAGGGCTTGGGTCAATGGGCCTCGGGATGGCGACAAACTTGCAGAGGCATCTCTCGGCGAAAAACGCACCAGATCTCCATTACACCAACCGGACCATGTCTCGCGGCGAACCACTACAGGCCTTAGGAGGCAAAGGTCACCATGACATCAAAGATCTCATAGCAAACACGGATATCGTATTCATGTCCCTCAGCGACGACGCAGCGCTGGAAGCAACGCTGAGCTCCATCCTGGACAACACCTCGGCCGAAGACTTGGCCGGTAAGATCATCGTCGATACATCTACCGTCCATCCTCTGTCATCTGGACAGGCCCGGGATCGCTTAGCGGAGAGAAACGCAAAGTTCGTAGCCGCACCGGTATTTGGTGCGAGTCCTGTGGCGGCGCAGGGAAAGCTTCTCTGGATCATCGCTGGGCCTGAAGATGCCGTGAAGGCCATTAGCCCGTTCGTCGTAGGAGTTATGGGTCGTGGAATCATTCGTCTTGGCGAGGATGTGCAACAGGCTACTACAATGAAAACTGCAGGGTGAGTGAATCTACGTAGCCTGTGCCTAGGACGATCTGACAGAAGCAGAAACTTCATGACCGCCGGCATGATGGAACTAGTCGCCGAAGCCCATGTTTTCGCCGAGAAGACCGGCCTGGGGACTGACGCTATGGAAGCACTCATTGAGCAGCAATATGGACCTTTGGCCTTATCTATGTCGAAACGCCTGACTACTGGTGCTTATCTACCAGCACGCGATGAGAGGCCAATGTCCGATCTCGGGCTGGCACTGAAGGACGTAGGGCACGGCATCGACTGTGCATCAAAGTCTGGTTCAAGGCTAGAAGTTGCTGAGCTGGCTCTGAGACATCTGAAAGAGGCGAAGGACTATTCGGACGCTGAAAATCGTCCACTTGATTCGTCTTCCATGTATGGAGTGATACGCAGGGAGGCCGGTCTGTCATTTGAGACGGACCTTGTGAAGAAACGGGATGATGCCAAGTCCTGAAGTCGTACTCCTACTTGTAATAATTGTTCTTCGAGTCGGCAGACTTTCTTATGAATTAATAAAGAAACATACTTTACATTGCTGACCTATGATTGATTTTCTGTGAAAGCTACATCCCGCACCATGAGTCTGTCATGGCGAGTGCCCCGAAGGCTGGACCAGAAACCTGATATTGGTTGCACACGTTGTAACCTCCTAAGTTCTGTCAGTTTTCTGACTATCACGATATAAATAGTAACGAAAGTTTGGGAGAAAAACAAATGCGCCTCAGGCGATGTCGACTCTGATTGTCTTCATGACTTCTGACCGGGATAAGGTTGCTGTCATCATGGCGAAATGAAAGGAAATATGAATGCGACTAACCTAAGGACTCGCTAGAGCGGATTGATGTATGAGTTTTAAGATATATCTAAGTATCCAGTCAGCCAGGTTGTGGACATGGAGATCTTGTGCTGTCTATCATGGTGATTCCGCTGAGTTCAGGCGATGTCGACTATTTTGGTCTTCATAGTCTCATAATATGAGGTATTTCCGTTCGGCAAAACATATTCTCATCATAAAAGCAAGTGAAGGATACGATTTGGAAAGAAGGAATGTCATGACTTACTATTAGATGTGCGTAGATTCATATTGCAGATGTAGGCCGCGTTGGCTTCTCCAATCACAGACCACTCATCATGACACAGATGGCATCGGCAGATGCAAGATGTCAGAAGTTGAAGAGAATTACAGCAACATCGACGAATTCATTTCGATATATATACAACCCTTCGCACAGCAGCCGCAGGCGATCCGAATGTGCCCCCCGACTGATCCGGCCTTCCCATGCTTAACATCAGTCATGATGAATCATTTTGTACAACACTTGCATTCAAACTCATTCATAGGATTGAGCTTGTACTAAATTCGACTAGCACTTATGAGAGAGTATGAGAGAGTATGAATCATCTTGACATCCACGTCGAGGTGGGGTTAATCAGGCTTTGGATTGGAAACTGTGGTTGGGGCTTCATTTGGTCCTTAGGCCATCTTTCTCAGGGGCGTATGAGTACGCTCGAAGCCTGTTTGCGACCCGAGAACAGTTCAAGATTCGATGTTGATGTGACAGCGACGCGATCACAGAGAATTGCAACTCCATAACATAGAGCGGATGTGCCCCTAATGTCAAATCGGATCTTGTCCTATGCACATATCGGTATGCGAGCCAAGATGAACAGCATAGCCACGGCCCACGACCAGTATTCATACTGAGCTCAGAGCTGAAGTCAAGGGTTGCCCATCCCTCTGTTAACCAGTAGGTTGCCCTCACTCACGTCCTTTAAGCCACACCATCAAGGCATGGGGTGTACGCACAGAAACGTTTAGCAGGGACAGACGAAGGGGCAGCATTATTAGCATTCAGAGATTGTTCATATTCTGTAGCATGTTAAAATTATGCGAACCGATTACATGTATGTGTAAACAAAATGACGTCTGGGTATTCCATTCCGAGGTCCTTGTTTTCCTTCATATCATCGATTATTTTGACACATCCTAGTCTCACACATTTACGACATAGATGTTCCAGCGCGCTGCCGCTTCACAGCCACCTTTTCCTGGCTTGCTTCGTCATGCCACATTCGTTCGCCTCTATGCTCCTGCTCATCGGATCCGGATCCCCCAGGGCCTGGTGTCACGCCATCGATATCCAGCGATCCGGTAGCGTTGGCTCGAGAGAATATTACTCCCGGCATAATCGGGTAGTTCCCTTGAGTCCTCTTGGACGTAGGAACAAGCACGTTGAACCAACGAGGCATCACAAGGCCTACCAACGAGGCGACAAGCACCACATGCATGAATGTGAATCCAGCAATGTGAAGCGGGTCCCACCTCTTCGTGGCGTAAAAGTTCGGGTAAGCAAACGAGAAGATTATGGAGACGATTGGTGCCGTGTTGTATTTCAGAACGAAGGCCCAGATGGCGGGGATCTTCCATTGGCCGCCGGTGGAGATGGTAGCGTTGAGGTCTCGACGGAGTTGATTTCCCTATGCCGCAAGATTAGTTGAGTGAGACTCATCGAGAATGCCCCGAAATACTCACCGAGTAGGATGACAAGTACCATAACTTGCGAAGGCAAGGGCTTTTGCTGAAGAATCTGGGACAATACGCCGTCGGGTCTGAACCCATCATAACAGATGCGATTATGCCGACAATGAACATCCCGAATCCCACGCCGGCTCCTGTGTCAGGAGAGACAGCGTGCGCGACTATGAGACCGACGACTGTGCCGCCGATGTATCCGAAGATATTGTAGAGGCACCACGATGCAAGACCGCATTGATCCACGACATCTCGGTATCGGTACAGTGTGGTGGCACAGACGGCCTCGCACCACACGATCCAGAAGAGGGCTAGGTAGTTGATCCACGTATCCGCGGCATCGACGAGGGAGTATCCAAACTCGGTACAGAATGGGAGAGAAATGAGGAACGAGGCAACGACGATGATAGTCGAGACGTACGGCCGGGGATACTTCTTCCCCCAATCCGTGTCACACACCATCGTGACGAGGGTCTCGAGGAGGGCAAAGGCCGAACCGAGGCCGAGGATGAAGAGCGTCGCGAAGAATAGGACGCCCCAGAAGTTCGCGCCGGGCATCTCGGCGATGGCCTCCGGGTAGGTGAGGAAGCCCACGACGAAGGTGTTGAGTCTCTCGCTGGTGTCCGGGTGCATGCCGAGGTATCCGACGACGCCGAAGACGGACATGGAGCCGATGACTTCGATGAGGGAGTTGGAGATGCAGATGATCAAGGCGTCCTGCACGGCGTTGGAGTACTTGTGGTTGTAAGAGGCGTAGCTCGTGTAGTAGCCCATGCCGATCCCAGTCGAGAAGAAGACCTGGCCGCAGGCTTCCTGCCAGATGGTCCCCGAGGCGAGTTTGCTGCCGTGCCATTCGGTCCAGTAGATGCGGATGCCGTCGATGGCGTTGGGCAGCGAGCAGCCGCGGCCGATGAGGACGATCATGAGGATGATGGGCATCGCCATGGTGAAGTACACGACGCGCCCGGTGAGTCCGATGCCCTTGAACATGCAAAGCCAGACGACGAACCAGGTGAACAGGTTCCAGAGGGTGATTTCCGTATTCATGCCCATACCAGCATAGTCAGAATAATCCTGGACGCGAGAGCCGTCAGCCGTGACGTTGCCTGCGATTGGAGGCACATCCTGAAGGACGTCGTTGTAGAAGAAATCTTCGTTGCGCCCCATCCATGGGAGCGGGCTGATGAAAGAGTGTCGGAAATACGACATGATCCACGCGATGATGGGAACGTAGTAGATGCAGATAGCGTAGCCGATGTAGACGACTCCGAAGCCGACACCCTTCGCGCGTTGATGGGCATGATGCCAGGCTAGCACGCAGCCGCCGCGGTAGGCCTGGCCGATTGAGATCTCCAAAAGTAGCGTCGGTATGGCGAGGCAGAATAAGGAGATGAGGTACGGGATAAAGAATTGCAGGCCGTGATTGTTGTATACGATGGAAGGAAAGCGCAAGAGGTTTCCGAGGCCTACTGCGCCGCCCATCGCGGCGAAGATGAATGAGAGGCGCGAGCCCCAGACATCGCGGCCATCTTCACCCTTGTTGGCGGAGGGGGCTAGCCAGTTGTAAACTTTTGAGGCGATATTGACCATGGCGGCGCGCGCAGATTAGTGTTTCAATGCACTTCTTGGTTGAGAAGAGGCATTAAAGTCTGGTGGGGTTTGACTGGGCACGGAGTTTCACGATCAATGAAGCTGAGTGCCGGTGGTGATTCGTAAATGTGATAGCTTTCCCATCGGTGCCCTCAGTACGAACTGATGAAGCACAGAAAAAACAAGGAAGGAAATCACGAAACATCTGAAAATGCAGTACGATGAGGGTCACAACACGTATTTAACGCCAGCGTGACGGAATAGCCAAGTCGAGAGATCATTTTCCCAGCTATTTGGGTATGGTGTAGACCAGAGACAAGATCTTGTGAACTGCGACCACAATTCTACATTCTGGAGAAAAAGAGTAATGCTGAGTGTCTGGCGATCTCGGGCACGCGACCATGCCGGCTAAGCGGCTTGGTTGTCTTGGTCATGATAAGGACCTGCCCGAAACTCGAAGGGCTGGCAACACCAAGGGGTTGGCTTACGCTGCAAAAGGGAGATAGGGATTCGAGTGATAGGCTGATTGAACCAAGAAGCCAAGAGCCTCGCGCGGTGTAGTACAAGGCCGCCGTCTCTCACCTCAGCTTCTTGGCTCGACGTGGACTTGTCTGACCAGAGACGGGTTGGCTCATCGGCGTCTTTAAGATACGTCAGAGTGTCTGGGGTGCCAATTGAACTATTTAAACAAGGCAAACTACGGTGACGCGTCTGCGACCAACAGGACACGTCTGTTTGGTTGGTGAGATCCTTGGGAGTCTTGGTAGTCTTGGAAGGCTTGGGACTTCGTCAAAACTCTGCGCCGCGTTGAGCTCACTTATGCCGCCCAATGCCGCTCGTAGCTGAGCGTACTGGGTGGACTACGAGAAGAGAGAAGGGAGTAAGGGAAATTGTTAAGAGGAATACAATTACTTCGTTAGCCTCTGTGAGGAATTGGAAGTACCATGAACATCGGCTGAAGTTTCGTCATCTTCACTTCGTAAAACTTCTCGAACATGGTCAATAGTTGACGTGGTTAATAATAGCTTGTACTAGATAGATTATCTGTACATCGTGGCAGGCCTTTCTCATTGTTTCTGTCACAAGAACCGACAATATGCCATTCATTTTGTCAAACCTAATGACTTAATTTCACCCAACAACATAACAACCTAGGAATTATCACAGTAGTCACCTCGATACATCACATAAATAGTCAAAAAGATTCTAAGATCAAAAAGAAAAGAAATGGCTTCAAGATATACAGTGAATCGAATGATCAATTCCCCAGGAACTCAACAACCCACCCACTATAAAAAAAAGGGTTCCCCTCCGTCTCTGTGCTCCCCCAAACCAGGACCTTCATTTGACGTCAAGAGAAGTCAGGACACCAGCCTCACCTCGCATCGTCCCAGAGGCCCAGCCTGATCCAATCCCAGCTTCCAGCCCCGACCACACAAGGGAACACATCATCAACGTCCAAGGAAACCCCTCCCCCAAACCTCCCCCACCCACCTCACTCCCCGACAGCAAACGGCGCCAAAGGTGGCACACTCTCCTGCGGATCCTTCCTCCTCGTCAAGTCAGGCGTCACGTCCCTCTTGTCCTCGCCCGTCGAAAACGGAGCCAGCGGCGGGACCTCCTCATCCGGCTTCTTCTTCCGCTTCTCGAGTCCTCCGAGATCACGTCCGCCCTTCTTGGTGCCGAAGGGTTTGAGAGGCGGCACGTCGTTGCCGTCGCCGTCCTTGCGTCGCTGGATGTGCTCGACGTCGCGGGCGCTGTGGAAGCGGACGGGGGAGCCGCGCTTGAGCTGGTGCGGGACGACGGGGCCGCCGATTTCCTCGCGGCGGATGAAGGAGACGACGCCGCCGATGGCGTCGGCGGCGCGGTTCTGGAGGTGGGAGAGGGGGCTATTGAGAGGAAACGTTAGCTCAAGTCGAGTCTGTGAGCGGGAGTTTTGTTCTGCTCACCCGGACTCAACGGGCACGGCGCCAACGCCGGCCACGGCGGCAGTAACGACAGCAATAGCAGAGAACTTCATTGCGAATATCCAAAAACGACGGGCTGGAACTTCAAAAAGGCTTGTCTCGTAAATCGTTTCTGTGTTTCTTCGAACTGAGTGGATCTGCTCCGGGCGAATAGTCGTAGTAGTCTTGTTGAATGTATGTAGTTGGTAATAGTGATCGGACGCTTGGTCTCTCGATGAAGGGATTCAATGGGTGTTCACAAAAAACGTGGTAGTTCGAAATATCATCCGTACATCAGACGCAACGAAGAAAAGAAACCAAAAGGAGGGCAGACATCCCAAACAACGAGTTCCTCGCCCTTTATCTATACGCCCATCTCTTACGTCCTCCCCCGTTCCCCATATTCCCACTCTTTTTCTCACACGAACCATCCAGATAGATAGAGAGACGGCCGCTTCTATCAGTCGTGATCCCGGTCCAGCTGGACCGAGCAGCTCACATCCCGGCCCATCACCGCGCCCAGCCCTGCAACAGCACAACGTGGCGCGCCCGTTCGTTGCCGCTCGCGACCGGGTCCATCCCGTCGGGACGGCCATCTCGAGCAAGACGCGCAAGTAGAACCTTTGCCTCCCCATGAAGCGGAGTTTACCACGGTTTCAGCCCGCGACAATCCACCGCGTACCACAGACCGCAAGGCGGCGCTCGCGGCTGAGGAGGCAGCGTCTCCTCTGCCCGCTGAGCCAGCTGATTCCTCCGTCTCATCTGCCCTGGCAGCGGAAGCAAAATTCTGACTGCGTTAGGAGAGAGAGATAGAGAGATACGAGGAAGTATTCCTTTAACCTGCAACCCAAGCGCGGCCGGTCATCCCGAGTCGAGTTCCAAAGACTTTCTTCGTTCGCCCGACTCGCCAACAGCACAGCCTCCCACGACTCAGAAACCGTCCAGTCTCATCCAGATCACGACTCAAACCCCGAAGTTAGTCGTGGTGCCGTCGAACGTGCGCTCTAAAAACAGCACTCTACTTCGAACGATACGCGGAAAAGGTTACCCAGCACCCACGTGCCGACAGTCGCTCGAAAGCGAAGTCGAAATCGTCCGACCGCCTTCGTCTGAAGTAAACGCAAGTAATCCGGTCTACCCGGCCCCCTAGACCTCTCATCCTATGCGGACTTTTGATCCCCCGCGCTTATTTGCGAAGGTGTTCTGAACCGTCCAGAGAGTTGCCACTCCCTCGGTGAGGTGTGTTAGAACCATCCACTGCCTCAAGGTCACTTATGAGGGAGAGTGGGTGAGCATGGTGAGCCAGGTATTCTGATACTTTATAGAATTTGATAGAGCTATTACTAGTAGGAACACCCAACTAAAACTAATACACTCTACTGATAGCTTTTACTCCTAGCTGCCCAGTCGCTCGAAGAATACCTCCGGAACCCAAGTTGTGTAAGGTAAACCGATGATTGTTTAGTAGTAGCCGCCTCCGCCTCCGCCGTTGGAACCTTTGCCGGGAGCGCCGCCCTTCGGAGCACCGCCTTTAGGAGCACTACCGCCGGAAGCGCCGCCCTTAGGAGCCGGCGAATAGTCACCGCCGCCGGGAGCGCCGCCCTTAGGAGCACCGCCTTTAGGAGCACTACCGCCGGAAGCACCGCCCTTAGGAGCCGGCGAATAGTCACCGCCGCCGGGAGCGCCGTTCTTAGGAGAGCCGTTCTTAGGAGCACTACCGCCGGAAGCACCACCCTTAGGAGCCGGCGAATAGTCACCGCCGCCGGGAGCGCCGTTCTTAGGAGAGCCGTTCTTAGGAGCACTACCGCCGGAAGCACCACCCTTAGGAGCCGGGGAGTAGCCACCGCTGGGAGCGCCATTCTTAGGAGAGCCGTTCTTAGGGGAGCTGTCCTTAGAATGGCCGTCGTTAGGAGAGCTGTCCTTAGCAGCGCCGCCCTTAGGAGCCGGGGAATAGCTACCCCCGGGAGCGCCATTCTTAGGAGAGCTATTCTTAGGAGAGCCCTCCTTAGGAGTGCCGTTCTTAGGAGCTTCGCCCTTCGGAGCCGGGGAATAGCTACCCCCGGGAGCACCGCCCTTAGGAGCGCCCTCTTTAGGAGCGCCGCCCTTAGGAGAATTACCTCCGGGAGCTTCACCCTTAGGAGCCGGGGAGTAGCCACCCCCGGGAGCGCCGCCCTTCGGAGTGCCGTTCTTGGGAGCTTCGCCCTTCGGAGCCGGGGAGTAGCCACCCCCGGGAGCGCCGTTCTTAGGAGTGCCGTTCTTAGGAGCTTCGCCCTTGGGAGCTGGGGAGTAGTCACCGCCGCTGGGACCGTTGCCGGGAGCACCACCCTTGGGAGCACTACCGCCGGGGGCACCTCCCTTCGGAGCACTACCGCCGGGGGCCGGGGAGTAGTCACCGCCGCTGGGACCGTTGCCAGGAGCGCCGCCTTTGGGAGCACCACCCTTAGGGGCTGGGGAATAGCTACCTCCGGGAGCACCGCCCTTGGGGGCGCCAGCCTTCGGAGCACTACCGCCGGAAGCACCTCCCTTAGGAACACCACCGCCGGGGGCCGGGGAGTAGTTACCGCCGCTGGGACCGTTGCCAGGAGCGCCGCCCTTGGGAGCACCGCCGCCAGGGGCCGGGGAATCGTTACCGCCGGGGCCTACGGGACGATCACCGGCGGGGCCGGAGGGGCCACTACCACTAGGGCCCGTTGGGCTACCACCGGGGGCCGGGGCATAGTCACCGCCGCTAGGAGTATTGCCGGGAACGCCGGCCTTGGGAGCACTTTCATTGGGGCCCGATGGGCCACCAGTTGGGGCCGGGGCATAGTCACCGCCGCTAGGAGTATTGCCGGGAGCGCCAGCCGTAGGAGCACTACCACCGGGGCCAGACGGACCACCAGTCGGGGCCGGGAAGTAGTCACCGCCGCTGGGAGTATTACCGGGAGCGCCAGCCGTGGGAGCACTATCGTCGGGGCCAGACGGACCACCAGTTGGGGCCGGGGTATAGTCACCGCCGCTGGGAGTATTGCTGGGAGCGCCAGCCGTGGGAGCACTATCGTCGGGGCCCGATGGGCCACCAGTCGGGGCCGGGGAGTAGTCACCGCCACTGGGGACAGATGAGCTATCATCGCCGCCCTCACCATCATAGCCGTCATCTCTAGGACGAATGGACCTGGTGACGAGCTTGTCGCTGTTGGGGCTGCCAGAGCCGTTCAAGATCCGCTTGACATTATCGAAGGCCGAAAGCTTCGAGTCGGCGCGGGTGGCGAGGCCGCTGGTGAGCGGGTAGCCGAGGATGGGAGTGGCCGCGAGGGCTGCCGCAAGGATTGAAACGCGCATGGTGAAAGAATTAAAGTGTTGGGTGGTAGTGAATAAGTGAAAGTATGTGTAGGCGAAAGGCTCTAGACCAGAGAGATTGAAACGACCGTGTTGGGAGGAGAATGATCGTGGAAGGGAAGACGAAGTAGCGAATGTGTCCTGATGAGGCCGAGATGAACAGATAGAATGCGAGTCTCGGGTATCTTATATACGCGGAGAGAGAATTGTCTCGAAGCTTTTGCACGCCGAACATGACGATACGCCAACTTGTCCGTCGATTTGAGGCTTGAACACTTGAAGCAGGCGATGGTGAATGGAAGCACGTATTCCGGTCCATTGGCGTTCGTGGCATGCTCCCGGCACGTCAGCCCGAGTCTTTGGTGATGTGAATGTGCTAATTCTCCCTCTCTCCTTTTTGCTCGACTATACTCGGTTCCCATGGGGCCGGTCAGGACGTTGGTCTCACCCCGGATATCGGAAGCATCTTTGCGCCTAGCCTGCCTCTAGTCAAAGCGTTCGAAATCGAATCGAACTAGTGGCTGACAGCTACCGTGGAAGTGTGGTGAGGGAGGCGTTGGTGGAGAGGAGATTAAGGGGCCTGGACTAACCTGGACGGGCATGAAGAGACTACCGGTTTTGCTAGTCCCGACTGCGGTCTTCTCGTTTCTCTTCTAGATGATGTCTTGCCTGATTCTGAGAGGCTTGCTGTTATAAGCATTTGCAAAACTCGCCAGCAGCGTAGAAATACTCCCGGGAGCGATGCTGGACGTCTGTGACGTCTGCCATGCTGGACCGTCAATCGCGCAGCTGGTCAAGCAAAGGACTGGCTGCATAAGTAGACTGTGTGGATGCAGGATTGACAAACCTTTAGCTGCAGCTTCTGGGCAGGTTAGCGTCGACGTCACCTCATGTCCAAGTTCCTGAGGAAGCCAACGAGGCTGAGCCTCGCGATAGCGTCCAATGAAGGAAAAAGGAGAGGAAGAGTGTGTCTGTGTGCAAGAGAGACGTGCACCCATATTAGAACTCAGGATCGTTGGAGAAAACACCACAGAAGCGGCTGAGCTTCTTGATCTTCATTAGCGCACCACAACAGCAGCCACCTTCCTCAAATAGGCCTCTGTGCCTGACTAGCATCAAGAGAAACGTAATTAGAACGGTTTTCTTCCTCAAAAACGGGGTGAGCACGGCTTGGAATTCTTGCTCTCCTGAAACGGCGTCCTAAGAAACCGATCTACACACGCCAGACGCCAAACGCCAAACGCCAGACGCCCAGAGCTCTAAGCAAGGACGTGAGCGAGCTTGGCTCTGGAGAAACGCTGCGAGGCCATTGCTGGGCCAGGCCGTGTCTCATTAAACACTCGGCCAGCGGCTCAATCGATGGGGCGGTTCCTTTAATCTAAATTCATAGATGCAGAGGTGCCGTTTAAGCGTGGACGATGGACCTCACGAAAGGAGACAGTGCTCGTTCAGGAGAAAAATGAAGACTAGTGATTGCGCCGAACAATTATAATCCGCGAGGTATATAGGAGACGGAACCCGGTAGGCAATCTCCCATCCAAGCCTCATCCCCAAAGCAACAGAGGACAGTCTCACGTTCGTTAACATGGTTTCACTGCGCAATTTGGTATTTACTCTGGCGGTCTGCCTCCTGTCCGCCCCCGCTGAGGCTCAACGGGGTGGACCGCAGCAGCGTCCTGGCCGCGGTCCTCCGCCCCGTGGTCGCCCGCCTCCAGGACCCCCAGCTCCGGGCCCACCCGGCCCGGGCCGGGCGGGTCCTGCCCCGGCTCCCAACCCGGTACCGCAGGCCCCTGCATCGCAACCCCCGGCTCCGCAGCAGTCTTCGCCCACTGCGCAAATCTCGGTGCAAGCTTCTACAGGTGCACCGCAGAGGCCTGCTGCAACCACCTCGTCCTCAGCCCCCTCCGTCGCCGCTGTGTCGTCGTCGTCGTCCAGCAAGCAGGCACAGCCATCCGCATCGCCGAACGGGCCGTACGCGATCACGGGTCTGAAAACGGGCATAGACAGCACGTCCGGCCAGCGCCCGCTGCGCAAGAACATCAATGATCTTCAGTCGTCAGGCGCACAATGGTAAGAACCTGCCACGCTGTCATGATCAAGTTTTGAGTAAGCTCACCACATCTCAGGGATCTGTACATTTTGGGCCTTGCTGCGATGCAAAGAGACGAGCCTGAGAACGACAAGCTGTCGTACTTCCAGATTAGCGGTATGTGTTTTGCAAAAGCCCTTGTTTCGAACCAGACTGACTGGATTCTTAGGTATTCACGGGCGACCCTTCATCCCTTGGAACGGTGTCCAGGCGGTATCGGGCGGTTCCGGTGGCGGATACTGCCCTCACGGTGTTCGTCTTCTCGTCATACCTATACGACGGTGTTCATAGTAACTGACTCCCTTGGTCCCGCAGAACGTCCAGTTTCCCATGTGGCATCGACCCTACGTCGCCCTATTCGAGGTACGCACATATCCAACAAGCAAATCCAAAATGAAGCTTGGCTAACTTCAACACAGCAAGTCCTCGGCGGCCACATCCAGGCCATCGCCGCCAACTACACCGGCAGCCGGGCGCAGGAGTACAAGACGGCGGCCGACAACTGGAGAACGCCCTACTGGGACTGGGCGGCCGACGGCGGCGCCCAGCTTCCCGCCGTCACGACACAGGCCACCCTCACCGTCAACGGGCCCGGCGGTCCGGTGCAGCTCGCAAACCCGTTGTTGGGGTACAAGTGGCAGAGCTTCCCGCTGAACTCGGCCTCGAATTACTTCCCGAAGAGCGGCGACCGGAATCTCTGGTCCTGGCCCCAGACGACGCGGTACCCGGACAGGAACGGGAACAACAGGCCTACCTTGGCCAACCAACAGCTCAGTCAGGATGACTTGAAGGCGAGCACGGTAAGCGTTCAGGACCTTTGTTGCAACGTATCGGTACACTCGCTCATCACGCCTGTAGTATAATGTCTTTTCCACCGCTACCGACTTCGAGACCATGGCCAGCACCGGCAGCTCCGGCAACAGCTTCGAGGCCGTGCACAACTCCGTCCATGGAGCCATCTACGCGGTCATGGCTTACATTGAATACGCCGCCTTCGACCCTGTCTTGTAAGTTCTCCTCACAATATCGACATGCTCGATGTATCTGTCCCGGACTAACACTTGTCGCGCCATCCAGCATGCTGCACCACACCAACATCGACCGCCTCATCTCCATGTGGCAGGCCATCCACTACACCAACAAACTGCAAACACGCACCCTCCCATCCGACGCCCTCTTCGCCACGGCCGCCAACACGCCCATCACCGCAGACAGCCCGCTCAAGCCCTTCTACCGCGACACCTCCGGCAACTTCCACACGGGCAGGACGGTCTCGGACATCAAGACCTTCGGCTACTCGTACCCCGAGATCAGCGACTGGAACCAGACCCCGGACGCCCTGGCCAAGCAGGTGACTGTCTCCGTCAACCGGCTGTACGGCCCGGGCGGCAGCGGCGCGAAGAAGGTCAAGGCCCGTCACAACCACAACCATCGCCGTTCCGGCTGCGGCAGCAAGAAGGGAAAGACGGGCTCCGCTCCGTCGACGCCCGCGTACGGGACTGGGAGTGGTGCCGCCCCCGCTACGCACAAGGAGTTCACGGCCTCGGTCGACCTGGAGCGCAGCGAGCTGCCGCTGCCTTGCAGCGTCTCCGTCTACGTCAACGGGGAGTTCGCGGGAAAGATCAGCGTCATGAGCATGCCGACGTCGGGAATCATGCACAGCACCGTGCCGCTGAACAAGGCGTTGGAAAAGCTGGGTAAGAGCATGGAGATCACGGCACCTCAAGCCAACAGCACCATTCCGGCGACGAACGGTACAGCTGCCCAGCAGCCGGTGGTTTCTTCGGAAGATAGGGAGATCATTCAGAAGCAGCTCTCTGTGGAGATCCAGAGCGTGAGTGCATTCCAAGTATCCAACACTTTAACAAGATGCGTCGATTTCTAACGTGTGAAAACAGGTCGATGGGACAATCTTCCCCGTTTCTTCGGCTCCCTCGCTCAAGATCAAGGTTGAGCTGCAGCATGTTGCGACGCCCCTGTCCGAGGACAGTTTGCCGGTTTTCACTCCCGTTGCTGTTGGTCCTCTCGCTAAGCCGACAGAGTATAGCACATCGTATTGAGTAGACTTGTACTATATAATTCTTAATATCATCCCTCTTAAACTTCGCCCGGCCATTACCTACTGCGAGTGATGCGAAACGCTAAAGTTTGCGTTTCAATCGTCAAATGTCATGAAGCACAAAACTCAACCTTCTTTTTCTTCGAGTGGCACCGTCTCTTCAGTCCGAACTCAACAGTCCGAGCCCGACGTTCGGCAAAGTTGACTCGTGTCAAAACGCATAGCAGAAAGTCTCTTCTCTCATCGAGATGAATATCTCCGCCTCACCCAAGTCCAACCTCACTCAAAGGACACTAAGCACAAGTGACCCCAGCCCGCTCGCCTTCCAGAACATTCGCAACCGCAAACAACAGCCAGACCCCTCCTAAGAACCACCACTCGTAAATCTCCCGGTCACGCTCGTCTTCACAGCCATGGGAATCCCTAGTCCGAATCGGGCTCGGCATATAAAGCCGGCCGCGCGCGCGCCCCGCGAAGAGATGGTCGCAGCCGCGGGAAGACCCTTGTACCCCGGCATTTGATGCATTAGCGCACGTCAGTCCGTCGATCATCGAAATTCTGGGTCTCGGCAGATCCATCAGCATTGACGATGCGGCTTTTTGGGTTCCTGGGGCCTTCCTTCATCTAGACGAGCGCACCACCGCGTGATGGGTGCTAGCTGCCTCACCATCGTTCACCGAACCCGCCGGGAAACTGAACCGAGCCAGTCACGTAGCTGCGCCGTGGTCATAATCAGAGCAAATAAGTCTATTCATTGTTGGATCGTGAGAAAAGACACGCCAGAACCCCCTCCCGACGCCAAGCAATGCGAGCGAGCGAGCGACAAGGCCTAGAACCGGAAGCCACAGGAATAATACTACGTACAAGAATAATGTCCTTTTTTTTGCCTGGTATATATAAACTGCATCACCCCGGCCCCTGCCTAGGGTGATATCCGGACCTGCTTAAGCGTAGCGAACTTCGGTGAAGAGCCCTGCCCGCACCTGGATCAGGGCGGCCAGCTCAAACAAGAACGATTGAAGTATAATGACGTTGGTGAGGACATGGGAGACCGATGCCGTACGCTCCGGCTTCTGCTCCTCCGGCTGCTTGACGTCGGCGGTATCATCACCGCTTGGCTCTGGCTGGGCTTCTTGGACTTCTTGGGCTTCCGGCTCACCTCCCTCTTCGCCGGTCTGCTCACTGGCTTCCCCTCCTTCAGTTTCCTCGTCGTCTTTAGGAGGCGGCATGTGAAGAGTCGGCTTCTTCTTCCCGAGATCCAGCGGGATGGGCTCGACCTTGCCAGGAATACCAACTTTACGCGCAAGGATGCTCTGATCGATGGCGGCAAATGCGGCCGCCTGGCTAGCCACGGGGTCTCTAGGCCCATGCGACGAACCACCCTCGTCCGTCACACTTCTCGGGGGGTTGTCGTAGGGCGTGTCTTTTGGTGGGGGCAGGGGACGAGATGTCGGGGTAGACAATCCATACCCGCCAGATAGACTGCCAGGAGCCGGGCTGCTAGAACCGGAGCCCCGGCTATTTTTTCTTCCTCTGGAGCTTCCAGAGCGGCTGGGGGTGCTCAGCTCCGATACCAGGCGTTGTGCAAAACGTTCCAGACCTGATGGACGCGCTGGAGACCCACTGCGTGCGTCGTCCATACTCGAGCGTTCCGGGGTATGCGCTGATCTGTGTCTTGACGGAGTTGGCTTGCGAGGCGGCAAAGGCGGCGGCGTGGGCCGGTTATCGGCAGTTTGGAACGCCTCTCTCCGGCTTTGGAGCAAGTCCTCGAAGCGGGGAACCGTCTCGCGGTACTTGGCAACCTGGTCGGAAAGTTGCTGCAGGATCACGAGCATGCGAGGCAGGGACGACTGTACCCATATGGGGCGGCGACGACAGCTGTCCAGTGCTTCAAGAGTCTGCTGCTCCGCGGACGTAGTAGAGTCCGGATCAGTTGGAGGCCTGAACGAGGTCGTTGACGCATCCGGGGATGTTGGGCTGGGCGGCTGCTCGTCGTAGGTGTACTTTTGAGGATTCCGCAAGATCCATCCCTCGACCGACATGTATCCACAGATGGCCAGATCCAAGATGGCCTCGGTGAGTGAGAGGTTTGTATCGACCGCATTCATGAAGAACGTCTCAAGAAGGTCCAATACTGAGGTGAGCAGCGGATCGTCGGGGCGAAGCGTGTGCTCGTGCACGTCGCGTGGCGCTCCAGGGAGTGTATCAGGAATAGCGGGTAAGTCATGGTTGTTGATCGAGGTCTTGGGGGCCACGAGCTTGAGCGAACAGGGGTGACTCTCGAGACGGGTCATGGTATCCTTCAAGACATTTTCATATATCTCGTCAAAGTTATCCTGGCCACCGATCGATCCTGCCAGACTCATGATGTAGTCGACCTCTTGCTCATGTGCACCGATGGTGCGGTGCATCTTGTCTCCGATGACCGCTTCGGTGCGAAGGAGCGTGCTCACTGCATAGCGGTGATGCCTTCTAAGGATCGCCGAGACTAGCTGAAGAGTAACACGAATGGTCTGCTGGTTGTGAGACCGTAAGCACGCCTGGATAAGATCAACGAGGTTGAACAAGAGGGGCGTCGCAGTAATGTCAGATTTCGTCTGTGCCAGCATTGTGGCAAGATCCATAGACTTGCGCTTGCGGGCTGCACTGATGGAGGCGCGCCCAGTAGACGGACCTGCGGACACGTGGTCAGGTAGGCCGAGGAGGTAGTGGAGGATCAGGTTGATCATGTCGGGGTGGTCGAGGGATTCTAGGATACGGCGGAGGTAGGTGAGGACAGCAACGGATGAGCCTCCGTCAATATCGGATGACTCTAGCAACGAAGGGTATCTAGATGGTCAGCACACGTCATTCCAAAGCGCGGGGGGATCTCTTACAAGAGCTGCTGCAGGAAAATGACCTGAAAATGCTCCAGGAGGGTCTGCTTCACCTCGACCGACTTGCAGTGATCCAGCACGTCCTGCCAGAAGAGGAGATGGGAGAGGAAGGTTTCGAGGTGGCCCAAGAAGTCGCCTGAGCAGGAGCTGATGATCTCGAAGGTGGACGTCGGACGCTCGTAGTCGGAGAAGGCGAGGATCGCGGGGAGACCATTAGTAGGATAGTCAATGACAAGTTTCCGGCTCAATTGGCTGTATAGCGCGCCCAACCCGGTAGCCATGAGTGTGGAGAGGTCACTTTCGACAATCCATTGCTCGAGCGACTCGTCGCTAGATGCCGACTCAATGATGTAGAGTAATCCCGTCCTCGCGAAATCGCCCACCTTGCCCTCATGGTGAATGTAATCCATCAAGATGTAGAAAAGCGGAAAGTCCTGCCTCTGCGTGCGGCCGGCGAACGAGCCTTGGTCATCCTGGGCGCTACCTCTAGGAGCACCATCATGGTGGCTCTTAAACCAAGCGTGTAGGATATCTCGGTTGAGGCGGATCTTTGTGGTGATGTTAAAAGCCAGCTCGACGACCTTGGCCTCGGTATCGGAGCCCAGGCGGACACTGTTGACGCCCGTGATGCGAACGAGCAGATTCGTCAGACTGGCGGAGAAGTTGACATTCTCGACGAAAGCCTCCTCTTCCGTCTCGAGGAGGGTAGCGAAGAAAAGCACAGCCTCCTTAATGATCCACTCGTTGTAGGAGGTGGTTGCGATTTTGCCAATGGGCACGTAGACTTGTTTCTTCGCGGCGTACTGGATGCAGGGATGGGGCAGCGGTCGGCGGGACTCGTCGGTCAGGATATTCGTGAGCTCTTGGAGTCGGATCTCGAGGGTCTCGGCGGCGTCGACGTCGTTGGCGAGGTTGGAGGACGATCTCCAGATTTGCTGGAGGAGGAAGGTCAGCATTCGGCGATGCAGCATACGCATGATGCCGGGGTAGACATACCAAAATGCGGTTGTACTCCTTATCGAAGCGATGCAGGCGTTTCGTAGGGTCCTTTGCGTCGACCTTGCGAGAGTTCGAGGAGGCGAGCGGAGTGCCCGTTAGGAGGCGCGACCACTAGAAGAAGTCATTGTCAGAAATGAAGCCATTGATAGCTGTCGGACACAGCTCTCCACGGGTACTCACAAAGTCCATGGTTTCGTCTCCGAAGGCATCTCCAGCTAGGAGAGTACAAGCTTAGTCGCGCATGAATCCGAAGATGATGACGGTTGTAGAGTAGCTCTCTGCGATCGCGAAGGATCCTCGACCAGGCAAGGAGTCAATCAGCGGGCGTAGACGTGGCTTAGGGGAGGAAATGAGGATGGAGATGAAGATGGAGCTCGGTGCATAAACTTGTCAAGTGTCAGGCGTCGCGAAATGTCATTCCGAGACTTGACCGCGTCCGCTGTAGCGCTGGCCTGTCTGCAGGGAAAGGATAAGGATACGTACCGAAATCATGCAGCTTGCTGCAGCTTCACAAGCCAAGCTCTCGACTGCATCCAACGCCATCTGATTGGGCTGCATAATTCGGCCCAAGATCCACAGGGCTGGGTTAGATGTGGCTTGAGACGAATTACCTCAGCAGTGTGTGGCTTCTGTATTATGTCATCCGTCAATGGCTTCGATTATCTAATCATCCGTATATTATGTCATCAGTTCATTCCCGATAATATGGGTCGACTGCACAGACATCGTCTCATCTTGATTGGCTTTCTCGCTTGCACCTTTAGACAATCTCACGATAGCTTCACTTTTTCGTTGTTTTCCATAATACGTCGCCAGTCCAAACAAGAGAAGAAAAGCCAAACACCTTTTCCAACCACTCGCCTGCATACTTCTATTGAACAGAATGTTGGGTGTGAACCAAGGCAAACAAAGTCCCATGTCCTAGCTCCTCCATCACGTCAATTAGTGCCCCTGAACTACCCTGGGAAGGAAGACTCCCGCTATGACTCCCTGATATTCAGAGCCAATAAATGCAGCATTTAGGCAGCATAGGTTCCGATCCGAGGACCGAAGTACTCGCCCTTGGGCATCTTGAGTCTCGTGCATGCTGTCGCCTCGCACCCCTTCTCCGAGTCGTTGCCCCACCAGTTCACCTCGAAGCCATGGTAACTGACAGCAAAGAAGATGACGACAGCAGCGATGGCAATCGCCGTCGAGAAGGCAGCCGACAGGACGTAGTTGTACTTGGACCAGAACGCGAGGTATCGCTGGCGGAGGTACACCATGCTTAGCCAGCCTGGGATCACCGCCGGCCACATGTACGCGATGTTGTACTAGGCTCAAGTTAGTAAATAGTTCAAGAAGACCTCACGACAACGGGTTTGAAGACTTACGGGAGACCAGCTGATACCACCGCTGAGAATCATGACCGGATGAATCTTAGCCACCCAGTGCGTACGGGGGAATCTCCTCTGGAAGATGTAGAAGAGAATAGGGATGGCGAAGCCGACCGGGAAGGCAGATAACAGAGCAGTGTAGATACCGCCCGAGCCAAAGACCTTGCGGGCGCCCAAGCTGCCGAAGAGGACTGCTGCGGTGAAGTACGTGTTGACGCCGGGGCAGGAGAAGCGGTCCTTTTGGTTACTGTCCGAAATGTTAGTTCATGATTCTGAGAGAAGTTATTTGGGCAAACTCACGTTGAACAGAGGTCGGGTATATTTTCAATTTGGAAGTTCATGACACCGGTGCACACGAAGGCCGACACGAAAACCGCGACAACCTGGGCAGCGAAGGTATGACGCTGCGGGATCTTCAGGTAATGCGCGAGCTTGAGGTCATTGGCGAAATCCAGAGCATGAGCTGTGGTGACGTAGCTGGGAGGACATATCAGTTGAATGGCTGGAGATGAGGCCGTTCAGATGTTGACTCACCCGAAGCACTTGAAGAAATTCATGGCAAGTGCGTTACCCGGTTCCCATGCACCGCCGATGAACTCGGCGAGGACGCTTTGAGCATGTTAGCTGCCTCAACGTCTTACGTGGGGGTTTAACGTGTTGCTTACTTGAACTCAACTTCCATCCCAGTCGTGGCAAAGATGATGCCGGTCGGGATAACGAAAACCAAAGCAAGGGCGATGCCGAAGAACACGACACCCACACTTGTCTGGGAACTTGTCAGCGGCTACTCTCATCTCGTCTTGGACTCTCTTCAGCGTACCTCGGTAGGCCAAGCGGCTACAGCAGCGACACCAAACGCGATGGCAAGAACATTAAGAACGGCGTACCACCATTCAGGAACTTAGAGAAAGTCAGCATGTAAGCAAAGTCAAGTGTCAAAGCTGGCAGCATACCTTCGGGGTAGTTTGACATCATGCGAGTGTGGACATCCTTGAAATCCTGCGAAGCCTCTTTCTTGAAGCTCCGCACCAGACTCTTGAAGCCAAGAGCGATATCATGACGATGGTAGAGGATCGCGTACGAGATCGTCGCAGCATAGACGGCGAAGAAGTAGTAGTACATCGTGATACTACTAGCAGCCAAATAAACCGGCGAGTACGCCTGGTACTTGGCCTCATCCAACCAGCCTCGACTGTCCAGAATCTGAGAGACGTTATACGACCCGCCAAAGTGGTTATACATCAGGTTGGAGTTGATCGGGAGATAGGCCGTGTTATACGCATTCGTCCAGTACAGCCCGATGATCGTGATACCGCCGATGAAAACGCCGATGAAGGTGTTGAACGTGACGCGGAAGGGCACGACGAGGGGCTGGACGACGTGCGTCGCGACGTTCCAGTCAAAGGTCGGGAGCGGGTTGAAGCCGAGACCCTTGCGGACGCCGGTGATCGCCGTCAGGGTGAAGTTGTCCGGCGCGATCCAGGCGACCCAGTTGAAGAGGGACAGGGCGCCGAAGATGTAGTCCGGGAACCAGAACCAGACGAACATGCAGGCGAACGCGGCCAGGAAGAAGCGGTAGCGGGACATGTTGTAGATCTTGTTGAATGGGCCCGGGACGGGATGGTTCGACTCTGCGTCCAGGTGAGCTTTTGGTCAGCAACTGAGGTTCGGTGGTGGCTTACCGTTGTGAAGGGAGCTGTTGAGGGCGATTGTCACCAAGGATGCCGGCCAGAGGCAAAAGGAAGGGTATACCAAGAATCGTCTGCAGAGACCAGCCAAACCGAAACCCATCAAGTTCGTGGAGAGAGCCAGAAGGATTTGGTAGCTGAACGACTTGGCGTACTTCTGGCCGAAGTAACGGTCCATCCATTGGGTGAAGACTAGGAAACTTGTTAGACAGTCACCATCATCATACAAGCTGTGAACTTACTGATATATCTCGAACTGGGTAGCGTCTTCCCAACACTCGCCATAATCGAGATCAACATATGCTCCTTCTTGTTAAAAGGACTCGGGTTCAAACTGTGCCGCACACCAAACAGCGTAAAGCCAACATCAGGAAGGAACTTCTCCGCAGCTTTACCAACCGGATACGCCAACAACTGCACGACCTCAGCTCTTAACGTAATCGAGGGCTGCCGAACGCTGAAGAGCTGGTTGATGAAAGCGATGAAGACCACAAAGAACAGACCGATCACCCAAGCCCGGATCGTGGACACGGGCATGCTGGTGTCATCGTGGGGATCGACGACGGCGCGGACTTCTGCGTACGGACTGTTCGTCGTCAGGAGCGAGACTTCGACTTTGGCTTCGGAGATCTCGCGGGCGTGGGAGTCTGGGTTGGCGAAGATGTCGTTGTTGGCGAGGAAGGCTTTGAGGCGTTCGAGGGCGCCGGCGGGGAAGTTTGGGTCGAGGCCGTGCTGGGAGACGAGTCGCTCCGCCGACTGAAATGTGTTAGTGACGATGAGGAAAGAGGTGAATGGGGAGTAACTGACTTCACGGGCATCTTGGAGGGAAAGGCCTCGGGAGTACTCCTTGGCTTCAAGGACTTCCTCGGGTGTTGCATTGAGTTGTCTTAGTCTCCTGTCAGTTACAGCTCCGTCTAAACTTGGATTTCCAACAAAGCGTACCTCGCAACCTCGTCGACGGAAATCTTCTCATCAAAGCTTTCCCTCTTCTCGAAGTCAGCCAAGATTTTCACCGCAGGTGAATTGAAATCTTACCTGGGGGTTCACCTCTGTCGGTGTAACGACATCGATGGCATCGCCCGTCTTCTCGTTGAGAGTGCCCATCTTGGAGGGGAGAATCGAGCAGGACTGAACACTTTCAAAACCAAGAGATGCCGGTGGGATGCTGATCGACGCTGTCACTAGCGACGAGCTGTTTTATTAACCTCCCGCTTTGCAGATAGTGACGTCCCACATATCAACGACGAGTCCTTCAACGCAGATGTGATGGGAATGGTTCGGTGGCGTCGAAATCTGCATAACGCACATGGCGCGAACGCAGTCCCCCACTTCGGGAAGTCTCGTCGGCCTTACAAGTTCTATTTCCGGTACGCTTCATATCAATCTAGATTGTAGAATGATAGGTCTACCGGGAAGATGTCGCTGTAGCCGACAACCACAGTCTATGGACGACCTCCCTCAGACACAACGCGTACAGGGCAGGGTACGTTGGCGAACCATGCCATAAGAAGCTTGTTTATCCCTCCAACACTCTGAAAAATGCTCGGAAGTGGTAAGCCAAGCCGCATATCTCCATCAAATAGATATTACCAGGACCAAACGCTCCTGTTGCCATTGGCTGGTACAAATGCCATAATGCCCGCAGAACCTTGCACCATACCATCCCGGTATGAGAAAGAAGAACTAGGCGGTCTTCCATATTCTCGGTCTCGGTAACCTCGACTCTCATGCCTCCGGCTACGTGCCCTTCGGCCCCGAAGATCCTGGGCTTTTACGTACCAGTAAGCTTAATCCGTCCTATCTCGTCGCCTTCGCGTCCCGGCCTAATGGTTGATGGCCGGGGTAAGGTGGGCGGGAAGTGGGCGTTTCTTATCGCGTCATCGGAGACAGGAATTGCGGCTGCGGCGCATTGCACAAAGCTGGTTAACCATCTGCCGTACGGTGAACATGATCGGTCTTTACAGGCCTGGGCTGTTTGAGTGATGCAAATGGCTGACGTTGGAGATATCCACCGAGGCTCAAGTCGGGTCGCGTCCGATATTCCACGACGAGATGTCGGAGAGGCGCCGCAACGGGCGCCGCAGCGATCTTGTAAGTCCTTCATTGGGCGACTTGCATATGCTGGCTTATCGAAAGAGTAAGTGGCGAATGATATCTGCACGCGGCATCACAACAGTAGTTGGCCACCTTTGACAACTGCGCTGCAAAATTTCCCAAATACTGTTTCAACTGAGAGCACCAACAGGTAGAGATCCAACGAACACAGACGCGAAAGAAATCCACCCCTGCCAATCCAAGTAACTGGAAACTTTCGCCTGGCAGCTGGAATCAGCACTTTGAATCCTTCAGCGGCTACTACTTCAAGCCCCCGGAATCGACCCCGGCCTGCAATTCGGACTACTCCGTGGAACCGCGGCCCGTAGTCAATTGACGCCATTCCGACCCACGTTGACGATTCCGCCAAATAACAAATGCCAAGCCCAAAGACCGACGTCCTGAGTCGGGGAAAATAACGACAGGCTATCGCGCGATCTCACGAAGCGTACTCCCGGAAGAGCTGGCTTAGCAGCTTCCGCGATTCAACGAACGCAACTCTGCGCTCTCTCGATCGTGTGTATTCAACTTGCCTATTGACTTTCTGAGCAGCTACTTGATGTTTATTGAACGCAAAGATGGGCAAAAAAGGCGATGATGTCTTTGACTTGAGTCCTCCACCGTATCAACCACAGCCTACCTCCCGAAAGTTCTTCATCCGCAGGCGCCGAGGACGTCTTGGGGCTCTCGCTGCATTGGCTTTGTTTCTTGTGACATTGTCACATTACAACGGTATTATCAGCACATCAACTGCTCCTTACGATCACGAGGAGGCTTTTCTCAAAGGTCTGAAGACATGCCAAGAAAAAGTCCTTTCACGCAATGAAGAGAAAACAACCACCAAAGACCGTATCAATCCCCGTTGGAATGACAAGTCTGGCCAAAAGAGAGCCGTCATTCTTCGAAATGCCACCCTCTTTGACGGGGATTCTGTGTTACCAGAGACGGTGGACATCGTCTTCGAGAACGGCATAATCAGGTCCGTCACAAAGCACGAGTCCAACACTGAACTACCCAGAGACATTGTCTCATACAACGTCAACGGGAGGTTCGTCACCCCAGGTCTCGTGGATATTCATTCCCATCATCTCGAGCTGCCCTTCTCCTCAGTCTCGGCAACTCAAGACGTGAACGAGAAACCAGGTCTCGGCCCCATCACACCCTTCGTGAGAGCAATCGACGGTTTCAAACCCTATGATCCGGCGATCAAAATCATCGCATCAGGCGGCGTCACTTCATCGCTCAACCTCCCCGGGTCCGGCAACATCATCGGCGGTCAGGGGTACTTGGTCAAGAACCTGCCTTTCCCAGGCGAGAATGGGGAACCGGTCGTGGAAGAGCTTCTCCTGGAACACGGGATTCCGGAGGAGAAGCGTCAGCGATACTTGAAGATGGCTTGCGGCGAGAATCCAAAACATTTGTACGGTCACACCCGCCTCGGAAACGTCTGGCTTCTGCGACAGCACCTCGAGAAGGCGCAGAAGCTGAAGAACAAGCAAGAGGCTTGGTGCCGAAACGCTCACGACGTTGATGCCTCACGGTTCAGACAACGTCAAATTGCAAATTTCATCGAGGAAAAGGGTGAGATTCCCGAGGACTTGGAACTTGAAGCCACTGTCGCGCTACTCAGAGAAGACTTCAATGTCAACATTCACTGCTACGAGCCGGAAGACTTTGAGAGGATGCTAGCTGTCTTGCATGAGTTTGGCGTTCACCCCCAGGCCTTTCATCACGCGCTGGAGGCCTGGCAAGTCCCGGAATTTCTGAAGCAACAGGAGAGGTATGCCAGTTGGTATGATTTACTGAGACTATCACTAACCGCAAGCAGGAATATCACCATTGCTACCTTTGCGGAGAACGCATTGTTCAAACACGAGGCTTACGGAGCAAACCTAAGAGGTCCACAGATCTTGGACGACCATGGTATCCGGGTTGTTTTGAAATCGGTAAGCTGCGGTGCCGACTATTTTAACGCTTCATGAGGCTGTCTGATAACCATCTCATTAGGACCATACTGGAGAAAGCAACCATGCCAAGTATCTCGTGTAAGCTGGCCCGCGAGATAACAACTTGATTTCATAGCTGACTTCACTCAAAAGATACCAAGCCGCGGTCTCTCACTCCTTCGGCTTATCAGAGAGCAAAGCCCTGCAGTCCGTGACATCTGCCGCCGCGAAATCCATCCAACAAGCCCACCGCATCGGGTTCGTTCGCCCGGGGTACGATGCCGACCTGGTCGTTTGGGATTCACACCCACTTCAAGTTGGTGCCACGACTATCCAAGTCTTCGTGGATGGTCGAGAGGTGCTCGATGCTGATGACTCTGTCGCAAAGCTGGAGACATCAGCTGCACCGTCGGACTTGGCCGTACCGAGTTCAAAGCTCTCGATCACACAAGAAGAACAGGCAGCGGTCTGCGGAAAGGCCACTCAACCTGGAACCAAGATCGTCTTCAGTGGTATTAAGCAGGTCCTTCTGGAAAACTCGCCACTCGATGATGAGCATGGTGAAGGCAATGATGGACTAGTCATGGTCATGGACAACGGGGAGATAGTCTGTCTCGATATTGCCTCCAAGTGCGTGTCCTCCCACAACGAAGACACCACGTTCGAAATCAACTTCAAAAATGGCTACGTCACGCCCGGTCTGGTCGCGTTTGGCAACAACATCGGCATCCTTGACATCTCCTCGGAGCCCTCAACAGGCGACGGCTCGCCCGGCCGCAAGGGCAGCGCGCTGAATGAGCAGAAGGACTTGCACTATGCCAAGTACGGCGTCCATTTCGGCGGGAGAGGCTTCGGTCGAGCTCGCGTTGGCGGTGTTACCAGAGCTATCACTGCCCCGATATTTGGAGGAGGAGCCCTTCGGGGAGTCAGTGTTGGTCTGCGGACCAGCGAGAATGCTACCGTGCTTGGCGGCGGTATCTGGAAGGACGAAGTTGCTTTGCACTTTGCCATCGGCCAGGAAGCCAAGGGTAAGGTCGAGACTATTGCAGATACGGTTGGAGTATGCTAACTTTCTGGTAGGCGATGATACGCCGACCATATCGTCTGGCATCGAGCGTCTGCGTCAGGTTCTCGAGGAAGGCCAGCAGACGAGCAAGCAGGACAGCGTCTACGCACGCGCTGCTAGCGGCACCCTGCCTTTAGTCATATACACTGTGAATGAGGTAAGAGAAAATCTGACGAACCTCCATCATGAAGATTCTGACCGTGCCTTAGGATGACATCTCTCAAGTAATCCTCCTCAAGCGCGACTTTCCATCCGTAAACTTTGTAATCTATGGTGGACATGCGGCCCCTTTGGTAAGCAATCTCCAGCATTATATCTTTCATTGCATATTCTAATCCTTCCTCTAGGTCGCGAAGGAGCTCGCAGAAGCAAAGATCCCCGTCATTCTCACCGGCAATCGCGGCGCACCCGACAAATGGGAGAAGAAGTCCGTCTTCGCCGGACCCCCCTTGAGCCCCAGCCCTGCCCAAGTCTTGATCGATGCCGGCGTACTCGTAGCCCTTGCAGTCCGTGGTGACTCGAAGGTGCATGGGCTTGCGCAGGAGGCTCAGTGGGCAGTCAAGTTTGCTGGTCTGAGTGAGAAAGAGGCGATCAAGCTGGTGTCGACGAACTTTGACAAGATTCTTGGATTTGACCTGGAGGATAAGGGTGGAGTCAAAGAGAACATATATGGTGGTGACTTCGTCGTCTGGGAAGGTAACCCGCTTCGCGGAGAGGGAAGTGTTGTGGTGAGCGTGCAGGATGATGGAAAGATTGGGGATTGCTGGCCTGATCATGAGGGTGCTGTTCTTTGAGACTAACAATTGACTCCTTGTGTACTCGTTGTGTACTTGCACCTAGTTCTTGCGTAGCTATGTTCCAAGTCAAGCGCAATAACCGAAACCACCGACTATTCCCTCATATAGCGCTCCGCGTCTTGTTTCCAGACGATTTGATGAGATCAGCAGCGTACTCCGCAACCGCATAGACCGTAGCCTGCGTATGAGCGGCCGGCAGGACGGGCATTATACTCGAATCAACAACCCACAATCCCTCCACGCCATACACTCTCAACTTGCTATCAACCACACCTCCCCATTCCCTCGGCATCATAGCCGCAGTTCCAGCAGGATGATCAAAACTTGAAGACAACCACGACTCCCGCATCATCGTCTCGATCTGGACGTCACTCGATGCTCCAAGACCAGGCATCACCTCCACAGCCGCAATGGAAGCCAGACTAGGGCTCAACATGAACGCCCTGGCTTTGGATACGGCGCGTACTAGGATGACGCCGTCGACCGGGTTGGCGATGGTGTTGAAGTCGACGAGAGGTGGGATGGAGGGATCTGGGTTGGTGGTGTTGATTACGATGGTTCCTCTGGAGAGGGGCTTCTGGAGGGCCACGGGGACGTTCTCGGCGCCGCCGAAGGTGATTTCAACAACGCCGGCCTTCGGGTTGAGGAAGTGCTTTTTCATGACGTCTCGTTGTTGGATATAACCCTGAACCAAAGCTGGATTCTCCGCGTAGACGAGTGGAAGGTACTGCAGCGGCTCTTGTCGGCCAAGCTGTTCGGTGATGTACTGATAGTTCTGGGAGTCGAGATCTTGCAAGGACGTGAACACGACCTTGTTTCCCCACGCATGTGTGTGAGGTCCGGTCTTGTTTGCCTGGTATTCCGCCCATGACTGATTGTAGAAGGTTGCGTTGTTCATCAGCTTCGGGTTGACCGATGTATCGTTGGAAACTTGGAGTAAAATGTCAGCAAAAATCTTCGACTCTCAGCGGTGGAGTGATGAGCCTACAGTCATACGCCATAAAGACGGAGGGGTGGTCTTGAAAGTTGGCGCCCACACCAGGAGCGTCCACTTTGACCTCAATCCCGAGACCTTTGAGAAGCTTCGACGGACCGATACCAGACAGTTGAAGGATGCGCGGGGTGTTGACCGCGCCGGCAGCTAGAATGATATTCCTGGATCTCACGAACCGCGTCCTCGTTCCGTCCCGACTCGCGACATCGATACCAGCCGTAACGTTGCCCTCAAACTTAATCGCACCACCATAATGACGAACAATCAAGTGAAGATTCTTACGATCGCTGACAGTATTGAAGTATGCCGTTTCCGAGGTCGAGCGGGTGCCGTTCTTCCCACCTGAGTTCTGCGGTAGCCACGCGATGCCGACGTTATTACCGTCTGCTCCGTCCTTCAGCTTTGGCGCTTTGATGTCTTCAACCCAAGAACGAGTTTGAAGAGCTATGGGATGCGTTAAACGTGCCCGTTCAAGTCAAAATCGCGATAACATACCGGCCACCGGCCACTGCCAGGACGGCAATCCAACCCTCACAGGACCGTTGCCATACGCATCCGCACTCCACTCGTAACCGTACTTGTCGACATACTCTTTCGCAGGAGGCTCAAAAGTCGAAGACTTGCGAAAATACTTCAACATGGTATCCCAGTTCCAGCCGGGGTTGCCGAGCGCTTCCCAAGCATCGTAGTCGGCTACTGACCCGCGATCCCACGCCATCCCGTTGACGCTAGATCCTCCACCGACCGTGGCGCCGATGCGAAGTCGTGATGTGCGGTTGCCGAGATGAACCTGTGGTACACTGGTGACATTGTAAAGGCGTGAAGACTGGTCGTAGGTGGTGAAGAATGGTACGGTGACGTTGATGGTGTTGGGGAAGTCGCCGTACTCGATGACCAAGACGGTTTCTGCACTCATGTCAGCAATAATCTTGGACTACATGAATTATACATGTTTACTGAACAGCTATTGAACAAATAGAGAAATTGAAAGAAAATTTGCCTTACTGTCACGGTTCTCACTAAGCCTGTTGGCCACCACAAGCCCGCTCGTCCCACCTCCTACAATGATGTAGTCGTATTCCTCGGCGACGGCATCCAAGTCCCTCCTGACACTGGAAGCACCAGAAACCAAAGCCGCACCAGAGATAATGGTCAATATCAGTTTGGTAGCCATCGTGATACCCTTAAGACGCATCATGACTCGAGAGGGTGAACGTCAAGGAGCTGTCAAAGGAGGACGAAACACTGACACGAACGCCTCTCCCGTGCGCTCGTGGGTGTGGTAGATTCTGCGGTACTACAGCAGCAGCACCAATGATTGAAGATGGCGAGATACTCGAGATAAGGCAACTAGTATTAGTCTTCTCACTTTAGTATAATAGTTATTAAAGGTCTAATTAGCTAAAGTATAGTCCTACTTGCTTTTATATACTTATTAACTACCCCCTTAATACTCCCTGTTACAACCTGTTAGGCATAACCAATAAAGGACGCCCCACTAGGATACTAGGCGGTTATAATAACACATTTATATATAGGATCATAGGAACACATAAGGATCCCTTAGGAACGGAAGAACTATAGTATAGGTTACGTAATAATAAGATAAGAGATTAGATCTATATAATCAAGATATAGCATCTATATTCCAGAAAGACAGAAGCTATATGCTAAGGATATAGGAGCTATATAGGGCATATATAGCACCTAGCAATAGGACTACCTAGGACCTATATATAGGATAGACTTAAGTCTGCTTGAGGATAAACTTCTATAGCTCTTTAGTAATTAACTTATAATTATTACTTATAATACTTTTAGCTATACCTAAGTAATAATTACTCTATAACTCTTATTAAGGCTTTAACTAATTACTAAGACCTTTAAAGACCTATAATTATTTAATTAGACCTATAAAATAACTAATTACTATTTATAGTTCTTAATCCCTAACTTACTATTAATATAAACCTACTATTAGTTAGCTAGCTATAATACTTTAATTACTCCTATTTAGTAAGTTACTCTTTAAAAACTACTAATAGTATTATAATATCTTTATAACTCTCTAGAAAGACCCCTAGTATTAGATCCTCCTCTAGCGCTAAGAAGGCCCCTATTAAGAAGAACCTTACTTAAGAACTTAGGGATTAGAGAATAAAAAATAATAGTAATAATAATAATAATAATATACTTAAGGAATAGCTTAAATAAGCTAACTATAATATCTAATAGATATAAGAAATATTTAATATTAATACCTATACTACTAAAGAACTATAGACTGCTATATGCCTATCTAACTAGCGTACCTAGGAACTTAAATAGTAGAACTATACTCTTTAAGTTGCTATTAATATTATTACTACCCCTATTATAGAAGGATAAGAGAAGCTTTAACTTAACCCTCTTAATCCTTTTAATAGATCCCTAAGATAGCTTAAGGGATTCCTTATTTAAGTTAAAAACTATTAGAATTTCTATTATAATAACTTTAAGAATAGAACTAAAAAGGTTATCTATATATCTACCTTCCTTAAGGGATAAGCCCTCTAGTAGTTTAAATCCTTTCTTAAAGAGTACCTTAATAAGGAAATACTTAACTATTATTCTACTAAAGTTAAAGATATTTTTAGTAGCTTCTAGGGCTTTAAGTCTACCCTAAAGTCTCTATTTTAAGACCCTAATAAGAAATAATAAGCTAAATAAGACTTATTTTACCTTAAATAGACTAAGTTAGCTAAGGACTATACTATAGAGTTCTAATAGATCTATACCTAGCTAGACTTAACTAATAAAGGTAAGATCTTTATATTCTATAATAACCTTAAGGATAAAGTTAAGGATAAAATTATTAAGGTTAATAGACCTAAAGACTTCTTCTAGTATATTAAGCTTACTATTAAGATTAATAACTAACTATATAAGTAATATAAAGAGAAAGGTAAATAATAATAACCTATTAACTCTAGCTATAAGTACTAATAGTAGCTTAGATACTATAATAATAATTAATATAATAAATATAATAGTACTACCTATAGATACTATAGCGGACCTATAGATCTTAGTGCGGCCTAGCGTAATAATAATAATAAGGGTAATAGCTAGAAGAAGAATATTAAGTATTATAACTATAATAAGAATAGATACCTTATAAAAGAATATAGAGTACCTAAAAAAGAATGCTTCTAGCTAATACCTAAGAAAAGATAAGTTAGTACTACTATTAAGGTAATCCCTTATAAATAACTTAGTTAGACTACCTACTTTAATAATAACTATAGAGTTTACTTAGACTCTAAGGAATATATAGGATAATACCCTAAGAACCCTAGTAGAATGGGATATAATACTACTAGAGTAAAGAATATTAGTGGACCCCTAAATTAATAAACTATTGCTATAGGATATAGAAGCTATAGCAAACTTAAGCGTAAGGCTTAAGAATAACTTAATAGCCTCTTAGAATATAGGGCCCTTAAAGAAAATAGATAGTTTAAAATATCTAAATATATTAGCTTTAAATAAGAACTAACCTATAACTTAAATAAGCTTTATAATATTATATAATAATATGCTTAGATAGTAGCTATCTATAGGTATAAACCTAATATTAATAATACTAGCTCTAAAGAGGACTCTAATAATGAAACTATTAGGACTAGTAAACGCCTTTAGTACTAGAAAATTAATCCTATAAAGGATAAATAGATACTTAAATTCTTTAGCACCTTAGGAGAATAGCGTAATAGAAACTATAAACTAGAGTTTAGACTAGATAACTACCTATACTTATATATAGAAAGTAACTACTACTAATACCTCTATTAGCTATAGTACTTCTTTAATAACTATAAGGAATATCTTAGAGATAAGTATATATATTAATTCTACCCTAGAAGGTATAACTAAGAACCTATTAAGAAGGTCTATTAAATTAACTAAATATATAGATAGGAACTTAAGCTATTTAATAAATAAATTATAACCTTTAGACTAAGCTAAGAATACCTTATGAGATGCCTCTATAACACTAATATAAGCTAGTAAGATTACTAATAAGATAAATATATAATCTATAGAGAAAATAAAGCTAAAGTATAGTAACTTAGCTAGAATAGAGTAACCCCCCCTATAGTAAAGTATAAGGAGAGCTAGCTCTAGAAAGCATAACGTAAAGGGAAATAGATTACCTACTATAGAGATAACTAGTTAAAAAACTAGGATTGCCTACTAAAACTAAGGGATAATAATAGGTAGATAAGATAAGGTCCCTATATAGTATAACTAGGGCATACCTAGCTTAATAATATAAGTATATCCAAGTTTAGATATAACTTAATAGAAGACTAGCTACTATAATAATAAATAGTAGAGCCTAAGGAAACTTTATATTGCTATAAATAGTGAATAAATGAAAAATAACCTAAAAGAAGAAAGTAGTAGAAGACTACTATAAACTTAGTACTGTTGAAGGAGAATAAGTCTAGTATAGTAGAGGACGTATTACAGTAGAGATAGCGCACCTCCCTATATAGATCTATAGCTAGAATGAGTAACTAAACTTTAATATTATAGAGATAAGAGATAAATACAATATTATTATCCTTAGAAGACTATAGTTATATAATAGCAACCTATAGATAGATTAGAGAACTAGCTAACTCTATTAGGACTAGGATTTAGTTACTAAGTAGTAGCCTAAAAGAGGTACCTTAAATAAACCTCTTAGAACTCCTAAAGTAAAGAGATTTTTAGTATACCTATAAATTAAGGATATAAACGCTAGGACGTTATTAGTAATAGATATTAATAAGGAAGATTAACTTCTATCTATCTTAGAAGAATACTAGTAATACTAGAAGCTATTTACTGAAGAACTTAAAATAGGACTACTAAAATATAGTAACTATAACTATAAGATACCCCTAAGAGAAGGGAAGGAGCTAAAGCTAGAAGCAATCTATAGACTTAATTAGAAAGAAATAGAAGTACTTAACGCTTACCTTAAAGAAAACCTATAGAAGGGATATATTAGACCCTCTATATCACTAGTAGGATATCTAATCCTATTTATACCTAAAAAGAATAGTAAACTATAACTCTATATTAACTATAGAAAACTTAATAATATTATAATTAAGAACTACTACCTACTACCGCTCATCTCAGAACTTAGAGACCTGCTACATAGAGCCTAGTGGTTTATAGCACTCAACTTAAAAGGAGCCTACAACCTGATACGTATGAAATCAGGCGAAGAATAGAAAACAGTGTTTTAAACACGCTAAGGACATTATAAGTACCTAGTAATGCCCTTTAGACTTACTAATATACCTATAATATTCCAGATAATAATTAATTATATCCTATAAGAATACCTAGATATATTTATTATAGTTTATCTTAATAATATCCTGATCTTCTTAAAGACGCTAGAAGACCATAAGAAGTATATATATTAAGTGCTATGGAAACTCTAAGAAGCTAAACTCCTAGTGGAACCAGAAAAGAGCAAATTCCATACCTAAGAAGTTAAATTCCTAGGCTTTATAATAGCCCCTAGAATCCTCAAAATATCAAAAGATAAAATTATAGTAGTATAAGACTAGCTAATACCCTAAAACGTTAAGGATATATAATCCTTTATTAGATATATAAACTACTACTAATAATTTCTAGAAGGATACTTAAATAAGAATAACCCTCTTATAAGACTCTTAAAGAAAGACGTCCCCTAGCAATAGGAAGAAGAGCAAGAATAAGCCTTTAATAAGATTAAGTAATAAGTTATATTAGAACCTATACTTATTATACCTAACCCTAAGAAACCATTTAAAGTTAAGACTAACTCCTCAGACTATACTATAGGAGGACAGCTAGGCCAATAAGATAATAAAGGATAGCTACGCCTATACGCCTTCTTCTCACATAAGCTATATAGCCCTAAACTTAACTATTAAATCTATAATAAAGAACTTATAGTAATTATTAAAGTATTTAAGGAATAGAGACCTTAACTATTAGGAATAAAGTATAAAGTTAAAGTCTATAC